CCCAGCGCTCGCCCGCAGGCTCGCACGTCGTTTAGCACGTCGTTCGGCACGCAATAGCGCGTCCAGCGAAGCTCCGCGAGCGGAAGAAAATGGCCGTTTTCCCACCTAAATTAACCGTGTTAGTTCCTTCGCATAAGTCGTGTGTGACTCCATAGATACTTACTGATTATTTATTGGCCAAATCGTGTTGTTTACTGCCCAGTAACGTCCCCCACGGCCATGTAGATGTCTTGGCATAGTGTTGAGGCCTTCATGGGCCCTCCGCGGGTCCTGCTGCCATCTAGTCCTCTGTCCTCACCCACCCAGCGGGTAGCTAGCTACTTAGGCACCTCTGGCGGTATAGTTCGGTGATATTAGAGGGTTTAGACGTAAGGCTGCTAATTAACGTGGCCGCGGAGGTGTCAGTCGTATTGTCCGGAGTCTCTCGAACGAATGCCATTGTAAATCGGTTGCTGGTGGACCTGCGGGGTTGTTAAATTTTTAAAAGGTGGTCCTAGGCTTGCTAAATCAACGTGCAGTGCGACCGCCGGGGTGCAGGCCTTATAACTGGCGTGGTGTTGAGAAAGATTTGTAAAAATTGAAGCTACGAAGACGTTCGGCATGACTTCGGCCGTTGGCTTGGCACGTAAACAACCCCGACGTTGAGTCTGACGTTGCTCTAGCCCTAACGCTAAACCTATTTAGGCAGGTGGCGGCGGAGTTACCCCTGAGATACCCCTCAACACCATCAATTATTCGGTACACCAGCAAAATTATATCCAACTACCGTCTGCCACCGTCCCCCTGAACCAAGCTCCGTCGGGGCGAGACCGTTCTTGGCGCGACGCTACGGAGACGGTCGTGACCGTCCGTTAGCGTACCGTCCATTTGACTGGACCGACGGTAATAAGGCTGGACGATTCCGCACGCTGCACATACACGAGTTGCGTCTCACGACAAAACAAAAAAAGTCCATTGCAGCATTCACAATGCAAACGAACACACCGAACGGCGGCAGAAAATTCACATCTTCGGTTTATCCACCAACCGGTTCACTCACAGATTACACCCCATAATGCCTGAGGCATTATTATTCTCTGTCCTATCCTGCACATTCCACAAAAGGGACAAGAAGACCCAGCAGCCCCGACTTCCTCGCACACACTACAGTATCGAGTTTGGTCTCCTGCTCCGCTCGACTCTTGAGATCGACCTCCGCCTTCTGCCAATGCGATCATAGGCCTGGGAGACTACGCCATGGAAAGCTCTCACTGAAGCCCGCACGCAGGCTGGCGTTGGGAGGGCTGCGTGAGCAGGCATGCACAAAAGCTTTCTTTTAGCGAGCATCAAGCGGCTTTCTTTTCTCTCTTCATGCACCCAATCCCCCCTGCACACACACAGTGAGCAAAACATTTCCCCCTTCCTTACACAGTTAATGCACTCCCAACACCTGCACCAGACTACCGTCACGAATTTAAACTCCCTTTCCTTTCCTTTAGCTCTCAATCACTAAAAACAGCGACTTCATTTCTCTAGATAGAAGCAATGGTGTCATCGTCCTTCGGGTCGGAGAAGAGAATAGAGTCACTGAAGTAGAAATCGAGTGTCTAAAGTCTTTGTGTTTTAACGTGAAACTGTAATACAACAAAGACAAACTAAAATGGCTGTTCCGCTCAAACTGCCTTCTAGGTCATCCAAACAAATCACTACCAAAAAAAAAAAAAAAAAAAAAAAAAAAAAAAAAAAAAAAAAAAAAATTTCAAAGTGAATGAGTGCCGTTTTACGCCACTCAAGCACTACGTAGGACTCAGGCCATTTTGGTAAGAGACACTCAGTAAAAAGGGTTATAAGCTCGCCGCATGTGCTCTAACCTACCTTGACTTTGATCAGCTCAGACAAGCACACCAAAGAATTCAACTTTAACATATCCCGGTTAAGGATATGCCAGGTTCAAGACAGGTTTCGCACTCACAGACAACGGCGTTAGATCTGCAAGCATTAGCCACAAGTGTTAAGTCAGCGATATTGTTTATGAACGGCTAATGCAGTGATAGTTGCCATTGCTCTATAATAGTGAAGGTTGGCATTCTTGGATGTTGACACCGGTGGTCATCACTCAATAATAAGGATGTCCCGTTCTTTTTCTTCCGACCAAACCAAGTCCAGCAGGCTCCACCTCTCCACTACAAGAGCTTTTAGCTCGTTGCCCATCAGTCCCTAAGCCAGTAAACCTCATCTTTGTTCGGAACTTTTAATTGACTGTGTGATCTGTGAAAGACGGAGCACTAGACAACGCCACGTTAAAGTACACAATGCTGACTTAAAAACCTTTAACAAAGAATTACCTCCAAACATCTTATCAAAAAGTCTAACATTACTATCCAAAGTACCACTAAAACAACTCGAAAAAGTTCCGATCAGCCGCTGGTATTACTGAGCGAGCCCGCGAAACTACTCCCCTGCATGATCGGCGACCAGAGTCAGAGCTTCCATGATCTAAAGACGTCCCTTCCCTTCCCTTCTCATCCCCCGTGTACTCTCGGCACGCTCTGCACTTTCTTTGCCTTCTCTTATGCTGTGCAGAACTCTGCTGGGTAGCTTCTGTGCCACCGCGCTTGGATCCAGATCAGATAAGGCGTCCTACGCAGCAGTGAGGACTGTTTGCTGTTGACGTAACGCAGAACAGCGTTTAGCTGCTCACTGGTGGCGGTGTTCGCAGGTGCCTTACTGAAGACCTTCTTGATGATCGCTGTGGCGCTTTGAAAGTAGAGCGGTGGCATCGGGCTCCCGCCCAGCCAACCACTCGAAACACCCTGACTGAGGACACCGCCAGACCCGTTGTCTCCTCTTCCCAAGTAAGATGCGACGATGTTTTTTGTGTTTGCATCTGGGGCAAATGTGTGCGGCGTTCCAGATCCTCTAGAATCGCGTCGCTGAGGCTGTCAGAAATCCTTAGGTAGGCTGATCTGTTTCCAGTCGGGAGCGGAATACAGAATATTATGTAGGCATTGCCGAGCTAGAGTTTTGAGATGGTTAGGTCTGGATCATCGTGTGAATTTGAAGGATCAGTGACTTACCTATGAGGAATAATGATTGGCGGGATAACACGGATTGTTGTCGTGATATGCCTAGGGTTGATTAAGTCTACTTCGATACGCTGTGTAGGTGGTATAAAATGGCCTTAATCTAAACGTGTCAGGCTATTAAATGTTTCGTTATTTTACAATAACTGAATAAAGAAAATCGTGATGAGCGACGGCATCCTGTAGCCTTTTATATCCCCCTTAACAGTTTGCCTTCTACGCGTTTGCTCTTATTTATCACTTTATGTGCGGTTTGACATCCTAACCTCCTTTCTCTCTTGTACACCCTCTAGCTACATATCAAACCACGTCGCCTACACCCACCAGCTATTTTCCCGGTAGTTACAAGCGGAGCAATACCAGACATACGTACGCGCTAGGCAGCTACGAAAGCGGATATATACAAGGGCGACAAAACACTTCATAAGGGTACGGAAGTAGGAATGTGAAGGGACGCAAGGTGGGTTGTGTGCCTATGGGTGCGGTGTTGGTTATAGGCTCGTGGCCTGCATCGGCACTGGCGTTGAAGACTTAGGCTTCCTAGACCACAACAGCAACAACAACACCACCACCCAAAAGCTCAACATAGTTTAATCTCTACTCTGCTCTCGCCATTTATTCATGGATACATACATACACACAAACACACGCAGAAACATCCTTACCAGCCATCACCGTCACCGTCACGATCGAGCGCGCTTCGTGGCCTAGGAGAAAAGACGCGCATGAGGAGTAGAGAGGAAACACGTTACGATTGTTTGTAGTGCGCGTGCGGTTGGAGACTTTCGCATCTGTATCTAGGGGCTAGGGTTTTGGCTAGACAAGGAGAGGTGCGTAGGGCCTGCTTGCGTGTGTAGCCGTCTCGCTGGCCAGCCAGCCAGCAGCTCGTGACGAAGAGGGCCTTGTTACTCATCCCAGCACATAAACCCATCCTACAAAACAAAACCACGGCCTAAAAGCCTCGTCTCCAGAACCGTATCGCCACTCCGTCAACCCCTTCCGCACCCACCCACGCCCACGCCAACCGGGTTCTTAGTTCAGATTAATCTGCAGGCCCAACGTCGCCGTCGTATCCACATGCCCGTACATGGGCTCGCCGCCTGCGTTGCCCACGTTCACGTACGTGTTCTCGGTGAAGACGCCCTGCTTGACGAGCGCGAGCAGCCAGTCCTTGATGTCGCCGGAGAAGGAGCCTTCGAACTGCGTGTCGGGCATCATGGTGCTCACCGTGATGCCTGTGTCGTCGTTCTTGCCTTGGTACAACTTCCATGACGTGCCGTACAGGTTCGTGATCGTGGCGACGGGGCCCGCGGCCCAGCCGATGGGGAGTTGACCTCCTGCCCCTGTAAGCGCAGGTATGTTAGTTTTAGTTCAACGGAAAAATAGAGAAATAGGGTCACGCAAAATTGATCCAAAGCATTAACTCCTGGCTGTCTGAGCTGGTGCTGTCGCCCTTCTTGTCGTTGGTCATGAAGTCGTAGACAATATTGCCCTTGTACGCGGTGGTGTTGGTACCTAAAACGTCAACCCAACGGCACAGCCGAACAACAACAACACAGCACGAAACTCACGGGTCCAATCATAAGTCGTAGGGATGGACTTAATATCCGAGATCTTGTTCTCCAAGTTCTGGGTCAAGCCGACAAACGAGTAGCCCTTGGGGACATTATCGGTAGCCTTGACGTAGTCGATGGCCCAAGTGCTGTTCCAGTTGACCTTGAGGTTGCCGTCCTTGCCGGTTTCGGTGCCAGTGTAGCCCGTGCAGGCGCTGCCGACGATCTGGCCGCTGTTGTACATCATGTTGAAGACAATCCAGGGCGTGCCAGTCAGGATCAGCGACTCGTTGGGCATGCCGCACAGGTTCGCGGGGCCCTGTTCTGCGGCGCGCGCGGCGAGGGACGAGAACGTGGGCATGGCACTGCCGGTCGCCGCCAGGGCGAGCATGGCTGCCGTTTGCTTGAACGAGGGCATCGTGGTTGGTGGTTGGTGGTGGGGTGGAACGAATGTGGCTCGAGTACTCAATACTCGTGGAGATATGAATTCAGAAACGGCGAGAAGACTGGGAAAGGCTTCCTACAGAACAGGGCTGAACTGGGGCACGCTCAAGCTTTATATTCACGCCTACCTGTAGTAAGGCACTCACGCACCCAGTCATCGAGGGGCAGGAGGCAGGGAGCCGGAGATTTGGTCGACTGGCAATAGGCGCAAAGGGTGGAGTAGCAATTAGATAGGCGGGACGATGAAACGGCGGATGTGCTGAGATAGATGATGTGAAAACAACCTTCTCCCTAATCAACGCGGGAGTGACGGCACGAGCACGGCCAGGAAAGAAGCTTAGTGAAACTGCGGAGGCCAAGACGATGCGATTTACTACTGTGCTGCAGGATTGGCCGGATGTCTCTGCTCTTGCGGCAGCCTGGCCGAGCATAAGGCCTGCCGCGTGCGTGCTGATTGCCCCTGGGGTGCAGGTGGGCGTGACATGGGGTGGATACGATAGATGATGACGACCGTGCTACAGGCAGCAGGTACCACAGCTATAATATAGATATAGGGTGAGCCGGCACGCCTATCCACTCAGGCGACGCGAGGTGGTGTGGGTTGAGGCGAGTGAGGCTGCGGAGGGCGAGTCGCTGACGTACGTGCGGACCCTGTCTGTCCTGGAGCTCCAGCTTCCACACTCTGACCTCAACCTCCAACCTCGTCCGTCCTCGTCCTGTACAACCCACACCACTTACCCCGCGCCGCCGCCGCTTGGCCATGAAGTAGCTGCTGCCCCAGCCTGCTGCACCATCATCGTCGCCATCCAGCCATGGGCTTCAACTTCAACATCTTCCGCATCCTGGGCGACCTGTCGCACGCCTCGTCGCAGCTCATCCTGATCGGTGTCATCCATTCCAATCAAAGCGCCGAAGGTGCGTACATAGCAGCTAGCTAGCACTCAACACCAACATCAACAGCAAGCTAACTGTTTCCTCTAGGCGTCTCCCTCCTCACCCAGCTCCTCTACCTCATCGTCTTCTGCGCCCGCTATGTTGACCTTTTCTGGACCCGCTTCTACGCCAACTGGCACATCTGGTGGAACTTTTGCCTGAAGATCTACTTCATCGCCACGACCGCATACACCGTCTTCATCATGGCGCGCGTCTTCTCGCGCACCCGCGAGCGCGAAAAGGCTATGAAGCTGGCCGTGTACGCGCTGGGCGGCAGCTTCGTCCTCACGCCCTTCACGACGTGGATCTTCTCGAGCGAGCGCGAGCCCTTTACTCTCTTCCAGGTAACACACTCACCAACCCCCCACAAACCCACCCCACGACCAACCAACCGATCAACCAACTAACCCCCCACCCGCACAGAACGTCTGGACCTTCTCCATAATCCTCGAATCCGTATGCGTTCTCCCACAGCTCCTCCTCCTGCGCCAAACCACGGTTCCCACAGTCCTCGACTCCTTCTACCTCACAACACTGGGCTCCTACCGCGCCTTCTACATTCTAAACTGGCTAGTGCGCGGCCTCGGCCCGGAGCACAACTTCGAGCCGATCCGCACGATCTTCGGCGTCATCCAGACGGCGCTATACGTCGACTTCGCGTGGGTATACTGGACGCGGCAGCGGGTCAAGCTGCGCGGGGGCGGCGTCGTCGACGGCGAGGACCTGCGCAAGGGCTGGCTGCTCGGGAAGGTGCTCAAGCTCGGTGGAGCAGGTGCTGGGGGTGGGGGTGTTGGACGCAGGAGCGTGGATACCGACGCGGACGGCTATGATGAGGAGGCTGCTGGTCAAAGAAATCCGCAGCGCGCGAACCGCTGGGGCGCCCGCGGCATCTCGGTTTCCGCTGACGAGGGCGTGCTAGGCCGCGATGCTGCGGCCGCGCAGCCGCTCACTGACCCCGCGGCGTTTGTGGACGACGACAGCGACGTCGGCATCGGTGGCGATGACGATGATGACGACGACGACGCGGGGAGGGTAGGGCGGCCGGGCTCGGCTGAGCGTGTGAGAGGTGCTGGGAGTGCTGCTGGTGGTGCTGGGGAAGTAGACGTGGGCGATGGGATTGATCAGTGGCGGGACGAGGGCGTGCGGAGGGGTGTATGAGGTTGAGGTCGAGTAGGTATATGAGTACGGTATGAACGCTTTTTGTGTTTGTTTGGTTGCCGTTTCTACGTTTTCGTGGGGGTGTGGGGGGTTCTGGTTTCTGGATTGGTTTTTGGCTGGTTTGGTCTGGTTGATACACGAATACGTATAGGTATAGGTATAGGTTAGGTTAAGTCAGGATAGATATACGCATGTATGTAAGGTATGTATGTATGTATGTATGGTTATGACATCGCCCGCGCCTCACTCCTCGCACACAACGCGCAACAAGCGAACTCAGTCGTGCACGTATGTTCATTGTGGCTGTGACTGTGACTATGGCTGTGACTACCTGGGTACTGTGTATGGCCAAGCACTACAGCTCACTACAACTCATCTCAACTCATCTCAACCTATCCTATCCTATCCCGCTATCGCTATCGTGAAGTGTGGTCAGGATGCTGCGTGCGTACAGTGCGGTGCGGTATGGTACGTACGTACGTCCTCGCCGCTGACAGGCTGGCACGAGAAGACGCTATCCAAACCGGCCTCGCATCAGCAGCAGAAAGCACCCAGAAGCAGCAGCACCATCGCCCTAAACCCTCTCTCCCCCACCACCACACCCTACAACAGGCCCTGCTTCTGCAAATCATAATACACCTTCTCAGGCATGACATTCCCCTCACCATCCTCCATCTGGACGACATTATCATTAGCGACGCGCTCGGCCTTCTTATCCGCCACAATCTTGGCCCACAGGCGCTGCGCCTCCTCAATCTGCGTAATCTCCCGGAACAGCGTCGTGTTGGTGATGCCCAGACACTTGAGGCCGTAAATATGGCGCGCCTCGTTGAAGTGCTTGTCGAAGGCGCGGCGGCCCATGTAGACAAAGTTGCCGCAGATCTGGCACGGGAACTCGACGCCCAGCCCGTGCAGCTTGTACAGCCAGTAGGGGATGGGCTTGCCGTCCCAGGCCAGCGGCAGCTTCAGCGGGTTGTAGATCTTGTCTTCGGCTTCATCGTCGTCGTCGGCGTTGGCGTCGCCCCCGCCCACTGCGCTCGGCTCTTCTCCTTCCGCGTACAATGCGTCCAGTTCCTGTTGGCGTTCCCGCTCCGTCATGCCCTGCTTGCGCTCGACGTTAACGCGCGTATCGTCCCGCTCGCTCTTCATGGCGCCTGCCAGCCGCGCGACGCGGAACTCGCGGTCCGCAATCGCGCGCTCCTTGAGGCGATGCGTCGACGCGGCCGCGCCGCCGTTGGCCGGTCGCTCCGTTGCTGCTTCGCCCGAGGCTGCCCGCTCCGCTGCTGCGCGCTTGTGCTTCTTGCCCGGCAGGTGGCTGTTGTACACGGCCTGCGACGCGAACTCGCGCTTGCAGTCCGGGCACCAGATGCCGGTGCCGTTGCCCTCTGCCGTCGACGCCGACGCTCCCTCCTCGCGCGCCTCCTCCTCCCATCCCTCGACCTTGTTGCTCTTCCACGCCTCGTCGTACTCCTTGCCGAACTGCTCAAAGAGCTTCTCCAGGTCCGTCAGCGGCCGTGTCCGCCGCATGAAGCTCTCTAGGTATTCGACCAGGTTGTTGAGGTACGAGAAGTACGCCTCGGTCATCTTGTCGGAGCGCTTGATCGGGCACTTGGGCGGCACAAACACGTCGAACACGTCCAGGTAGGAGAGGTAGCTGATGCGGCGGGTACCCTTGACGCCAGGCAGGTTCATGTACTCCTCGTGCAGGATCGTCAAGTCGAAGAAGCGGCCGTAGCCCTCCTCACCCGTAAACATGCCATCGATGTCGGGCGCAAACGGGTCCGTCTCGCCGACGGCGCGGCGCTTGTATGCGCGCTCGAGGTTCTCGACGCCCTCGTTCGGGTAGCGCTTGTGGAAGTCCTTGACCGTGTTGTATTCCTTGTAGAAGTGCTCGAAGGGGTCGCCCGTGCCGATGTCCTGGATCTCGCGCGCCCGGCTGCCATTCTTGTCCGCGTAGATGTCCAGCAGCCGCTCTGACTGCGTCTGGATCCGCGTCAGGAAGTTCGATACCGTGTGGTCGCGGGCCAGGCGCTCGCGGATCTTCTCGTACTATGGTGTTAGTCTGAACGGCTTCTGCGGGGGAGCAAACACTACGGGGTCCGGGGCGGAGAACACACGTTCTTAGGGTCCTCGAGCGAGCGCTCAGCAATAGCCTGCTCGAGGCGCTCGAGGTCCTCATGGAGGAACCTCTGGTCTTCGAGGATCATAATGAGCGACCGAACGGCTGCGCGCAAGGTGAGTTTCCGGTAGGCTGCTCACTAAGACTGGGGTGGAGGAATTGGTTGTCGGGGAGCTGCAAGCCCGCGGCGGATTGGGCGTTGCGCGCTGAGCTGAGGTGCGGTGCGGTGCGAAAGCGGGCGAGAGATGGTTGGAGCGAGCTTGCGTAGGTGAGGCGCGAAACTGCTTGAGCCGCGTCCAAGTGTGCCAAGAGTTGGGCGCTCGGGCCAGCGTGTCCGCGCTCGAGCAAACTCCCTTCCGTTCAAAACACCGTTGATGTGCGGAAACAGTAGCAAGAGCTTGGAAGTTGGGCATACAAAGAGTCTGCGCAGCAGTTTTAGCGGCCTTTCTCACATAACGGACACATGTTAAACAGCCTGCGATGGTGTTGATGGGACAAGGTTATCCGACGCCTCGTGCAAGCATCTATCATCGCACCACTCCCTTAAAAAGCACCATGACGACGGAATCAGCAAGACAGCAAGATCAAGATGGCTGATGAGCACAGCGCAGTCGAATGGACCCGCTCAGTTGTGTGTGGCACAGAGCTCCAAGCAGCTGGATACAATTCCGCCCTGGAGCTAATGTATTTCCTCTGTAGTCCCCGTCGCGCCTTACCACTACTCAGTCCGACCTCTATCCGCTTCTCATCTGACATCTACTGAGGTCTGAACAAGTTCATGGCACAGCACAACAAAAACAGGCATGACTGCTTGGGGTCTCCAAGAACGTCACACCCGCACCCCATGTACCTCCAGAAAACCTGCATCACGGCATGCTGCGTGCTACCAACGCGACTATGTTGGCTTGACTGGGCGTTGGAGCAGGACTGAAAGCCGGTATTTGCTCAAGCTTCTGAGTCTTGACTCGCTGCTTCCATGCGCAGAGAAACTTGGCCATGTCGCGGCACTGGCACTCCTATCCCACAGCGGTGCTGTTCCACGTCGATGCATCTACACCCAGTCCTACTGCATTCGCCATTCAAGGGGCACGAGGGATAACTAGGAGTATGGCGCGCGCTTGTTGAGGCGGTGTAAGAGGGCGTCGTGTGAATATTGGCTCGAACGATTACAGGGTAAAGGACCTAGACTTTGGAGGATCTGGAGGCTGAGCGAGCGCAAGAAATTTCAAGGAGGTCGACTGGCAGCGCCGGCGTCTTGAGAGTCAATCAGGTAGGTGGATCGTGCTGTGGCTATGTTTGCGCGATGTGAGGGTGCGCTCGTGTTGTTGGCGCGTGCAGCTTGACCTGCACCATAGCTGAAGAGGGATGATGACGTCCAGCGGTGTAGAGAGAGGGATGTACTGCTCGAAGTAAGCGTGCAAACACATCTCAAGTCTCTTTTAGAAGTGCCGAGACAATTGCTCGCTCCCTGAAACTGAAACGGAATATCATACTGTGGCGATGCTGAAGTGTGATTGCAACAGACCCCCTAGTTATCCACTCGTCCAAGCAACACGATGCGAAGATCGCTCCTATTGCCCCTAGCAAAGAAGCATAAGAAGACGCCATCGCAGATCCTACTGTGTTAGGCCCCCAGAAGGGAGCCGGTCTTGATTTTGACTCAAGGCCGCACGACGCGATCGCAACCCTGGCATTTCAGGGTCAACGCTAAAATGCTTTTTGGGGATTCATGCCACTGTCAAAGTCGAACCATAAATCCCGCATGAGAACGCCGCTATTTCGACTTTGGGCTCAAGTACGTGCAGACTGCAGAGCCTAGTCATGGGGTAAGCCGTGCACTTGCCGAAGTTCCTGGGACAGAAGTTTTAGCCTGGTCTCTCCCGGTACCGACAGGACTGATTTGCTCAGGCTTCAGACGGGTGGCAAGGTCATTGACCACTGTCGGTCCAGAGTGGGGTTTGCATAGCCGCTGATAGTGAGACATGGCATCAAGTAGATGATAGAAACGCGGCAATCACATGCAGACCGGAAATTCCCACTGCCGACGAAGACGTGTGGCAATAAATCAACATGGTTAGGGAATGATGGGCTGAGTGGCCGGAATGGTCGCGATTCCGGAGTTGCGTAGGCTCCCATAAAAGAGGATGACAAAACAGTATGCGCGGTCCCGTGGCTCACGCGTTGGCTCTTTCTTGGTTGTCCACGCGGCGAGTGACTGGTCCGGCGACGAGGCTACGTTCGGTATCGCCAACTGCCTAGTACGGAGGGAGTCTAGTTGCCGCGGAACAAATCTGTGGCTGTTGCCGGTGCCGCGTAAGTGGATGGCGTATGCCACGAATGGGTGCGCGGGAATAAAGCAATTCGGGCGCAGGCGGTCCAGATCACAGGAGAAAGTCGCGCAGACGAAGGCGCAGAAGGATCAGTAGTAGGACAAGCAGATTAACATTTCCAGATGCTGCGCGAAATCGAGGAGAGGAAAGAAGGCGAGGCCGATCGCCGTTGGGCGGCTTGTCGGACACCCTGCCAAGAGGTGCGTTGGAAAGCTTGGCAAAAGCTTGTCTGGTAATGCGGATTGGGCCGCGCGTCTCTGCGCCGGAGCTCGGGCAGAGGAAGGCAGCAGTGGGGTTGTCGACGGGTTGACGTGCTCGAAGGGTCGTGGTTCAGGTGGGTATGTCTTGGATGACAGTTGCGAGCGTTAGAAGATGTGCGAGTGTTCGGAGTACGAGTAGGACAAGAGCGTGACTTCGTGTTCGGGTCTGACGGCTCACGCAGCTTGGATTGGCGCCGAGCGTCGACGGCAGGATTGACGGCCCCATAGATCGCACGTCATCACTGCCGCTAGGCCGCTCACCAGGCCGACGACGAGCGGCCGCCTCGCGGCCTCGCGGCCTCGCGGCCTCGGTGTCGGCCCCAACCGTGGACGGGAGTCGCTGCGGTCGGCAAGGCAGTACTCTCATTCCTTCCAGCTCCAGATTGCCCGGTCACGGAAGGCTGTCTCACGAGAGGCGTTGCGTTGGACAGCGCTGATGAGCCGTCGTCTCATCCGCGGCCATCGTGCTGGCCCCTCCGCGCGGCCGACATGACATCCCTGACGCAGCAAGCTGGCCGCCGGGCGCTCGGTCGCCTTTCCCCATGGATCAATATCTTCCTGTCCTTCCCCAGCCGCCCGCTTCTCGCCCTTCCACAACCGGCAACTCCTCACGCGAACATCTCGCCCTTTCGCCCTGGCTCTCCTTCAATCGCCTTTTCCGTACCATGCCCCTGCGCTCCTAAGCTTCTCAGCCTCAACCTTTTCCAACAACTACTACAATGTCCGCCTCTGTCCGTTTATCGCTCTTGGTGGTTGCGTTGCTCGCCCTGCTGGCCTCGGTGCACGCTTTCCCGACAGTCCAGAAAAGAGACGCCGACTTCCTCAGCGTGCGCCTAAAGAACAAGGTCGATCACAGCGGCAAAGGCGGTGATCCCGTGGACAAGTATTTCCACGAGTCTACAGTGAGTTGCTTTCTGCTCTTCTTGCTCCACGTTGCTGACAGATTGCCTCCAGTTCCATCCCCACTATGACGGACGCTTCGCCGAGACCACGCTTCCCTATGACGACCGCCTCTCCAACCTGACCATGCTCGTCCAGACATACCTTTCCACCATGCGCGACATTGGCGCTGAGACTTGGATCATGCACGGCTCTCTGCTGGGCTGGTGGTGGAACCGCAAGATCATGCCCTGGGACACGGACATTGACGTGCAGATATCGGAGCAGTCGATGCATTTCCTGGCCTCGTACTACAACATGACGGTGCACCACTTCACCATTCCCGGCACCGAGGAGAGCCGGGACTACATGATCGAGGTCAACCCGCATTACAAGAATGACTCCATCACCGACAAGCTCAACGTCATCGATGCGCGCTGGATCGACACCGAGACGGGCTTGTTCATCGACATTACCACCGTCCGCCACGACAAGATCAAGGAAGAAAACGGCGAGCCGGGTTGGATGTATTGCAAGGACAAGCACCACTTCAAGTTTGACGACATCTTCCCTCTGCGCGACAGCACGTTTGAGAATGTGCCGGTCAAGATCCCGTACGCTTATACGGCGTTGCTGGAGGAGGAGTACGGCCCCAGGGCCTTGACCAAGACACGCTACGAAGGTCACCGGTTCGACCAAGAAGAGATGAAGTGGCTTCCGCTCAGGTAAGGCTGAAATGAATGAGGATATGTGGCAGTTGCTAATTGACTGAGCAGGTCTTACTGTGCTGAGCACAAGAACGAGTGCAGGACAGGCACACACCAGGAAGGCGGGGATTGAGTCCGGAGCAATCTCCCCGATCTTCGCATTCCAAGATCCTTGGTGGGACAGCCAAGCGATTCGTCTCCACAAGCTCCACCGCCTGCAGCCGCGACATCCGAGACGCGCAGCTCGTCAGCCTCGCCGCATCACCCAGCCCGCATCATCTTCAGCCCGCAGTATCTCCCAGCCACGCATCAAGGGTCGCGCGGCACGGCGTGCAACTTGGCAACGACTGCAGAGTACAAGGCGAGATGGAGCTTGAGAATACACCGCCCTGGTCCGTTGGGTTCGGCAGCTTTCCGGCTTGCCCGGCATTTCACGGAGACAAGAAGGACGTCACGCGAGCACTAACATTTTGGTGCAATTGGCATTTCTTGGCGCAATTTTTGTCCTGCATGGATGCGCAAGTTCAGTCGTTTGGCATTGATGGAGTTGTGGTTAATGTGGCGTTGGGTTGGGTGGCATAAGCATGTGCTTTTTCTTACGTCTTTTTGTTCAGCAGCATTGTTTCCTTGTCCTTGTCTAGCAGCTCCGCCCGTAGCACAGATACCCCACGGGCTTTTACTTATGTAGGAGTACGAAGTATATACTGAACGAACTATGCGTGCTCGTTGCTTGGCTTGATGATCTGCTTCGTTTCTATGGATTGTCCCCGCGGGCCCGGGGCACGTGTCTGTCCCGGATCCCAACTTGTTGGGCTGACGACCCGTTGACCGTGAGGCTGGTACAATTGTCGTGGCCGCTTACGGCTTTTGGGCAAACTTCGTCTGCGCATGTGTGGGAGCGTGAGCGTAGGAGCTGTACCTAGCGTCGAATGAAGTGATGAATGTGAATGATGGGCGAGGTACGGTATCTGGACCCCGGATCTGCGGTCAGATGCTATCGTCATGCATTTGATCCTCGATAACTATTCCAGCTACAAACATCAACAGCCACCAACACCTAAGCTTACCTTTCTCAGCCGAAATCTCAGGCTCGCGTGCCATTGAAGCCCAGATCGCCCAGCATGAGCGCGCCCAAAGACTTCAAGCCCGCACTCATCGTCGTCGACGTCCAAGAGGACTTCTGCCCACCCGTGCGTACCGACCTAGGCAAGCAGCATCAGCACGCAACACACACACTCACGACACGCAGAACGGCGCGCTAGCAGTGCCCGACGGGCGAGCCATCCTCCCCACAATCAACGCGCTCCTAGGCCTACCCTTCGTGCTAAAAATCGCCTCCGCAGACGCCCACCCCGCCAACCACGTCTCCTTCGCCGCGAACCACCCCGCGCCCGCCAACGAGCCCTTCGTCTCGACCGCGCTGCTCGCCAACCCCGCCAACCCGGCCGAGACGGCGCGCACGCGGCTGTGGCCGGTGCACTGCGTGGCGGGCACGGCGGGGGCAGCGCTGGTGCCGGACCTGGATACGCGGGCGCTCGACGCCGTCGTCCGGAAAGGCCAGGATCCGGACGTCGAGATGTATAGCGCTTTTGGGGCGGCGTGGCGGGAGCCGAGGGCTGGAAGGACGGAGTTGGCGCGGTTGTTGAGGGAAAGAAATGTGTCGCATGTTTTTGTGACGGGGCTTGCGCTGGATTATTGCGTTAGGTGTACGGCGGTGGATGCGAGTGAGGAGGGGTTTGTGACGCTGGTTGTGAGGGAGGGGACGAGGGCTGTGGAGGGGGACAAGGCCGGGGAGGTGGAGAGGGAGTTGGAGGGATTGGGGGTTAGGATGGTGAGTATGGAGGGCGAGGAGGTGGGATGGGTAAAGGCGATGGCGGCGGCGGCGGCATGAGATGGAAGGCCAAAATGGAGGCCGAGGCAGAGAGGCAGCCCTGTGGAGCAGAGGGAGCCAAATTAGGCAGGCGGGCCGTGCCGGTCAGAGAAAAAGCGTCGTTGGTCCCCGAAGCGGCGTCGCCAGTGTGAAGATGATTGCCCACTCCGTATCGTGCACGTGCAGACGAGACTATTTATAGCGCGGGGGACGAAGCGTGCGACGCGGGCATCAAATGGCAGAGCGGCGATGATGCACCACCTTCTCAGTCAGCGACAATGCGCCAGCCCGGACGCTCTCTGCGCCTCGAGTTCTTGTCCTCGACAGCCATGCCGCGATAAACTATGGACCGCGCATATCTAGATTCCGACGACGAGGACCTCTACACCGAGCCCACCCTCATCCGTCAAGCCCGCCGTCCCACCGTCGACAGCAACGACAACAACAACAACAATGTCCGCCGACAGTCCCTCTCGCCCTCGCCACGTTCCACCCACACTGCCACGACGGCTCACAGCACTGCCTCGACCACCCTCTCTGCCCTGGCCGCAACCCAAGCAAAGGACAGGCCTGCCTCGGCTCGTGCCCCGCAGCAGCAACACCATGCCCGCCCCAAGATGACCATCCTGGACCTCGTCTCCGACTCCGTCACCTCGTCGGCCCTGCCCCAGCCCTTTGGCTTCTCCATATCGCGCAAGGGCCGCGTCGTCGCCATCTTCAGCACCAAGAACATATGGCTGGTCCAGGCCCACCGCCTGCCGCGCATCTTCATGCGTACCCTCGGCGTCCGGCGCAAGCCCGTCGCCGTCGACGTCCTGGACGATGGCACTCTACTGGCTGTGCTCACCACGCCGCACAAGGTCGATCTATACAGGCTGGAGGGCGGCGACACGCCGGGGCCGGAGAAGCTGAAGAGCGTTATCCTGACCGTCGACGCCAGCACCATCGCTCTCTCCCCAGATGGGCGGGTCCTTGCCTGCGGTTACCACTACGGCATTGAGCTCATATCGCTGGTCAAGAAAGCCACGGATTCTGACCGGCGCTCTGTGAATTGCGCCCCCATGGACCACCTGTCGTTCTCGGACGACGGGCGCACGCTTCTGGCGACGACATCGGCGCGCCTGCCGCGGCCGACGACCGTCTTCTCCGTGCACGGCGCGTTCGACGGGCCGTTTACGGAAGAGGGCGAGCTCATCACCCAGGACGTCGACGTCGCTTGGACCAGGCAGATCCTCTTTCCCGAAAAGGCAATGACGGCAAAACAAGCAATGCTGCTCCCGGACTCGACCACGGGCCAGGTCAACGAGCTTTTTGCTTTCGATGCCGAGGAGGACTCGTGGGGGATTTACGATCTGGCTGGCACGCATTTCGCAGAGACGAAGCTCAACCCACCCGACACGGGCCGTTATATGCGGGCCGAGCTGTTGGAAGACGCGCTTCCCACCGTGTCGCCGACGGCCGACCACGTCGCTATAGCGATCAAGCACCAGGGGAACAATGCCATTTGGCTGTACAGGTTGCCTGATAGCTTCGAGTCTGACCATCTGGCGTACACGAGCCCGGAGAAGCACACGATGGAGCAGTCGCCTCTTTTGCCGTGCGCTTGTGTGTCTGTAGAGCGGGACGAAGATAGTTCTTCTCAGGACATTACAGCTCTTTGCTGGGTCGACGGCCCTGAATCAGGGGCGGAGCGATTGTTGGCTGCGGGCAACGTCGTCTCGAGCACGACGCCGGATACCCCGATCATGCCGGGTGATACTTCAAAGACCAGCGGTTTGTTGGTCGTCATGGACTTTGATTTTAGACAAAAGTCAGATGCCTCAGAAGAGCCGGAAAAGATGACTATTAATTTGGATGAGACGCTGCCGGCGGAGGTGCTGCCGGAAGAAGATATTGACTTTGATAGGGAGGTGGAGTTGGTAAGGACTAGAACGGTGGCCCAGAGGAGGGACGAGGCAAGTAGGGCTGTCGCGCGGAATAGCTTGCTGCGTTCGTCTACTACCAACCAGCAGCACAACCAGCAGTCGAGCTCGAGGGACGCGCCGCGGAGTCCGAGCAGTCCGGAGGATGACACGCAGATACTGTTCGAGGAGCCATACTCGCACGGCCAGCCTCGGTCGTACGCATCTCTGAACCGCGCCGCGACGGTCGGAGCCGCAGCGCCGGTAAACCGCAGGCATCTGCGCGCCCTGCCCAACGAGCCTCTGCCCTATCGCCGCGCCGACGGCCTGCGCGAGATCCCCCACGAAAGCGACGCCGACAACTGGGTGCCGCCGCCTCCCCCGTACACGGCCAAGGCGGACCAGGGCGTCAGCATCAGCCTCACTGGCCCGCCTGCCGGCTTCAACCTCTCGGGTCATCCCTCGCCCCCGGCGCAACATTCGTCGCTGCCGCGCCTGCGGATCCCGGTCGCGCCTCCCGTCACGGCGGCGACTATCTTCCCGCACTCGGCGCCCGCGCAGCGCGACCCAGAGCCGCAGTTGGCCATCCCAGGCCCGTCCGCGCCGATGATGATGATGCCGCAGCCACAACAGCATCAACAACAACAACAGCCCCAACAGCAGCAGCAACCACAAGTCCGCACAGGCTCCTACAACCGCTTCTCCCACCCTCCCGGCCACGGCACCGCCCGCCCCGCCACCGCGCGCCACAACACCAACCCTGACCGGCCGTCGACGTCGCCCCCGCCCTCACAGCAGCACTTCTTCCATCCGCAGGCCATGTACATCGCCTCTGCGCCCGTGCTGGCGCACCCCTTCGCGCAAGAGCCCTCGGCCTACGAGGCCGCGCAGGCAATGCTCCCACACCTCCAGCAGCAGCAGCACGTCTCGGCGCCACCAGTAGTGCCCGGCCGCGCTTACGCGCACCACACGTACCCCTCCGCGTCGTTGTCGGCGCCGTCGGCGTCGTCCCGCTCCCGCCCCCAGCAGCGCTCTCCGCGCCCTTCGCTCCGGACCCGTAGGGATAGCGTGCCCACGCCGCCGCCGCCGCCGCCGCCGCCACCGCCTCATCCTCCGGCGCGCTCGTCGACGCTGGGGCTAGGGAGCTTGGGTGCGGGTATGGGCATGAGCATGGGAGTGAACAGGCGCGCGGCGCAGAGCGCAGACGACTTGAGGCGGCCTCCTGGTGGGGGTGGGGGGAGGAAGCGGTGGCGGGAACGGCCGCGGATGGGGCTGAGTCGGTTGGCTACTATTCGGAGCGCGAATAGTGGGAACGGAGTTGGGAGAGAGGGAAGGAGGATGAGCGCGCCGGATTTGTTGGATTCCTGTGGTGGTGTGGGTGGGGGTGCGGGTGCGGGTGCGGGTGTGGGCGGGGGTGGGAGAAGGTGCATCGTTATGTGATGGGGTGGCTTGTGGTGGGTTGTGTGGTGGGAGGGGATGAGGGGGGGTTGTGAGGGGGGAGCGGTAGGTGATCGAGGTGAGGAAGCGCATATACATGTTCTTAACTACCTATCTATCTGGGAGGTATTTTTATTTCATATATATACGCATACCTTCATGCATACATGCATGTATATTTGCTTGGGCGTGTGCACCGCCGGGTGTGTGTGTGTGTGGTTCGGTTGGGTAGTATAGGTAGTGAAGTCAAGCGCACCCACCCACCGATCCAGCCAGACAATCAGTCCCCCCATCTTCATCTCCATCTCCATCTTCATGGTGAGAAACGACCTGTGTATTTAGGGAGGGAAGTCGGCGCTACTGTACAGTAAGCCCCGCGCGCCGCGGCCAGTTGGTCGCTCTTGGGGTCTGCTGGTCGGCTGGTCGGCTGGGTTGTGGGGTTGGGGGCACTGTGCTGGACGGAGGATTGGAGGTTGTGTGGGTGGGGAGAATATAGCAAAATAAGATAAGATAGACGGGACTTGGGTTTGGGTTTGGTTTGGTTTTGTGTTTGTGTGGTACGTGTAGGTAGGTGATGTTGGGTAGGTGGCTGTTTGGTTGTTTAGTCGGGGGAATGCCATTGCTTGCTTGCTTGCTGAGACTATGTACGCTACCTATGTGATTGAAGTGGGGAAGTGTCACTATCGCTGCTCTGCTGGGTACTGATGGATGGATGGATGGATGGATGGATGGAGTGTGTGAATGAGTGAGTGAGTGAGTGATTGGAAAAGGGAGAAAGGAAATTGGAATCGGAATTGGTGTTGGGTGCGCTGTAAGTGGTTTGTGGTTTGCTATGGAGGGAGTGTGGTGGGGAGAGATGGAAAGAGAAAGAGGGAGAGAGAGAGAGAGAGAGAGAGAGAGAGAGAGAGAGAGAGAGAGAGAGAGTGTGTGTGTGTGTGTGTGTGTGTGAGTGAGAGAGACAAGACGTAGTTTTGTGCGGGATGGGATGGGATGAGCGTGTTATGCAAGTGCAGATAGGTGGGTAGGTGGGTAGGTGGGGATGGAGTTGTGGAGTTGTCTAGCTTAAGATAATGGCTGCTCGATTCGACTACCGTGGTTGAAAAGCCAACCGTGTACAAAGAAGCATACAATAATCAGTTACCTAGCAAACTATTCAGAGGTGTAAAGAAGGTCACTAGATACCGGCATTTCAATCAGTATGGCGATCTGATTGGTTTATCACACTCAATTAGACTAGCCGAAAAACATAACTACTGATACATGGAGAGAAAGAAAAAGAAAAACGCATGCTTTCAGACAGTAACATGTGAGCTACGGCTTGGTATGGGGACACCATTTGAAGAAGTTTCCATCAGCACCGCGGTGGGTTATGACGCCGCAGTAATCAATCCGTGTTTGCCCATTTCCTTCTGTCCTGAGCATGAGAACGCGGTCGTAGCCAGGCTGAGTACCATCCGTCCAAGGACCAGGTTTCTTAATCGGAAACTCAATCAATTTGGATCCAGCGTTGACAGCATCCTTGCATTCTTTTGGAAGGTTTTTGAAAACGTCGGTGTCGTGGGAGCCGTAATTCTTGGGAAATTTGTTATTTCCGAAGGACCATTCTATCGTTCGTCGCTAGTAAGTATATACCAATTTGAAGAGCAATAATAGTTGCGGGCTTAGAGGTCTCTTACGTTCTCCATTTTTGGACATCTTTTTGCCTTTGGTGAAGGCACGGTCAATTTCTTTTTTGTCATAGGAAACACCGTTTCCGCATTCGACAGGCAGCCTTGGTACGAGCTCAATAGCATCATCCCTGCGGACCAGGGCCGCGTTGGAGGTAATGCCACCCGGAGCAGCCGGGATAACCACACAGCTCGCCTGAGCAGCAGCTAGAAAGGATAGGGCAAGGATCTTGACGAAATACATTTCGAAAGTTGCGAAGTCTGGTACTCTGATCGGAAAGTTGAAGGCACTGGCTTGCTTGCTGTTAATCTAAGAGATCACTGACCTTACTTATAGACAACGCCAGCAGCAGCATTCCATCCTGCTGACCCTCGCCCTCTTTCGATCCGTTTTCCCTTTTTGTCCAATTGTTATGGTGGTGGTCTGTTGCCTGAGGCAGGCAACTGGATCGACGTTACGCAGTCGCTGAACCTTGCCTCGTGCACTGGCAGCCAAGTCCCGAGAGTATGCCAGGTCCTACGACAGGGGCGCGAGCTGAAACGGAACTCAACATACCTTATGACAGCGTATGCGGCTCTCCATCCCTTAGCCAAGCAGCACATCGACCGGCAACCCATCCTTTCCTCTCACCCACCCACCCACGCACAAACCCGTCCTCCCCTCCAACAAAACAAAGACAACAACATCACCATGGCCGCCGCTTGGGCAACAACCAAACTCGCCACGCCAAACCTGGCCATCGAGCCCGAAGACCGCAAAGTGGTCACGACGCTGGAAGCACTGCTCTCGCAGGCCCTCACCCCCCATGAAGCAGCCACCTCGCTAGCCACGGCGTACGAGCCGCGCCTCCAAAGCGGCCAGACCGACACCTGCACGCTGTGGTCCATCTACTGCGACGCGATCGCTACGTTCGGACACGACGAGGCCTGCCTCGCCCGCCTCGTCGACACGCTCCTGTGTCTCGGCAAGCTGCCTGACGTGCGCGATGGCGCTGGCAACCCCGTCGTGTGGAATGGCAGTGTCTTCTGGCGCGATGTGCCGGACTTTACGTTTTGGATGAGCGAGAGCATCGCTAGTAAGTCTCCCACTTTCCTTCCTTCATTTCTTCCATCCACCTGTGCTGCGCCGCAGGGTCCGTGTAGCGCTGACAGTGGTTCTTTTAAGGCCCGCCCTTCATGCCCAGAAACATACCTCCGGCCAAACGGGACACCGCGCGCGAGCACCGTCTCGCCATGAACTACGCGCACGGCACCACGTTCGCGGCGCGGTACCTGGCGGCGCTGGACCGAGAAGAATATGAGGATGAGGGAGAGGCACGCAGCCGCAGAGTGCGCGACGGCATGCGCGAGCTAGCACGAGAAGCACTACAGGCAGCGTTTGGGCCGGGCCAAGGCATCGAGGCAGACGTGCAGGAAGCGCGCGTGCTGGTGCCGGCAGCTGCGACGTGGATGCTGGTGGCCGGGCGGAGCCTGTACATGGCGTGCCGAGAGCGGTTCACGGACACGGGGCGCAGAGAGGGGTTTTCGTTGGATGGGTGGGCCAGGTGGAAGACGGCGTTTGCGGGTGTGGAAGAGGATGCTGGGCTGGTGCGAGTGGCGGGGGCTGCGGTTGCCGAGATGAAAACACTGGAGCAGGAATGCTAGCTAGCTAGGTTTGGGCTGCATGTGCTGTTTGGCCAGTAGTGGATTCGTTGGGTAAGAAAGAATAGTTTGCCTTCATCTTTGCATTGCTGGTATGCCGTCGCCTTGCGGATGTGCAACGAAGGAAGTTCGATCTCCGACCGTCGAGGTAGCTGAAACCATTGTTAGACGTGAAGATTGTGGAGGCGCACCACGCGGCTGTTCTGGAGGACGTCGTAGCGGCAAACAGTTGACTTTGCACTCATCTATCTTCGTCTGTTCCACACGGAGCGGCTCCACGGCTGGAACAGCGGGGAGTGGCGTGCTAACTACCCTCCTCCTTCTGCGCTGGCACCTTTTCTCAGCAGCACTGAGCAATCAGCTTATCGGTCTCGCCGCCTTCGTCTTCACCCCGCTGTGCATTGGCGGCGGGCATTGACAAAGCGGTTGGATCTGGACAACGAGACCGTGTAGACTGTTCGGCGGGGTAGGTTCCCGTCGGCCCCGCGCCCCGTTTGCCGTCCGGGCCGCTCCCGCACCTCCAGGTAATCTATCCCCTCCACGACCCTACGACCGTCCGTCCGTCTTTCTCTCCTCACCCCGTCGCTCTCGCCTCCGAATCTCACCTCGTTCTCTCCCCACCGCCCGGCCGGACGCCCCTGCTCGCTGCACCTAATTCCCGTCTAGTGAGCGCCGTACTCGCCGTCTCGGTCTGGAGGCGAACTCCGCCGCCCGATTGATCTCTCTCTCTCTCCACTATGGTCTTTCTCTCGTGAAGCGGCGTGGCGTGGTTTGGGGTTTGCGGGGGCCGGAATGATCTGGAGAGACTACTGCACTCTGCTTCGCTGGTGTGCGCGCGGCTTACCCCGCAGCTGCTACTGCTGCGCTGGCGTTGGACGGTGGCGTGTAGGTGGTGGCGATGGAGTGGTACGACATGGAGCTACCGCTGCTGCTTCTGCTGCTGATGCTTATGGTTGCGGTCATGGGGGAGAGATGGTATGCAAGGGAGGATACGATACGATGTGATGGGAGAGGGGGAGCGTATAAAAGGTGGATGCGAAGTAGGTAGGTATGCTTCTGTTGCTTTCTGTATCAGTCTGTCGTTTTGGCTCGTTCTGGCTCAGCCTTGCTCGTTCGTTCTAGCTCGCTACTATGCATTGTCTGTCTCTCGTAGGCGGGCTCGCCGTCTTCGCGACCATCCTCCCCCTTCAACTCATCCATGCGTCGCCCCTCCCACTACCGCCTCTCCCCCGGGACACCAACACCACCACCCCCTCGCAGCAGCAGCAGCAACAGCAATGCCGCCGCACGCGCGTAGCCATCCTCGGCGCCGGCGTCGCAGGCATTACAGCCGCGCAAGCCCTCTCCAACGCCTCAATCACCGACTTCCTGCTGCTCGAGCACCGCCCCACCATCGGCGGCCGCGTCACGCACGCCCCCTTCGGGCGCAACCCCGCCGCCAACGGGACGCCGTACGTGGTCGAGCTGGGCGCGAACTGGGTCGAGGGCGCCGGGCCCGCGAACCCCATCTGGCAGCTCGCGCGGAAATGGAACGTGAGTACCGCGTACACGGACTACAGCTCTGTGCGGACGTACGACGGGGGCGGGGCGGCGGACTTCACGGACCTGATGGCGGAGTATGAGGACGCGTATGACGCGGCTGCGCGGGACGCTGGAGAAGTGTTGCTCGAAGGCCTGCACGACAGCAGCATGCGCACCGCGCTGGCGATGGCGGGCTGGGCGCCGGCGCCCCACGACCAGCGCCGCCAAGCCGTCGAGTACTGGAAGTGGGACTGGGAAGCGGCGGCGACGCCGGGGGCATCGAGCGCGGCGTTCGGGGTGGCGGGGGGAAACGCAACCTTCAACCTCCTCGGCGCAGACAGCCATTTCGTAGTGGACCAGCGGGGATTCCGCTCGTTCGTGGAGGGCGAAGCAAGCACGTTTCTCGCCGCGAACGACTCGCGCCTCCTGCTCAACACGACCGTCACTGAGATCGCGTACACCGACGCGGACGTCACGGTCACGGCCGCCGACGGCTCTTGCGTGCGCGCCGAGCACGCGCTCTGCACCTTCGCGCTCGGCGTGCTGCAGCAGCAGACCGCGAGCGGCGCGCTGAGGTTCTCGCCGCCGCTGCCGGCCTGGAAACGGCAGGCCATCCACGCCTTCGACATGGGCACGTACACCAAACTCTTCCTTCAATTCAACACCTCTTTCTGGGACGACGAGACCCAGTTCCACATCTACGCGTCCCCCCACTCCCGCGGGGACTACGCCGTCTGGCAATCCCTCGCCCTGCCCTCGATGCTGGGCGCCGCGTCGCACGTCCTCGTCGCCACGCTCACGGGCGCGCAGGCGCTGCGCGCAGAGGCGCAGACGGACGCCGAAGCGATGGCCGACGCGCTCGAGGCCCTACGCACCATGTTCCCGACCAAACACGTCCCGCAGCCCACCGCGTTCATGTTTCCCCGCTGGAACGCGTACGAGTGGGCGCGCGGCAGCTACTCGAACTGGCCGGTCGGGACGACGTTAAGGGAGCACGAGAACCTCCGCGCGAATGTGGGAAGGTTGGGCTGGGCGGGGGAGGCCGGGTCGGCGCAGTGGTTTGGCTTTTTGCAGGGGGCGTGGTTTGAGGGAAGGGAAGCGGGGGAGAGGATTGTGAGGTTGTTGGCTGCGGAGGAGGAGGTGGGTGGGAAGAAGGAAGCCGATATGGTTAGGTATGAGGTTTTGCGGGAGGGGGCGGGGCGCGATGATCTTGTTGTTGGGAATGGGTGGTGGGGCGGGGCGGACGTGGTGACGGGTGCGGGGGAGGGGGAGGGGGAGGGGGATAAGGTGTAGGTCAGTAGGTAGGTTTGTAGGTGGGGTGGGGTGGGGTGTTTTTGTGTTTGTTTGTTTGTTTGTTTGTTTGTGTATGCTTGATTGCACGTGTGATGTAGATACGAAGGCACGAAATCACGTTTGTTTTCTTGAATGATTTGGTTTGGTTTCGTTTGGGTTTGAATGCATGGATTGGATTGGGTTGGGTTGGATGTCAGCACACCTGTCATTCATCTGCCTGCCTGTATATGTCCGTGAGCTTTCTGTCAGCCTGTCCGTCCGTCTGCCTGGTGCCGTGGCCTCCATGCATGTATCCATCATGCAGGACTCATAGCCCCAGCCTCAATGTCAACCGTCATCCGTCATCCGTCATCCGTCTCTGCTCTGCCCCCGGACCTGAAATCTTCTCGCAGACGCCGATGCCAGCAGCTAGAGCCGACAGTGAGGACCCTTAATGAAGCAAGCAAGCAAGCAAGCAGCCCGCAAAGAAAAAATGACAAAGAAAGTGTGCATGTGTGTGTGTGTATCCAGTGCTGTGTCGTGGGTGAAAGGGAAACCAAATTGTTGTTTTGTTTTGTCCGCTGATAGACAAAGGGAAGAAGTTGGTGAGCTGACTGATCTGATCCAAGCCATATGTAGTGCTTGTGTCGCGCAATGCTGATGGGGTGTGCTGGGGTGTCTGGACATTGGTGTGCAGGTGAGATCGCTGTCTGGTTGAGTTTGCTAGGTGTGGGATTGTGTCAGACTCGTGAGCTGGTAGAAAGTCGAGCAGATGAGCAGCGCCGCAGCAAGTCGGGCGTAGGCATCAGTGACGGCTGAGTGAGAGCTCACTGACACTCCCAAGCGCCGCTCTCACCACCCTCACCATCGCCGTCCATCATGCCACTAGGCTTGTACTCCTTGGTCTCGCTCAGCGACGTCATAGCGCTCAGGCGATGCGGATGCGGGCCAGCCTTGGGGCGCTTGCTCTTGAGCTCCTCCATCAAGAACGCAAGGTTGGGGTTAGAGTCGACTGGGGCATCCTGCGGGCGACGAAGCGCTTCGCACAGCGTACCGGCGATGTTGTACAGGCTGTCGTTGGCCTTGATCAGAGCGACGAAGGCTTTGACGTCAGGGTTGCTGGACGTGATGTCAGTGGTCGTAGACTCAAGAGTGTCGTACAGCTTGATCGTGTCTAGCGTGAAGGCGCGCATGCCCGGCGCCGTGGGCGGGTAAGACGAGGTCTTGAAGCGCGCGCTCATGGTGTCTTGTCTTGTCTTGGGGGAGGGTTGGTTGGTGGTTGTGGGTTCGGAGGTGGTGGTAGAAGGGAGGGAGGGTGAGGGCGCTTTTATAGACGGATATTGGGAGCGCCAAGACAGACTCGATGTGAAAGGCAACTTTCACACGGTACTTACTGCTTCAATTTCCTCTCTCCTCTCCATCTATCAGCCCTACGGATCTCTGCCAGCCCCTCTGGGTGTGCATCCCCATCCCATACTCTTCGTGGAGCTCGTAACTCGCCATCAGGCACCCTCCGTTTTGCGCCTAGTAAATATGTGAGTACATGGCTCTTACTTCTTGGGTGGCTGGGCCGCACCACCACTCCATCGTCGTCCTCGTCATCATCACGGCAGCCGCGGCGGGAAGGCTCCCCAGAGGGACCGGAGGGAGCCGGGGGGATGGCCTCATGGATTACCCAGGTCTGTAGATAGATTGTTAGCCCGTACAGACAGTACAATATGTTACATACGACGCCATTTTCGTCCTGGAGCCAACGGCATATAACGAAGGGGGCCCTTTCGACGCCAACCTCATCAAACTTCGCTTCCTAGATACCTACGGTTGGCTTGCTATACACAGATGAGTGCCATGGGGATGGGGCCATAAACCCACCCACGTCGCCGCGAAGCTGAGAAAGGTGATGGCGTGGTTAACAAACTCCATTTTAGGATCCATCTTTGGGGGATAATGGCAATGATGATGGCGATACCTAGTGACGGTGTGGTCTCTGAGCGTGTATAGCCATGATAGAAATTTTCAAGGTTGTTCATATTCGTATCTGCCTCATATGTAGTTGAAGGGTGAGTAAATGATACTGTGTGGCAGCTTCTTGGCGGGTACATGTAATTCCTTGCGGCTCTTTCGTGTCGACAACACCTCATCATTGCTCTTTAACCATCACCACCATGCCACCACCGCCCCGTCCGCGATTACTCCGCAGCTCGCTCAGCTGCGAGCAGCCTGATCCGCCGTCTTTGCTCACACCCACCTGCTAGTAGTTCGCCCAGCAGCTCGTTCCTACCAGCCAGTAACGGCTCACCTAGGTACTACAGCGAACAGTCTTCAAAGCACTCATCTCACCAAATTAATCAAATACTCTACGTAGTGGATGTCTTAACGTATTATAAAATGACACTCTTCGGAAACAACAACAAAACAGCCCTATCTAATAACGCTCCTCTGGCTCTCCTTATCCCCATCATCGTCATCCTCCTCCCACGATGCCTGGTCCGGCGACACCAACGTCGGATGTTTCGCATCCGCGACCCTTACGAGCGCGAGCTTCTGCCCCGGCTGTGTCGTGGGCACGAGCTCAGCACCGCCGCCCCAGGACCCCAAGCCCAGCTCCTCATGCGCGAGTCGCTGCAGCTGCAACGTCCCATTGGCGGCCCACTCGAGGCGACGATAGACGTTCTTGCGGCGGTTTTTCTGGAAGCGGTTCACGAGCGGTTCGACGGACCAGGAGAGCAGGACCAGGAGCCCGCCTAACCCGAAGACGAGGCCAAGTCCAAGCGTGCTAAACGACGTGTATTCGGCGCTCCGGACCATCTGGCTAACGCACCTTTTCGCGCCACCCGCCGTCTCGGGCCGGCGGAACAGGCTCCGCGCATACTCCTCGCTGCCCGGCCCCGTCGCCTGCTCGGTGAAGCTCATCTGCAGCACCGTGAGCGCCGTGCGCCACCAGAGCTCAACCTCGCGCTGCCACTGATCGGGCGGGAGCGGGCCCTGAACGCCGGAGTCCAAGTAACGCCTAGCGTGCAGCGCTGCAGCCTTGAGTCCTGCGATGGTGTCGCCGACCTCGAGGTTCACGTGAGTGAAGAGCGAGAAGATGGACGACGCGCTGCCGTACTGCGCCGCTCGCGGAAAGGTCGTGTTGAGAGCGGAGAGGATCCGGGCCTGTGTCGTTAGTGGCGTGCAATTGCCATCGGCAGCATCGCCCGCGCACATTTGATGTTGAGTCCTGCACGCCACGACGCCTTCTGTGTAATCGGCCAAGTAGGTGCCGGTGCTGAAGGTACTGCGCCGGTGCGCGCTGAAGACGGGATCGTCGACCGGTTGCACGAATTGCACCGTGTGCGGTTCGATGGCGACGAGGAACGTGTTGGCATCTGAGTGGCGGAGCTCGGGCAGAGGCAGCCAGTTGCCTGGTTGCTCAGAGTCGGGGTAACCTCCATAATGTCGCACGACGCTTTCAGAGTCAGCTCTGATGCTGAGAATGGCGGCAGATATCATTCCAGGAACTGGGAATGTCTACCTACCTCAACCCGTATTCGGTGCGGAGAATACTAAGTCCCTCCTCTTGGATCGGCTCTCTCGGACTCCACCAGGTGAGGTTCGTGGTGTTCAATTTCTCTTGTCCTGTCAGTGAGCCGTAGAAGTACTGCGTTTCGTTGTTCTTTCCCGCATCTTCCGGGATCACTCTATCATTCGTGAAGCCCTCTCTCGTGAGCGGCGCACAAGTCAAGACCTGCCGATACGACACACGGTCTTCAGGCGGCGCATTGACACCAAAGTCAGAATGGCTGTTCAAATGGCCGGTATCGAAGCGGATGGCACTGCCGTTGTTCAAACACAACTCTTCGGCAAAAGGACACTCGACGTCCAGCTCTTTGGAGTAGGGCAATGCGTCCTTGACGTAATAGGTGGCGCAGTTCTGGGACAGGCTGGAGCTGTTGACGTCGAAGCACTGCTGCGCATGCCCAGCAGAAGCCGTGATGACACTGCTCCAGTACGGCAATCCTAGGGTCAGGAAAACGGCATCATCCGCCGGGCGGTAGTAGATACCGCAGTTAACACCGGCGAGCAAAACCTTGTCACCAGGGGCAACAGAGATGCGCGAAGTGAAGATACCAGCGACGACAAAAGCAGAGGTAATCAGAGCGGCGCACAGTATCGAGGGAAACAAACGCGCGAGCGCATTCTGCCCCCGAAAGCGCCACGACCAGACCACCTGCACGAGCTTCCACACGCCACTGGCGCCCGTCGCCGAGTTCCGCAGCACTGCCTGCCGCTGGTGGTACACGGCATCCTGCGGCTCGCGCGACGACAACGCCCGGTGCATGGCGAAGCATGCGAGCCTGAAGAAGCTCGTCCCCGCCGCCGTGACGAACAGCGCCAGCACGGCAGTGAGCACCTGGCCGTTCTTCTTGCCCAGCGTTATGGTCGCGCCGCGCACGCGGCCTCTATCCCAGTTGGTCCATGAGCCGGTGTAGACGCCGTCTTCGAAGGCTTGCATGATGGGTCGGCCAGAAAGCCACGGCCGTAACGGGGAGACTCTCGTTCGCTACTGTCGGCGGGAAGTGAGCGGCCGTGTCTCCGGGCGCATTTCAATGGCGGAAACGGTGCGTTTGCGATGGCCGAGTGCACGAAAGGGCGGATCTTCCACTGCAGCGCGGAGACGGGTCCTCGCAGCTCTTTTAAGTGCCCGTCTCCACATAACGCTGCGTCGTCGGCCCCACTAATCATCCTGTGCTCAGTGCTCGCACCTCCTCCCAACGAATGGCTGCGCTTACCGTCGTCTGCTATCGACAGGCTTCTGGCTCCTACGACTCTACATACATGTATTGCTCGACACTCGCCGCGTCACGACGCGCACACCTCGCTTTGAAGACCGCGTGGCTTGGTCGTCGAAGCCGTAGCAATGAGGGCACGGCCGAGCAGAAGTTCTTCGTCCCACTCCCGGCGCTTCTAGCCGTCATCTTCTGGCAGTTGTTGCTCGTGCTCGTCTCTGAACTGGAACGGAATGGAATGGATCGGAATGAAATGAAATGAGAGCGCTGCATTAGACGTGCCATCCTGGCCACCGCTGCTGGCGAACAGGGAAGCGATCGTCGCCGTCGCTACTGCTGCTTCGGTGCGGCGTGTTGCAACTTGCGGGCTATAGTTAGGCGGGCAGGTGGGTGAGTGGGTGAGTGTGTCGCGAACGGGCTGCCGCGTATGCGCGCTCGTGGCCTAGGTGGTGTTGGGCGGGCGTCTTGCGGTGCTGTTTAAAAACTGCTGGCTCCCCAACTATCTCGAAGCCAGCGAGCGCATCTGCATATTCTGGTATCTGATAGTTAGTTATGCAGCTACCTAGGGACGTAAAATCCAGTACGGTTCCACTGACAGCGGCTTTGGTCCTTGGCTTGGGATGTGGTGATTGCGGTGGTGTAGTTGTAAATAGGCGAAGAGGGGCGCTGTTCGCCTACCCGGAGTGAGCATGCAGGACGCCGCACGTGATGTACGTCTGCGAAGCATGCAGTGATACGCAGAGACATAGGTAGGAGTATCAAATAGGTTTCAGTATCAATATCTTTATATCTTACTCCTAGGTGGCCGTCCGCTGCAGCGTAGGCACAGCACAGAAATAAACAGAACGAACACATCCTGCAGCAGCGCCACCAGCGCCGGCTGCGTAGGTAGGTGTGTAATCATCTTGCACAGGAAAATGGCTGCTGGGCTGTGCTCTTTGTATGTATATATATATATATAAAGATAGAAGGACACTCAAAGCAGGCTACGGTGTGCACAGCTGCCTTGCGTCGTGGCTCGTCGTAGCAGCAGCAGCGGGGGTAGGAGTCCGCAAAGATCAGATGGCGGGAGTGGGGCGCGCCTTGCGGCCCTACTGGTTGGAGAGTGATGCCTAGGGCGCCGAACCTGCTTCCTGCTTCTCCTTCGCAGATAAATATTCCCGGAAGTCACTCCCAGAGCTATGTACGAAGGGAAGGACGATGATGCTGTGATTCGGTCGTTGTGGCAGTGAAAGCAAATCGTAAGATGAGTGTGCATGCGTTCAATGCCGACGAAATGCAGCTCTCCGAATAATTTCTGCTACCCTATATACACACATACCTACAGTGTTTGCACTTGTCCCTATACTTCCAGCCACATGCCCACGGCTGGCTCTTGCGTTTGTACTGCTCACTCTTTAGCACTGTTTGTACAACCACATGCCGCCTTTTCCCTTCTTGTTCTTTCTCTTTCATTCTTGCTAAACCCAGCGTACCCCGCACCCATCTATCCACCCAAACCACACTCTTTCACACATCCACTCACCGCCCAAAACGCTTCAGCTCCCACCACCTGAGCGGAGGAAACACCAGTGCCGCCCAAGCAAACCCCACATAATTGCCCATATCGGCACCATACTCGCCCACGGTCGCCGCAATCGGACCCACATACCACACCTGAGCCATGGAGAGGATTGCGCCAGCCCAGCCGACCAGAAACGCCACCAGCGCGGCGATGCCCAGGGGCAGGGCAGCGCGATCCTGCCAAGCAGCCCAGTCATAGCCGCGGGGAGAGGTCGAGGCTCCTTCCTCTCCCTTCTTCTTGGCGTGGGCGCGCCCGCGCGAGCGGAACAGAAAGTGCTCCTCCAACGTGATGGCGATCCAGATGCACACCCAGTAGCCCATGAGGGCGAGGAAGTTTGTGAAGATCTCGGCAAGGTGCTCGCGCCCCACGGCCGCGCAGACGGTGTAGATGACCACGCCGGCCGTGTTCCACACGACGCGGGGGATGCGCGCCCACCACCGGCCTAGGATCTGGAAGTCTACGCCCGAGCTGTACGTGGGTGGGATGAGGTTCGCGACTAGGCCTAGTGCCACCAGCACGCCGCAGAACTTGCCGAACTTGCCGAGTGGCGCGAAGCCCTCGACGATCAGCGCGCCTTGGCTGACTTCGTACGCCGAGTTCCATGCTGCGGTGCTGGCCATGCCGGAGGCGAGGCCGATGCCAACCACGAAGGCAAAGGTGAAGCTCGTGCTGAGGCCCGCCATGGTCACCGTGAAGACTTTCCAAGAAGGGGTCGTCTCTGGGTAGTACACAAAGTAGTCGGCTGCGCCGCCGGCGTAGGTGATTGCAGCTGCGAGGCAGATGGAGAAGAAGGAGAGCCTGTTGCCGATCACTGTGCGGCTATCTCCGGCAGTGGTGGCGAGGCTTGTGTCGAATTTTGGACCGGCTACGCCAACTAGAATGCACAGCACGATGAGCTGCGGGAGCCAGGCGTAGCGCTCGTAGTAGTGGAAGACCGAGTAGCCGAACGTCGTGATGCCCCAGGTGATGATGGCAACGATGACGATACCCACCACGATGGACATGTTGTCCGTGGAGACGGCGGACAGGATCTGCCCGGCCACAACGCAGTCGATAAGGGAATATCCCAGCAGCACGATGATATTGAGCAGCACAACCAGCTTCGACGGGTACCACCCCATCGTGTAGCGCGCGAAGATCATGGTCCTGTTACCGGACCGCGGGCCAAAGGTCGCCGTATAGGCTACAGCCAAGCAGCCGACCAACATGCCCAGAACGGCGCATAAGCAGCTGTCCAGGAACCCCAGGTAATACACGGCGGGGCCCAGCATTCCCAGTGTGACATTGTTGGCCGCCAGGTTGATCGAGAACCAGAGTATACCAATCTGAGAGTATCCCAAGGCCCGGAGATCGTGGCGCTCATGCGGCTCCACGCGCTCTATGCCGCGCGCCTCGAGGTTGTATGCGATGAGCGTCTGCTCGAAAGACTTTAGCCAGCCCTTTGTCGCCTCCGCGGCAGTGGAAGGCCTGCGCAGAGCATCATCCTTGACCAGCGGCGGGCCACCAGTCGGCGGGATGCCCTTCTCAATATCGGACACGACGCTCTGGCGATCGTCAACCATGATTGAAACCTGCGTCGCAGTCAGATTGCTGCGGCTGGTGGAGGGAAGGGGAGTAAGCAATTCGCATGCTCCTTTCGCCAGAATTATCTGGATCAAGTTCAACCGTATCATCTCAGAACGACGCGTCGCGCGCGTGCGCCGCGCTGCTGCATCCCGCTCTCAAACCGAGAAGGGACGAAAGGCAGGCAGCACGGTGCGCAGCGAACGCAGCCGAACACCGGTGTCATGCTGATGCTACCTTAGATACCTTGATCCCGAGTCTTCTTCGTGCGATCGGTCTGCATAGTGCTACCGTATAAGCTCGTACTTTCGGCGGCTGTCGTCTGTTGCGACAACAGTAACGCGGGGGTAGAGAGGGTCTGCAATGACTCGTCAGAAAAATCCAGGAACAAGTAGGCAAATGCGCTGGGCAGTGGTACCGACGAGATATTTCAACCGGTGCGCTGACAAGTTGCGCTTCTCCAATTGCCAGTGGTGGTGGTGGTTGTTGGAGCTGAATGAGTCGATTTGCCCCCAGAAAAATGTTGGCCGATATCGCGCCACCTCGGCAAGCCACAGATGATGCTTTGACTTAGTCTACGGGTAAGCCTCGAAGACGCCATGCTTGCGAAGGCTGTCATTCAATTTGAGAAAAACTCTGGACGATATGGTTCTTTGAGCGCCGCAGTGCTGTTCGCTGCCTTTATGGCCGGGTGGAGGAATGCGGCTCCGCTGGGTATCGAAAACTTAGATCGGGTGACATATAGTTGCATGAGCTCGAGGTTCCCGCTGGTATCTAGGCTATCTTTCATGGAGAACCACCGGTTGGCCGGGCAGGCAGGTCGGTGTTTGGCACATCACACCAGATTGCGGCGGGCAGATGTGGTGATGGCAGAACCGGATGTAAGTACAGACAAGTGAATTCGTCTCACGCTGGTGAGCATGAGAGATTTGGAGTAAGTTGGTATGTACAGTTGATGAGCATGGGGAGAAGTGGAAGTTTGGAAGATGTGAAGTAGTTTTAAACGTAACGACTGAGGTCAATCGCAGGGGCTGTCCAGGGTCGCCCATGTCCGGCGCCTTCTCCCTATCAGTACTGGTGGTACAATGCCTATTTAACCACATTCAAAACAAATCCGTCAGCGCGCCGTGGCTAGCATCACCAACCAAATGCGCATACTTCGCCAAAGTACCTCTCGTAACCGTCTTCTTCGGGGGCTTCCACTGCCGCAAGCGCTCCTGAATCTCCTCGTCACTTAAATCAATATCGATACTGTGCTTTTCCGCATCGATCGTAATGACATCGCCGTCGCGCACCACAGCAATGGGCCCACCTACTGCCGCCTCTGGCACAATATGTCCCACGATAAAACCGTGCGACGCACCGGAATAACGACCATCAGTGATGAGCGCAACATTGGTGAGCTTGGCACCCATGAGCGCTGCCGATGCCTTCAGCTGCTCTGGCATGCCAGGTCCGCCCTTGGGACCTTCATACCGCACCACCAGGACGAGATTCTCACCGTGAGGAACCCTGCCTTCGTTTAACGCCGTGTCAAGCTCGTGCTCCTTCTCAAAAACCATCGCCTTGCCTGAGAAGCGCAAGCCTTCTTTCCCGGTCACTTTGGCAACAGCACAGCCAGGCGCCAGATTGCCGCGCAAGATCTCAATATGGCCCGTCGGCTTAACGGGATTTGACAGCGAGCGGATGATCTCGTTGCCCTGCGGCAGGCTCGGCCACGACTCAATGTTCTCGGCAAGCGTCTTGCCCGTCACTGTCGGCGCCGAGCCGTCGAGCAGTCCAGCGGCTACGAGCAACTTTTGCACGGATGGCACGCCACCAATGTCGAACAGATCGGCCATCACGTACTTGCCGCTGGGAGCGAGATTCGCGATGAACGGGATCTTGTCACTGACGCGCTGGAAGTCATCGAGTTTCAGGTCGACGCCCGCCGTGCCGGCCATGGCAAGCAAATGCAACACGCCATTGGTGCTACCACCCAACGCCATCATCATGACCATTGCGTTTTCAAACGACTTTTTCGTCAAGAGGTCGCGCGGCCGGATGTTCTTCTCCATGCAGATCTTGATACACTCGGCAGCTTTGGCGCACTCGCGCATCTTCGTCGGGCTGGTTGCTGGCGCCGACGACGAGCCAGGTACCGTCAAACCCATCGTCTCGATTGCCATCGCCAGCGTGTTGGCCGTGTACATGCCGCCACACGCGCCGGGTCCGGGACACGCGTTGCGCTCCAAGTCGTCCATGATTTCATCCGGTGTGATGCTGGGATCGTGCTCGGCGCGGAGGTTGCCGTAAATGTACGCACCCTGCGCTTCGAACGTGGAGATGATGTTAATGGGCTTCCTGAGCAGCTTCGAGTAACCAGGCATGATGGTACCGCCGTAGATCATGAGCGCTGGCCGATTGTGGCGCGCCATGCCCATGACACACCCGGGCATATTCTTGTCACAGCCGGGGATGCAGATATTGGCATCATGGAATTGGGCACACGTTACGGTCTCTATGCTGTCTGCGATGATCTCGCGCGTTTGCAGTGAGAAGCGCATACCTATGGTTGTCAGCGCCATGCCTCAGCCACTGGATGGAAATTACCTACCTTCTCCACCATTGGTGATGCCGTCTGAAACGCCGACAGTGTTGTATTGCCATGCCACCATTCCTTGCTTTTGAGCGGCATCTTTCGTGGCTTTGGCCAGGTCAAGGACTATACGTCTTATTGTCAGCAGTTTCTCGCGTTCGTCTAGCATGCGTGCAGCAGGATTTATAAAAGCAAGGCGGTTAGAGGTCTTACGGTGCATACTACTTGTCATCAGTACCAGCACTCCCAATCATCTACGGTCTAGACTTACTTGCATGGGTTGCCTTCCCACCAAACAGAAGCAATGCCGACCTGTGGCGCATTCTTCATGGTCTCCTTGTCCGGAATGCCGGCGGCGTAGAGCATCGCCTGAGCTCCAGGGAAGTCATGTCCTGCGGTTATGGTGGTAGAGTACTTGTTCAGAACCGGCTTTCCATCCCTAGTGGCATCGTCTGGCTGCTGAGGAAACACGACGTAGCGGGGCTCCTCCGGCTCCTGCCGCTGTCCAAAATGAGATGAAGCCATTGCACCACGTCAGATACGTCAATTGTAGCTACAATGGTGGAACAAGGCTCGCGCCGAGATGGAGAGCAATTGGTGAAAAGCGGAGAAGACAGAAGACGGGAAAAAGGCACGAGACACGAGATGTACATAGCTGGGAACCTAGTCCCGCATCGTCCCCGCGGGGCAGCTGATTACCGCAGCTCCACCGCGTGGTGCGATGAGAGGAGATTCGGCGGAAGAAAGCTCCGACGGCGGACCTAGGAGCGGGCGCACAGGATCGATCCATCGCGAGAGCTAGACTGTCCATCTGGCACGCTCCACGGCCATCTGGGAGAGCGGGATTCGAGATGGAGAGACAAGGACAAAGAGGAGCGTTGCGCGTCAGCGGATCGCGAGAGCTGTGATTGGCCGGCAAGATCTGAGCCCAATGACATCACGCTTTGTTCGGGCTCCCCGCCGCACACATCGAGCTGACGGAAGCGGAGCTGCAACACCACCCGTCAGCCCAAGCCGTCGATCTGGATGCCTCTGCTGCACGTCAAAGCCTAGCTCATCGATTCCCGCTCGCCCCGGCTACATCCGCAGCCCGTCAGCCAACGCGACTGGTCCACGTGCAGCTGGTTCGCAGTTCGCAGACGGCATGCTGGCCGTGTCCTCAGTCTGAACGCCAGAACCCGACTCCTGTGTAGCTGGCCGCCTCGCTGCAATCTACGTGGCGACTCCTCTCTGCCATACGCGCAGCCACGCTAGACCAGCGCCCACGTTCATTGGTCGGCCTCCAATCGCGCGACCTGCACCCTCACCAAAGCAGCTGGGCCTCTTCCGTCCATGAAGCGCATCCAACGGAGCCATGGCAACTCCTATCTTGGAGCCCTACTTCCTTTATTACTCTTCGCCGTTCCTGCGGCCTCCTGCTCGATGATCGAACCTCAGCTTATCTTCTCTTCTGCTCCCTTCAATGCCACTCTAATACAGTCTCTGGGAGCTGAAAGCCGTCTTCGCAGCTTCGTCGCAAAGGCCCTGAGTTTGATTGGCGTCGATATCGCGGGGCCGTTAACTACAGCCGACATGGTCAAACTGGCCCTTGTATGTGGTCTCGTACCCGGCCTGTGGCTCCACAGGCAGCGGATGCAGTCTCCAGAGGCGGAGAAGCCCGGGAATGACTCCACTGCCGATGTTTCTGATACGATTGGGGAAGGTGAGTGAGGCAGCGCAGCCCAACAAAACCAACCTGGTAGGCTAATTGCCAATAGACGCCGTCGCCACCGATCCGGGGCTCCTCAAAAAGCATTCTGTTTACCGCTCGTATGCTGTCCCCCAGACCGGCTTTACTTATCCATCGATTCGTACGTTTCATCGCCCGCACCCGCAGGGGGAGAAGTTGCCTTCAAAGCCTACGCCACTCCCTCTATTGGTCTTCGTCCATGGCCTTGGAGGCTCTGCCGCTCAATTCCAGTCGCTGCTGACCAGCTTCGTCAACCTTGCGCCATGCCTTGCCATTGACCTTCCTGGCTGCGGATTGTCCAAGTTTGCTCCGAAGGCTTGGGAGGCGTACGAGACTAGCGCGCTTGTTCACCTGCTAGCCACCGTTATTGAGGAACACAGAGACAAAGATGTCGGACAGGGTGTTATTTTTATCGGCCACAGCATGGGGTGTTCCTTGTCTGCACTTCTGGCTTCCAAAACATCACCCTATTCGTACCTGCTTTCCGAGCATGTCCTTGGATTAATAGCCGTCTGTCCAAAGGCAGAGCCCGCAAGCAAGGAACAGGCGGCCAAATTCCGCAAACTCTTGACCATCCCTGGGCCCATATTTGACCTTTGGCGAACCTGGGATCGGCGTGGTGGTACCAAGAGCGCCAGCGTACAGCGCTTCGTCGGCCCCGAGGCAGAGGAAGAAACAAAAAGGCTTCAAGTGCGCTTCAACCAGCAGAGTAGGACACCAACTTGGAGAAGAATGGCCAAAGGGATGCTGGGCGGCAATGGCTTACCTGGGAGGAACGTTTGGGCCGGACTGGACTTGCCTGTATTTCTGGTCGCTGGAGAGGCGGATCCCGTAACTCCGGCCGATGAGGTTCGCAAGATTACAACATTCCTAGGAAAAGAGATCCGTCTGAACGGCTCCGAAAACCCGGAGCCTATCCCGGATTCAGCTGCTCCTGTGAACTTGGGGGGTGCGGCAGGCTCTCCGCAGACGTATCGCACCGGGTCGGTGACGCTCCTGGATAACGTGGACACTGCTTCGCTTTCAATGCTTGACGGATCGAGCTCATCTGAAGAAGAGTCACCCGTCGATGTCCTACCTAAGCGGAGGTGTCTCAAGACTGTCATTCTGCCTTCTCCCGCATCGCACGCTCTGCTCTATGCACCCTCGACCGCTCGAACATTATCAGGTTTGATCCAAAGCTTCCTGGCCGAGCGCATAGACAAAAGATTGTCGCTTGGGTGGCAGCTCCAGTACCTGACCACGGAAGGAAAATGGGACGTCAAGAACCTTGTGAAATGGCAAGCAGTTCAGCCCGTTTCTGAGCCCATCGCCGGCACTTTCCGCGCGATGAAGACCCTAAGAGAAGTAGACGACAAGCATCGCCCCGCCGTCTTCGTTCAGGACTGGTCAGGCAAGATCAGGGCGGTCGTTGACATCAGCCACGAAAGCCCGGTCTATGACCCCAATGGATTGGAAAGAGGAGGCATCCAGTATCACAAGTTTCCGACGGTATCCAAATTACCGCCGACGGTAGACGAGGTGAAGCAGTTTATAACAATGATCGACCGACTGCGCGAAGAGCCAGATGAGTCTGAAGAGTACGGAGGCAAAAGACCACTGATTGGCGTTCACTGCCACTACGGCTTTAACCGGACGGGTTTCTTCATTGTCAGCTACCTGGTAGAAAGACTAGGCTGGGGATTGCAGGCTGCAATCAATGAGTTTGCACAAAAGCGGCCGCCAGGGATACGGCATGAGCATTTCATAGACACGCTGTTCGTCAGGTACCATGTAGGCTTGCAGAGGGCGCCTACGCTGTGAAGGATTTCTTTGACTCGGTATGGTGTTGTGGTTGGATATTTAGGTAGATACCATTTGGGGAAGATTTAACAGGAGTGGCTAGATAGATGCATCGTAGTAGTCCCTAATTCTTTACGAGTAGTTTAATGAATGCATGAAGGGATGCCTCACTTTCAGACCAGATTCGGCAGGGCGGGTGGCACGTGCACGGCGCCGGATTATTTGGTGGCCCGTCGGCGCACAAGCGAGAAAACTCACCACGCGCTACATCGGCCTTTGACCTCGCCAGCGACGACCGACAGCCTCACGACAACCGCCGACCGACCCTTTTTTCGTTTTCCGGAACCCACACAATACCGCCAAAATGCCCGGTGTTCGCGACGTTGAGGTGCGTTAGGACCGCGGAGGGGGATTGCGGGCGGCGACGAGCGAGCGACGCAGGACGACGGGCGCTCGTCGCCAAGCGCAACCCCCCTCAGCAGTGCGCCAGGAGAGAGGACTTGTGCTGACGGAGGAATTGTGCAGGCCAACAAGTTCATTGAGGCTTATGGTGAGTCTTGGACCGCTGGAAGACATCAAGGATGCATTTGAGGACATTATCGCTGACTTTTTCCCGCAGCCGCTTTCCTGAAGCGTCAGGGCAAGCTGCCCATCCCAGGTTCGTCGTACCACCCGCGGCAAACCTGAATCCCGTGCATAACGGGGGATACAAGGGACGCCTAGGAAAATGATGAGAAACATTTGTTGACCATGGCGTTTTCTCTATCTACAGGTTGGGTCGACACGGTCAAGACTTCGCACGCGAAGGAGCTGCCGCCCCAGAACATCGACTGGTAAATATTTTCCACTGTTCAGCAGAGCGCAAACGACGAAAGAACAAGAAGAAAAATGCTGACAAGACGATCATCAGGTACTACGTGCGCGCCGCCGCCGTCGCCCGCCACATCTACGTCCGCAAGACGGTCGGTGTCGGCCGCCTGCGCAAGGTCCACGGTGGCACCAAGAACCGCGGCTCGCGCCCCAGCCACCACGTCGACGCGTCCGGCTCCGTCGACCGCAAGGTGCTGCAGTCGCTCGAGAAGATCGGTGTCGTTGAGCACGACGAGGAGAAGGGCGGCCGCCGCATCACCCAGAGCGGCCAGCGTGACTTGGACCGTATTGCCATGACGGCGCTCGAGGCCGAGGAGGAGGAGGAGTAAGCGCGTGCGCTACCTCCATCTTTCTTCTACCAATTCCGTGACAAAATTCGGATCGTCGGCGTCTTTTGCTCGTTACATCACCACCTGCATGCATTGGCATTTCTCTCGGGTTCTGGGTCGGCTGGGATAGGTTGTGTTTGAGGAAATGAAAAATAAGGGAATACCTTTGCAAGCAAGCACGCGCGAGAGAGACCGTTGTTTGTCTTCTTTTTGTTGTTCTTGCCGTAACCTATCGTTCTTGTTGACGGGAGCCATGCCAGTCAGCCAGAGCCTGAATGCTAGCTTCAGGTTGCCAAAGCGCCGTGTCAGTCGTTTGGGTTTGATCGCCGTGAGAAAGCGTGCCAAGGTTTTCGTCGTTTTTTATAAGCTTAATCGTGGACTCGAGCCAGCAGGCCAGCCTTATGTGCCTGTCGGATTGATCCTCCCAGGTATCTTACATTTGACCCCGCAACCTTATTCCTACCTTAACTACACCCGTTCCCCAAACCCCCCAAACCACCTGATTTAAGCAAACAACTCAACTCAACCCTACCCAGCATTCCATCCCGCATCCTGTCCACCTATCTGCGCTGATTATCCCTTCGCATGTCGCCTTTCCTGGTTATATAACGTCTTTCACCGGGAACCGAGATCCACAGATTAGCAAGACAGGAGACGATACAAGCAGTCCCTACAGAGTACTCCTTGTCTAGCTCCTAGCCCGAGCCCCGGGTATAGATAAAAAGGTCTTGGAGCACACATAGACTTAACATATCTTAACTAGGTATCTTCTACTCCATACAATTATCACCATCTCGCTTCACGGTGAATCTCGTTTCACGGTAACGGACGTTCGCAAATACGTTAATATACTAAACTTACCCATTCATTCATCCATCCATCCATTCATCCATCCATTCATCCATCCATTCATCCATCCATTCATCCATCCATCCATCCATCCATCCATCCATCCATCCATCCATCCATCCATCCATCCATCCATCCATCCATTCATCCATCCATCCATTCATCCATCCATCTATCTATGCAGGCAGCACGTCACGCAGCTCAGCGCACGGTATACGTACCTAGAGTAGGCACACGCCCTTATACATAAACGACAAGATACTTCTCACGGCTCAGGAAAAATGCGTGACCAGCCGTGCGTGTCTAGGTCTCCACATATATAATGCTTTACTACTTGCTTAGTACTAGATACACACTCAGCGCGCAGGTCTGTTTTATTTTTGGTGTTGTTGTTATTTCATCTTCTACCACTTTTACACCACACACCTACGCGCGATTCTCTAACCCCCTTTCTTATATCGTGTAGAGAGGGTGGGTGCCGAGGATTCTTAGCTTAAATAACATAAACACAGACGAATATATAAACAAATATAAGCGAGCAGGGAACGCAAACTAACTAAATAGAGAGATAGATAAATAAACGAATAAACGTACAAATATCAAAAAGTAAGTATCAGACACGCACGTACGCATATATCTAAGCAATGCATGCATACATTGCAGAAGAGTATGTGTAATAGTAGGCGTAAGTGCTTAAAGATGGTATTAAGTTAGGTGTATGTACTATGAAGATAAAGCCCCTCTGCTCATTAGGTACTCCGTCCATTCATCCATGCGTCCGTCCGTCCGTTCGTTCGAGTCATCCGTGGCAGTGGTTACCCATCCATGCATCCATACGTGCATGCTCCTACAGCCCAGCTGGTGCGGTAGCTTTCACCTAACCAAATCAAACCAATCAAAGCAAATAAAACCACATCAAGCCAAACCTCACTCCCACCCCCAGTCCAACCCAACCAGTCACTTATCAAGCCCAAACAAACACTCCCCCCACAAGCGCTCCCAGCAGCAAGACCCCCCACGCACCCACCCCACCAAACCCAGCAGCAGCAGCCAACCCCGCCGCACCACCCGTCTGCCCCGCACCGCCACCATTCCCGCCCTTATTTCCGCCCAAGCCCTGGTCAAAGCTGTTATCATTACCATCCAAGGACGTCGCGCCCGAGCCCGAGCCCGAGCCCGAGCCCGCAGCCGCGCTCGCGCTCGCCGCAGCGCCAGACCCCACGCTCTGGACAGTGCCGTCCTCGCCGCGGTTTCCCGCGCCCGACATGCCCGGCACCGTCTCGGGGCGCTTTGACGCCTTAGCCGTGGACGAGGACTTTGACGCGCCGGCCGACTTCGTCTTCGACGCGCTGTCATCATCATCATCGTCGTCGTTTTCGGGCTTAGTGCCCGTAGCGTAAAAGTTGCCTAGGATGACCTGGTCGTTGACGATGGCGACGGTGTCGTTGGTGCCCGCGGGATCGGTATAGACGTAGCTTTTCGAGCCTTTCTTCTGCGCGTCCGGCGGCGCGTCGTAGCATTCGACGCTGACGGAGCTGATCTCCGCGTAGTAGTAGCCGTTTTGCATGTACTGCGAGTTCCAGTCGACGAGGCCGCCAGCCCACTCGATGGTGCCTTCGCCGTTGGAGGGGAGACCGGCGGGCCAGAGCGAGAGCATGACGCGGGCGGGCGTTTGCGGGTAGTCGAAGCGGTTGACGGTGCTGTTCCAGGTGTCTTTGCGGTTGAGTGTGCGCAGCACTGTTCCGTCCACTGACCAGGTTAGCGTGTCTGGTTGCCAGTCGATCGTGTATTCGTGCTCGGTCGAGACGGTGTTGTCGTCGGGGACGCCGAGCGCTTTGCCGTTTGTGTCTGTTGTTGTGGTCAGGAACTGCTGTTTCTCTCTCTCTCTCTCTCTCTCTCTCTCTCTCCCCTATACCCGCATTTTTGCTGCTGCTGAGGTCAAGCTGTACTTACACACTGTCACTCCCTGCGAGTAGTAGTTGCTCTGCGCGTGCGCAATGTCTGTGCCAATCCACTCAAAGTCAATCTCGTCGCGCACATCGCTCATCATGATAAACGCCGTGACGACGCCCTTGCCCTGGCTGGTCCGCAGCTTCGCGCTGATCTTGCCATACCAGACATAATGCGTCGAAGCCAGCAACGTGCCCACCGTGCCCTCGGCCATCGTAAGCAGCAAGCCATCATTATAGCGCAGCGGATTGCCCGTCGCGACCCAGTTGGCCTTGCTCGCATCGCCAAGGTACTTGTCAATGCTCACGACGCCGTCCAGGCCATTGATATCGTAGTTCTTGCTGTTGCAGACGGGCACGGGCACGCACGAATCAAGCGTGTGACTGAAGAGCGGATCGCAGCCGCCGAGACAGTAAGCCCCGACTCCGCACTGGCCGTACTCTGTTTGATTCAAAACTCGTCGTTAGCCGTCATTTGCTGTCCTGATTGTTTTCTTCCATCTGGCCTTCGCGAACATGGCACCGCTCATGTCGTGCGACCGGGGTGTACGGATTTCTACGCACGGGAGCAGCACGGCGCGTCTGCGGGACATGGGCTGTCGGGGCCGCAGCTCGGGATGCTGCTGTCGGCGGCGACGCCGGCCGAGAACAGCAGCGCCGCTGCCAGCGCAGCAGATGCAGCAGCAGTAGCGGTGCGGACCATTGCTGCGAGAGACTGCCGGTGGAGGTACGAATCGAGACGTGTGCTACGATTGACGATGACGGCTCAACAGCAGACCGCTGGCGGCGGCCGTAGCACGGGCGAATAATGCGTCGTGACGCAGGGACAAGCCAGCAGACTGGGATGGAAAGAAAAAAGCCCGGGTGGCAAGGGTTCTTGCTGTGCGACCGACGAACAATGTCAATGAGAAAGAAATGTGAGCGAGCGTGCAAACAGATCTAAAACGATTGATGGAGGGAGCTCGAGAACGAAGGTAGCGGCAAACAGGGGAGAATGAAGAATTAATGAAAGAAACGACAGAAGAAAGGGCCTGTCGCAGGTGTCGTGAGCCGATGCAGGGGACAACCTGGGCGGACAACAACCCCACCAATGGCATCTGGGGAGGAATGTGGAGGATCTGACGCTTATCCGCTTTGACCACTAGCCGGCGGCTGTCTGGCTTGTTGTGGCGACGAAGTTGATGCCAGATGCATGGCGGCCGAATGTTTGGGTGTGATGGCCTTATCATGGAGCAGAGAGGTGTCGTGTGCCTCTCCGCAGTGTCGGCCATCCCACTCTGTTGTCGAGATGCACGCTGGACCCTTTCAAAGCCGCACAGCAGACGGACGCTCGACGCGCGCGTGACTTTGTTCCTCGGCACCTACCCACACCGACCTTTGGCACATCCACGTGCGCCAATACGATACAAGCCACGCCGCACCCAAAAGCCTTGTTTCTACACGTACAGAGACGTCCGCTACCTTGGTCGCCACGGTCGCCTCCACCTGTGCTCCTAATCGGGCAGGTCGCCGATCCGCTCGGATCGCCCTAGCCGGACCACCTCCTGCCCCTTGCCCCAACCCACTCCATGTCTATCCGTACAACGCCTTTTTTCCCACGCAAAACGCTAATCCAACTAGCAGCATCGACATATACCTACCGTCCGCGAGAACCTCGAACATACCAGACAGCCATGGCGTCGAGAAACGCTGAATCACGGCAAACACTCATGGCAGGCGGCGTTCCCGAATTCTCCCGCCATGGTAACGTTCCAGTGACCGCAAGGCTCAATGACCTCGTGCCCGAGATTCTGCTCCGGGCCGTTGCCCGCAGTCGTGGACCCAGAGCTCTTGGAGCTTGTGCGTCCATGGTACGGATTCGTGACGATGCTGCGATCGTCCGACGGTATCCGCTGCGCTCGATCTGCGTAGAACGATTCGAACGTCGGCGGTGCGCCATTCACGCTCTTCCATGCCCCATCATACCAGTGTGAATTCCAATCACGTTTCTGGCCGTTGTTCTTCTTCGTCCACTTTTTGTATGAAGCTTGAGTGATGGTGTTCCCGTCCGATTCGCTGTCAGCTGACACGAAGCGCTTGTATCTCTTCGATGGCCAAATCTTCCTCAGTGACTTCTTGGGAGAAGCACTGCTTTTGGCTTTCCACGTTTGTGGGCGCTCCGCTGGGGATCTAATAATCTGCTGCATGCTCTCCGACAACATTGCGGGATAAGCAGGATAATCAGTGGCGTTAGCATCAGACCTAGGCATGTTGAGTTTCCAACCTGGGTATATCATCTCAGCCGGCAACGGAGCGCGGTTAAAGTACGAATTCTCCCATGATTCGGCCGGAATTCCCATCGGAACGAATTCCTTGGCTTCAGCATTGAGCGCTACCTTGGCCGCGGCAGTAAGCGCTACTTTGGCCGGTAATGTAGCACTCCTCCTCCTCAACATCTTCAACAACTCTGGCGCTGAGCGAAAGACCTCTTTGTGTCCATGTCCCTTGTAGAGGATAGCAGGGTCTTGTGTAGAAGCAGGGGCGGCACTAATAGCGTAGTGGTTGCTCTCAATGAATGTATTTTGCGAACTAACGTGGTCGTTGCCATCACGGGCCTGCCGCTGTGTGCTCTGAGCTGATTCTGCTTGGTCGGATACCGCATCTATTTCCGGCTTCCTCGTGGTCAAAGAAGCCTCCAGCTCGTCAATGGCTGTACAAAATTCAGCTTCCGATTGCTGGCTTTTGTCTTGAAAATGAGTCTTCGATGTGCTTAATACAGATATATCATCATCATCAGTGTGGTCTTGGGGGTGCGGTCCAAATGCTTCGAATCGAATGCCAGTGATTTCTTCGTTCTTCATGGCTGTTTCCAAAGAATATGCAACATCGAGGAGCTTAGGAGGTTCATTGGTGTCTGTTCCCTCCGAGGTGACACTGTGGTCCACGCTATCCTCAACAAGCTCCACAACTTTTTGATGGATTTCATTGATTCCAGATTCAGGCTCTTCGACAGGCCCAGAAAGTGTGAGTTCTACCTGCAGAATTTCCGAAAGCTGTGTAGTTTTATCAGTGTGTCCGGTCTGGGTTCTTCCGCGACGGACCTTAAGAGCCAAGCGCGGAATGCGCGATGGAGAACCTAGGGCCGAAACTATGTCGCCGTGGTCGTCTGTATCAGAAGCAAAGCTGAGCGTCGAGATACTATGGGTTGGTGATGCATGCGCAGTATGGAAAACAGTACCCGTCGTGCTAATACTGCTTGCATGAGAATGCGACATCGTGGATGGTTGGAGTTTTGCCGGTTTGCCCTTGACAGATTTGGAAGGGTCGGATGAACTCTTGACTGGCGAAGTCGACGAGCTTCTGACTTTGGCCTCACGCTCAGCAGCACGCCGCGCCGTTGCGAACATAAATGGCTTTGCAATTGTCTTTGTTGGGGATGTTGCTCGCTCATGAGATGTTGCTTCTGGTGTTCGGAGCGTACCCATCGATTTCTTCGGATGAAGAGAAGAGTATTGTGGGTGTCCGCCTGAAGTATCCTGAAGCCATTCGGTCGGTAAAGTCTTCCGCGGGCTATGCGGCGCAGGATCTGGATCTTTGGTAATAGGTGGGATGATAATGTCCTTCACCATCTTCGCGGCTTCATCAAACGGGGGTTGGGTGTACTGTGGGCTACGCTCAGCAGATGGGTTGCTCGGATCGAATGTTATGTCGCTGGGGAAGGATGTCAAGGATGTTGAGACTGATGTCGAGACGGTGCCAGCGTCTGATTCAGCTGTAGGTCCCGAATACGAGCTAGGGCTTGACCTATCAATCAGTTAACAGCCGTATCTATGAACGCTAGGAGCGAAGCAAGAAACATGACTTACTCGTTGGATGTAGTTAGACTCACGACCTGTGCCCAAGACGTTGATCGCCCTGATTTGCCACTGCTCACCGCTGAGGGAGGAGCAGTTGTGGTTGTCTTCGAGGAGAGTGTGGGAAATGCTTGGGGAGAGGCAAGATCGAAGGTCGGCTCACTGCTCCTACGCTGTTGGGGAAGGTTCGTGGTAATGGCCAGAGGAGCTCTTGGTCCCGTGCGATCTTGCTGTTTCACGCCTTCCGTTGTGGTCTTTTTGGGCAGCGCGAAGGTGCGAGTAGTCTCCGGAGATCTGGTCTTAAGGATGTCTGCATAACTGAAGGGCGATTTTGGAGTGTTCTTTGGTCCAAGGCCAGGCGCCGATTTCTCGATAAACGGATCCTGTTCGCTTTGTTGGAAGCGGGCTGCTAGTCTCGCGGCTGGGCTCAAAGTAGAAGGCGTAGATTGCACATTCTCACCCGGAGCAACACTCTGTATCCGAAAGTTATTATCCTTCATCATGCCGACGTCTTCCTCTGTCACGCTCGACTGCTGTTGAAACGCGTCGTCTTGAGATTCGAAGTGATCTGACGCATCTTGACCTGGCGCATCATGACCCGACCCTTCACTTATGACATGCTGCTGCAAAGTATTAGCGGGTTGCGAAGCTCCCTGTACTCTGGTGTCGCATTCGCTCGCGCCACCAGGTTCGTTATCGGTCGGCCTGCCCCAGTGCTGCTGCTGTCCGTCGTCGTGCGTTTGCACCCTGTCGGCGTGAGACAAACGACCAGCTTTCGCAACGGCAGCCGAACAGTATTCGAGCAGAGTGAGTTCCGCATGGTCACAGTAGGAATAGTACACATAACTGTATTGACACATTGTCAATGCTGAGGGAGCGATGTCAGAATGTGTGGCGCATTTGGTTGTCGGCGGGTGTGGTGGGTTTGGTGTTTGGTGAGGGCGCGGAAAAGGAAAGCGCGAGCAAGCTCATACCGGGAAATTTGTCTGCAGGCGGCCGGCCGTCCCCATGGATGTTAGAGCTCAGGGTGGCGGGCAAGGGAAATGAAACTGTAGCTCCCGATCACTAACACGATAAAAGCCGACGACAAAACCCCAAGGTAATCTTCCTTCACACCCTCTCCACTCCCCTTCAAAGCATAAAGTTAAAGAGAAACTGCCGCGGTGAAATAAAACGAACGATATACTCCAGCCAGCCATATGGACATTTTACAGCAAAGACGTTCTAGAAACGACACTGTCTATCAAACCTCACTTGTTTGGCCTTCAATTTCTTGCTTGTCATCACACGTTTCCACCAGCGCGGTAGGCTCAGGTTCACCAATAGAAATCCCTTTTGCCTCCCATTTGAGCCGACCGACATCAAGCGACTCTATGGTTATAATTCCTTGGATTGGACTGTACCGGCTGGTGCGTAATTGTAAGTTCGTTGCTTGCTTCCTAAAATTTGCGCTTTTTCTTCGTAACCTGAGACTTCGCCGCCAATTCTCGCTTCAGCTCTTCACGTTTCCGATTTGCGCGCTGTTCTTCGGATTCTGGTGGCAGGTTCGATGGCTGACCGGTCTCTCGCTTGCCATCGCCCTTGGCATCCGGCGACTGAGGCTTACTTGTCCCAAAACCCGTGGACTCTCGGGATTGAGCCAATTCGGGAGTCTCAGACGGTTGTGCCCTTCTTCCACCAATTTTACCAATCCTGCCGCGAGCAGGCTGCAATTGTGGAGCAGGCTCCGGTGTAGGTTCGGGCATGGGCGTAGAAGATATGCTCTGACCTGTGCTGTCTCCTGCTCCTCTGCCACCACCAATCATACCGAGCTTCCGTCTGCGCGGTGGCGTTCTCGTATCCACATCTACCTCGCTCACACTCGGTGCGGGTGGAGAACTTGGAGGCACCGCATAGTCTAGATCATCTTCTGTTTCAGCGTCAGATGGGGCAACATCAGCTCGCGGGATTGAAGCCCTTTGTCCCAATGACGATTCATCCGGGGATCTGGTTGTTCCTCTATCCGCGATGTCATCCCTGCGAGCCCTTGAAGGAGCTCCTGAAGCTCTTGTAAAAGAGCCACTGCGTGGCACAGATGATGATCTCTCTATTGGTCGCGACACCGGGGATGATGCTAGTTGTACACTGGACGGTGGTACGGCAAGGTCGTCGTCATCCGTAGTCTCATCATCGTCATATACATTTCTGTTCGTATTTGGCGGAGTGGGCGACTTCGTAGAGCTTCGGCCGAGGCCTGGCTTTCTTTTTTTCAGGTGAGGCGGTGTCTCTTGGCGCTGTTTTCTGTATCAGAATAAATAGTGTACGAACCATATGCGACACATACCTCGAAGCTGTCATCCACATCCAGAACTTCTTGCGCTTGGGCTTTCGTATCAACATCAGTGCCAGCATCAGTAGTCGATTGCTCATCAATGCGATCGAAATCAATATCCTCGGCGTTGAGTGGCAAATTTGACCACCAGTCGGCCTTTGCACCATCAATCCTGCTCTCATCCTGCAGGGCTACAGGTTGATTGAAAACTTCAGCCACCATTTTATCCATGGATACACTTCCTGTGGGAGTAACCTCGTGGCTCTGGTGCCACTTTTGGGTATCAAATGCTCCTAACCCATGAATCTGCCGTGCTGCCTGTTCCCTTTGAGATGCTTTTCTTGAGGTCTTGGTTTGTGACATGCCGGGGAAAACGCTCGATATACCCATACCGGAATTTTCCAGCTTGTCAAGCAACTTCGATATAATGTGGTCTTTGGCGTTGAGTTGCCCAATAAGCTCCGCTACCTGAGATTTTTGTGCGTGTGCTATACGTAAAAGAGGAAAAACCAGTTGGCCACGAAGAGAGTCCGCATCCTGGAGTTTTAAGTTGACGTTCCATTCTAGAGTGCCAAGCGGGGCTGGAAGCGGAGATTTGAGATGCAACCTTAAGCTGTTTTCATCCGCTTCTCTTAAAAGAAGACGTTGTGTCTGTTTCTCTCCTTGAACAGCGCCTTTCAGCTTATCCAGCAAAATCTTTAGCTGAACTGCATCTTCGCTCGGATCGATAGTAGTATCCTCATTAAGTGCTCTCCGGATGATCGATCGTCTGTCCAAGGCCTCTTCCCATACGCGACTGAAATCTGTCAAGCAGATTGAGTAGCTATTTGAAGAGACAGTGGCCTTCACAAGCAGTGGCGGATACCCTTTTGGCAGGTTTGCAGCCTGCAACGGCTGCCATGTTGCGTCCATGAAGCCGGCGATGATGTTGAGGGTGATGTTGAAGTTCGTGAGGCGGGCGCTAGCTGATCGCCGCCTTGCCCTGTGACGTCCACCTCTCGGCTCGGCAAGACCCGCGCACGCCGCGTCTCGCACTCGACTTCCTTCCGTGAAAACCCATTGTGCCAACAACGAACAATCATGGACAGCTGGAATTCGCCATGACACGTCCAAATGGGTCGCGCTCTTAACAGGATGCCACCCTCTACGATACCAAGCAAGCGCTCGGTCGACATGCAAGAGGAGGTCTGGGTCGCGGACGAGGATCACATTGCCTTGCGGTAGACAAGGAAAAAGAAGCTAGTCGTGTAAAGAAAGGCACGCAAGACCTCACGCCAGGCTTTCTGTTATCTTACGCGTTATCGATGCCACGTAAGGCGCATTCAACGACGGAGAGGACGACAACGAGCTTAACAGCGTGGACCCAGAGTCTCTAAGCGACTCTCGGTTGGCGGAATTGAAGAAAGACACCGATACATACCTCAATTAAAACGGATAGAAAGGACAGGAAGTTTTGGAATACACGACCCCGTGCGCAAGCCTCGTTATTTCAACCACAGTGGAAGTGCACTATGATCATGACAATTCCCGCCCAAGGTAGTTCAAGTCTACAAGTTTAGAAGTTACTATCGAACCTCGACAAATCCAAGTCCCTAACCTATCGCATCGAGAAAGAGAACGGACGCAAGCGCGGGCAGTCCTGCAGTCCTTTGCGCCAGCCGGAGAGGACACATGCCTTATTCGGTTCATCCCCGGCCCTCCGAAGTCATTGCTTTCCGGATTGACGACGAGGTACGTTCCAACACAGCCTCGTAGCTGAAGTCAAAGTTGACGTTGTATGCAGGAGTGGGATTACAGTGCCAAGCATGAGCGTGGCTTCAAGGCAGTGACGAGGTAATTCGACGATTTTAGTTACGGAAAGCGGACCAATGTCTGCATTTGTCAAAAATCCCGCTGTGGTGTCATCGCGCTAAATCGTCATTGTACTCTTCAGCTTTACTCCAGTTCAAGAGGTGAGCTTCCACCTGACGAGGTCACGTCGTGCAGTGATCGGGGGCTAACGCACCTTAGATATATTACAGAAAACGAGTGGGTGGCTGTTTCATCTGAGCCCGTTGTTTCCGTGTTGGGAGGACGAACACCACGCCTACTATTTCCGCTTCGATGCAACGCGCGTCAATACGACCTTCATATTTGGCTGTTTTTTTCTTGGTACGGCATATCCTGACAGTACCTGGATAATCCACGGACCTGCAAGCAATTTCCGGTTCTGCATTCTACAATGACGCGATACCGCAATCATACGTATCTCCTGGAACTCTTAGGCACATAGCTGATTGCAGGATATAGGCGATGCCATGCCCCAAGAACGTTGCTTCCTGTTTTCACTTCCGTGCAGGTCGAGCAAAGCTCAGCCTGGCAAACGTACAGCAAAAGAGGCTCAAACAAATGAGGCTGCGCTTGGTAGCCGCTTCAGCCCAGTTTGTGCACCTCCCAAATAAAGTTGCGACTGTGGCAATGACGGCGGCATTTGGGCCTGAAACGCCGTCAGCTCCGCGTCAAACGATGCCCACGTTGGTTCACGAGGCAGCCGTTGAGCACGTGTCGCAATGTGAGAACCAACCACAATGATTCTTCGGGGCATGCGGGGATGTAACGATGGTGCCGACAACTTCTTCTATGGTTTTCCAGATCCGTACTACGGCCATCACAAATCCTTGGTCCTAGCCGAACAGATCTGCGGCAGCGCACGACTTGCGCCTCACATGTCCCTTCTAGAATTCTGGCAGCCGGCAGGCCCAAGCGCGTCTGATCGGCATGCCGCTCCGCGTCTGAGTGCTGGCGGGCTTTGGCCGCTTTGCTGGTGAGGCGGCGGCCTGCAGGGCTTGGCATGGATGGGAGGGCCGTCCCAGAGCACTGGTGCGACCACAGCGATTGACAAAGGCCTCAGCCAACTATCCTTGCCGGCCTACACCTGCCACGGTCCTCCTGCAAGGCTCCATTTGATTGCGACCCAGGGCTCACAACGAAGGATTGTTTCCCGGGAGTTTTTGTTTGCTCCCTCAATCCCTGCATAAGACATGCCATGTGTTGGCATCCGCGTCGGATGATACTCACCGTCAGAGGCTGTCTGGTTAGACGGACATGCGTTCCATAGAAATGTCTCACTGCCACTTTTGATGTTCTAAAATCCTTCAAGCTTCCGCCTCTACGCCCAGTGTGACCCATAACGCTGGCAGTGCTTCCCGTCAACATTTACCGCACTCCGCCTCCTTCGAGCTCAAAATACACGCAGACAGCATGACAATTACAGAGTCATCCCATCGCATCCGACCAGAAGATCTTCCCGTTCCTTTTAGACGTGATACACCACCCAGGAGTTCTTTCCTTTTCCACGTTCCTCGTCAGACTCAAACCACAACATCCATCATGGCTTTGTCTTCATCCGCTGTGACGACCTCAGCAGCAGGCTTCCCGCTTCAAGCACCAGACTACGACGAAATGGAATGTCTCTCCGAAACATCTCGGTGGCCGGCATCGCAGGGCGGCCAGAGCCCTTACGACTTTGAAGACCAGCCCCACGAGTGCTCCAACTATCAAGTTTATTCCTCGTATCAACCCAACCCGCAACCAATGTTCAACTATGGATCACAGCTTCGTGGACCGGATCAACAGCAATTGACGGGTGGCTACCATTTCCCTCAATACACCTACAACACGGATCCCAACTGCCCACGGAGCTGTTATTCTGGAATTGATCCCGCGGCCTACCAGATGTCAATGTCAAAGCAGCAAGACTTGTGTCCTCCGAACCACTGCTTCGCGGAAGGCATGGAAGATGTCAGCTACTCCCACGGAATAGGACTCCCTCATGGGCACAGCCTCATGCATGATGGCTACCACCCAATGCACCATAGCCCATTCTCTGATCCAATGGACCATTCAGTCAAGTTGGAATATCTCCAACCACTTGATGAGGAGCGGTCTGCCAGTGAGCCCATCCAAGACGAAGTTAATCCCGAAAAAGAGCCCCCGTATGCGAAGCTTATCTACAAAGCGCTCATGCAATCTCCTGGGTACACCATGGTTCTGAAGGACATCTACGCCTGGTTCAAGGAGAACACGGACAAGGCCACAGACAAGGAGACCAAAGGGTGGCAGAACAGCATCCGGCACAATCTATCCATGAATGGGGTAAGGCCATTGCTCTCACTCCAGCGGAGAATATATCCACTAACATGCATTAGGCCTTCAAGAAAGTTGAACAACCAGCTGGGGAGGACTCAAAGAAAGGCAACATGTGGATGCTGACCGACGAGGCCATACGCGAAGGAGTGAAGAGCACGACGCGATATCGAACCAAGAACACCAAGCCGCGCAGCACCAAGGCCATGCAAGCACCGAGCGCCAAAGGCGGCCACACTGCCCGCAAAGTGGCTCGACAGCGCCGACCCGAGCGCGGGATATTCGACAGCGGTCTGACGCCAGACATCTGCCTACCACTGGGCGATGCATACGACCCAGCGGAGATCGACTACAGCGCAGGGCTCACAGACGACATCAAAGCGGAGGGGCTGCTGCAGCCGCAGGGGCTCCTGCACGACTACCCCTACCGCTTCGAAGCCGGGCCCTGCAGATTCTTTGGCAGGGGGCGTTTGCCAGCCGCGCCGACGTCTGCTGGAATCATCACGCCGTATCCGCCGCCGCATGCACACTCGTCGCCCGAGTCGGACGAGCAGTACTACGTGGACAATTACAGCGCTCCGCCTGTCAACAACCCCTTCTCCACCAGCCCGGAATCAGACGATGGGCCCACGACGCCGCCGAGCTCGGATTTCGACAGGGTTTCCATCCATGATCAGGACATGGACATGCATGGCTTTGTGGCTGGTCCATTCTTTGAAGCCAACTCTACCATGTAGCCTGTAGATGAGTTAGTTCTGCATGTGTTTTTCTTTCTTATTTGCCGTCTTTTATGTTTCCCAAATCTATTTTTCCCTTTGTATCTTCACGTGTTTACCCCTACTAGTCATCTTTTCGGCTCTTTGCGCTTCAGGCGCTGAGGATACCCCTGTGTTGATGTCGTTCCGCTTTGAGGCTGGTAGATAGCCTTTTGGGGATTATTTCGAATCCTGTCCGCTCTTTGCAGTTCCTGGTGCCGTTCTTCGTACAGTTCCCGGACGTGGATATGCATAGCTGTTTCCATGAGGCAAGCAAGAGTGGTTGTTTAACGGGGGACGGACAAGGATATTGATTGTCTATGTACGTTCCTCGCTTGGAGAGTTGTTCTAATAAAGTCGGTAGCTTACAAGATGCACGTTTGATTCTTCTCATCATGGTGTACACGACATATGACGATTTGGGGGAGAAAGGGAGGTATGGGCATACCTCCGCCAGTGTCGCACCATAACGGTGCATGTATGTGGGGAGCATCTGCAGTAGCATGACAGGGCGGCGATGAAGACTGACGTCTAGCTTGGCCTAAACGCAGGCCGCAGGATCTTGTGCAGCAAGGACGGCGCAGGTCGGACCGCCCAAATTATTCACGGGCCGTGCAGAGCAGACCGCATACAGGGGCGCAGACCGCCTCCCCGCTTCTGCACGTTGCGTAGCTAGTGAAGACACGCGTGATCTGTGGATCAGATTGCCAGCGCGGTGCAGGACGCACTTAGCCACTTGTGGCTCTCGTCTGGATGCGTGAATCTCTCCCATTCCTTTCACTTCCTCTTACACCACGTCACGATCGCGCCCGCGCCCCCATCGTACCATCATCCCTGCTCGTGCCCGTCCATGTGCGCCCTGAGCTTCCGCGCCCTGGCACGGCATTCTTCTGGCTCGGCAGTGCGGGGGAGGGCGGCCAGGGGGGGGGGGGGGGGACGGGAGGGCAATTGAGGCTCGAAGCAGCAGCAGCAGCAGCACTGCAGAACACCCACAGATGAGACAGCATCCGCAGCGCCAAAACCGCGCACAGAGAGCGGTGCGGAGCGGAAAAGCCGAAGCCGACGACGCAGCCCAGGCTGCAGCCACGGCAGCGGCCGCGCGCCCGCCTCTTCTGCGGCACGCGCGGGTGTGCGTCCTGCTTACTTATGCGCCCGCTCGTCGTGGCTGAGTCCTGTTCTGCGGTAAATATAGCCCCCGCTTGTGCTCTGCTGTGCTGCAGCCACTACCGCGGCCTGTTTCGTGCCCTGCTGCTGCTGCTGCGGCGCGTCGCGCTGAGGCTTGGACGTACGTACGGTTCGGGACGGCAGGTTAGCGTAGCCGTTGGATATGTATATGGGGGATGGGAAACGAGCCTTGAGTGCAGTTATGCTAACTGCTCCTGCTTTGTTAACGTACATATGTTCAATCCTGGTCGAACAGGGTTACAGGGGAGCGGAGTTCACTCCTATGCATTGTGGGACAGCAGCGCGACGTTCTGGGTTTGTTGCTCTAGGCGCTGTCGGTACCTTGTTCGTGCGTTTTGTCCATAGGAGCTTAATAATCCTTCATGCCCATATGGGAGGCGTTCAGCCGGGCAAGAGGCCTCTGGGTGGTGGAAGTCGCACAATGATGAAGTCTACTGGCATTCGGTAAAGCTTGTTAGAGCTGTGAGGATAAAGTTTATCTTGCGGCTGTGAAGATTAACTTTGTGATCTTGTGAGTGATTTACCTTGTTAGACTGTTTCATGGAACCCCCGTAGTGCATTTGATTCGACCAGATTTGGACTCGGCTTTAACCGGATTACTCTCTTCCTGCTGATTCGGCTATGTCGTGTCTGACAGACTCCATTATTTCGATTGCCGGCGTGGAGCTTTGACAAAGACCGTTCCTGTGGTACAAAACCTGGTCATGACCATAGAGCTGATGTCTTCGGAGGCCTGCGCCAGCCAATGAGCACCTTAAACCGTACTTGCATTGGGGGTTTGGCTGTGCATGGAGTGTACAGTACGATGAGTCGCTGCTCGTACTGGTTATGTACTACGTACAGATCCTACTAGGCAAGGGACGTAGATCCTCCCGTTTGCGGTGGGGCTTTCGCGCAGGGCTAGACCATCAAAGCTACATGTGCGCATGCTGCAGTCGCTCGTAAGCGATAACTAGTCTGGAGACAACCGTGTCCTAACCGATTATCTTGGTGGCTGTTGCTTCCTACACCACATTCTTTAGTTCGGTTGCTAGCATGAATGCTCTCGACATGGATAAAGATATCTCCAGATCGCTTTCTTGGGCTACCATTGAACTGTACCACGTTGGCCGCTTTTTTCTTTTCTTGATTCACCGATACCGTTTTCCAGTATATCGTGTTTTTGGCTCCCCTCGAGGTCCAGATGTTTTGAAGTGCTAGCGACCAGAAGTAGCAGAAGAAAAAACATACACTGCACAGCTTACTATGTCGCCGTTTTTCTGCTTTTCATCCTCTTGGAGTCTTGTATCCTCGACGCACTGACACTTGGACGTAAAAAATGATATATTGCGAGCGGAAGCAATCTTGTTGAAGGATCGATGACAGCGTGTGCAGAATGGAAGCACACCTGCATGCAGCTAGACAGAATCGTTGCAGGCGATAACGATGCCGTCCAATATGGTCAATGGGAACAAAGCGATGTGGTATGCCCTGGAAAAGGACAACACCGAAATACGTAGGTTGTGCGGTTTGACAGCTTCAAGGATAAGAAGTGAGGCAAGAAGAAATGCAGGGAAAACGAATCTCGCAAATCTCGAGATTCTGGTTTTCGATAAATGAGCGACGATTATTTCTGCACCTAAGCGCTGTCAACGAATGGGAAAGACAGGGGCCTACTTTTGAACCCGCACATACGAAAGCTCCTCAGCAGAATTTCGAAGCCCCCTATGTGGGAACGACCCAAAGCGTGAAGGCCTCGACGGCAAGACCTGGCTCACGGAACGTCGTCGTTACACAAAGGGTGATACGCGATTTCCTATCGAGTTACGCGCGCAGCTCGGCGGCCAGCGCTTCAAGAATCTGCCAGCCAGTGCTCATCTTAGCAGAATCGGCAGCGGTAATGACATATTTCACCCGAGTCTTTGGTAGCGACCTGTACACACTTGCAGTGTTGCACACAAGACGTCGAGGCCCGCGCTTGCGCCGCCAGCAGGCCCGCACAGATGCTTATGTTGACGACGACGTATGGTGGCAAGAGAAGCGGACATGCAGGGCGCGCGATGCCGTGCAGCGCAGGCTCAACGAGCTTCGAAGCGCTGGAGCCGTGAATCTTTCCGGCCTCATCATCGGCTTTCTCATCTTATGGAGGTTGAGCTCGGTCTCGTACCACGCCATAGAGTGGAGATTTCGTCCGTGTCGTCCCGGTCCGCAGGTACAGGAGAGATGTCGGTTAGCAACTACACCGCCTGTGTTTTTATGGCGGTCAGCCTGCCAGCGCGCTTCTGGTGAACGTCGTGCATTCGAATGAAGTGGAGCGAGGTCAGGGTTAGAGGCCAAAGCTCGCGGACAGACGAAGAGGTCCTCGTTCGGCTACCTGCGGGAGTCTCGCTTCTATCCGTACCTGCAGGGATTCTTTTGTGATGATTACGTGCTCTCCGCCAGCCAGAAAGCCGTTGTTCAGGAGGAAAGTTATACGCGAGTCAAAACTCAACTTTATCCATGTTAAGCTCCTAAAATTTTGAAGTAAGTATCTCGCGCTTGCATGTGCGTACCTTTGTTCCTGACCCAGGCCCCCAATGTTTCGGATCATCATCCTGATCATCCCGCCAATAACCCAAAAGGTTTCGAATCGCCGTTCTTGATCCACCTACGGATTGCCGACAACTCTCGCAGTTTCGAACTCCGACGCCGTCGCTTCTACACTCCTCATAGAACTTCTTGGCCGCTGAAAACCTGGGGTAAACAATAGCGGAGGCACAAAGTCCACCAATAACCGAGCAATCTTGTCTCCAAGCGAGCTTGGAAAGCGGAGAGAGAACGCCACTGCGGAGAGAAAACACCGGCCGCCATGCTGCTTGCGGCTAGTCGGCACGCATGAAATGCCATCTCCCATCATCTACAGCCCACAAAATCCGGGGAAATCGGACGGTTAAACCGGTCTGGGATAAATGATCGGGCGAGCGACTCCTGAAGATACATGTATATAAAGGATAAGCTTCCCCTGGCGCAGTTAGGTGACTGTGCGGTTTGATTGCGAAGCTTGTCTTGTCCAGCATGTTGTTCACTGGAGCTGCTTTTCTGCTTTTGAATGCTGCGGCATCTGTCGCTGCCCACGCGCAGCGACCTAACCACGCAATTGCGCCCCACCACCCGTGGAAGCAATTGCCTTCTTCTCCGGCTAGAAACCAGACTTGCGTCGTTGAAGCTTCTGGTGATGGCAGCGATGATTCTGACAGCGCCTTGAGCGCTATCAATAAGTGCAACAACGGTGGTACCGTCGTCTTTTCTGCCGACACGAACTACACCATTGGCACCGCGCTGGACCTTACCTTCTTGAAGCACATCGACATTGGTGAGTCCTCATTTGCTTAATATCCAGCTCAATGCTGACGCATTCCCAGTCATCGAGGGCACTGTCCAGTTCTCAAACGACACGGATTACTGGCGGGCGCATTCGTTCAACCAGACCTTCCAGAACTCGACGACCTTCTTCCAGCTGGGAGGCGAGGACGTCAACGTCTACGGCGGTGGTACCATCGACGGCAATGGCCAAGTGTGGTACGACTTGTATGCCGAGGACATCTACATCCTGCGGCCCATCTTGTTCGGCACCATTGGCCTGAAGGGAGGCTCCATTTCCGACCTCAAGCTCCGCTACAGCCCGCAGTGGTACAACCTCGTCGTCAACAGCTCCGATGTCGTCTTCACCAACATCGACATTGCTGGTGACAGCAATAACGACAACCCCGCCAAGAACACTGATGGCTGGGATACATACCGCAGCGACAACATCATCATCCAGAACAGCCACATCGACAACGGCGACGACTGCGTCTCGTTCAAGCCCAACAGCACGAACATCGTTGTCCAGAACCTCTGGTGCAACGGCAGCCACGGTATCAGTGTCGGCTCCCTGGGCCAGTACGTCGGTGAGACGGACATTGTCGAGGACGTCTATGTGAGTATCCCTTCCACAGTATGCGTACGTCACCGGGTGACACGCTGACATGTATCCCCTGCAGGTCTACAACGTCAGCATGAGCAACGCCTCGGACGGTGCGCGCATCAAGGTCTGGCCTGGCATCAGCTCTGCCCTGTCCGGCGACCTGCAGGGTGGCGGAGGCCTGGGACGCGTCAACAACATCACCTACGACACAATGGTGCTCGACAACGTTGACTACGCTGTCGAGATCACGCAGTGCTACGGCCAGAAGAACCTGACGCTGTGCAACGAGCACCCGTCCAACATGACCATCTCCAACATCCTGGTCAAGAACTTCAGCGGTCAAACTAGCGACAAGCACGATCCCCTGGTGGGAACCCTTGTCTGCTCTAGCCCAGATGTTTGCAGCAACATTACCTTGACGGATATCGAGGTCACCAGCCCTTCTGGAAAGGCTGAGTATGAATGTACCAACGTCGACGAGTCGACTCTGGATATCGAATGCCAGTCCAGCTCTTGAGATGTACACAGATAGATAAAGTTAATGAACTGTTGAAAAGGTTCCATGACCAACGTGATCGCTGCTGCTTCGACTTGTACAACTGGACGGGAGATGTGTTGATTCATGTCGTGAAGAATCAACAGAAGTGAGCACCTGTGACTGAAACATCCGCTAAGATGCTGTGTTCCCGGGCTGCGGTGTAGGTGTTCGTAGACGATTGTTACGTGGGACAAGGGGCCGTAGAAAAGCCACCATTGGTAACTTGAGTACTGGCGAATCCAAGTGCTCACGATTTTGCTGCTAAGTTAGACATTGGAACAGAGGCTGAAAATGGCGCGACATGTTTGCTGCTCAAAAGGTGTTCCACCCGATTTGCGTTCCCAGGAGGCCACTCAGCCTGCGCAGCTTTTCAAAAATAGAATTGTTCATATGCGACGCGTGTACTGTACCTCTTCAGCCACATAACTCGTGCGTGACAGCATTTAGCTACCACCAGAGTGGACTGAGAAGCCTTAATCCGCCACCAATCAGAACATCGAAAAGTATTATCCTGCAACACATCATGCATGTGGAAAAGCGCAAGCGGCCGGAAATTGTAGCGTGAGGAATCTTTGAATTGTGTGGTTGTCGCTGCCGGATGTCTACGATCGTCAATCGTCAAAGAATCGATTGCGACCTGCTTAACTACAGCGCAATATCGAAACCCGCTTGCAGCCCCCGTTTTTAGCACCGAAACCGAAAAGCATTGCCTGCGCGGAGAGAGAATCCGTCAGCTCCTCTGAACGACCGAGGCCCAGCCTGCCTATGCTCGCGATTGCGCTCACCATTCCCATAACCATTCCCAGGAATAAGGCGCTTATCGGCTAGCGCTCCACACGTTCTTCAGGAAACCGTCGCGCTGCGCCAGCCTGTTCAGGGAGTCGTCGGACTCGCCCATGGCGCGGACGAAGCCGCAGAGGGCGTAGGTCTGGTTCTCGCCGGTGTACCTGCCGTTCTCGTCGACCTTGCCGATGGAGAGCTGGACGGAGGCGTGGTCCTGGGCCTTGATGATGCGGTTGGTCGCAGAGCACTTGCGGGGGACGTAGCTGTACGCAGTGTCTTGTCAGAAAATGCCCTCCCACTGACGTTTCTGCTGGCCGCGGCGGGGGCTCCGCGGCCGGGGGGGAAACTGACAGGTCCACGAGCTCGCCACGTTCGTTCTCCATTGTGATTTGAGGGTGAGGGTCGCGAGGGGTTGAGTTGGCTGGGTGGTGTCAGGTCTGGTCGCTGCTGGTCGTCGCTCTGCGTCGCGAAATTGGCGTGCGCTCCGCCAAGATGGTTTTCGCTAAGCCCTAGCTAGCGCCACACGTGACCCGTCCCTCATGGCAGATCTTATTAACAAGGCATGCAGTGCAACGAAAACAACGACGGCTCATCATCTCAATTGTTCCAATCTCTACTGGGAGCGGGTTCGACGGACATGTCTCCCTTGGAAATCGTGTTTAGCAAATGTCATGTTGCCGCGTCCATTTCCACAACCCTCCAAAATTTGGGTGACTTTATTTTGACTCAGAGGAACCTTTTAACATTCCATCACGGAGTCATTGTGTATGAGTCTCATCCGCATACAGACCGTGTGAAGGGGCTCTCAATCAATAGAGGAGAATTAAACTATACTGCTCGGTTCATGTTTGGATATATAGGCTATGATGTTTAATTGACTAACAGCAATGCAGCTGATTCATGGCTGGGTGGCGCAATGGTAGCGCGTCTGATTCCAGTCAAAGGAATATCCAGAAGGTTAGGTGTTCAAATCACCTCTCGGTCATCTTTTTTGGCCTTCTTGAAGGCAAAAGGGGCTTGTGCCCTGTGGGCCCCTTTTTTGCGCCGTAGCTTGGGTTCCAGACCCCGGGCTTTGCCTGAGAACACACCCACTCCTCATTGGACCACTGCAGATGACTACGGATGCGGATTTATTTCTAAGGTGGCTATGCAGACTCTACCTGTATGTTTTTTGTACGATGCAAACGAACCCTCTATCCTTTCTCGATACTCCCTCGTCGGCCATCTTGATGCTACCTACCAAATCCCTGGAATGAGTCTCCACCTCACTCTGGCGCAATACTCCTTCCACTGATCTCCATACTTTGTCTTACATCGATGCTCGTCCCGAAAGCAGCGATGGACAAGGATGCACGTCATGAAAAGAGCATAGGTCCACGGCAGCAGGTTGCGTGTCCCGCAGACACTGCACATGGCGTACGAGAGCAGCAGGTCGCCGACATAATTGCAGTGGCGGGAGACGCCCCACCATCCTTTGAGTGGTCAGCTTGCTCTATGCAGCCTTGCGGTATCACCTGCCATTGAGTGGCGAAAATCCGGGCCTAGAAAAACTTACCTGATAGGAGGAGCAGCGTCTCACGGTCTTGTCCATCAGCCGTCTTGAACGTACAGCGCATGACCTTTGCCTGCTTGCCCCAAACCTTACAATCGCCGTTTGTGCGTCTCACGAGATCTTTCTGCGCGTTGACAGAGCGGAAGAGCGCATACCCACCGACACCAGCGCATAGGCTTGCGGCAGCTGCTAGTGGAGAAGGTTGCACGGGATAGCGTGCCAGGTACTGGGCTTGCAGCGTGTACATGGTTGGAAGCCACGCGGCAGAACCCCAGGCCAGGTAAAAGCCAAAGTGATCGTGGCAGATGTCGATGGTACGCAAGTACCTGAACGCGTCAGTGTGATGCCAATGGTTCAAAAACTGGCGCGGAAGGAATTACCAGCTCTCGTTTACGAAAAAATCCACAACGTAGAGCCCGTGTAGGATGTCAACGATGATGATGGAGTTTGTAACAAAGCCGTGCTTCTGGTACTGTAAAGCAGTGTAAGAGAGGTCGCTGTCATTTTGTGATTAGCCTTCGATTGATAGTAGCCATTTTCTGGGCAAAAAACAGGCTCACATCAGCGTCCACCCAATGATTCCCGGCCGACCGTTGTGGAAAAGCTTCCAGTCCCAATTCTTGCCGAAACGCGGGTTGAATTCAATTCCCATCAGAAAGTCATACAAAGCGGATCCTGGATTATCAGTTCAGTAACTTTTATCCATTTGGGTTTTGTTTTGACTTTAAAGAGAAAATAAAAGCACAGGAAGTAATTACCGCTAAAATTTCTGTCCTCGGCATAAGAAGGTGAGAAATGAGCTTTCAGGTAAGCTATTGAAGCAAGTGTATAGCCCCATGCGTTGTAGGTCACTACTAGCTCTTCCCAGTGTTTTGCGATAATGGCCGGGTCAATAGTTCCGGTACCAACAAGCAATGCGGAAAGAGATACCGTGATCGACCATGCCAGAAAGCCATTTGTTCGGTATTCAAGCAAATTGCCCGCTGGCGTCAACTGACCCTTGCTCCTTCCAGGTAGAATTGTGTAGAGTAAGGCTTGGAAGAGCACCCAAGCGACGTAAGCAATGGTGACCTTCTTGTTTCCTCCGGGGCCATATTTCCCAAGAAAAGGCTGAAGGCCGTCGACGTGGAGGGCGCTCAATGCGGCGAAGAGAGATCCGCCAAAGTGTTCGAGGGCAATCCATGACAAAATCATGAGAGAAGGCGGGACCGTGACCATGAAAAGACAGGCAAGGCTGGATAGCCATGATTTGCGTCTGTTACGCCAAGAAAGATTGGAGGTCGATCGGGAGTGCGAAGCAGTTGCCTGTAGATGGCGCCAGTTGTGGGATTGGGAGTCTTTGGTTTTGGACGATGATTCCGCGCTGTTTCCTAGCATTGCGCCCAGCCACTGCCAGCGCTCTGGTGTTGCAGTCACTTCCATCTCTCAAAGTCTCCGTGCATGCATTTGTATATGAGCTGAAGGAATGAGGGTTGGAGACGAACTTTATAAGGTACTTAGGGAAGATGTCTGACGCTAAGGATGGCCCAGGCGCCGGCTTTATGCCCAGAGATGTTTTGTTTTGGCAGGAGCAACTGATGCATTGGCCGGCGCGCTGTCTCGGGCAGCATGTAGCAGGAAGGAGAGAGATCAGGAGGATCCTTTAGGTACATTCCTTCCACTCTCAACAAGACTTCATCATCAGGTCTTGTAGGATCCATCCCTATGGCGGCGAAATGATCGATTGCATATGAGACGTTCCGCGCCATGGCGAGAAGCGGGACACCGATGCCTATGAGGTCAGATGATGGAGCTAGATGTTAGCGCAAAACGCTCCCGACGTGCATGTAGCGGGGCCGGCCCGATCTTGTGATGGGCCTTTGATCACGATGGTTGCGTCTTTGCTTGTTTGGTGATTGGGTGTGAACTGAGCCAATAGTGGTGTTTCTAAATGCGCCCTCGCTCGCCCACGCAGCTGGAAAGCTGCATTGTCAGCGCGCCGCAGGCGGCGCTGCCACCTGGGCACTGTCTTACTTGGGCCAGCGAGCTCTCGCAAGCAGTCGCGACAACACTTCACCTCAGAGCCGCCCTCTGAGCCTCTGGATCACGCTTAACGATGGCCTCCATCCTGCTTCGGCTGATCCACATCAGCTGCCTAGCGTTGGGTACGTGCGACTCATGAGTGGACACTTCAACCCCACACGCGGCCCCGGACCTCCACACTGACTTTCAACGCATCATTGGCAGTCCTTTCGCTGATCCAGCCCGCCGTCGCCTCCATCGCGTCGCTAGGCATTCGCGATGACACGCCAGCCAACTCAACCGATCCTGCCTACTCGACTTTCGTCCACGAGCCAAAACCCAACTCTGGCAACTTCACATTCAGCTTGACAGCTGTTAAAGAGAGCAATGACCTCTACATGCATTTGTTTGCACCGGCCACCTACGAGTGGGTCGGTGTCGGTATTGGAAAGCACATGAAAGACGCTGTCATGTTCATCATCTACCATGATTCCTCGGGGAAGAGTAGGATCCCAGCCACTGCTACTCTACCTGCTGCGTGTATCACTAACTGGGTCAGACGTGACCTTCTCCCCTCGCAAGGCAAGTGGACACACCGAGCCGACCTATCAATCCTCCTTCGACTGTTTTGTGGACGGAAGTAGCCCAAACATTATTCCCGGGGACAAGTCCGAGCGTGTTAGCAACTGGTACTCGGTGAACGCCCACTGTAGGAACATTGCGAAGATGGCCGACCTGAACTTGAACTCAAAGGAAGCACCCTTTATTTTCGCCATCGGACCTGATGAATATACTGTGGAATCCGACAGCAAAGCAGCGAATCTCCGATTTCATGTCGCGCACGGAAGCTTCACGATGGACATGACTCAGGCAACACAACAGAACGCAGAGGGTGCGGGCACGAGTTTTGGGGATGGCTCACTAAAAGGCTCAAATAAGAAAGGCTTCCGCGACGATGGGAAAACCTACGGAACACCAGCTCATGGTCTCCTGATGTGCGTGTCATTCCTCTTCGTCTTCCCCATTGGAGTGCTGTGCCTGCGGGTAATGGAGCGCGTCAAACTGCATTTTGGTACACAAGTTGTGGGCTCTGGACTCGTCATCATCGGCATGGCCTTAGGACTTTGGATTGGGCAAACGTACAACAAGGTAAGCTCATTGCTGCAGTTGGCAGCAAACCTCTCCCCCTTTTGGATCGCAAACTGATTGCGTCGTATCAGTCCAAGCATGTCAATTCGGCTCACCAGATACTGGGTTTGATCGTCGTCGCCCTTCTTGTGATCCAGTTGTGCCTGGGGTATTTCCACCACCGCCTCTACCTTCAGACCCGTTTGCCTACGCTTTCGGGTAAGATCCACCGCAACCTTGGACCGCTTGTTCTCAGCGCAGGCATTATCAACGGCGCATTGGGTTTCCGATTTGCGGATGCCCACCGCCACAACATATTTTACCTGATAATCGCGCTGCTTGTCATGATACTCGTTACCTATGCGCTGTGGTCCAAGACGAGGAAGGACAAGAAAAAGGCCATGAGTGGCATGGGGATCCATGCTGGCGCACAGCCTGCACCGCCCCCACCGCCCCCACCACCGTACAGCGCGCATGCCCAAAATCCTGGATTGGCCCCAGATTCTATTTCTGGACACTACAACCCCAGCGCAAATTCCAGTCGCTCTGACATTGCACTGGCAGACATGGGGTATGGAGCGCAGCCCACGCAACCGAGGCAGATGGTATGAAGCGTTTTCCATGAGCGCCGGACAAAATAGCTTTTGAGGTGCTTTCTTAGCCAGTATGCTTGAGCCCCTTTCCTTGGGCCGTGTGGGGTTCGTTGAGATTGACATGTGGATGCCGATCCTAACAAGGAAAGCTTTTGCGATAGCGGGGCATGCTATGCTTTGTTTGACTTGGGTCACAGTGGTTTATTGGAGCTTCAGTATCTCGTCATCAGAATAATTGAGTCTGCGGCAAGTCGAAGAAGAAATAAGCTGTAGCTGGTCACGGGCATCAAATGTAACAGCGATGAATCCTTGCAGGATATCGGTATCTCGGTACCTCCAGATCTCGAGGTAGATCGCCCGTCTCCTCCGGCCACCGAGCAGCTCGGGGCCGAGCAGCTCGGGGTTGATCAGCAAGCTTGCGAGGGTGATTGGCCGCAGCGATGCACTAGGGAACGCTTCCCCGCTTATGAATAATCAAAGCATCGGAGCCTTCACCGCCGACCCTGCCCGTGCCTCGTTTTGATGCCGTTCAGCTGCTCTGACTTGTCTGCGCAGCGCAATCTGACTTCTGACTCCTCGGCGTTATTGCCTACACTCCGCGCACTCTTTACAGAACATGCCCCCTTGAACCCCCGGTCGCCATACTTGCCCGGTTTATCATCTTTAAAAGCCGACTGCGACCTAGAATAAAGGCTAAACTCCGCTTACAATCTCCGTCTCTTCTCTTTTTCCCCGGCTGCGCCCTACGACTTTGCCGGCGTCGGAACCGTCTCGTCCACACGTCCCCTTCGCCCTTTGCCGTGTTGTTGTGCCGTTGGAATTATGGATACTTCTGCGGATCAGGCTTTCCCCCCGAACCCGAACGGCGCGACCGACGCCCCTACGAGGCCCTCCGCACCGACTTCCCCGCAAACGCAAACGCACAAAGGCAGCATCAGCAGTCCCTTCAACCCTCGGAGCTGCGTGACATGCCGGAAGCGCAAAGTCAAGTGCGACAAGCGACATCCATGCACCAACTGCACCAAGGCGCGCATCGAATGCGTCTTCCCTTCGCCGGGTCGCGCCCCGCGCAAGGCCCGGAAGCCCCCCGACGCAGAGCTCTTGGAGCGCCTGAGGAAGCTGGAGGGTGTCGTCAAAACACTGGGCGGGGCCGCGGTCGATGGGCAGGGTCACACGGTTGATGGACAAAGCCAGGCACCTACAGGCAACTCTGGCGATCAAGCGACGCAGGGTTCCAATAGTGGCGGTACCAGCGTACATCATGAGTACGTGAGATGTCCGCGCGGGGAGGGATATCTTCCCCCCGAAGATAATTCGCTGCCGGGCCTCGAGACGCGATTTGGTAGACTGGTGGTCAACACAGATGAAGGGCGGAGCCGATACGTCAATAGCAACTTCTGGGGAAGCTTGAACAACGAGGTCGGTGGACTACGGACAGGCAAAAGTATTACAGGCGCATGCTGACCTTGCGCAGGTTGAAGACATTAAGGGACTGCTCACTCAAGCATCTGACGAGGAAGACGATTATCCTTCCCCTGAATCTGACTACACTTCCAGAAATCCAAACCATCAAGGCTTCATATTCGGGTATAGTTCCGTTAATGTCGACATGGCACCACTACATCCGCCACTCGAACACTGTCGCGCTATATGGGAGCTGTACAAGGAGAACGTGGATCCATTAGTGAAAGTCTTACACATACCAACTGCAGAACCGAAGATTCTTAAAGCCATGGAGAACCGGGAGCACATACCGAAAGGAATGGAGCCTCTTCTCTTTGCAATTTACTACGCAGTGATCACGAGCATATCAACCCCCGAATGCGAGAACCGGTTCGGGGATGACAAGCAAGCGTTGCTTGCCAAGTATCGGTTCGGTCTTGAACAGGGCCTTGCGCGCGCCAACTTTTTGCAATCGGATGAATGGATCGTGCTTCAAGCTTTCGTCATTTTCCTTATCAGCCTCCGACGGAACGAGGATGCAAGAATAATCTGGACCCTGACCGGATTGATTGTACGAATGTCGCAAACGCTAGGCCTACATCGAGACGGAAGCCACTTCGGCCTCTCTCCGTTTGCCATAGAGATGAGGCGTCGGCTTTGGTGGCAAGTGACCATCCTTGACACTCGTTCTAGTGAAGAGTAAGTGCTTTGTTTGGTTTTCTATGTTGTTCACAATCTATTTCATATTCCCAAGGCCTCCATTTTCTAGTACCTTGTGCAGTGCTTGAGATTTGTTTTGCCGAACCTACAAGGGATAGGTCGAATGTCTCTACGAAGTCAACGGTAAATCCTAATTCTCATGCGCTTGCACAGGATTCTGAAAAGTTGCTCCCTTGGCAGGGAATTGGCAGGCCGAGCTTAATATGCTTGGGATGCCTTGCCTTGCCAAATTACCCCAGGATCAAAGCAAGTTGAATCTGACAACATATTTCAGCAACGGTTGTGACCCTACAATCACGGAAGCCTCTTTTGACACGCAAATGCCGTTAAACGTCAACGATGAAGACCTGCACCCTGACATGACTGAGGCCCCGAAGGAACGGCTTGGCTGCACGGAAATGACATTCGGTCTGATCCGCTTCGAAGTCTCCAACGTTTTCCGTCGCATCCAGTACGTGCCACCAGCGCCCAACAGCTGCAGCCGGTACTTCTCCTCGGTCAGTCTGGAGCAAAAAGAGAAGTGGATCAAGGAAATGAATGCAAAGATCGAAGAGCGCTACCTTCAGCATTCCGACATGAGCGTCCCGCTATATTGGGTCATTGCCACCGTCTCACGGCTCATCATGTCCAAGATGTGGCTCATGATCTACCATCCATACCAGCGCCTTGATGGCGGTACCAGTCTTCCCCAAGAAACAAAGGACAGGCTTTTCCTGACTTCTTTGGAAAACGTGGAATACTCACTTCTTCTGGAGGACGAACGACGGACCGAGAAATGGGGCTGGCTGTTCCGGACGTATAACCAGTGGCACGCCATAGCATATCTACTAACCGAGCTCTGTGTGAGGACAAAGGGCCCACTCGTCGAGCGGGCATGGCGAGCCGTGGAGATTATGGCATCAAGGAGATGGGCGGACGCCAACTCCGACCAGAAGAAGGGGAACCTCTGGCGGCCATTGAGGAAGCTAGTCGCGACGGCGAAAGCAGCGAGGGAGAAAGAAATCGAGAGGGAAAGAGCCGAGATAGCCGAAGCGCAGGCCCAGGCCCAGCTGCAGGCATTGACGAGCCAGGCGCCGCTGGGGATGGACCTGTTCCCGCAGACGCAGACGGCCGGCATGGCGTGCCCGGACATGATGGGCGGGTCAACGGCAATGTCGTCGTCGTCGGCTGCTGGGCTCAATGGGGCCTGCGTCACTTCGATGCCGGACTTTACACACGGGCTCTTGGACCCGGCTTACCCGCAGCCGCAGCAGCAACAACAACAACAACAACAACAACAACAACAACAACACCCGAACCTACATCTTGTCACGCAGCCTTCGCCGCAACAACAGCAACAACAACAGCAGCAACAGCAGCAGCAGCAGCAGCAGCAGCCAATGTTCGACATGACGTCGCTGGACTGGCTGCTCAAAGACTCGCACGACATGTCCTCGCCCAACAGCTCCGCAGGGCCAGGCACGGTAGGTAGCAACAGCGTCGGTAGCGGCGGCGGCGGCGGCGGCGGTGGCGGCAGCGGCAGCGGCAATGCAGGCAACTCGTCCGGAAGTTCCGGCATTAACGTTGCCAGGGCGGCGGGGATAGGGACGGGGTCGACGACGTCGCCGACGGCGCAGGGTGGCGCGCCCCCGGCTGTGGATTGGGCGAACTGGGACGATCTGGTCGCGCAGTTCTCGATGGATAATGCTGGCGCTGCGGGGCAGGCGGTGGGTGGGGCGCTTGGTGGTGGTGGTGGTGGTGGTGGGGTGGGGATCCAGCATACGTTTGTGCCGTCGAAGGGGTTTGAGCCGTGGTATTGATGGTGTGAGCTGTGTGTGGTTGTGGTGGTAGTGGTGATGATGGTCGGTTGGTTGTCTGTTTGGTTGTTGGCTGTTGGTCATTTGCAGACGCGTGCGCATATACCACCTCTCTCTCTCTGTTTCCCTTTCGCCTTCTCTTCTGCTCTGTCTATGCTTGCACAACCTCTCTCTTCTCGTCTCTAGGCTCTCTGTGAGGGTGGTGGGGGTTTGCTGCTTAGGCGCTGTACACATTTACGGACTCAAATATTTCTTCTTCTTCTTCTTCTTTTTCTTCGTCTAGATATTTTCTCATATCGTCACGCCGAATGAATGAAAAATCAAACACCTACTCCGCGCATGCTGTTCGCTGGGACTGCGCTGTTGTGTGCTGCGTGTAGTTACAAGTGGGTTGTGTTGTGATCTACTGGAGCTGCCATTTATGGGAAGAGACGTCGCTTCCAAACACGTCGTGACATCGGAAGCTCCTGTAGGGAAGATGGTAGCCTCGGTGGTATTTGATACTTTTGGATGGTGAAGTTGGCTTGATGAGCTGGGTAGGAAGCGGTATATGATAATAGTCGGACTGACATTTGGCTATATCATTCTATCATATTATGTAAATCCGTGCAATTACAGGAACCATCGCATCCGAAATCCGCCCAAAAGCCAAACCACCACACCACACACCTCACGACGCACGACACACGACAGCAGCCGCGCAAAAAAAAAAAAAAAAAAAAAAAACCAAGAAAAACGCAATCAAAGCCCGCGTGAAGCCATGACCGGCCCTGATTGGCCAGCGCCACTGATGAGGCCCCGGAACGCTTCCGCGTTATAGGTTATGCTTCTCGCCAAGCTTTTTCGGCGCCGGGCCTGCCGTGCCAATTTCCACAGGGATCATGACACGGCGCCCGCCTTGCCCACTTTGGCTGTGTGCACCTTACCTCGTCTGATGCCTTCTGCTTATTCTTTCTCTCCAACTCTGCTCGCCCTGTCTTGGCTTGCTCGCTCGCTCGCGCAGCTCAGCTAAAGTACATAGCACTGGCAACATGCACGCTCTGCTCTGCTTGCTTCGGCTCGCCCAGCTATAGTACGTCCAGAACTACGCAGGACCTCCGGTAGCGGATCGCGCAGGCAGCTGGCCTAGCACGCGCCGGCACGCCGCCCGGCCTCGGCCGCAGGCAACAACGCCCCGAAACGGAACGCGCTCGCGCGCAGCGGCCGTACGGCGCGCCGCGCCCGCGGAGCATGTCTTTCCTTATGGGTTACTAGAGCGGGTGGCGCTCATTTGAGGGAGTGAAGGATGCGGGCGATGCGAAAGCGATGGATTGGGTCGGCTGATTGTGGACGCTGGCTGGTATTTGGGGAGCGTGGGCTGCTGTTTGGACGGGGTTTGCGTTTTTCGGTCTCTGCATTTGTTGTTGACTTTATCGAGACCTATACTCACGCTGAGCTCTGAGCTGAGCTGGGGCTCGTCCGTTCGCTTTCTTTTTGCTTCAGGGTCGCGTCTGGATACTACGCCTGCCTACTTACCTGCGCCTCAGTACCTACTGCGCTCGCCGATATAATACCCCGGACGGTCTCTCTTAATCAGTATTAATCAAGCACTCGCCATGGCCGACGACACGATCACTTCCGAACCTAGGGAGCCTCTGGCTGCTCCCGCTGAAGACGTAGCAGCCGAGGACGCGGTAGCGACGCGCCGCTTCGACTTCCAGGAGCATCTCTGGGCATGGAAGACGGGGCTGCGCGCGCTGACGTGCATCATCGCCGTCATCGGCATCGGCACGCTGGGCTGGGCCGCGTCCAACGAGAAGAAATACCCCAGCGGGGCGTGGATCGATGGGTCTGGCGTCGCTATCTGCATTGTTCCTGTAAGTGTACCAACACTACCACACCCAGCTTTAGCCAATATTACCCAGCAAGCACACTAAGTTAACGTCTCAACGCAGCTCGCCGTCTCCCTCGTCTTCAACATCCTCGTAATCAGCATCCTCTTCCTGCGGCGGCGGCCCATCCACCCGGGCTTCTGCGTAGCGCTAGACCTACTCCTCTGGCTCGCGCTCATCGTAACGGGGCTCTTCGTCACCAGCACCGCGCTCGACCTCACGCTGTACTACGCCGACGACGCCGACCCGTACTACTACAACCCGTCATCCAGCAGCAGCTCCAGCTCCAGCGGGTACCACTACGGCTACACCAGCTCCGGCTCCTACTACAGCTACTACACGCGCGGCGCGTACATCTACGACCCCAGCACCGGCACGTACGTCTACCAGGCCGCCGGCGCAGCGTGCAGCGGCTGGGCGTCGTGCGCGCAGGAGCGCGCTGTCCTGGCCGCGCTGAAGCACCGTGGCCGCGTGGAGTGGGTTGGTGCCGGCGCGGCGTGGGCCTGCCTGCTGCTGCACTTCGTGCTGTTTGTGTGGGCGTGCGTGGACACGAGCCGCAGGAACAGGCGCAAGGCGGGTGGGAAGGCGAGGGTCCTCGCTGAGGCTATCGTCCAGGAAATGGTCGATTCCGGGCGCTTGTTGCCGGCTGGGGGCGCGGCGGCGCAGGGGCAGCACGGCAACGTCGTCCAGCCGCAGAGGACGTATGCGCCGAAGGGAAGGTTTTATGGCGGTGGTGGTGCGCCGCAGGGTGGGCAAGGTGGGCAAGGTGGGCAAGGTGGGCAGGGCGCGCATGGCACGCAAGGCCTTATCCAGCCGCTGCAGCGGCCGGTGCAGCCGCAGCAGGCGCAGGTGGTGCGGGGCCCGTTGGCCGCGCTGCCGGAGATTAGGGAATCCCGGACGCTGGAGGAGGTGTGATAGTGCTGCGTTTTGCAATAGCACTGGGGGTCAGTTATGAGACTGTGGGGGAGAGGGAGGGGATGGTTAATGAATAAGTAAGATGCGGGGAAGGGGAAGTAATCTGGACCCACACTAGAGAGTGTGTATGGGTGTAATGTTTATGGCGCGAAAGCGCGAGAGATGGTGGAAGAGAATTGCGAACGGAGGATGGGGAAGGAGGAAGGAGAGGAGAGAGAGACGAAGAGACGCGTTTATTCCCACCACGTCATGTCATGCCATACCCGCGCCATGATGTCTGCCTTTATATCATTACATTGCTTTACACTTCACTCTTCACTGCATTACACTTCACTGCATTGTATGCATGTGCATGCGTATACAGTTGTTTGCCTGTATATTGTTCTTCTTGCTGCGCGCGCGGCTCCGAGATACCCTGCCTACCCCGGATTTATTAGTAGATGTGGTTAAGACTTCGTCTTTGGATTGGTTGGTTTTGCGTTTGTGTGGTTTCTGGTGTTGGGGGTGGTAGTGGTGTAGATGGATGAGGTTTCTTGCTGATGGGGGTGGATGTGTAGGTCATAGCTATTAGGGCGAAAGGGGGGTTCTATTAGTAGTAGAGCGAAGGGGGGAGGGAGGGAGGGAGGGAGATAACAAACGCAATTTTCATAGTTTCCATGCCAGAAGACACTCTAAATCGCATTCAAAAACCTCCGATGTACTGAACATAGCGCTCAATCACCTACCGACCGCTTTTTTATGCGGAAGCAAAGCGCGCTGGAAGAGACCGCTCTGGACTCGGGATAGCTACTGGATCTTACGCTTAGGTGGTCGGTCTAGTATTTAACGAGAAAGGCTGGAGACTTTGTCGAGAAGTTTGACGGAACTCCTAGTAATGTATCTTGTTGGGAAGGTGCTTCGTTGTCCTGCGGTGATGGTAACTGGTATGGTTTGGTAATACTGATAGTTAGGATCTTTGCGCGCGGGTGCTGTACAGCGGTTTCGTGGATGGGGGGGTGGGTTGTGTGTGTGTGTGTGTGTGTGTGTGTGTGTGTTGCCTGAGTAAGGTTAGTGTTAAGACGCGCGTAACGATCGTAATTTATCTGCTTCTTTATCCTTTGATGACTTCCTGCTTCTGGTATATGCGGTTGGCATAATGTTCGCGGTGGTTGGTGTCCTAAGCACTACCTGCTACTTATTTACTCGGTGTTGGTAGCTAAGAGGAGCTAGCGACGTAGCCGCTAGACGTTGAGGACAGTGGATGTTATCTCCGCCACAACTGCGCTTGTTGATTATGCGATATGAAGACTTAAAGAGGATCTGAATTATACGAGATGCGTGTACAAAACGGCCAGCAATGCCGACGTTGGCGCTCTACTATTTATAGAGAATTTGTTACGCAGTGCGTAATACTTGCTGCTACGCCGTCCTATTCTTTACTGAAAAATTAATGTGCTTTACTATACGATATCGCTCTAAACTCACATCTGTTTGCACTCTTCTCCAACTACTATGTACTGATAACTTGGTACTACTTGTCTCGAACAGTATAATAACGTAGATGCTATAATAGGGAGAGAGGACCGTGATAATGCTTACTGCAGTAATGAGTTGGTTCCAACTTCGAGCATGTAGTGTAGCAGGCAGAAAGTATATAGACGGAATTGGAAGAGCGAGACGGAAGAAAAGCCTAACATACTTAACCAGAAACGAGCTTTCCCTGCATCGAGCACCGAAAAGCTACTCACATAACAACACACCCAGGAAAGGAAACCCAGACAACACCAGCCCAAAATCCATACCTTGCACGAAACCACCACCAACCACAGACGCAGCCCAAAGCTAGCCACAGGATCCAACATGACGGTTCCGAAGAAAGTCGGCTCTCGAGCGACTCCGACACCAATCCTATGGCCCCGGTTCAAGGACTGCGGATACGAACTATGCAGGAAGCCGAAAGCGCAAGGCCGTCCAGTTTCGTAATGTTTTAGAAGGCTGAGGATGATGGTGCCGTGCTAAATAAACAGCATTTGGTTCAGTGCGTCACTGATCGTGCATGGTAACCGCCGTCGTTGTCAGCAGGCGGCAACGGAGCCATCACCACCACACTCACTCTCCCGCGGCGGTTATCCGAAACCCAGCCCACCGTAGCCAGTGACTAAGACAGCGGCAGCACCTATTTGCGGGCGCGGCCAGGACGGCAGACGCGATATCGTCCTTAAAGACGCTATACACGCGAAAGCTGCGTATTCGTGCTGTATAGACGGTATTTATACGCACCCTACCCCACCCCCTCCCTTGTGTAACCCTCCTCCCCACCCCACCACACCATCCCCAAACCAGCACCCCGCATACCATCGAACGCCGTGCAGCAGCAGCCGTTCGGCGTTCGCAGCGCGCCTGCGAACGAGGCGGAGGACAGACGCACGACGTGCGATGGTCATGCGGGGAGCTGGATGCGGTAAGGTCGATGGGTGGAGATGAAGGATAGGGTTTTGGATTTGGTGGTGTTGTGTTGGGGCGCGGGGTTTAGTTAACGTTGTGTAAAGTAGGCTGTCGTTTGCTGGTTCCATGACGTACCTACAATTATGTACCTACCTATGCAGCGAAGCCACCGTTTTCGGTTCGCGCGCGCTGCCGGCAGTCTATTTCGTCGGTATCGATTAAGCGTAATGTATATATGTATGTTCTCTCTTTCTTTCTCTCTCTCTCTCTCTTCTCCACCGTCCCTCTCTAATCGTCAACTCTATACCCAACCCAACCCCAACTCCAAAACCCACCAAACCAAACCAAACCAATCCCAAACCAATCCCACGCTATGCAAACCTAAAAAAAAAAAAAAAAAAAAAAAAAAAAAGGGGCACCGGATCCCACAATCCAAAAGCTTAACCCACCAACCCAATCATACCCAAACCCAATCGCGTCCCCGCACCCTCATCAACATAGCAATCATCACACATACTCTTCCAACCCCCAAAGAAAATCAAGGCGACAGCACCACCCCCCCATCCACAGCCTCGCACAGCAACTGCGTCGAGAGGCCCAGCTCCTTCAACGGCGGCGGCTTGTGTTTCTGCATCTGCGGTCGTTGATACTGCTGCTGCTGCTGCTGCTGCTGCTGCTGACTCTGCTGTTTCTGCTGCTGACCCTGCTGCAGCAAGTGCTCAGCCCCCCCACGCACCAGCGGCAACTGTCCTATACCCGTACCCGCACCCAGCCTTCTCACGCTCGCCTGCGTGTACACGTGGCTGCTGCTGCTGCTGCTGACTCTGCTGTTTCTGCTGCTGACCCTGCTGCAGCAAGTGCTCAGCCCCCCCACGCACCAGCGGCAACTGTCCTATACCCGTACCCGCACCCAGCCTTCTCACGCTCGCCTGCGTGTACACGTGCGTTCTCGTCAGCGGACTGTTGCTGCTGCTGCTGCTGCCGTTGGAGACAGGCTTGTTGTACTGCCTAACCCTAGACCCCGTACCTGGCCCAAGTCTAAGCGTAGGCTTAGAGTGGAGTCCTGTACTCCCAGGTCTAGACATAGACACAGACGTACACCCTTGCGCATTCCCGCTCTTCTCCAGCAGCGGCGAACGAGGAGGCATTGGCTTCGGTTTCGGTGTTGGCGCTAGCTTTGGGTTTGGCTTCGACATTGGCGGCGGCGGTCGACGAGAACCCAGTAGCGGTCCTGCGCCGTTCTTGTTCCCGTTCCAATTCCCACCCCCGCCCACACGCACAAGCGGCAGCGGCGCAAACGCAATCACAGACCCTCTCTTCCTTTTCCGCTGCGACAGCGACTGCGACGATTCACTCCCACTCCAACCCCCACCCCCGCCTCCGCTTCCATATCCATATCCATTCCCGCCTCCACAGCCGCCACCCCCCTCCTTCGCTGCCGCCGTCTTCGCAGTCTTCATCGTCGCAGTCCGTCCGTCCCTCGTCCCCGCCTTAGCAGATGCTAGCGCACAAGCTGCCGGCAACGCCTCCGCCTTTTGCTGTCTGCCATAACCATGACCATGACCATGACCATGACCATGACGCGGCGGAAGCGGAAGAGGCCGAGAAGGCGGCGATGGTGCAATACGCCTATCCCTATTCCCATCCACACCCACACCCGGCGCCTCCAGCTCCGCAGCCTCTTGAGTCGAGAACGCGAGGTCCTGGGTCGAGAGCATCAGCAGGGGCGACAGCGGCTGCAGTGGTGCGGACGTAGATGCAGACACAGGCGCAGGCGCAGGCACAGGTACAGGTGCGGGTGCAGGTGGCTGTTGTGGTGTTGCCAATGGAGAAGGACGAGGAGGTAGAGGCGAAGCAGCAGCAGCAAGCTCGCGCTCAATCTGCGAATTGCTGTCGAGGAGGGCGGCCCAGTCGTCTTCGTCCTCATCATCATCTTCTTTTTCGTCAACACCACAAAAATCACCGACCCCTCCACCTACACCACCACCAACAGTACTACCACCCCCTTCGCCGCCACTGCCACTGCCATTACCGAAGCCACCACTCTTATTCCCGCTATCAGCAGCAACAGCAGCAGCACCAACGCGGCGATCCGCCCCTTCGGCAAGCCCTCGCCATTTAGCTCTTTCCAACCGAGGACGATCCCCCTCGGCAGCCTCAGCCAGAGCCTCGGTAAACGGTAACCTTTGGCCGCTGTGGCCGCAAGGGCCGCAATGCCCGCAATGCTCGCAATGCTCGCGCTCAATGCGACGTCGCTTGCGCGCCGAAGATGACGACGACGCCGCCGCCGATGCCAATGCGGGAGAAGACGGCAATGGCACAGGGAGAGGAGGCGGGGGCGTGCACGGCCACGTGGTGGACGTGCGGGCGCCCTGTCGATCGCAGACAGCCGACGTGCGCTGAGGCCACTTGTGAGCGCTCTCATGACTACCACTTCCGTTTCCACTTCCGGATTGGCAACGCTTATTTCCCCTTGCGCTATCATTCCCGTTACCGCTATGGCTCTGGACGCAGGGGGCCGGAGATTGATGCACATCGTGGTAAGGCTTGCTCGCGTCGGGGCGTGCGGCCGGGTTGCACGTCTGTGACCGTGGCCGTGACCGTGATCGGGAGAGCCCGTCCTCGAGCGCTTGGAGCAGCGTCGCGTCGTCGAGCGTGTCGCTGCTGAAGGGGTCAGAGGATTGCGTGAGGGTGACGAGGGCGCGTGTGTCATGCAGGGCTGATGATGGCGGCGGTGGTGTGTGCGTCGAGGTGCCATTTTGATGAGAAAGAGGGGGAGGGGCGGTTGGGAGATCGTTGTCGGTGTCGGCGTTGATGTTGATGTAGTTGTTGGTGATGGCTTTGTCGTTGCTGGTGTCGTGGTCGAGGTTAAGGTTCAGGCCGGTTTGCTCCTGCTCTTTTTCCTCTTTCGACTTTTTCAATAGCGTAGCCGGCGTCGAAGTAGGCAGCGGCTTCGTCTGGCGGGGTGCTCTGCACGTGTCCGCGTCGTTCGGAGACGGTGCTGCCGCGCCAATGCCTCCCAGCCCGACCTCAGTCACGACCGGCTCTCGCGCATCAACAGCCACGACCTCGTCCTCGTCCTGCCCCTCCGCCCTCAACGGACTGCTCGAGCGCCACCAGCTCTCCTCTTTCCCCTCCCCCACACTATTCTTCCCTTCACCCCCCTCCTTCCCCCGCCCAACGCCCACCCACCCCTCCAAAAACCCCTTCATCCCCCTCATCTCGACATTCCAACCGCACCTCTGCGTCGCAAAACCAACACCAATGCCTTTCCTAGCGTCGCGCTCGCGTTCCTCGCGCTTAAGTCTCTTCTTCTTTGCGTCCTTCCTCTTTAACTCGCGTTCCTTGATCGCGGCCGCGCGGCGGTCGAGCTCGGCTTGGCGCGCGAGGCGGCGGAGGTCTTGAGAGCTCGGGCCTGCGGGGCCGGCGCGGTGGAGGGATTTTGCTTGCTTGAGCGTGAGGGGGGCGTGCGTTGTCGAGGGCATGTTGGGGGTGGTGCGTGGGGTGTGCTGCGTGGGACGAAGGTGGTGGTGGTGTTGTGGTGGTTGTTGTTTTGGTTGTTGGGGTGAGGCGGGCTCAGTTGCGCGTGCGTTGGACGTGTCGGTGGTGGTCGTCGTGCCATAGCGGGGACGGCATACAGGGTGGGAAGCGGCGTGGCGTATGCGCGCGAGCGTGTGTGTATCGGTAGCAGTGGTGACAGATAGGCAGACGGCGTATTCGCTTGTGTTAACGTTGTCGATGTTGGTGTTACGCTGGTGGTGGTGTTGTTATGGTAGCGCAGTGCAGCCTGCAGCTCGGCAGACAGGCCACCAGACAGGCAGGCGAAAGCGAGCACGAGCTGCACGCGCGCGCGTCAACACGTGGGGCGGGGGGGCAGCGGCAGCCCCGCGTGCGTGAAGAATCCCAGGATGCGACCCGGCGACGAGTAGCGATTGCCGTTTGCCGTTTAACGTCTCGCTTCACACGTGGACGGCGCCTGTCACTTATAGCAGCGCCACGGTACTATTGCATGTCTAAATCCGGATATAGCCAAGGCAAGACCCTGCCCGGAACCGGGATTTCCTGGTGATAACGGACTTCTATTGCCTGCGTATCTATGTCGTCATGGATCGCGAACATCGCCCACAGCCCACAGCTGCTGCTGTTCTGCAGCCCTTCTGCCTCGCAGCACGGCACCACCACGCCGCTCACCAATGCGACGCAGTCCGTTTTCGTCAAAATACCATGCCTCTTCCTCCCCGTCCTCCCCTGGCCTCACCCCTGTGACTGCGAGTCCGCCCCGAGATCCAACTTCGCAAGCTTGGTTTTTAAGTTATCTATCACCTCACGTTGGTACGCGTACCCATCTTCCACTCTTTTCTTCGAGATCCGCTCCATGTGGAGCTCGCCTTGGAGTTCCTGGATGCGGTTTTGGTGGATGGCTTGTCTATTTATTATTTGTTCGATCCTTTGGCAGCGTTTGGTGTTGTTAAAGAGGATTTCTGTCATAAAAACGAGACTTCTATGAAGACTAGCACAGGGGGTGGTGTTGGGGGCTCCGTTGGGGGGGTGCGGCTGTTGGATCGCGTCCAGCTTGGTGCCATGGGCGTCGAGGGTGCGGACAATGGCCGCGAGAGTCTTTTGGATGTCTTGGGTAGGGTCATCCTCATCGCCGTCATCCTCCTCATCCTCCTCATCGCCACTATCAGACCCACCGTCCTCCAAACTCTCAGGCGCCTCCGGGCCCGGTACGTTCGCCGGCGCAAAACATTGACATTGGGGCCCATGTCCGCTCAAGACCCCATTGATGGGAATAGGGGTAGGACGCAATGGTGGCTGTAGCTGTGTATACGGAGGAGGGGGCCAGCGAAGTTCGAATATGATCGAAGTATTTCCTGTGGTGTTAGGCCCTGAAGACCGTTGAGACTGCCTGGTGTAGCATTTCGATGTGTTGCCTGCTGCAGTGGTGCCGCAGGGAGGGCAGAGCCCTGAGCCCCGTTTAGCGGCCTTGTAGGCGGTATCGCCGGGTTCTGAAGTCCATTGACGGCCGTTACAGCAGGTTGTGCCATCTGCTGCCCTGCCGCTAAGGATGTAGCAGTACACCGAACGAACTCGAGATGTTCGCGAAATGTGCGAAGAACCGAGGGCAAAGGCGGGCTCGGCGTCGTCTGTCGCGCATGCGGTACCGTGTCGGAGACGGTACGTTTGCGTTTATTGCTGGGCTGTGGAGCTGACATTGTATATATGATGTAAAATGAATGATAGTCGATACCGGTTCGTTTCTTGGTAAAGTGAAAGAATGGCGCCGAGGCTGCTGGCTGGCTATGTTGGATATTTCGCGTGTGATGGACGGGTGTATGGATGGATGGATGATGGAATGGTATGTAGAGTCGTCAGACAGGCGACTTGCGCCTTCCTCGCGGATAGGTCCACGCACTGCGCTTTCCATCTGTACGGATCAAGATCAGAGCGCCCCAAGAACGCAGCACCACACCACCACCACCACCACCACAAATACCAAAGCTCTTGTTTGCAGTCGTGAAGCCGGCGGCCAGCTGCGGTAAAAAAAAAAAAAAAATTGGCGATTTTCGGGCCTCAAAAGAGAAAAAAGAACTCCAAACCCACTATGGTATATAGCTAAAGAACAAACCAACCGCCCGGCCATTTTTTCCTTTTTTCGTTTTCTTTTTTCTTTCTTTACATTATCTTTCTTCGACTCTGACTTCGGTCGTCCGCACGATGCCCACACACCCGTCCTCAGGCAAAATGCCCTCGGCGCTCGTCTTCCGCGCATCCATGTCCCACTCTTTGCCCGTGCTGCTGCCGCCCACACTCACGGTCTCCTTGCCGGCGCTGCCGCCGCCGCGGTGGTGATGATGGCTGAGCAAGCCGCCGTGGTGCTCCTTGGCAGGGCCCGAGACTTCGGCGACGTAGTCGGTCTGGGTTTCCATGTGGGTGCTGGACAGGCTGGTGAGGGCGACGTTGGTGTCGTCCTGCTTGAGGTAGCCGAGGTTGTTGGTGCCGCGCTGGTAGGCGTACGTCGACGGCAGCATGTGCCGACCGTTGGTGTGCTTGGTCGTGCCGGGCTGCCCGTTGCTGGTGGTCATGGCCCGGGCGGCGTCGAAGAACCAGCTGAACAGCGGCTTGAGCGCGGGCAGCGACGCTGCCATGATGCCCACGTTGAGCTCGATGCTGTTCCATACGTTGAACGAGTCATGGCTGCATGCGGGTCGGTCGGTTAGCTTTGTTGCTCTGCCGCTGCGCTGACAGGGGTGCCCGAACTGGTGGGGACGGCCTGCGGGGTCTTTGAACTTACACTGTCCAATCCGGCTCGTTGATCACGGTGAACTGCATCACAGCTTTGACAATGGCCGCCGCGCACGCGAAATAGCCCAGGCTCAAAATGCCGACGAGCGATAGCTTGGTCCGCGTGTTGACTTGGAGTTGCCAGATGAACGGAATGGGCAACGAAGCGAAGACGACGTCGGTAACGATGTTCACGCCTTGAATGTGTCAGGGTTGAACGGCAGGTACCGGGAACTGACATGTACTTACAACTGTTGAAGAGGCCAATGTTGCGGAAGGTCATAAAGTCGAAACACTTTGCTCCGATGGAACGGTCCCATGCGCCTTGGACCGGCGTGCACTGGAATATGAGAGTCCCGGCGCAAGAGATTGTAAAAGCGATGAGGAAGACTGCATTGTGGTCAGCTATCAGCGGTGCACCATCCGGATGCAACTTTTACTCACCGATCATGCCCCAGATGACGCGAATGTGCGTTTTCCGCTGGGCCAGCCGGAGGAGGAACATTGCAAGCGATATTTTGACAAGACTAATTGCAACCATGATGAAGATGGAATGTATAAACAGCCATCTTAGAAAGTTTGAGTAGGCTTCCATGTCAGCCATCATGGCCAATGCATGTTTTCCGAGGCCGTTCTCGGTTTCCTTGACGAAGAAAACAAAGACCAAGACGCTGATTGCCTTGCACCGAGTGTTAGCGTGGGTACCAAGTGGCGGTTGAAGGTCCTTACGGTGCTGATGACCATCAGGTAGTCGTCGGGACCGAAGAAGCGGAGCATGACGGCCCGCACGTAGGTGCGCAGAAGCACGATTATGACGGCGATGGCCGTGAAGGCTCCAGTGATGGACAGGATCTCGTGAGCACGGCTGTAGTGCAAGTACTCTGGAGACAGGGAGCTGAAGTCGAAGCCCTTGACCGCCCTCGCGTGGAGGACGGGCCCGGGGGGAGGAATGGCTGGCATTGGGATCGTGTACAGTAGGCCAAGCACAGCTTGACCGCGGAAAGAGCAGAGCAGAAGGACTAAAAGTGAAAAGAGAGAAGCAAAAGCGTCGTCATGAGGTGTCGAGTGCGGAGGGAGATCCACGAAAGTCCAGAGCAGCGGGACAAGAGGCGAAAAGGGCAGGCTGATCTGCCGGACAGGGCTGGGACGGGAAAGCAAGAGGGGACATGCAGGTAGTACATAGCCAGAACCATTAGCCACCGACTCCCGAGTCAATTAAGCACGCTATGTCGCAGATTCGGGCGGACGACAAGGAGACCATCGCCCGGTGCCAGATTGGGATGGCTCCCGCAGCGGGACGAGACATGCCCATGGCCGGGGGCTTGCTACATAAACGCTGTCGCTCCTCGGCCTTTGCACATCCCGGCGGGCTAAAGCTCCGACAGCGCTGCAGGTGGTGTTTTGCAACAGGGGTCAGGCAGCCTCAGGGCTTTCAATCAGCCCAAAACATTAAGGCCCGCCGTATCAGGCGATGCTCGAGGATCTGCTTCCACGGGAGCGTTTGCTGGTCGGCCCAGTAGGCGGTGGGCGACGATTCGACCAAAGGAACGACGAAATGGGCAGGGTCAGCTGTTGATGCGTGCTATCTTGGACTTGGTCTGGGGAAAGGGTTGTTGGTGTTCTTCTCGTTTCGAAACACCGGCGCCCGTGCGCTTCGCTTGCGAGACAAACGAGAAACACCACGTTGCCTGATTCATTCAAATGAACCTCAGATCATCCTTGCTTTTTTTTTTCTTGTTCCCTTCCGCGCCTCGAATCTCGATGCTGTACTCCTACGTCCGTATCATCTCGATTCTAGCCTCCCATCGCCACCGCACCAGCGAACGCCTCCCGTCCGCTACCGTCGGCCACCCTCCGCCACCATCTTCCCTGTGACGCGTCTCCCGCCGTGCAGCTCTCGGAATATGCCTGCGCATCGGTGCCTGGCGTGCCTGGAAAAAGAAAATGCCCCCCTCCACCTGCCGACCAACACCGACTCCACAACGTCGTCCCGGGATCTAATCTCCCTGGCGTCGGGATCTTATGGCGCCACAATTTACGCCCATTGATGAACACCATTTACGTAAATTGCTGTGCGGGGACGCTCTGCGGTCGGCTGTACTCGGCAACTCCACCAAGATGCGGACGCGGCACCGCGGCACCCGAGGCCAGACCCGGGTGCTGCTTGCCCCTGTTGTTGCGACCTCCGTAGTATATCTATCTCGGGCAGTGCCCTGTGGAGTGTGGGAGAAAAAAGCAAAGGGTTCCCGCCATAACTCTCACCTGCCTGATGCGGCGGGTGCATCCACCGCGGGTCGGGGACGGCTTCCCTACTACCACCGCTCGCCGAGCCAAAGCCACCGAGGTCCAGCGCCTGGAACTCTTCACGGCGCAGGTTAAGACCTTCGTCGCCACTTCGCTCGCTTACTGCTGCTCCTTCCCGTCGCGCCGGCGCTGTCTTGATTGCGGCACGTGGATTTCTCGCTCGTTTTCTTGTCATGGTTGTACGGGTTCCACCGGTACCACCGGCACTTCGCTAGCACAGCCGTCGCCAATGCACGCCACGGACGCTCCTCGCAACGTGCTCAGCCTTTCCAGACTTTTGCCTCACTTGCTGTTCATGCAGGGATGGGTCCAGTAATACGGACGCGCTGTTCATCCTGCCTTTCAATTGGCTTGTTTTAACGTGTATCATGCCACGCACCCACCGCTTCCATCGTCTATTTCTCCATGTCCATTTAGGGACCCATTGCGTTGCTGTGCCGCCGGTTAGTGACCGCCCGTTCATGTGCAGAATAGGAGACGTCGAACGCAACAAATAGATTGCTGCCGCCGCCCTTCCTTGTACTGTACCACCACAGCCCACCCCCAAGTCTGGTCAACTCCCAATTCACCATGCGTTCATTCGGAATTGCGGCCGTCGCGGCCGCCTTGTTCGACGCCTCCAATGCCGCTGCTATTAAGACGTCGCTCACTCTCGAGACGGACCTGCTGGCTGCCTCTTCCTACGCCAACCTGGGCGCGTACGTCCTGACGAACGGGCCCTTTTCGAAAGACTGCAGCCTGGAAAACGCAGCAGTCCGTAAAGAATGGTGCGTCATATGCTTCAAGCCTTGGTGGCCTAGCCCTTTCTGACCTTTCGTCACAGGAGCAACCTCTCGACCGCCGAGAAGAAGGATTACATTCGTGCGGTCCAGTGCATCAGCACAAAGCCTGGACTCACCTCCAAGAAGATTGCCCCCGGTGTCCGGTCCCGGTATGACGACTTTGTGGCAACTCATATTAACCAGACGTTGTCGATCCATGGCACGGTACGTTCATCTAAAAATGACCCAATTGCCACCACCAATGACGCTGACCTTCGTACGTAGGGCAACTTCTTGGCATGGCACCGCTACTTCACGTGGGCGTACGAGCAGGCCCTTCGTGATGAGTGCGGTTACCAAGGCTACCAGCCTGTAAGTTGACACGGATCACCGCCATCACTTCCCGAAGCTGACATGACTGCAGTACTGGAACTGGGGAAAATATGCCCAGGACCCCATCAACTCACCGCTCTTCGACGGTAGCGACACCAGCATAGGTGGCAACGGCGTGTACGAGAAGCACGAGCCCATTTGTAAGTCCCTGCCTGACGCCTTGACCCTCGCGTGCAGCCTTATCGTTGCAGCCTTACTGACAGTATCACGTAGACGTGCCCATGGCCGCAACGCCATATGTCACGGTCCCCCCCGCCAACGGTGGCGGGTGCGTGAAGGAGGGGCCGTTCGCCAACTTCACCGTGCGGCTGGGCCCCGTGTCGCCAGCATGGACGGGCCTGTCGACGAACCCGCAAACGGACGGCTTGGGCTACAACCCGCGATGCCTGCGACGCGACATCAACTCGTACCCGTCATCAGGGTGGACGAAAGACAACGACACGGCGTCGCTGATCAACGACTACGACGACCTGTACTGGTTCCAGACGCGCATGCAGGGCGACTTCCCCAACGGCTTCCTGGGCGTGCACACGGGCGGTCACATGACGCTGAACGGCGACCCGGGCGGCGACCTGTTCACCTCGCCCGGCGACCCGGCCTTCTACCTGCACCACGCGCAGATTGACCGCGTGTGGTGGATGTGGCAGAACCAGAACCCGGGTGAGCGCACGTACAAGGTCAGCAGCACCATCACGTCGCAGAATCTACCCCCGAGCAGAAACGCTACCCTCGACGATTTGATCGATTTGGGCGTTAATAAGGGCGCGATTACTATTAAGGACGCGTTGAGCACTGTTGCTGGGCCGTTTTGCTATATTTATGCTTAGGGGGTTGACGTAATCGTAAAAGTTGGTATTGGATCTATGATTGTTTTTTTGGTTGGGTTGGCGTGGTAGAGGTACGCAGTACGTATATACAGTAATGTTTTTCCTGTAATGTCTTGCATGGGCTGTTGCTGTGCTTGCATGCTTGTGCTTGATGTGAAGTCAAACAGCGTCGTGCTCTTTGCCTGTTGTGTTCTTTGCTTTTGTGGCAGTGATGCACCACCGCTGCGGATGCGGCCTGGAGGGAGGTAGGGGTTAACAAAAACCACTCACGGTCCTCCTCCTCTCCCACCACAGCACGAGAACCCGCACAGGCAGGGCTTGCGCTAACGCAACTCGTGTTCGAAATTACAGAATGCGGTATAAGGGCGGTACTACACTTAGTCTTAGTCTTACTGACTTGCTAGGTCAGGGTACGTACTGCGACTGCCTACTTCATCAGGTGAGGATCTACACCGTGCAGTGGAGTGCGTGGTTATTATTGCGCACTACTGGTGGTGCTTGTTATTTCGTGCTATTGATCGTTGTCATTGTTGTCATCGTTGTCATCGGAGGCAGCAGCAGCAGCAGCAGCAGCAGCAGCAGCAGCAGCAGCAGCAGCAGCAGCAGCAACCAAGCGCAGCCGCACAGCTTCTTAGCTGAGTGCGTGAGGCGCGCCCAGGTGAGCTGGAACACTGTTCATGAACAATGACAGCGTTTGATTTGTCCTTCGACCTTGGGCGTGGCGTCTCGTAGTATCTTAAGAGTAGGGTTTGCCAGGATGGATTTAAATAGTTAGGCGTGGAAGCTGCCGCTGGATGGTTGAGGTGCTGGCTTGGGTGGATGGCGTGGAGAGGTAGAGGAGGAGGGTGGAAGGGGTAGTAGGGTTGTGTGCTTGTTGGTCTTGGGTGGGTGTTTGCTAGGTGGTTGCTGGGGCGTGGCAAGGGCTGTTTACGCAATGTGCTAGCCGGTTGAGCGCGGGTTGGGTGGTTTGGATTTGGCGGTTAGGTGGGGGAGGGAGAGCTTTTAGGCGTATAGTTTATGGTTTGGGGTGATGGAGGTGGGAGTGGATGTTGTGTTTGTGGTGTTGTGGCTGAGGATTCAGTGAGCGAGGTAATGGTTTACTGTTTATTTTCTCGTGGGGTTTTCTTCGTGCCTGCTCGGCGCTGTATTCCCAGCGAGAGTTGAGGTTAGTGTGTAGTGGAAGGTAGTAGAATATTCGGTTTCGATGACTTGCCCGTCCGTGTGGCGGTAGTAGAAGTTTTGCGAAGCTATATATATCTATAGTTAGGTTTATTAGAAAGGGTAAGAGATGAATATTCTTTTAGGAGAGGAATTTATACTGTCACTTGTTAATAGGAATGCCTTATTCATCACTGACGGTTTCCCTTCGAGTAGCGAATATCGCCTCACCAATTATAGTCTTCATAGACGGATTTGGTCTATATCGCAATATGTACCGTTGGGCGTGGGTGGCGCCCTTGAAGCTGTCAGATTAAAAACGAAATACAAGTGCAAACTTCAAACCTACCCGCACACCAGCGCACACAACCACTACCCACCCCCGCTACCGCTGCCGCTGCAATACACCACCAACGCGTCACAACACCCACCACTATCAGCAGCACCATCACTATCACCTACACCCACACACACCATCCCTTCAAACACTCCGCAAGCAAGCGCAACGGCCATAAGAGATTGAGACCACACGCACATGCTCGTATACGTGGAGGCAACTGCCCTGTGTGCTTGTAGTACGCGCTATCAGTGTCTAGCTAGAGCGTTGTTGCTTTGAAGAGCTTTTACGGCGCCGTTGCAGTCAGTATTTACTATTATAGGGTATAATACTATATACGCGCGCCGCTGTTGCTGCTGTAGCCCCTCTCTCTTTTCTCCGTTTTAGTGGAGCTGGTAAAGCCAGCTGACCAACCAGTCAGTTAATCAGCCGTCTATCCGCCGTCTCCAGACTTTGGAGTGTTATAACTAATAAACACGTTGGTAGGAAGCGAGTATTACGTAGTCCGTCCCGCATCGGCATGCCCGCCGCGGGAGGAAATAGAGTTACGCAAGTGCGTGCGTGCGTGCGTGCGTGCGTGGAAGCGTGCGTATATAAGCAAGGGGCAAGAGAGAGAGAGAGAAAGGCAGTGGCGAGAGGAATCAAAGAAGACCGAGCGCGAAGAAAGAGAGAAGAGATACAGAAACCGAATACCCCAAAAAGCCTCAACAGACAACAATTCAATCCCTATTAGCGCAAACACCGTCCTAACACCATCGTAGAAAAGTAAGGTAGAAAACCACCTCCCCTACCCGCTTAGAAACAAACACAACTAAGAAACCATGCCAGCCTCAACACGCAGCAAGGAGCCTGCCATTTCCCCTCCCATACACAACACACAACCCCACCACCCACCACCTCAGCGCAGTCTACAAAGGAAGGAAGTGTTCTAGTCCAATCGCGCCGTGCACGCCCCGCTATCTTAATCTATGAACTTGACCCGCTCACTGCAGTACTGCACACACTGCGCTGTAGCCTGCTGTTGCTGCCGCACACACATACCCCACGCACCCTCCCCCCTCCCTCGCCTCCATCCACACACCATACAACCTCTGTCTCTACAACCCCTCCCCAACCAACAACCACCACGCAAGCACACAAAGAAGCAAGCACGCAAGCAAGCACACGCAACGCACGCACCGTACCTGCATATTCGAATGAAACCGCGGCATTTCCAAATCTTGGAATTAGGCCATGCGTTTACAGGGTGGAAGTAAGGCATGTAGTAGGGAAGAGGGAGGTGTCGCATATGCAAGCTTGAATAGAAGGGCGTTTGCGTTTAGCTGGGCACTGAGCTGGGCGCTGGAGCGGAGTCCGTGGTATGTATGCATGTATGCTCCTGGTCTGAGGGAGGGAGAAAGACAGATGAGAGAGATGGGGAAGAGGTACGGTGTGGGAATAATGCGTCGTGGGAATAATGCTTTTCAGGAAATAGAATCGCAGACTCATAACAGCGTCGGCTCCACCTCCAGCGGCGCCCTCCCCTCCCTCTCCTCGCGCTCCACCTCCTCGTCCACCTCATCGCCCAGCTCCTCAATCGGAAACGTCAGAATAGCCGCAATATCGCCCAAGCCCTCGAGGCGCTTGCCGCTCTCATGCGCCGAGCTCAGGACTCTAACCTCGCCGCCCTCGACCTCTCTGACACGGTCCACAAGCTTCACCCATCTTCGGCGCACGCCCACGTCTTGCGAGCGGAACAGCGCGTTCGAGATAAGCAGGACGCCGCCGCCGCGGCCGACGGCGCCCTTCTCGACCGCGCGCTCGACCTCGCGCGGCCCGTACCACGCGCGCCCGTCGTCCGCTCGCAGCAACGCCATGAACTTGTCCATCAGCTGCGTTTCGCGCGCGTATTTCGTGTCGCTGAGGCGCGCGAGCACGGCGGGGGACTTGAGCACTTCGGCGAGCGCGTGCACGTGGCCCGAGGAGGAGTGCGCGATCAGGATGGATGGCACCAGCGCTTGCAGCGGCTTGTTGCCGCTGCTGAGCGCGTGCGCTTTGATGTACGACTGGAAGCTGCTAGCGGTGAAGCCGGGGGATGCGAGCAGGAGCGGCTTTTGTGCGCTCAGGTCGAGTTGGCGTAGCAGCGTGCTGAGCACGGTGGAGAAGTAGCGTTCGAGGGCCTGTGCCGTGTGCGTGTGTGTTAGCTGCCGGGAACGCCTTGCGTGGTGTTGCTGGTGCAGACGTGTCCAAAGCTAGGTACGCACCTTCTCGTGGTCGCTGGTCCCGCCGCGCCGTTTCCTGGGGATGGCGACCTCGACGCGCTGGCGCAGAATCGTTTGATGCTCGGTAATAAGGCAGATATTGGCCAAGCCCTCCTGCATAACGACAGCCCACGTCTCAGCGCGCTTGGTGGGATCCGTCGCCTCCTTGAGCATGTCGATAGCAATGCTGTCCCAGCCGTCGGCCTTTTCGAGCGTGAAGTTGCGCTGCAGCTCCAGGTCGAGCGTGTGCGCCTGGCCCAGCCCCACGAACTCGTTCTCCGCCGCCACCTGCCCCATGACATGCAGCTGGCCGCCGGCGGCGTCGAAGTCGCTGCCCGTGACGCGGATCGAGAGGGTCGTGTGCACGCGCTTCGACGACGTCGCGCCTGTCGCTGAGGCTGTCGTCACTTTGCGCACGGCGCTCGCCCGCAGCACGTCGTGTGGCCGGATCAGGTTGTAGGCGTGCCACATGTCTTCGGGCTCTTCCGGGAGCAGGGTCGCGGTGCCGGCACCGGTGCGCCGGTCTATGGATTGCTTGATTAGACGCATGGTTGGCTGTGGTGGTGTAGGTGGTTGTGGGAGAGAATTGGTGGTTTGGAGGTGACGTTGTTGGCTCGAGCGGGCCGCGGTGGCGGGGCAGCTCTCTTCTCTGACGTCCATCCTCGCATTCTTCTTCCATCATGTCTTGATACTTGTCTCTAGCTCTGATATTGGACCTTGCCAGAAGACCACACTGAGCATAATCGTAGCAGCTAAGTGAGCAGTTTCGATTATGAGTGTTGGGCTTTTTGCTCAGTAAAAGGCCATGTCTCATTGGCCAGCTTGGATTATGTCTATTTATTCTGCTTTTATCTCTATCAATCCTACCTATATCCTACTGGTACCGCTGTCCGTCGTTGCTGCTGCGGAGGTGCCGGTGCCGAATGCCTGGGGAGTGGCTGCCTGGGGAATGCGGGGCTGCGGAGTGGGTGTGGCTTGCTTGCTTGCTTGCTTGCTTGCTTCCTTGCTGGTGCTGCTGCTTGTGGTGTCATGTGATGCCGCCGATGGCGGTGATGGTGGTGGATCTGCTAGACTGCTGGCTGACGTGTGTGTTTTAGTAAGGGGTTGACTTTGTGAGGGATTGCTTAGAGGCGTTGGGGTTGCGTGCGCGTTAGGTTTGGGATAGACTGGGACTTGGCTTTTCGATGGTTTGTTAGAGCCGAGAATATGAGAAGGCTTGGACGCTATAGTTTGTCTTGCCCGTTTGCTCCCCGTCACCAATATAGATACGTATCAACCAGTCAATGCAGAAGCTGAAGAGGCTCAGAGAGTGATACATAATTAACGAATGAACATATACACATCTATGCTTCCGTTCGCCAATACCAGGATATAGAACAACGTACCACACGCACTGTACACCCTCTCACCGCAATCAAGTGCTCCGCCCCGGCTCCACGAGCCGGACTCTCCTCCCACCAGCCCCAGCGCCTGGGCCCTCATCCCGACCGACTCCCCTCCCCACCACCACGCCCTCATGCACCGTCTCGGCCCTCTCTCTCCCACGCTCCCTCCCCGCTCCAAACGCGCCGCCCCCGCTCGCGCGCCCCCCGCCAGCACCACCAACACCACCAACTCCGCCCAACCCGATGCGCGCGCGCGCCCGAGCCGACGCCTCTGCCACAGCGCGGGACTCGCCGACGCGGCGGCCGTCGTCGCGCACGCGGCCCTTCTCGCGCTCCGCCTTCGCCCGCCGCAGCTGCTCGAGCCGCTCGTCGCGCCGCGGCCCCGCCACGCAGTCACATGTGCACCCCTCGGCCGGGCACACGCCGCCGTTCTGCCCCGTGTCGCCGTGCCATGCCCGGAGACATGTCGTATGCGCGCAATGGCCGCAGATCGGGCAGCTGGTGTAGAGGGTTGGGTGTGCGGGCGGCTCGTCGATCGCCGGATGCCCGGCTGCCGAGCGCCCCCTGGGACGGAGACGTGGCTCCGCCGCGTGGGGGATCGTGACTTCGACTGTGCTGGGTCCCGCTTGAAGCGCGGAGACGGAGACGTCAGATGGCGTGTGGCTATGGGCATTGACCCGGTTGCCGCTGCGCAGTGTTGCTGAGCGCGGGATGCTGATGCTACCTTGGCCCTGTTCGGCGGCGCCTCGCTGATGGCCACGCACTCGAGACTTGCTCTTGCGCTTCTTCAACGTCGGTGCCATTTCTGGAGGCGGATATACACTCCAGCAAATGGGACAGGGTGCTTGACGGCCTTTGCAGTTTTCGCACACCATCTTGTCGGCAGGATTGTTGATGGGGTTCTTGCATTTCGTACACCTAAAGCCAATTTGCGTCTCTTGCAATGCCTGCTCGTACACGGCTGGATAACTAGGATAGGAGACACGGCGGAGGAAGGCTGCCGTGTTGAACAAACCTAGCGAGAGCAACTGGTTGTGATAGGCTAGCAGGACAGACTCTACTTGGAACGGGTTGATTCCCGTACGGGTCAATGGTATCAAATGACTGTTCAGGATCGCGCGAATCTGTGGCGGGGTCATGTTAATCGTAGCCATGTGATCTGCATAGGCATTCAGGACTGATGTCGTTAGTGGTTGCGGCAGTGGATGTGTATGCGGTAGAAATTCAGTCGTGAGAAGCACAATGTTCGCCACTGTTTGCGCATCAGAAAGAACTCTGGTGTGGTAGTCCATAAGCCAACGGAGCATGTCGATGAGAACAATCGGAGTGTCAGTTTCACTGTCCACATCCTCGTGTTTTAAAACGTAGTCAGACACGATGAGATTCTCGTTGTCTATCTCTGACGTTTCAATGTATCCTGGTGCACTGAAAGCCTCGTGAGGCAGGGAGATTGGCGGTGGGTGTCTAGGAGAAGCAACGGCCGAAGGCCTGTCGGGTACAATGGTACCACTCGCCTCCATCATGTCCAGGTTGCTCAAGTTCGTCGCGTCACTCAAGGAAAGCTCCGAAAAGCTGTTTTGGGTGCTTGCATGCGTGCTTGAGTACGCGTCGGACTCTGAGCTGGAGTTGCGTAACAACAGGTTGTGTCTACGCAATGTTTCAATATCATGCGCAGCCCTGCTCTGTTCAGAGCTCGAACCGAAGTTGTCAATATCCGAAATGGCGACGGGCGGCTGCGGTATCAGTCCCGACCTGTTCGTGTGTTCGTTGGCAATTCCGGCGTCTGGCATCGAATCATCAAAGTTGATGCGAGGCGGGCCCCCCTGGTACAAGTTAGCGGTGTCAACGTGGTACTGGTGGTACAACCATGAAGACTGGCTAGCGTGGCCTCGCAAAATTTAGCCGAGCAAGGTGATGGCAGCCAGGTACGTACCTTATGCAAGTCAGCAGCGGTTCCGCCCAGCGAACCCATGTTAGCGCCCGGTGGCCTGCCGGGGCCGCCAAAGCTCGAGACGTCTGGCACGCTACCCCCCACCTCCCAGCCCTCCTGCAAGGACTCCGCATTCTGCGCGTGCGACGGGGATCTGCCGCTAGCGAAAGAGCCTGGAACCGATAGTCCGTGCGAATCCGTCGACGCGGAAAACATGGCGAAGCTTTCCTGAGAATTATGCCGGTCAAAATTGGGCCGCGTGGCAGCAATGCCAGACCCGTCAAACGGCTCCAGGCTCAACGGTATGCGAGGCGGCGCTCGATAGCTGCTGACCATGGCTCGACGGTCTTCCAGATCGCTCGCCGAATAGTGCCATGATTGGCTCGAGATAGTAGGCCGCCTTGCCCGTGGCCCCGGGTCCGCCAGCGGCAGGGCTTTATTGTTAGCGTGTGATTGTGCACCTACAGCTGCCGGCGGCAGGGCAAGGGCTTCGTCGTGGTCTGGGTCTGGAAGCGGTGCATGGCCGACGTGGACTGGTGCTTGAGCCTGATTTATTGGCCTCGCAATCGGTGTAGCGACATTCGATGTGCTATCGGGCATGTGCGCACTTTCATGTCCGTCGGCTCCATGAATGGCCCGCACTGCAGGATTGGGTAGCCCCAGCTGCTCGTGATCTTTTTCTCTTTTCTCCATCAGCATATTCTTCTCTGCAAGCTGCAATGGCTTCGTCGGACTAGCGGGGTTCTGCTCCAAGCGCCGCTTCCTATTGGCTAGGGCCCGTCGTTGCACTGCATCTGACACGGTTTGACCGACCACCTTCCACGAGTTTGCCAATCGATGGTTGCCAGCTTTCTGGGCATACTCCGCATTGGCGTCGAATGCTCTCTGGAGTTCCTGGAACGACTGGACGGTGGGAGGATCGTCCAGCGCCATCCACTTGTACTTTTGCGCGAGGAAAGTAAAGAGCGCAGTGTTCAGAGATCCAGGCACACCACCTCTGAGAGCCACCTGGTTTGGCGTGAAGGAATGTTTTTGATTAGCCAAAGAATCACTCAAGAACATCATCTTTGCTGCGTGGTCCGACGTTGGCGGGGTGCTGCTGATTGATTTTGTGGAACGGTTGCTGGCCGTTCGGCCATGGTGCCGCTTGAAAGATGAACTGAGGAAACTGTCATCGATGCTGTCATCTGCAGAGCTGCGCGGAAGGCTGTTCTTCTCAGAAGCCCCCATTTTACCGCGCCCACCAGTGGTGTAGGTCCCGTTGGAACCGTACTCCACGCCCGAGGTCCTGCGACTGTACCTTTTCTGCGAAAAGGCACTCAATTCTCCGCTTGAAGACACCGCAAAAGCAGACATGTTCCGTCTGTCCACGATCTTTGGCGCGAAATGCACGTCTGACTGCGTGAAAACGCCCTCGCGACCCACGGTCCAAAGCAGGTCACGCGAGCGCCAGAGCAGGTCTGTAGGCGCCGTGTTGTAGAGAGAAATCTCCCTGAAGGGCAAAGAAGGCCGCCTGAAGTCCCATACGTGGACGAGCGGATGATCACGGTCATATGAGGTTGCCAGATGCGTGCATTGCCACACTCCCTGCTCATTAGATTCAGCGGACCAGAAAGGCGGCCTCCAGCTAGCGTTGAAGACAGGGAAAGGGGTGCGTATGACCCATGCTGGCTTCTGCCTGCGAATTTCAGACGAAAAGTCCCAGATTCTCACGGATTTGTCCGCGCTGGCGCTGGCCAGATGTTTGCCATCGGGATGCCAATCAATAGCGTAGCACGTCTTGTCATGGGCGTTGATCTTGAGCTTCGGCGCCCGGTTCATGCGGTAATCCCACCGCTGAATGACGCCGTTCTCGGTGCCAAAAGCAAACTCGACGCCGTCTGTGGGGGACCATTTGACATCCCGGATACCTTCGCTCAGACCGGAGTATTTGTCCCGGCTGGGGCAGGACATGATGTCCTTTTTCATGTCACGCAGATCCCAGAGGCGGACGGTGGCGTCACGGCTGGCCGAAAGAAGCAGGTAGCCTTGGTGCGGGTTGAAGGCCAGCTTGTGAACCTGGCGGTGATGCTCATGCAGCTGGGCCAGCTCTACGCCCGTGCGATTGAGATCGTACAGGACCACCTTGCCGTTTGTGGCGGCCGTGGCGATGTGGGAGCTGTAGTTGCCATGGGACCATTTCACGTCGTGAATCTCCAGCGTGTCGCGGTGGCGGGTGGGGGTGTGGGCGCCGGTGGCCGAGTGGTGCGAGGCATAGTTGATGATGGCGGCGCGCAGGTTGGTCTCCTCGGCGCATTTGGTGCCGTCGATGCGGAGGGTCTTGAGGATGTCGCGGCCGGCGAGGATGGCATGGGTGCGGTCGTGGTTGACATGGAGGGCAGTGATCTCCAGGCCCGTCTTGTGGCTGGCATCCTGCGAGGAGAGCGAGGTCAGGCTGTCGCAGTCGGTCGTCAGCACGACGCGCGGGACAGGTGTCATTGCCAGCTCAACTACTCACCCTGGAATCCGGGGCGGCAGTATGCGGGCGGGATCGGTGGGCAGGGCCTGGGCGCTGGGGGGCCGCGAGCCGTAGGTACTGAAGGATTGGGCGACAAATCTAGTAAAGGCATTCCTGGCCGTCGTCTTCTGGGGTGGCAGCGGCGGCGCGGGCGGCGGCGGCGCGGGAGGCCCGTCTAATGAGGCCGGTCGTCGGGGGAGGTCAGCCGCCATGGCTCATCGACGTGTTCCTGCAGCACATGTTCTTGCGGTGAGGGACGCATGCGGCGGCGGCTCATCCGTTTCGCTGCGGCGCGTCGGGTGACATTGGCAATGGTGTTGCAGCAGCGGATATGCGATGGGCGGGCAGTCTTAGCGCGTCGCGCGCCCAGATCTCTGGACGTCTGCGGCCTGCCTGAGAGAGTCCACAAAAAGCGCCGCCACCACGGCAGCCCACCACCACGACAGCCGCCTCTCCCTCCTTCCCGCCCATCTTCTCTCACCCACCCCTGTTGGCCGCCGCTGTCATGCCCCTCTGACACCGTCAACTCGATCAATCCATCCCATCATGTCCGCTCTACGCTCGCTCCCCCACAACCGCGACACGCGCAAGCTGCTGCTGTACCTGCACTATGCCTACCCCATCGTCCTGCTCGTCTTCTTCCTTGCTGCCTTTACCGCCCGCAGCATACGGGCCTCCCGCTCTAATAGTAATTCTAATGGCGACGACCCCGACGACACCCCGCTAGGCCCCGGAGGCAAGGCTCTGCCCAAGCGGACGCCCCCGCGCTGCAAGCCCGAAGTCAAGAACGACCTGGTCGACCTGCCCCGCGGCAAGAAGCTCCTCTTCGAGTGGCTCTCCGTCTTCGTCGCCCTCACCTTCGTCGCAAATTCCATCAACGTCATCGTCCACGCCCTCTACAGCCGCAAGGACAATTGGTGGTGCGGCCAGTCCGTCGTCGTATGCTCGCCCTCCCTCAATCCTCCAATTGCCTCTCGCTGACCTCAATTCCTCCCCGCAGATCTACCTGGTCGGCTCCTTCTTCGTTTACACCCTGCTCATAATCTCCATCATCGACACCAAGCCCGCGCCCAACGCCTCTCATCAGGCCACATGGGTCTTCGGCCTGCTGTTAGAGCTGGCTCTCCTGGGCGCGTCGCTCGTCCTGTACACGCACAAGCACCGCGAGCCCCGCACCGGCCACGATGGCAGAGGCAAACTCCGGTACAACATGACCGAGTGGGAAATCACCGAGGTGGTCATAGACCTCGTGCGCATACTTTTGTTGGGAACGTTGATTGGCTTCTACGTCGTCTTCGTGACGCGGCGTCAACCGAAGAACAGCTCGGAGGAGACCGACGGCCCCAGCGAGACGACGGGGCTCCTGGCTGCTGGCACCACCGAGAACGGCCATGCCAATGGCAACGGCACCACGCACTACGGTTCTGCGCCTACCGGCGGCAAACACAGGCACACTGAGGGAGCGCCTGCTGGCTGGAGCCGGCCCGACACGGTGCCTTCGAGGAGCTGGTGGGAGTATCTCAGGGGATACTCGGTTTTCTTTCCTTACCTCTGGCCGTCCAAGGACCGCAAGCTCCAGATCATCGTCGTCGCCTGTTTCTTGATTGTCGTCCTTCAAAGAGCCGTCTTTGTACTGGTACCGTACCAGGTAGGAGTCATCACTAACAAGCTTTCCGGCGATAAAGGCCCCGTCACGATGCCGTGGAAGCATATTTGCCTCTATATTTTCTACCGACTGCTCCAAGGGAGCAACGGCCTTCTCGGCGCCGCACGATCGACACTGTGGATCCCGATCGGACAGTATTCCTATCGTGAACTTTCCGTTGCCGCGTTCGAGCATGTGCATGGCCTGAGCTTGGATTTTCACCTCGGGAAGAAAACCGGGGAGGTCCTCTCGGCTCTTGGCAAAGGCAGCTCGATCAACACGTTCCTGGAGCAGGTCACGTTCCAGGTCGTGCCCATGCTGGTCGATCTGTGTGTTGCAATTGCATTCTTCCTCATCTACTTTGACGCATATTACGCGCTAGTCGTGGCCGTCGTCACGTTCTGGTATGTGTATCTCACCATACGCATGGCCCAGTGGCGGGCCGAAATCAGGCGCCAGATGGTAAACGCCGACCGAGAGGAAGATGCCGTCAAGTAAGTTTGAGCTTGCAGTGGTGATTTGTGAATGAGAAACTAACAGCACAAGAAATGACTCGATGGTTTCGTACGAGACCGTCAAGTACTTCAATGCCGAAGCCTACGAATTCAACCGCTACCGGCAGGCGGTCGACAAGTATCAAAAGGCAGAGTATAAGGTCTTGTTCTCGCTGAACCTGATGAACGTCACGCAGAACCTGGTCTTCATGCTTGGTTTGATGGTTGCCTGCTTCCTTGCGGCGTATGAAGTCACGACCGGCCAGAGCAAGGTCGGACATTTTGTCACTCTGCTCACTTACATGGCCCAGTTGCAAGGGCCGCTGAATTTCTTTGGCACGTTCTACCGGATGATCCAATCGGCCATGATCAACTCGGAGCGGATGCTCGAATTGTTCAAGGAACAACCTACTGTAGTGGACAGGCCTGGCGTGAAGACGCTGCCGTCATGCGAAGGTGACATTCGTTTCAACGACGTCAAGTTTTCTTACGACGAGCGCAAGCCTGCGCTCCAAGGGCTCGACTTCCACTGCGCGCCCGGCACGACGACCGCTTTCGTCGGAGAATCGGGAGGCGGAAAGTCGACAGTGTTCCGCATGCTCTTCCGCTTCTACAACATCCAATCGGGCAGCATCCAGGTCGACGGACACGATGTCGAAGACGTCAGCATTGACTCCCTGCGGCGGCACATTGGCGTCGTGCCGCAAGACACTGTTCTCTTCAACGAGACGCTCATGTACAATCTCAAGTACGCCAACCCGAACGCGTCCGACGAGGATGTGTTCGCGGCGTGTCGCGCGGCGAGCATCCACGACAAGATCCTAGGCTTCCCCGACGGCTACAACACCAAGGTGGGCGAGCGGGGCCTGCGGTTGTCAGGCGGCGAGAAGCAGCGGGTGGCGATTGCGCGGACGATCCTGAAGGATCCGCGCATCATCATGCTGGACGAGGCGACAGCGGCGCTAGACACGGAGACGGAGCAGCACATTCAGGAGGCGCTAACGACGCTGGCGAAGGGGCGCACGATGCTGGTGATAGCGCACCGGCTGAGCACGATCACGCGGGCAGACCAGATCCTCGTGCTGCACGAGGGGCGGGTGGCGGAGCGCGGGACGCACGACGAGCTGCTGGTGCGCAAGGGCCGCTACGCAGGCATGTGGAAGAAGCAGGTGCGGGCGCAGCGGGCGGCCGAGGAGGCGCGTGTGCTCAAGGACAAGGCGGAGCGGCTGCGTCGCGAGACCAAGGACGGGTCGGGCGTCGCTGAGGGCGAGGGCAGCGCGAGCCAGAGCGAGGACGAGAAGGAGCGGAAGCGGCGCGAGCAGGCGGGAGAGCTGCAGCAGCAACCGCCGCCGCCGCCATCGATGAGAGATTTCGGTGGGCCGGCTGGTGGCAGTAGTGGCGCGGCGCAGAAGTAGTAGGTGCTGCTGATGATGCGGTTATTGTTGTTGTCGCTGCTGCTACTGCTGCTGTTGCTGCTGCGTCTGTTTTCGTCCTTCGGACCGAGAATTTTTTTCGACATTGCAAAAAGAGTTTTCTCAGTAGATATGTAGCCGATACGACGGGCGGCGGCTGATGCGGCGAGCGAGAGCGAGGACAACCCGGACGAGAGGGAGAGCGAAGAGGGCGAGCGCGGTCGATGATACATACACGCACGCACGCACGCACTGCTCGATCTTTCCATTCATCCATCCATCCATTTATCCATCCAGCCAGCCAGTTATCTGATTGGTCTTTCGCTCATTCGCTCGCTCGCTTGCTTGCTTGCTCGGCATGGCATGGCATGGCATGGCACGGCATCTGTTATTGCATGGCACACTATGGCATCACCGCCGAGGACGAAGATATGAATTTGCATTTTGTTTCTTCTTTTTGTTTATTTTGTTTCTGTCATTACGTCGTCGTCATTGTTTGTTCCATGTCTTGTCATCGTCATCATCATCACCACCATCATCGTCATCGTTGTTAGTACAGTTGTTGGGTTCTGAGATACGGTAATTAGTCGGTCTTCTTTCTTTTTCGTCGTTTTCTGTCCGTCTGTCTCTGTCTCGATTGATTTTGGGTTTGCTTGCTTGATTGCTTGTTGGTGCTGTGGCAGTTTGTCTGCGCCGCGGTGCGCTGTGCATGGTACGTACATACCTACCTAGGTAGGTAGGTAGGGTAGGGAGGGAGGAGGTCGGCGAGTGCAGGCAGCAAGCAGGTGACGACGATGGCGTCGGGTCGCCTTGCTGTCGGCACTCATAGGCACCTACCTACGTACGTATTGCAGAGCGAGCGCGTGGGGATCGTTCCTTTCCATTGGGGCTTGTATGGGAGGTGACTTTTCGTGCTGGGGTTGGGGCTGCATATATACGTGTTCTGGGCTGGTTTTGGGGCTCTGTTGGGCTTGGTTTGGTTTGGTTTGGTTTGGGTTTGACGTCTTGGTCGCTTTGTTTTTTTTTTTTTTTTTTTTTTTTTTTTTTTTTTTTTTTTTTTTTTTTTTTTGCAGAAATAAAAAAAAAACAAAAAACAAAAAAAAAATAACTGCTGTGTTAACACAGCAGGCCCTCACTTTACTGGCCTTTTTTGTTAAGTGAAGCGAATGGTTTTATTAGGTTTAATGATAAATTTAAAGATGCTGGGCGTATATTATGGATTATTGTTAGCAAAACTCACCATTAGTCGTTGAACGTTCTTACTACTTTTTTTTTTATTTTTTTTTTTTATTTTTTTTTATTTATTTATTTATTTCGTCTCGCATCTTGCTCTTTTTATGCACGCGCATGCATAACGGTGCTCTTCCTATTCCTCTTCGTGGTCGTCTTCCTCTTTCCTCATGCTCAACATCGTTTTCCAGAACGAAAAAAAGGGACGAGCGCGCTTGTTGGGCTTGTGAGGTTGGTTGGGTTTGCGTGGTTTGCCTTTCTTTGGGGAGGGCATCAAGGCGGGCGCGTCAAAACGGTGCGGAAAGTGCAAGAGCAACAAAAATAAAAATAAAAAATAAAAAAAATCGAATAGTCGGGGCTGAAAAAACGTCGATGGTATAAAAAATGGTGGGGTTGGGTTCTTTTTCTCGTTTTCTCTTTTGTCGTAATCATGTGCGTGTGAGGGGGCTGTGTAATGAAGGGGCTTTTGGGGAAGTGGTGCGGTGGGATGGGATAGGCAGTGATGGAGCGAGCATGCATGTACGGTCTTTCTTTTTCCTTGTTTCCTCTTTCTTTCTGTTTTGGGGCTTGGATTGCACTGCAAGGCATGGCATCTTCTCTCGTTTTGGGTTTGCTTTGCTTGCTTGCTTGCTTGCTTGCGTGGAGAGAGTGTTTCTGCATAGGATCGTTCTTTCCTTTCTCTCTCGTTTTTCGATGTCTCGTTCGTTGCCTGGCGGCTCCATGCATTTAAGGGTTGGGAAAACGGGCTACGTGCGTGGGACGTGGTATAGGTGTTGTGTAGATTGGGATTGGATGGGGGAAATGGAACCGAACGGAACGGAATGGATGGATTAAAGCAGTTGGTGTCTGCGTGCGGTCGTGGCTGACAGATACAGATCTCACTCCGTGTGTGTACATGCGAACGCATTTCCCTCTGCACGCACACACATACACACATATACTACATATAGCTTCGTTCATCTACCCACCCTTCCATCCGTACATACACATGCACACACGCAGCCCAAGACCCCGACCCAGCAGCGCGGAACGTGTGCCCAACGGCGTCGCAGCGTTCCTGTGCCGCGGAAGCGGGTGCGTAGCGCGTGGGCGTGGGATCGGTGGGATCGGTGGGTGCGTGGTGCTGGTGTGCGGCGCAGTGGTGTGGGCGTGGGAGAGAGGGGGGTGACTGTGACGGAGTGGCGGGTGGGTGAAACGCGTGCGTGCGGTGCGGTGCGGTGCGTGACGGACGGGACGGGTCGTCGTCGTCCCGTCTGTCGGTCGGTCGGCCGTGCAGGCGGGTGAGCGACTGACCGGACCGTCGCGGTGGCCTGGGTGTGTAGGTTGCTGGTGCGTGAGATGCTGGGGTTTGGAGTCTCACCACCACCACACTGATCTCTGTGCCCCCACGCGCCCGTCCGTCTCGTCCATCGTCTGTCGGTCTGTCTGTCTCACGCACACCCCTCCCCCCTCTCCTACCCACACACACACAACGACGACCAAAACAGCCCACACACGCGAGTCATACACGCACCCACAGCCCCACCTCCCATAGCCCAAGCCGTCGTTCCGCAAATAATCGCCCGCCGATGGGACAGGGATAGCGGCATCGAGCGGGCCAGAAAATCCCTCCACTGCGCTGGTGCGGTCGCCTGCGGGAGGTTGTGCGGTCGATGAACGGGAACCCCAGATGCCCCGGTCCGGTCGCTTGGGTTCGTTCGTGACTACCTACTGCGTCGTCGCGCACCCGGTTCTGTCTTCTTCTGTCTGAGTTTGCGCGCTCGTTCGTTCGTCCGTTCGTTCGTTTGGCTTTGGGGGCTTTTTGACTGCCGTGTGGACTACCTAGGTGTCTAGGTGCCTTACTGCGCCTGCATCCATACACTCCCACTGCTCGCCGCCGTGCCGTATCCAGGCTTTCGGGAACCGTGTGTAGCGCGCGCCTCCACCTACAGTACCTACTGCAGCCGCTCGGAGATTTCTTGCGCTGTGGTGACTGACGGTTGTTGCTGAGAGAGAGAGAGAGACGGTACCTACTCCTAGTAAGGTACATAGCCTTGCTGTACGCCTGCCTGCCGGCTTACATACCTACCACGTAAGGTACCTACCTTACCTACCTACGCTTTTCCAGCACGCCCGCGCGCCCGTTGTTTTCGCCGTTCGTCTTCTTGTCTCTGGGTCGGTTGGCCTGTCTGCCTCGCTCTCTCTGCTGCTGCTGCTATCCGTCGTCTCCTGCTCCGCCGCGGGCGCTACAACTACTGTACCTACCTAGACCATGGCATCGCAAGTAAGCTTCCCCTCCCCACCCCTCTCTTTCCTCTCTCTTTCTTTCCCTCCTGCCTAGGTCGGGTGCTTACCTAGGTACTTGCCTCTTGCAACCCACCACCACTACCTACACCTATCCCTCCTCATCCACCCCTCCCTCCCTCGCACAAACAAACACAACCACGCTCTTCCCTCCTCTATCCCCCGTCACACACACACACATACACTAACCCCACCCCACCCACAGAAACAGCACGCAGTGCCCGCGCCCGTCACCGCCACCGATGACGACGACCACACGAGCATCACCACCACTGTCGGCGGTGACGCCAACGATTCCACCGCCGCTGACGACGCCCGCTCTATCGACTCCTGCGAGGATGCACGCACGTTTAGCTCGTGAGTTTTTCTTTTTTGGTTTGCTTTTTTGCTTGCTTTTTTGTATTGCTGGCTCGCGTACGAGTGTACGCCTATTGGCATGCACGAATGCCTGCACGCATGCATGCATGCAAGCGCGCATGTCGACGCGCTGCCTACATACGTTGCCACGCTTTACCACGCGTGCGGCCGGTGCAGGCGGTGCGGGCGGCCCGTCTGCGCGAGCTGCATTGTTTGTCTAGGTGCTTGTTGCTTCTGTTGGGACGAAGGAGCTAATGCAGCCAGAGGGCGCGGACCGTAGCGTCTAGTGTTACGACGTATCGGTATGAGAATGGGCGGCGGTATCATGCTTATAGTGAGTTTTATTTTTATTTTTTTCTGCGGTCGGTTTGTTTGGTTGTTTTCGTCTCCGCGCGAGTATTCGGTGTTTTATTTTTTGCTTTTACTTCTTCGACAAAATCGGGTGTGGGTGATGGTTGTGGTGGCTGTGAGGGGAGAGGAGAGAGAGAGAGACACACCTGTAAATGTGCACAGGAACACGCGCTGACGCAGGCGTTTTCGCTTCTTCCTAGAGGACGGCGCGTACTACCAGCCCAACGACGACAAGCAAGCCAGCGCCGGGACGATAGAGTGAGTAGCAAAGGTGCGCAAGACGGCCTCGCAAGCACTGACACGCGCCCGCAGACACCACCTCTGGCTGCTCACACTGCGGGACGCGCTCTTCCTGGCGCCGCTGGAGAACCCGCAACGGGTGCTGGACGTGGGGACCGGGACCGGTCTCTGGGCAGTCGACATGGCGGACCGGTACCCAGCCGTCGAAGTAATCGGGACGGACCTCTCACCAACGCAGGTCCCGTTCGCGCCGCCCAATGTCCGCTTCGAGATAGACGACTGCTGCTCCGAGTGGACGTACCCGGCCAACAGCTTCGACCTGATCCACGTGCGCGGCTTGGTGGGCAGCGTCGCCAACTGGCCCGCGTTTTACGCAGAGTGCATGCGCCATTTGCAGCCTGGGTTGGGCTATCTCGAGCAGTTGGAGTTTGACGTCCGCTTTGAGAGCGAGCCGGACGACGAGGCGGATAAGGCGCTTTTCGATCGCTTGGGGGACTTGTTTGTCGAGGCGGGCGTGCGCATGGAGAAGTCGTTTAAGATTGCGGAGAATATGCGCGCGAGGATCGAGGAGGCCGGTGAGTTGTTGTTGTCTTGCTTTTTTTTCTTTGCTTTGTTTTTCTGGTCGTTTCGTTTTCTCTTCCTCCCCCGACTATTTAATCCCTACTACTGCCGGCAAACAGAACCGACAGACTGACTCCCACCTCACAGGCTTCGTCGACGTCGTCGAGCGCCGCTTCATGTGGCCCATCGGGACGTGGCACGCGGACGAGCGGCTCAAGGAAATCGGCCACTGGAACATGCGCAACTGGGAGAATGGCATGGAGGGGTGGATCCTGGCGCTGTTGACTAGGACACTGGGCGTGAGTTGCTGCCTTTTCCTCTCCCCCTTTTTTCACTTTTCCCTACCCACTTCCCTTTCCTACCCACCTGCGACGCAGTGTTTTGCCCCGCTTGTCTCGGTTACTGGACTAATGCTCGCTCCCCCTTGCTCGTGCAGTGGTCGTACGACGACGTCCAGCTCTATGAAGCAAGACTCTTGAAGGCGCTGCGTGAGCGCAATGTGCGTGTTAGGCATTACGTGTGAGTTGCGCCTCTTGAGGATTTCTTTCAAACTGTTGTTACCTGTTGTTGTTGTTGTTGTTGTCGGCGCCGTCATTGTATGCGGGCTAATTCTCTGGTTTGGCGGGTTGCAGCCATGTCGTGCATGCGCGGAAACCGGCGTCAGCGGGGCCGTAGGAGCGGTAAAGTAGTGTGTGTGGGAGAGGGTGGGTGTGGTGGAAAGAGGTGGGGTGTAAGAAAAGATGTGCAAGCACGGCAGTAGGTGCGACGAGAGGTACAATGCGCCATGTATGTACTGTACTGTACTTGGTACGGAGCCGAGAGGTGCGCTGGGACGATGCGTGTGTATGTATGTATGGCTTGTCGTTGCGTGTGTCTACGTCTGCGGAGATGGCATTGCGGGTGGTTGTGTGTACCGTACCTATCGATATGTCGACGTCGCGCGCACGGTGCGTGGCTATCTATTTCTATTTCTTCTTCTCCCCTTCCCTCCTTCTTCTTCATAGGTACCTATGCGTGCGTGCGTCCTCATTCACAACAAGTCAAGTCAAGTCCATCAAAACAACACAACGTCTTGAAAGTGACAATCAACAAGTACACGTCTTACAAGTATCGAGGGTATGGTTAGCCGCTGTCTATCTAAGTACCTATCTATAAATATAAAAAATATTAACGTCTGTCTGTATTCTCCTTCTTTTTTTTATTTCTATTTCTTTTGTTTTTTTCTCTTATCCTTCTTTTATTCCTACTAATTCTTTAACTAAGTATTTTGTATAGAGGAAAACGCAAACGATTGCGCTAGTGCGTGGTCAAGCGGGCATGGGAGTGTAGTGTATGAAAAATCCGGGGAGAGAGGGAAACAGATAGATAGATATATATATATATAAAACTAAGATACTAAGTCTATATGTATCGATCTATATAAAGCTAAGGCTGTCTATCTGCACCGTCTAATCCTCCCCCCTTCCCCCCTCCCCCCTCCTCCTCCCAGGCACGTACGTACGTACTACAGTCTACGCGCACAGGACCTCTCCTCCTTCTAATCAATCAACCCTCCCTCCCCACGCCCACGCCCCAAACGCCGCACCCCGGCAGCCCCACAGGCGGCAGCAGGGCCGGCCGAAAAAGCCCGCGCTCCAGCGCCCTCATCGTCGCGAAATAGCGCGCGGAGGCGGTGGCCAGGAGCGCGGGGACGAGGGGCGTGGCGCTGGCGTTCGGTGGTGCGTTTTCCTGCGAGAGCTTCTTTTGCTGGTGGCGTTGGTGCTGTTGTTCTTGTGGTGGTGGTCATGGTTGTTGAGCGGAAAGTAGCCCCACGAGAGCGAGCTGCTTGAACCGCTCGACGGCTATGCCCAGCGCGACGAACCCGAGCCCCGTGCGCAGCCAGGCGAGGAAGGTCCGCTCCGAGGCGAGGTGGTCGCGCGCGACCGAGCCCGTATTCTTGAGGGGCTAGGGGCGGAGCGTCTATCGGAGGCGGGCCAGGATGTGGGCCACGGCTTTTTTATTTTATTTTTATTTTATTTTTATTTTTTGTTTTTTGTTTTGTTGTTTTGGGTTCGGTTGGGTTGTGCGGTGTAAGACGTGTACGAGGTGGTGTTGCGTTGATGGTTTTTTTTTGGTGTTTGTGTTTGTGATGTTGGTGGTGGTTTTTGTGCTCGTGACACATGCGGTGACGCAGTTTGATGCTTGCTTGCTTGGTGCTGCCCGGCTGCTAAGGTCATGCGCTAGCCGTGTTGGGTAAGTGCGCGTTGGGTGTTACTGACTTTTTGATGTGTTGTGAGTAGTCCTTGACTACGGATCCGTAGTAGTTTTCTTTCGTACGTTAGGGCGTTTTTTAATGACGATAGCCTTATTACTTTCGTATTATACTAGTAATACGAGACGGTATAGAACAAGATAGCTCTTTATATCTACCTTAATAGTTAAGAGCTATAGGGCCGATTATATATAGATATAATCTATTAGTAGTAGCGGTAATAGTATTAAGTATATAAAACTATATAGCTAAGTGTAGGAACCTTTAATATTTATATATAATATCTTTACTCGCTAATAACAATAACGTTCTCCCTCAGCTATATAGAGAAGAAGTTAAGAAGTATAAACTATAAATAATAAATAATAAGCGTTACTCTTATAGCACCTTAGAAACACGATTTCTATTACGATTAGTATATAAAATTCCCTATAGCTATATATAAAACTTAATTCTTATAGAAACAGATTTATATATAAATAACTTAGCTCCTTTCGAGATAGATGTATATTTATTCATCTAATGATTATCTAAAATAGAGATTAACGAAATTACCCTTGTGCTCGTTATATATAGGTTAGAATACTAATAACCCGGTCCTAGTTAATATTAAGATTATTTTTATATATATAAGGAACATTCCATCCACATGAAAATAAACCTCTTATATAGACAACTCGATCTTAAATCTATAAATACCTACTCTTACTTAAGTAGAAAACCCTTCCTGTCTAGACAAGCCTATGCGTAAATTTCCGCAAGACCTCACACACGCGCGCGAGCACACGGTCTAGATCAGGACAACGACGCTAGTGCAAAGCAGCCTAAAGCCAGTCAAGACAACTGCTCTAACCAAACCACGCTCCCCCCCCCAAACTCCCCCACCACTCGTGCCACGCTCCCCTGACCCAGCCCTCTTCGGCCTAGGCCCGAGGTTCCGCATTAAAGCGTTGTGTTCTGGCAAACTAGAGAACCGGAGCTAGTGCCACCGTCTAGCGGGGGACAGGACTATGTAAATAGTAAAGCTCGAGACTAATTAAAATTCGGCTTGGCTGTAGCTAAGACTACTGGCTACGATAACCAGAACTCGTTGGAGGTTTGCCGCTAATATACTTTAAGAAGAGCATGTTCATAGGTGGCGGTAGTAGTTGCTTAGAGTAAGCGGGATTAAGGGGGTTTTCGTGCGTGTTGGACCTTAATGACACCTTGTAATACCGTAGGTAGGTAGTATACGCCGTGTATATACATATCTTGTTTTTAAGGACTAATAATACGCGATGCAATAAAAAGGTACTTATGCAAATCGTCCTGCACCTACCCTATCTCCCTAAGACTATAAAACCTCAAAATCAAAGACAAAGCAGCACAAGAACAAGACAACCAAGCCCACACACAACCCACTACAACCACCCGCCTCACTCCATCATCTCCCCCGCAACCCCCCCAATCTCCTCCTCCAACAGCCCCAAAAACCACTCCATCCCCTCCTCATCCAACAGCGCACGATCGGCCCTCGCGCCGAAGCGAATCGCATTCCCCTCCCAATCCGGCCCAAGATCGACAAACAAGTTCTCGCTGGACAAAAACCGCCTCTCCAACGCATCCACAGCCGTCCCCCCCTCAACCGCAACCTCAGCCGCAAAATCCGTCGGCACACCCAGCGCCCACGGCCGCAACAGCGGCGGCGGCGGCTGCGTCCCCTCATCTGTATCTGCGCCCCCCGTCCCCAGCACCACCAGCTCATCGCGCCACAGCAAGTTCAAACACGCATTGAACAGCGGCTTGCCGGCCCCAACCCAGCCCACCACGTCCCGCAGCTGGCTCTGCTCAAACGGCATCCGCGCCGCCAACGCGCGCTGCACTTCGTCGGCCAGCGCGCCCGCTCCTCGCCCCCTCGCTTCCGCTACCCCCATCGGCAGCACGTTCACGGCCGGCCCGGACACGTCCTCGACGCGCGCGAACGCGCCCGCGCGCCCTAGCCCGTACAGTCCGAAGACGGGGCTGGTGGCGCCTGAGGCGCGGCCCAGCGCGCGCGCAAACGCCACCACGAGCAGCGCGGGCGTGTGGCGGCCTGCGGCGCGGGCGGCGGCGTCGGCGCGCGCGAGGTCGATGGTGCGCGTGCGGCGCATGCGGAAGGTCTGGTGCTGTGAGGTTGTGGGGTTGGTGGGCGAGAAGGCGCTTTTGCACGTGAGGAGTGTGGGGGTGCTGTAGGGTGCGAGAGTGGTTTGCCAGAAGGCTTTTTGGTCGTGTGCGCGCTGCGTGCTGTGGGTATGGTGCACGAAGGAGGAGAAGGACGGGGGTTCGGCTGAGAGTGCCTGCCCGCTGTAGAGGGCTGTGAGGTCCGCGACGAGTCGTGACATTGTCCATGCGTCGTAGGTCGTGTGGTGCATTGTGATGAGCACGGCGTCGCCCTCCTCGGCGCTGTGGATTAGGTGCAGCCGGATCGGAGGCGTGAACAGGGTGGATGGCTTGCGCGCTTCTTGCCTGATGTGTTCTTTGGCTGTTTCGGTAAGGTCTGTCGCAGTGGCTTGGACGGTGAAAGTGCCGTCGAGGATCGCCGACGGCTTCATGACCACTTGGAAGGCTTGCTCAGGTTTGATAGCGGCGAAAGCGGTGCGCATGATCGAGTGTCTCTCCTGGAGCTTGTGCCAGGCTTGATGGAGACGTTCCTCGTCAAGCCGTGCGGTGGGGTTGAACGCCCATGTTGGTTCGTACATGGTACGCCCCGACGCCAACCACCCGGCAAGGTGGTAGTCTTGGCCAGCGAGGACCGGAAGGACCTCTTCGACGTTGTTTTCGTCAACTCCCAGATGAGCGATTGCGGAAGCCTGATCTTCAGGTCGGACAAGTGGCGCGGTAAGCTGAGCGACCGTGTCATCGTCCTTGTTCGCTTCGTAAACCACCTTGCAGATACGGCCCAATGTGACACCTTGGATGATATCCGCCACACTGATCCTGATGTGCGCACTGCGACGACATCTGGACGCAACCTGGATAGCGGCAATTGAGTCCAGGCCAATCGAAAAGATATTGGTTGAAAGATCGATCTTCTCGACGGAGATGTTCACAACCTGAGCCATGGCGTGCCGAATTGGCTCTGCGTAATGCTGGACCGCAATATCATCCCAACTGATGGCTTCAGCCTCCTTAGTTCCAGACTCCAGCAGCAGACCGCGCAAGGGCGATGGGAACGCAGTGACGAAGCGGCCGGGGTTAGCAACAATATCCTGAACAGCGTCCCCAAACATTTGCAAAAACGCTTCCAAGCGGGCCTTCCCAAGCTTGGAGTACGCGTTCGCAACCAAGCCGCTGTCATTTTGCTCCACCTCGAAGTTCAAGCTGTACTCCGACGGAATCGACACCTCTTCCGTCTCATATGGCCTCCACAACCCCCGCGAGACACTTTCGCGGCCCGAATTAACCTTCTGGAAAACGAACAGACTATCCGTGAGAGTCGCATCGCCGGCAGCTTGACGCCAGCGGTTCTGCACGTCCACAAACGACGCGTGCTGGAACTCGATGCCGTCGAGCATCTGCTGCTGGAGTTTCTCGAGCTCATGCTGGTTAGGCGAGAGCGGGTTGGCCAAGCGGACGCGGTAAGGCACGGTATTGAACGTTGGGCCGATGATCGTGTCGGCGTTTTCGAGCTGCAGGTTGCGCCCGGCAAGCACGACGCCGAATGCCACGTCTCTGCGTTCGACCAGGCAGCTGAGGGTTTTGGTGAAGGCGAGCAGCGCGATCGTCTGCAGGCTGAACCCAATTCCAGAACCGCCAACGGCTGCTGTGATGCTGGCAAGGTTTAGACGCTCACTGCTTTGCTCTTCTTCGGTAAGTGGGATGTTGATGCTCCTGTATCCTTCCAACTTGCTGCTCCAGTGCGTCACTGCGGCTTCTTTGTTTGTGTGCATCATCTGAGCCGCTTTGTAGAATGGTGTAGAGGCAGAAATAGGCAATTGGAGGTAGTTGTCGGTTAGCTGCTGGAAAATGAGAGGAACAGACATGCCATCATAAAGCGCATGGTGCATGGACACCACGAACAAAATGGAAGAGGAAGAATCGGTGAACAAAGTAGCCTTAACGGGAGGCTGTCCGAACTGACTAGCCTCCGTGAAGATTGTTGTGTCTTGCAGACCTTGGAGTGCGCTCTTAAAGCCATCGGTCTGGACTTCGTTCCAGGGACAAAGTTCCTTGCCATGGACAACCGCAATCCACTGGGAAGCTGATGTATGGAACGAGGTCCTAAGAACATCGAGTTGCTGAACGGTCTTATACCAAGCCTCCTTCCAGCGCGTAGCATCTGTGCCAGCCTCAAGATGGAGAGCATGGTGATGGACATAGAGCCTGCCATCAATACCGAGCGTCTGTGTCAGCATGCCGACCTGCAAGGGCGTACAATGATAGATCGCCTCAACGCTATCTCCATCCAAAAGATCCAAGTCCGCCGGAACATCCACTGCCGACTGCTCTGGCTCAACCGTGGCACCTTGCCCGGCTGCAATCTCCGTTTTCTTGGGAGCAGACATTTTGAAGCTGTCACACAAGGCTCCGATACAGCTGTTCCGCATAACATCTGCAGAAGAGACATTGTACCCGTTCTCGCGCAGCGTGCGTGCGAATCTGATCGCAGTGATAGAATCGATACCGATATGGAGGAAAGACGTATTCTTGCGCACATTATCAGGGGAAACTTGCGCAAACCCAGCAACAAGCCGTCTGACCTCCTCTTCCTGCTCGGACCACGTAGACTCATCCCAAATGGTCCTCGCAGCGACCTCACTGCTTGCCTCTGTCGAGATACCGATATCTGCCAGACTCAGGTGTTCGCCACCAAGAATGGCATCGACGAGCATCTCGATTTTTTCCAGCAGTTCATTAGCCTTGGCTGCATCGCCGAACGAAGGTGTGCACCCGACGCCGATCATTAACTGGTCAGTCGCCGAGTCCGCCTCAACCTCAACCGCAAGTGACGAATCCATCGGCATGTCGCTCTCAATTTCCTTCCAGAGCTTGAAGTCGAACGGCTTTCCCCTAGGTCTAATAAACGAGAAAAGCGAGTCGAACAGCGGCCTATCCGCACCGACCCACGCTTGGATATCCCTAGCTGAGCTATGCTGGTATTCAAGCGATTCGTAGCTCAGATTTTGGAACGCATTGCAGGCATCAAGCAGGGTCGGGCCCGAGGAGCGCAGGTTCACGCGCTGAGGGATTGTCGTGATGCAGGGCACCAGGATGTTTTCCACTTCTTTAACAGGCACAGCACGGCCAGAGAGAACGGAGCCGAATATCACGTCATTGGTGCCGAGCATCTGGGCTAGCGCTGTGCCGAAGGCAGTTTGCATCACTGCGGCGGCCGTCAGCTTGAGACGGGATGCCGTAGCTTCCAGAGCCGAGAGACTTGTACCCAAGGCCTTGGGCTTGAGAATGACAGCCTTGGCCTGTTCCGGGCCTTCTGTTTGGTCTGGCTGCGCAATGAGGCGAGTCTGTTCCCAGTTCTTCAACAAAGACTGCCAGTGCTTCTTCGTGTTTTCTTTATCACGCGAGCCGATGTACTCAAGAAGGGAGTTGAGGCTTGGGCGCGGCTCAGCAACAACGCCATCATAGCGGCGATGGACTTCCTGGAACAGCATGTGGAGGGACTCGGCATCATATAGGGCATGATGGACCGACACAAGGAGCGTAGAGCGTTGTCCGCCCTGAGAGACGCCAAACGTAAACCTGATTGGCGGCTGGCAGGAAATGTTCTGAACAATATCCGTACGGATTCGCGGATACTCCTTCTCCAACAGTGCCTGGATAGGGGTCTGGTCTTGTGCCCTGACCGAGTTCCATTCAATATTGCAAGCCTCGGGCTCGAGCACGACCTGGCGGAAGTGGTCGCCAGAGAACCAGAAGCAGGTCCGAAGGATCTCGTTCTCCGTGACAGTGTCTTTCCAGGCTTTGCAAAATCTGGATATGTCCACAGCACAAGCGATCTCTAGCATTATATGGTTGACGTAGAACGAATCAGCACCATCACCGCTGTCGATAGATCGAGCGACCATTACTTCTTGCAAGGGCAGACACGGCCTGACAACCTGGACCAGATTGGAAGGGACGGGAACAGTGGGATCCGCACGGTATTCAGCGTCGACTTGTGCGAGCTCTTGACGTGTCTTGTTGATGTTGGAGCCTCCAGCTTCTTTCCTTGGGAGCTGAGCAAGTTGCTCGACCATGGGATGCGTGAGCACATTAGCAACACTGCACTCGTAGCCAATCTCCTTGAGCTTCATGAACAAGCTAATGGCGCTGAGGCTATCAATGCCAAGCTCGAAGATGGAAGTATCAGGCCGCATTTCCACGCTCTCATTGTTGACGATCGTCTTGAGTACTTCCGCAATCTGTTGCTCTTCCGTTGTCATAGGCCGATTGCTGCTCGTCGAAGCAACACCCGGCTTTTGAGCACCGGCCATCAATCGAGAAACAGGAACGGACGAGAACAGTGCCCCCAAGAGCTTGACATCGGCCTTGGCCGAAGTTTGAGTCAACGGGATGGAAGTGACGGGAAAAATGAGATCAGGAACCATGTGCGCCGGCAAGATCTTCTGGCATGTCGGACGTAGCTGAGCGTTAATACTGTCAAACTCTTCGTCCAAGAAAGCAAGCTGCTTATTTTTGGCCTTTGTGGCCTTCGTAGAACGGGCTACGAAAGCGACCAGTTGCTGGCGGGAAAGCTCTTTGTGCTTCAGCACAAGCGTCGCCACATCAATCGCGTCTGGAGACGAGGTTCTCACGCCTTCAGAAATCTCGCCGAGCTCGACGCGCTGGCCTCTGATCTTGACTTGATCATCCTTTCGTCCAATAAATTCAATAGAGTTGTCAGGCATCAGACGCACAATGTCTCCTGTTCTGTACATCCGGACCCCATTGAAGTCCTCGACAAAGCCCTGCGCATCAGGACGGTTCAGATAGCCGATAGCAACGAGGTCTCCACTGAAGCAGAGCTCGCCTGGCATCATGCGCTTCACGTAGTGTTCGGTGCCTGGCCGAAGGACATGGCCGATCGAGTCTCCCAAGGGGCTGCCGATACTCCTGGGATCGGAGTTAGGCAGCAGGCGACCGGAACAGCAGCCGACAGTGACCTCTGTAGGGCCGTAAGCGTTGATAAGACCGACGCGATCATGACCACCCCAGAGCTTCCGAGTCTTTTCAGTCATCTTCTCACCACCAACGCCCAAGAAGTGAAGATCGGGTGCATCGTCTGGCGTCAGTCCGGCTTGGTCAAGAAGCGAAGGCACAAAGCTGGCGTGGGTGACCTTGAGATTCTTAAGGGCAGCACCAAGATCATCGAGAAGGAGTGCCCGCTTGGCTGTAACGGCGGTAAGACCATGCCTCCAAGCGAGAAACATCTCGCCGATATGGACGTCGAATGCTCTGCTGGCCAGATTGAGATATTTACCAGTACCCGCCAGACTGGGTGTTGTTGGAACGACTTCGCAGATGAACTCCGACTGAGCTTGCATGAAAGAAGCAAGATTCTGCCTGCTGACAAGGACTCCCTTAGGCTTGCCGGTAGAACCAGACGTGTAGAGGATATAAGCGGGAGCATGTCGCTGGTACTCTACGGGAACAGTCTCGCTACTAAAAGAGTCAAGTTCAGTGCAGAACTCCGAGCTCTCAACGTCAAAGACCTTGGCATGGAAGTCATCTGGCGTCTCAAACAATTCAGAAGTAGTGAACAGCACTGAAGCGCCACTATCCTGGACAAGGAAGACCTTGCGTTCATTCGGCAAACTCTCTTCCAATGGAAGATAAGTGTTTCCCGACTTTAAGATACCATGGATAATGCCGAAAGCCTCCAACGTGCGCGAAAGACAAATAGCCACGGTGCCATTGACGACACCCTGCTTCCTGATAGAAGCAGCCACACGGTTTCCATAGTCGTCCAGCTCTTTATACGTCCAAGAACTCGAGACTATGTCTGGCCAAGTCTGCGTCGCGACCTCGACAGCCTTCCAGTCAGGATGTGTCTGGGCCCAGTGCTCGACCCACCAAGTTGGGTCGTAGTCAGCAGGGCATGTGGTATTGGGACGGCGAGGCGTCACCGATCTGAGTTCGACTGGGAAGAAATCAGGGAGGTCCGCGATGGGGCTTTCCGGATGCTCGACCATAGCGGCAAGAAGTGCGTCGATCTGGCGGACAAATATCTCCTGATGCTGGCGCGTCATGATGTCGTCTGCAGCCGAAAATTCAAGGACGATCTTTTGCTCGGTATTCTGCCACACATTAAAGGCGATAGTGTGTTCGACATTTAGTCCAACGAGATCATCAAGAGCCTTCCAAGGGACAGGAGGTGTCTCAGCATCCGCATGACCCTCTGGATGGAAAACAAAAACCGCCGGGTAGAGCGCCTGGTCCTGAGGACGCCTGATAATCTGACGCACAGTAGCAGGCCTTACATGGCGATGTTCCCAGGTTGCTCGAGAAATCCTGCTCTGTTCCGCAACCAAGTCTTTAGTATTTCCAGTAGCGCTGAACGGCACAGGAACAACGGAGATCAGAGGGGCTACAGCTTCTTGCAGCTTGGAGTCAATAATGCGATCAGAAAGGACCTCCGCAAAGACAACATTCTGGACTTCGAGAAGCTCCGCCAGGCTGAAGCCGCATGCCGTGCGGATGAGCGTGTTCATCGAGTTGGCGCAGAGGCGTCGGGCGGCACTCTGCAGTTCTTGCTTAGAAGTCTCCAAGACAATTTCGTGGCTTCTCATCTTTGTTTGCTTGGCGGCTTCAGCACTTGCTTGAGGGCTTTCAGGCTTGATAACATCCTCAGCCGCAAAATTTTGGAGCTCCTTTCTCCAGAAAGCATCAACATCCTCTGAGCTCGTTTCCGACTTTGCAATGGCCAGTGCTTCGAGCAAATGGCATCTTGGCTTTATGGAGGAACCATTGTATTTCGCACCCAGATCAGCCAGCATGTAGTCTAGAGCGGGCCCATCGTGCAAAGAGTGATGGATTGTCAGCATCATTGTCCGGGAACCACCGTCCTGCAGGATTGTGACAGCCCAGGGCGAGTTGCGGAAGAAGGCCGACTGGCGCTGCTGTGCAATGGTAGCTGCAACGTTCTTGGCTTTGCTGGCAATGGTTTCAGATTGAACCTCCCGGATTTTCCAATCGACTTCGGCGTCATCATAGATGACCTGCAAGAAAGTCGAGTTGGGGTTCTTCGAAGCAGGTGGGTTGGCAATTGCAGCGATAGGGATGAAACCAGCCCTCAAAGCCTCCGTCTCTGCGACAAGATGATGCCAAGCATCACGCAGACGCTCGAGATCGATTTTAGCGTCAAGCTCGAAGAAGTGGTTGCTCCAGTAAGTCTCGGGGTTACGCATAGACTCTCCAAGCAAGCTCTCTTGGAGGAAGCTCGCTGGCGCGACCCGGAGATCACGAGTTTGTAGGTATTCGGCCACGGTCTCGTACCATTCACGGTGGAAATCCTGCATCCCCTGCTGCAGTGCCTTCCGCGACTGCTTCAAGCTTGTGAAGGTGGCAATGTCGGAGATAGTCTTGCACCTGAGAACGTCAAGCACTGACAGTGTGTAGTTGCAGGAGTTCATTTTTGCAGCGAGCCTGATAGCACCGAGGGAATCAATCCCAAGTGCCACGAGAGAGCCATTAGGTTTGATAGATCCTTTCGAGACTCCCGTGGTCTGAGCAATGACATCGACAAGAACAGGATTGGTCTCTCTCCAATCGTCGTCCAGCTCATCCGCAGCGACTTCGTCAACCAAGGAAGCCTCAAAGTCGCAGCAGATCTGCTTCAGAACATGCCGATCGACCTTAGCAGAAGGTGTGCGAGGCATCTTAGGCAAGACAATGAAGACATCTGGAATCATGTGGCCAGGGAGCAGCCGCCGAGCGCTGTCTCGCGCCGTCTCGATAAGCTTTGTCGCTTCTGAAGTGGTGACAGGAGTGAACTTGGCCACCGCATTGTCAAATACAGGAACGGAAAGGAAGGCGACAATCATCTTGCCGGCTCGCTTTTGGGATTCGAGATAGAGTACTTCGACTTGCTGCACAGCCGGATGGCTTGACCGCAAGAAATACGCAATCTCACTTAGCTCGACACGCTGGCCACCAATTTTAACGAGATCGTCATCTCTGCCAACAAAGTCGATGGAGCCATCTCCGAGTTGTCTGACAAGGTCACCGGTGAGGTAAAGCGTCCGACCCAGGCTTTCGCTCATTATGAACTTCTCGGCGGACTTATCCGCATCTTTCCAGTATCCTTGAGAAAGCTGATCACCAGCAAGGGCTAGCTCTCCAATAGCGTTTCGCATGACGACTCGTCCGTCTTGAATGACATACGCGCCAACCGTTTCCAGAGGTACTCCTACATTGGAGCTCTTGATATGCTCTGGGTTGGGGCCAAATTCCTGGACAGTCGAGACCACAGCAGCTTCGGCGGGACCGTAAGTATTGTAACCGCGCATATTGGTGCCCCAATCATCCGCAACAGGTTGTGTCAGCTTTTCCCCGATCATGGTAATGACTTCCAAAGTCTCAATCTCTTCGCGAGACACAGCGCTGCCAAAGGCAGGTGTCAGGTGCGCATGTGTAACGCGCGTGAAGTTTGACAATCGTACAAAGGAATCAAGCATAAGGTCACTGGATGAAGACACCACGGTTCCTCCAATGCGCCAAGTGTAGAAGAGATCTTGGACAAAAACATCAAATGTATACTGAGCAAATTGAAGGAAGCGGACAACGCCGGTCTTTGTGTCGTAGGGGATCGTCTTGCTGAGTGACCGCATCGCCGATGCAGCAGCCTTGTGGCCGATAGGAACTCCCTTCGGTGGGCCAGTGGTTCCGCTTGTGAAGATCAAGTATGCAAGGTTCTCTGGCTCGACCGTTGGCAGCGCGGAAGATTCCTCGGGTGCAGGAAGACAGCCGGTGATGTCTAATGTTTCGACACCTTGAGGTACTGAAGCAGGGTCCAGCTCTTCTGTAGCATGCGCAACGAGGACAAGGGTAGCGTCAGTCCTCTCGATTAAATCATGGCGTCTGCGGGGAGGAAAGTCGGGGTGAATGGGACACCATGCACCTCCGGCCTTTACGATACCCAAAATGGCCACATAGAGCTCGGGGCACTTTTCCATGCAGATAGGAACCACACGATCCTTGAGGCTGCCTAATCGCTTGACTAGATGCAGGGCCAGGTTATTGGCTCTCTCGTTTAACTCGGCATATGTCCAGCGGACACGCTCCGCGGAGTCATCACAGCCATAGTAGAAATCTAGAGCCAAAGATTCAGGGCTCTCTTGCGCATGCTTCTCAAATGGCGAGTGAAGAACCATGGTCTCATTTGTATCCTCAGGAGAAACGATTTCCGCCGAAGCAGAGAGGAGCTCCTGTCTTCCGATAAAGCGGCCATCAAGGAAAGGTCTCGTGGGATGTTCAAGAACGAAGCAAATAGCGTCATCGAGTTGCTTGAGCATGGTTTCAGCCGCAACATCGTCCAGATGCTTGCACTCGTAGGTAGCCTTCAGAAGTAATTGACCGTTTTCCGTGGGCCAGACCTCAATCATAGTAGCAAAATCATTGCCCATGGGCGGATAGTCGATCGAAGTCCAGAGGCCACTATTCTTCGCCGCACCGGAGAAACTCTGAAAAGCGATCAGAGTATCGTAAGGCAACCGACCTTCAGAGGTGGCGAGAGAATTTGGAGGTGTATGGAGGTTGTGCAGAGCATCAGAATTCTGGCTTGTGATGCGCTTTGCGATGTCTACTGCAGTAAGTTCCGCTGATCCGGCCGATACCCTGATTGGGACGGTCACAAAGGTCGGCGCGAGACAATCCGCCGTCTCCTGACTGTATCGGTCTGAGATAACACTGCCAAAAACTACATCATCCTTTGCTGTGTAAGCACACAGGATGAGAGACCAAGCAGTTTGTAGCACGGCCAAGGAAGATATATGAGACGCCTTGGACGCAAGCAACAGATCCTTCATGTTGCTCTTGGCTAGTACCGTTGAAACACTAGGGCTCTTTGGTAGGAAGGCTGGTTGCGAGAGAGATAAGGAAGGGAAAACACTCGGAGTGAATCCCTCCAATTGTTGGAGCCAATAATTCTTGGCCTGTTGGCGGTCAGACTGGAAGTGGCGTGCGACTGCCACATCCACCTGAGTCCTAGGTGCGGAATCCCAATGATGATATTGGTCCTCTACGTCCTTCACCAACAGCTGCAAAGAGCCTCCGTCGAAGATAGCATGAAACAAGCTGAGAACGACAGTGCTGCGGCTGGAAGATTGTACAATGGCGAGGCTGAAAGGAGGTTTGTCCAAACTGATGGAAGCCTCAGCATCCCCCAATGCCTTAGCGACTAGTTTGTCATGATCGTTCTCCACGCGGCAAATGTAGGACTTGACGACGATCTGGGCAAGGGGGCAAGTGGGTGACAGTACACACTGCGCAAAAGGTGCTAAGTCATCATCGACCGAGTCGAATACAATGCGGAATGCATCGCACCTCTGCAGCACCTGTACCCAGGCATCGCCCACAGCGTCAATGTTGTGGCCAGCCGCAACCTCGTAGACAGAGTGGTGGATGTAGTGCTTAACCAACGAAGTGTCGACCATGCTACGCAAGAAGCTTGCAAGCATACCAGACTGTGTAGCAGTAGTGGGAAGTATCATTTCGATGTCGTTTGCTGAGACGTTCAAATACGCAGAGCAATTTGCTTCGTGCTTGTCACGGAACGAAGCAACGGTTTCTTTCCATGCTCTGGAAGCGAGATCTGTAATCACCGAGGTGTCTTGCTGTTCGGCTTTAGATGACTCAATGTACTTGATGACCAGGTCTCGGAATGTGCGGCATGTAACAACATCGCCAACAGTGAGGCCGCGGAGCCTAGCTTCGCGTGCCTTTTGCAAAAAGTGCATCGCACGGAGACTGTCGAAACCATAGGAAAGAAGCTCTGCCGAAAGTCTAATACTTGCGCCGGAGACATTGCATACATCCGCAACCCCCTCGAGGACCATGGGCTGAATCCTTTCATCTAAAATTTCGTCGTCTTCGGCTTCCTCTGTAGAGTCTGAATCAGGCTTGGTCCAAAGTTCCTCAACAAGATTGACTAGAGCTTTGCGATCGATCTTGCCATTACGAGATCGAGGCATTTGTTCCAGGAAGAAATACTTTGAAGGATGCATATGGGGCTGGAGCCACTGTTTCGCCACGGCCTGGCATGAACTGGCCAACTCAACTTGGTCAGCGTCTAGCTGTGGGAGCACGCATCCTACAACCTGTTCACTGCCATAGCCGCCGCCAATGGGCTTATGCACAACAGTCACGGCATCTCTGATACCCTCCACCCTGGCGATAACGTTCTCAATGTCACCAAGCTCAACGCGCCGCCCACTAAGCTTGACTTGATCCATCGTGATACGGCCAAGGATCTCGATGGTGAAGTTCCCATCTCGGTCTTCAACAATTTTGGCTCGATCACCGGTACGGTAGAGCTTGCCGTATTGGTCACTGAAAACAAAGGCCTTCTCGGTTTCGGCTGGCCGGTTCAGATAGCCCGTGCCGACTTGAGGTCCGCCGATGATGAGTTCACCAGGGAATCCCAGGGGCATCAACGTTGGGATCTTCAGTAAAGGGTCCATGATGAACATGGAACAGGTTGGCAAAGGCTTTCCAATGATCGATCCCCTATCAGTGACAGAAAAATCGGCGACCAGAGTGCAAATGATAGTGCCCTCAGTAGGACCATATGCATTGAGAAGGCCCACACCACTAGGATCTGTGGCTGTCTTTGCCTTTCGCTCAATGTATGCAGGCGAGTCCGAAGAGAATCCCTCGATGACCTTTCGGTTCAGGGGTTCGCCCATGGCCCAGAGATCATTCAGAGTCGGGACCTTATCCGGGTTCAGGATGGCAGCCATGGAAGGCGTGGCCATCATCACAGTCGCCTGAAGCTCTGTAATGGTTGCTTCGGGGTCAGTGAGGCTTGCTTCACGCTCCGCCGAGCAGAGTGTATTTCCAGTTGAAAATGTGACAAAAATCTCTAAAATAGAAGGATCGAAAGTTGGTGCGGCGAACTGGAACCAGCGAGATGGGTTCTGAGAGGCCCTTTGTGTCAAATACACGGAACTAGATGTTATCGTGCATGTAGCCGCAAGGTGTGAAACCTTGACGCCTTTGGGGACGCCAGTAGATCCACTGGTGTACATGACATATGCAAGGTCATTCTCGTCAAGGGCTTGAGTATAATCAACAGTACTCTTGGTCGTCGGGGAAGCCCGCCACTGCTGAATGAAGGCCGCCACATCTATCCAATCGTATCCATGATCCAGTTCTCCAGTGAGTGCATTGGCCTCAGACCCTCGACTCAATACCAAAGAGGCAGATACATCTTGAAATTGATAGAGCACCTGGCTGGTCGGAGCATCTGGGGAGATTGGGCAAAAAGCAAAGCCGGTCTTCAATGTTGCAAGCCAGGATACATAGAGCTCAACTGACGATGACATGAGCCCAGGGATAATCGGTTGCCTGCCCTCCAAAGGTACTCTATTCCTCATGAAAGCGGCCAAGGCATCGGTAAGACAATCAAGCTCGGCATAATTGAGAATATCATGGCTGGCAGGAGAGTCTCCAGAGGGCAGAGACGAGAGAAAATCCAGAGCCGGCCTATCGGGGTTCGTCTTTGCTCTTCTCATGAACGCACCATGGAGTAGCGCCGGTCCATCCTCATTATATCCTTCGTCAAGATCCTCGTGGAGGCGGGGTGGCCTGTTGAGGGATGGGTAGTTCAGTGCGGACAGAACTAGATGTGGGGAGATTCCCAGAGGCCGCAAATAAGAACGTTTCACAAAATACTCTGCAGCTGATCTGAGAATAGAGCCTGCAATCACGTCAGACACGAGGTGCCGGTAGAAGGAGAGTCCGAGGGCAATTTGATTTCCTAGCTCCACGCGGAAGATGAAAGGCTAGACAGAGTCAGTCTCAGTGAAGGCCCATAGTAGCTAGCTAGCACTAACCAACTGCAAGATGCTCGAGGTTTCTCCATGAGCAAGGACCTCGAGAGCAAAATCCGTTTGGACGTTTAGGCATTCATTGGAAGATGCCGGGTAGCAGTTTATAGAGCAAGCCCTCTTGCTATCAATGCCGGTCCCAAGCTCTTCAGCATTATCAAGTGCAGCAATGGCTATTCCAGCTTCAGAAGCCGGTGGAAGAGAGTAGCGGAAAGCTACCTCCTCTTCACCCGTCACAGCAGCGACCACACGTGCATAGGCCTCAACTATGGCGTCGGTGGTCAAGAGGGTGTCACCTCGGGCAAAGCTCGCTTCGCTGGTAGCAATGCGCACTGGGGTATCATTTTGTGAGGCGGCGGCTGCAGACCCCGATAAGGGCTGGCGATAAAGCGTATCGAATGAGGGGAAAACGGTAGAAGACATGGACAATGGGATGGCTGGCAGGGCGGGAAGAGCTTCAAAATGAGACAAGACAGAGATAGATCAGATAAGACGAATGGCATATGAAAGAAGAGCTCACCACCTCCGCCGCCGCCGCCGCCGCCACCCCACGGTACCTAGGTAGCCGTTCATCTCAATGGGCATGCACAATGCACAGCACCCCGCCCGAATGCTTCGCGCATGGATGAATGGGAGCCGATGTCGCGCGGGTTGCATGGATTGCGCATGGTGGTGGAGGGTGCCCGTGGTAGAGATGCGGTCATGCCGCAGCAGGCGCTAGCGCTTCCGTGGAACGGAACAAAGTTGGGCCTAAATTTGCCGAAGCGAGTGGGCCTTTTCTCGTTTTTCACTGCCCTTGGGCCGCGGGCACACAAAAACCTCGAAAAAGCGGATCAGATATCGGGAACGGCCGCGGCGGATTGTGCGATCGAGACCGAGCGGATGCAACGCTGGGCGGCATTATCAGATGAAAACCCAAGATGGGACGACCGGGCGTCATACGTGCGCGCCCCTAGAGCCTCCGCCAGTGCCGGTCGTCCCATCGATCTAGACAAAGCCCTCGTCTGGCGCGAGGGCCCTACGGAGGGGCAGATCGCGGCTTGTTTTGGGGCCTAATCCCCGGCCTGGTGGTGAAAGATTAAGCACTTGCCGCTCCCGCCGTCTTCCCTTCCCTGCAGTCCGCGTGGTCTTGATCTTTTTTTTCTTCCTTTCCTTCGTTCCTATACCACAGCATCAGAAACCATGGCTCAAGCGACCAGCGCCGTCCAGCGTCTTCAGCAGACGCTCCAATTCTTCGAGCCGCAGCAGCGTCCCTCGGGCCTGACCCAGTCAGTCGTTCACGGCTCCATTGACCCTCCTCTGCTGTCTTTCACCCTCGGCGAGCTGCTCGATTTCCAATGCCAGAAGTATGGCTCGCAAGAATGCCTGGTCTTCTCCGCGACTGGCACGCGGTGGACCTACCACCAATTGAAGGAGCAGAGTGTCCTGCTGGCTCGGGGCCTGCTCTCCCTGGGCATCAAGCCAGGTGACCGCGTGGGCATCATGGCCGGCAACTGCGAGGAATATGCCACTATATTCTTTGCCTGCGCCAGGATTGGTGCCATCCTCGTTGTCCTGAACAACACCTACACCGCCACCGAGGCGTCTTTCGCTTTGGACCACACGGGTAAGCCATTGAACAGAGAATTCTAGGAATTGAGGCTGATATCCTCGCAGAGTGCAAGCTCCTCTTCATCCAGCAGAGGATTGGCCGGTCCGACAACTCTGAACTAATCCAGAAGATCAAGTCCGCGGAGCCGCAGAGCGGCAGCCTCTCGAGCGTTGAGCACGTCGTCGCCCTGCGGGAGGACATTCCCGACTTCACGAGCTACGCCAGCCTGATCAACCTGGGCGCCGCCATCTCGCCCTACTACTTGTATCGCGTCAGCACGACGCTGTCCACGCACGATGTCTGCAACCTGCAGTTCACCAGCGGCTCGACCGGCAACCCCAAGGCCGCCATGCTCACTCACCAGTGAGTTCTTGCCCTACAGCTACCTTGGTGCCCAAACACTGACCCACGCCGCGCAGCAACCTCGTCAACAACTCCCGCTTCATCGGCGACCGCATGGCCCTCGGCCCCGAGGACGTGCTGTGCTGCCCGCCCCCGCTTTTCCACTGTTTCGGGCTCGTTTTGGGTTTGATGGCCTGCGTCACGCATGGCAGCAAGATTGTCTTCCCCAACGAGGTGTTCGACGCCGCGGCGACGCTGCGCGCCATCTCGGACGAGCAGTGCACCGCGCTGCATGGCGTGCCGGCCATGTTCGACGCCATCCTTACCCTGCCCCGGCCCGCGGGCTTCGACTGCACGCGCCTGCGCACTGGTATCATTGCCGGCGCGCCAGTGCCGCGCCATCTCATGGAGGGCATTCTCGTCGAGTTGGGCATGACGGAGTACACTAGCAGCTACGGTACGCGCTCTCGTATCTCCCCCATCCCTCACACGCACTAACATGCGCACACAGGCCTGACGGAAGCCTCGCCCACCTGCTTCAACGCACACACCTACGACACGGTCGACCGGCGCCTCACGACGGTGGGGACGATCCTCCCGCACGCACACGCCAAGGTCGTCGACCGCGAAGGCAACGTCGTGCCCGTGGGTGTGCGCGGCGAGCTCTGCATGGCGGGATACCAGCTGCAACGGGGATACTGGCACAACCGGGCCAAGACGGAGGAGTGCATGGTGCGGGACTCGCAGGGGATCGTGTGGCTGCACACGGGCGACGAGGCCGTGATTGACGAGCAGGGCTACTGCAGCATCACGGGGCGGTTCAAGGACATTATCATAAGAGGTACATACGGCCAGCACCCACCACCACCGCCACAATAGCAGCAAAGCTAACCGCACCCCTCCTCCCACAGGCGGCGAGAACATCTACCCCCTCGAAATCGAGTCGCGGCTGCACGCGCACGCATCGATAACCAACGCAGTGGTAGTCGGGATCCCACACGCCAAGTACGGCGAAGTCGTGGGCGCGTTCCTGGCCCACGCGCCCAACACGCCACGGCCGAGCGACGACGAGCTGCGCGCGTGGACGCGCCAGACCCTCGGCCGGCACAAGGCCCCCGCGCACGTCTTCTGGCTCGGCGAGGAGCCCGGCGTGCCTGCTACCGTGCCCATGACGGGCAGCGGCAAGGTGCGCAAGTTCGAGCTGCGCGCTGCGGGCGAGGCGGTGGTGCGGGCGCGCGAGCAGCATGTCGTGCAGGCGGGCGCGGTGCAGGAGATGAGTGCGTAGATGGGGCGACGGCGGCTTGTATACCTTGAGAAAAGAGAGAGAGAGAAAGAGAGAGAGAGAGACGGACGGAGGAGAGGCGTTTTTACTTTTATTGACTTCTTCGCAACACCGCCGCACTGGCGTATTGTACCCCGTTAGTTTTAGCACAGCATGATATCAGCACACCGACGATTGTATTTCTTCCTACATACATACCACAACCCTCAAACCCTCGCACTCTCACACCTCGCCCGCCATCAAAACGGGACGCCTAAGCCCTAAAGCGCACTAGCACTAGCGGCACGCCACGCGCGCACGCGCCATTTCACATGTCATGGGCGCGAAGCGGAAGCCCCACCGCGCGACGCCGACGCGTCCTACGTAACGTAACGAATTGCGTACGCGTATGTCTTCCATGTCTCGGACGGCTCGTTTGAGGGTGGCTGACTACGGATGTAGGCACCTACAACCTACGGAGATACACACATACAACCACAACACAACACAACCATCACACAACACACGCCATGCTCACAGCCTTGCCACCGCCCTCACCACGCCGCCCTCGCCCGTCTCCTCCCCCTCCGGCTCCCACGCCAGCGGACAAAGCTGGAAGAACCACTCGCGCTCACACGCAACCACCGCGCTGCGCTTATGCGGCAAGTCGACGAAGCGTAGCACATGGAACCCACAGCGGGCATCGTAATCCAAGACGGTAGTATTCGTGGCCCTCGGCTCACCAACCAAACGCATGGTGCGCGGCTCATCCAGAAACATGAAATGCATCAGACCCGACCACCACGCCGCGACGCGATGGGGCCCGCGAAACCTCGCATCGCCAACCAAGCTGTGCCGGCCGCGGTCGTACGCGCCGGCGTCGAAGTGCGCGCCCATATGGTCCTCCTTGGCCCAGTAGACCTCGAAGTACGCGAACGCGGCGCCGTCGAACCGCGCCAGCAGCGCGAGCGTGTGCAAGTCCTCGTGCTGCCGCCGCAGGTACGCCGTGTGCGCCTCCACGCTGCCCGTCTCGTTCCACCCCGCCGCGACGCGCGGGTCGTTCTGCCACGCGTGGAAGAGGCGCACGTGCGCGCTGTTGCGCCAGTCCAGCGCTACTATCGAGAACTGCGCCCCTAGGTGCGGGATCCACCGGCTGTAAACGACGCTGCCTGGCGCTGGCTTCGCCGGCCGCACCGGGTGCTGCGTGTGCCGTGGCTGCGGCGGCCATGCCGTCACGGCCGCTGGTAAGTGTGGGAATGCCGGATACATGGCTGATGGCTGCAGCGCGTGCTCGGCGAGCCAGATGGGCCGCGGCCCGGTGGGCGAGCCGGCGCCTTGCCAGAAACTGCCTGCGAAGAGGAGGAACTCGCCTGCGCCTGCGCCTGCGCCTGCGTCTGCGTCTGCGTCTGCGTCTGTGGCTGTGGCTGTGGCTGTGGCTGCGGTAGCCAGCTTGCGCAGCTGCTCCAACTGCTGCGCCGAGGCCGCCGGATGCGGCACCAGCAGGCCGACGGCGCAGAGGCGGTGTGCCAGCTCCTCGGCGCCGGGGCCCTGCAGCGCAACCCGGAAGACCTCGGCTTTGGGGTGCAGCGTCACGAGTGCGTAGGCCAGTAGCCAGAACTGCGGCACGCTGGGCGGCGAGCCCTCGCTGCTGCTGCTGTTGCTGCTGCTGTTGCTGTCGCTCCAGCTAACAGCCGTAAGCGGCGTGCGCCGCGCCCGCGCCCACGAGCTGTTGTCCCCCAGCGCGGGACAGGCCTCCAGGTCAGGCGGCTGAGGCGCCGTCCACGCCAGGCGGGGATGGTGCAGCGGCACTGGCGGCGCAACGCCCTTGCCACAGGGGCTCGTAACGTCTGGGCGGTGCAGGACGCGGTACTGCGGGCTGGCACTGCCACTACTGCCACCATTGGTGGTAGGTGTGCTAGTGGTGGGAGTGGTCGTGTCTTCGACGACGTCGTAGGCCGTGAGGTACGGGTGCGGGAGGTGGATGCGCTGCGGGAACGCGCGCTGCGTCGACGAGGAGGAGGAGCAGGAAGAAGATGCCATTGCGACGATGCTTGCGTTGTGCGGAGAGGTAAGACACGATTAGAGTTGCGGGAGCTACCACAGACAATGTCTCAGAGCGCACACCTACCCACCCACCCTAGGTATACCTACCTACCAGCCCAGTGTCCAGCACGCAGCGCCGGGGGTTCTCGGGCCCGGCGACAGCGGCGACGGCGGGGAAGCCTACCTGCCCTGACCTAACCTGACCTAACCGAAGCGCTCTATCCCCCCGCCTCTTCCTTTCCTTGGTGGTGGCAGCGCACCGCATTGCGCAACAAGCTTGCTTGGCCGCTTGGCCGCATCGTCGGCGGGGCATGGCACGCCATGGCATCATAACTGCAGCGCACGCACGCATGCATGCAGGGCAGTATGCGCGCCACCGCGATTGTGCAGGCATCCTCAACGGGCACCCCGCCTGGCACCCCTGCCCCTCCCCTCGCTTACAAGCAAGCAACCCAGCAACCCAGCAACCTAGCAGCCAAGCCAGCAAGCAAGCAAGCAAGCAAGCAAGCAAGCCAAACCCCCCAGCCCTCTTGGCTAAATGCCGCGGACCAGCGCGCCCGTGCCCGTCCGCATCCACATCTGATAACGGGGCGGTGCCCCTCTCTGTTGATCCCGAATTCGATACGAGGTACGGGTGCCGCACTGCTTCCTTATCAGATGGCATGGCATGAGCATGACGCCACTGCCTACGGTACCCCTGCCTCACTTAGGTACTGTCCCACATGTACTGTCCCACTGCCGCTGCTGGGTTGCCGGTTGCGGCAGCGGCCTCGGGTAAAGAAGAAGAGGAAGAGGAGGGGTTGATGTCTATTGACAATTACGGTAAGTGGGGCAGAAGGGGGTGGTGCTTGCTTGCTTGCTTGCTTGCGGGTTTGTGCTGCTTTTGCGGCGTTGCATACACTACACTACGGATATGCTCGAGAGGTGTAGCGACCTGGAGGTACGAGGTCGTGTGCCAGATATCAGTGGGTGGTGTGTTCAGTGAGTGCGGTTTCTGTCCTCTGCAGTCTACATAGGTAGCTCCATGTCCAGCTCCAAGCCGTTCTCCTCTCCCCCTCCCCCTTCGCATCCCCTCCACTAAGCCCAACACACCTACCTACCTAACCACGTCAAGCCCCCGCCGCCCCAACCACAGCAGCCGGCGCCGGCGCCGGTGGCGGCAAATGCTGTTCCAGGCGCAAGAAGCGCAGCGTACCTACAGACACAGACAGGCAAGTCAGCACAACAGCACAACAGCACGCAAAACACCAACCATCACCACAAACAAACAAACAAAAGCAAACACGCGCACTTACTGCCCCACCCCAAATCCTCCCCAAACACATCCTCCAGCTTCTCCCGTCCCCACAGCACGCCCTGGTCGGGATGGAACGTGACGGCCTGCGCTCCCACAGCCAGGCCCATCATAGGCGCGACGTGCGGAAACGTTGACGGAGCCGGCGGCGCAGCGCTAGGGTCTTCGTCGTTGAGCATTCCGGCCACGATGTTCGATGCGGCGACCTGCCCCATGACGAGCGCGGGGCCGGCCCGCTTGATCCCGCTCCAGTGGCAGATGTCGCCGGCCGCGAAATGTCGGGGGGAAGAGGTGAGTGCCATTCTGGTGGGGGAGGGGGGTTAGTTGGTGGTGTGGTGCGATGTAGGTAGTGGGCAGTAGGGGCGTACCTCTCGTCCACGAAAACGTAGCCCTCGGCATCGACGGCCTCGCGCGGCAGAAACGACGTGTTAGGTGTAAAACGGCTGACGGCATCGAAGACGGCGCCGGCGACGATGCTGCGCCCGTCGGTGAGCGTCACGGTGGTGCTGGTAGCTGTGACTCCGTCCGCGCTCTTGGCCATTGTCGCGCGCTGCCCGAGGACGAGTTCGACGCCTTCGGCGCGCAGCAGCTGCGCGGCGCGGTCTTTGAACTCTTGGGGAAGCGGCTCGTTCGAGAGCAGGGATTGGCGCGAGTGTATCAGCACGACGCGGTTGTGCGGGTGGTGCTGCTTTATTTCGGCGGCGAACTCGATGCCGACGGCGCCTTTGGTGGGAGAGCGGGGGGTTAGTGTCTATAGAGGTGGTACAGGCTCTCTGTTTGTTTGCTCCGCCTAGCTACGCACTCACCTCCGCCGACAACGACCACGGTCGCGTTCGCCGCCGTCGCGATCCCGGCGATGTGTTTGTTGGCGTCGAGGACGTAGTCCTTGAAGGCCGTGGCGCGCGGGACTATTGGCCAGGCGCGCTTCAGGCCTGTGGCTAGGACGAGGTAGTCATACTCGAGGCGGGCTTCTTGGCCGTCGTTGTCATTGTCGATATATGCGATGGTGCGCGTCGACGGCGTCACGCGCTTGATGGCCCCGTGCAGGATGCGGACTTCTTTGCGCTGCAGGCGCGCGATGTCCCGGTGCGGGAGCCACGAGCCTTGCACCGCGGCTCTGGCGACGTGGGCGAGGGGCGAGCCTACCGAGTGGACTGCAGTGATGGCGCTATATCAGCAAGCCGTGAGAGAAGGTGTTTCTTGCGCGCGCGCCGTCAAGGTGCTGCCCGCGGTTGCGCAGCAAGAAGCCGCGGGCCCTGGCCTGGCATGCCCTGGCTGATGGTGTTATTGGTGGACGTACAAAAGCCATCCCGCTCGTCGAGCAGGGTGATCTCGACACGCCGCCGCGGCCTTCTTCCGCGTCCGCCATCAATGCCGTCGAGCAGGCCCAACACGGCTGCCATGCCGGCGTAGGCGCCTCCGACCACGACAACGCGATGCGGCGGCTCGAGCGACGCATGGCCGTTCTGCTCAGCAGCAGCTCCTTCAGTTTCCGAGAAAGCCATAACTTGGTCGCCCCAACAGCGTGGTCAGGTCAACGGAATAGGCCAAGATCGTCGTGGGGATATAGCGAATAAAGCGATTGTGTACAACGGAAAGCGGAAACCAAAGTGCTCCTCCGAGAGCCTCGCGGCGTCAAGTGTGCGTCCTCTTCTTCTTCAGCGCGGGCGGCCTCCGCGTCCCGCAGCGCAAGGGGCGCCGCTTCCGCTGTCGCCATGGAGGCCGCTGCATCGAGCCATGCATGTCCGGTGCCGCACATGACGGAGGACCATTCGGTACGAGTGGTGCTCCTAGCAGAGCGGTGGCTGGGCGGGGCGGGTAATGTTCAGTTAAAGTTATCAGATCCGCACCTGCTTTGATATCCCGGCCGTGCATGGCCGCCATGCCGCGCTCCCTGTCTTCTATTCGTATCCGGCGCACCATCTCCCGCCATCAAACAAGTCGACTCGCATGGCGTGGCTCGTCTAACGTTTTCCTATCTACCTACGTAGGTAGTTAGTTCATGCGCCGGAGCGTCGCTAGGTTTGCCCCCCCTCCTTCACCCTTCGCCGAGGCCGGCTTCGTGTTATCTGATCGAATAGAAGCACTCTCGCAAGCCCGCTAGTCCAAGCCTCCCCGTGCTCGCTCATCTTATCTGATCATATCATATCCATCTCCACCTCGTGTCCGGCAGTGGAAAGGTCCCCGCTGACGAGCCTCTGCTTGCCGTCTCTACCGATGCCGGCTCCGACTACGGTTCGCTGTGTAATGACTCCGTGCACGAGAGCAGCGTGAGCAGTCCGGAAAGCGGGTTGAGGCAAGGAGATGACGCAGCAGCGTCAGCCACCTAGCCCCGACGAGACGGCCTCGCGCAATGCCGAAGCCGTCACTTCGGCCTGGGGCAAGAACGCCGTCGTCCTTTCCTACGCCGCCGTCTTTTTGGTCGTCTAGGGCCGCGGAGTGGGTTACGTAGCTATAGTCGCGTGTACTGCGTAGTTGCAGTGGCGCGCCTGGTATCTGCATCTATTGTTGATGAATGCAGGACTGCTTCTCATGGCCATATGCAATAGTATCGCTACTTATGCAATCGTGCAAGTAAGCTGTTTAACGCTGTTTCTGTTCCTATCCAAGGTTAGCAGCTCATTGTCTAGGTGTTTTACTGGCTCTGCTTTAGTAGCATAGGCTATATTATACATATCGTTCTAGCTGATGTTAGTAGCCTTGAAAACAGAGCAATTGCGTTTGCTTATTCGTCGACTCCGTATGTCCTCACCACCTTCCTGGTCCGGCTGTCGCGCAGTGGTTTTTCGATTTTAGCTCTTGGAGATGGGCGTTTGTTGTCTTTGCTATAACAACGCCCCTCGTCTCTACTCTGATGATAGCGTTGTTTTTTATACGAGACACATATAGAGGTGCTGGGAACAGAAATAGGAGACTTTTGACAAGGGAGGACTCAAAAGTTCATCACTGGATTCGATGGTAAGCGAATTTTTATTTAAGTTTACTAGATATCCTATATCTATTCCCCCGTATAACCATCTTTCTTATACCCCTGATCAGTTCTATCAGGTTCAACCTTTTGGATCCGTGACATTTTGTAGAAACATATGCTAACAAAACCAGCCGTAGGCACTATACTCTTCCTTACAGGCAAAACTCTCGTCCTCCTCCCTCTAAGCTTCCGATCCTACGAAAACAACTACTAGCATTCTCCCCCTATACTTCTTAAGAGCATCACCGGATACGGGTGTCTCTGTCTCTTTATCATGTGGGAATACAAGTACGCTTCAGTCAAACTGATTCCGTACGATGTGGTGAGGGATTGGATACGTAGATGATATAGGCTACGCTCAGATGGATTCTAAGCTGGCGGTAGAAGGAAGAAATATAATTGAACTCGTAGACAGTATAACTTCACGCATATCACGAGGACATGGCTGAAGTGTTTGTCGTTGTTGTTTGCCTTTATTCTCCGGGTTGCTCTGCCGTGCCCCGGTGATTCACGAACCCGAGCACCCAAAAGCGTGGGCAGCACAGCGCGGGCCGACAGTCCGCACGCGCGTCAGGGCCGCCAGCACACCCGGCCGAGGCAAAAAAGCCACCAAGCGAACATCCGCGGTTCCCGCCCGGAAGAGCAGGTGAGAGCGAGAGAGGGGCCCACGGGAGAGTGCGCAGTGGAGACTGGAGAGCAGGCAGGAGGGGAGGGCCCGCCCCCGGCAAAGCGCGCCCCCTCTCCCTCTCCCCCGGCAGACCCTGTCATCAGATAAGTCTCTGATCCCAACTGCATTGAGGCGGCGCCGAGGGCGCACATGAATCTCCGAGAGAGGGAGCCCATGGACATGGTGTGCTGATCTAATCAGATTGATTGGGTCGCTCGCGTGCTGAAGACTAGCTGCGCCGATCGCTGTTGCACAAAGGCTGCAACACAAACGTCTGGGTTTTTGCCGGACAGCCGTCATTGCGCGCAGCGGGATCCCGGCTTCCGCAAAGCTTGTGATCTGATAAAAACGAGAAAATTTTTATCTGATTGTGGGGACTGACGTCTGGGCGTAGCGCTTGGATGCTAGGTGCTTGGCTGCCTTTTGGGCCGCGCCCGCGCCCACCGAGGATTATTACCGAGCGGCGTTCTGTACGATATCTGTTCCGTGGAAGACGAGGCGGAGATGAGGTCTTAGGTAAGGAATTATTCCGCCGTGTGGTTCGTTGGACATGGAGCATGGCGTCTGCTCTTCCAGCTTCAACACCACATCCACCATTCCGGACGCTCTCTTTCGATTCACCCCACGATGCTTCGCCTACTCCTAACTCCGATAGGCAGCTCCACCCCCTACTCCGCATCCTACTGAGTAAGGCAAAGGCAATGCCAGTCTTGCGCAATCCCGCCCGCCGTCGAGACGGTCTCTGATCTCTCTCGAAAATCCGCTGATCGCTGACAAAGGCGGGCAAGATTTTCCATGCAACCAACAAGGCCGAATCTGGGACATGGCTAACGGCTCGGTACGCCTTTTCTCGACTCGATCGAAACACGGCTAAAAAGCAGCCGCCGACTCGAGGCGCCCCGCCATCACCGCATCATGTTTAATGCTTGTCTTATCAGATGGGTTATGTCTCCGAAAAGAATGGGGATGCGCTTGTCTCGCCCCCTGTCCCCCCTGTCCATTGGCTCCTGCGCCTTTCTCCCTCGAGTGGGGTAGCCGCGCGAACCTCATCTGGTCTTCATCCTCTGCCACTTGCCAAAAGTTGCCATCATTTCGTATCCCGATTTTCGGACGTGCAGCGCCCAGCCTGCATGGCGTTCGCGATGGATGGCACGATGGCTGCACGACAAAAAAAAAAAAAAGTCTCGAGGACCACATCCTCGTCTGACGCTGTTATTGCTAGTTGAGTGATCCGAGTGACTGCTGAAGGAGACGGCCATTGTGTACAACTGAACATTATGGCGGGGACAAAGGCAAGTATATACATACCTTTTTCACTGCCACACACGTCGCCGTCTGCCTCGGACGCGCGTTAACAAAGCACACCCGCACCTCCTGGTAGCGTCTATGGCTAACACTTTCCACTCCAGCCTAGCAGCAGCAGCTGGCTTCGGCGATTGGCCGGCAAGGTCGTCGACGATAAGTTCTTCCCACTGCTCCTCTACGCCGACCCGGAGAAGCTGGACTACATTCTGCTGTTCGCGGGCATCATCGGAGCCATCTGCTCCGGCTTTCCCTTCCCCTTCCTAGGCATATTGTTCGGAAAGCTGGTGGATGACATAAACTCGTCAGCATGCGCCGAAGGGCCTCCTGCGAACCTGGAGTCCATGGTCCGCAAGAAGGTCATCGCAGTAACTTGCGTGGCTGTGGCCAACTTCTCGCTCATCTATCTCTACATGGGTTGCTGGACGCTGTTTGGGGAACGCCTCGTCCGCCGTCTGCGCACGCGCTACCTCTCCGCTTTGCTGCGCCAAGAGGCAGCGTTCTTCGATGGTCTCCCCGCGGGAGAGGTAGCGTCTCGCCTCGATACCGACCTGCAGACCATCCAAGCGGGTGTGTCTGAGAAGGTCGGTATCTATCTTGCTAGTCTGTCGTACTTCCTGGCCGCCTACGTGGTAGCTTTCATCACGGATGCGCGGCTCGCAATCATCCTGTTCGCCCTTGTGCCGACTTACTATGTAATGGTCAAAGTCGGCAACCACTTCACTGGCAAGTATACGAACGCCGTGGCCGATGCCGTGGCCGATGCCAGCTCCATCGCTTCAGAGTGCTTGTCCAATATCCAGATCGTCCATGCCTTTGGCCTAGAATCTCGCCTCGAAGCTATCTTTACCGGCCACTTGCTCAAGGCCCAGCCCGCTGCTATTCGCAACTTCATCACTGCCGCGTGCCAGCTGGGCTTCTTGTATTTTGTGGCGTACTCGGCCAATGCCGTGGCCATTTGGCAGGGCAGCATGCAGATAGGAGACGCCATCGCTCAGAAATCCGACTTCACAATCGGCCATGTGTATACTTGCATTCTAGTGTTGATTGATGGTGAGATTGATCTCTTTTAAAATGCTCTTCTGAGCACTGGCTAATGTCCAAAGCCTCATTCATCCTTACCCAAGTCTCGCCATTCATGCAAATCTTCTCCTCTGCAGCCGTTTCTGCGCAGAAGCTCTTCGACACCATCGACCGCACGTCCGAGATTGACGGGACCTCCGACTTCCACGGCCAGATCCTGCCCACGTTCCGTGGGAACATCGAGTTCAAGCATGTTTCCTTTGTCTACCCTTCCCGCCCAGATGCGCAGGTTCTGGACGGACTGACTTTGAGCGTCGAGGCTGGGAAAGTCACGGCCATCGTCGGCTCCTCCGGGAGCGGCAAGTCGACGCTTGCATCCCTGATCCCGCGTGTCTACGACGTTACAGGCGGAGAAGTCAGTGTGGATGGCCTCGGCGTAAAGGAGCTCAACACGCGCTACCTGCGCAGCAACATTGCCGTCGTCGAGCAGAACCCTGCGTTGTTCGACGCGTCCATCTTGGAGAACATAGCGTTTGGGCTTGTCGGCTCTCCCAGACGAGACCACCTGTACCTCCAGCCGGCGCTGCTGAACGGCAGTCTCGAGGGGGCAGTGAAAGCGGCGCAGAAGGGACGCGCTCTCGACCACCCCACAGACCCTGCCGTCCAGAAGATTATCGCACTTGTGCAGGACGCGGCAGGCCGCGCTAGCGTGATGGAATTCGCGGACAGGCTTGAGCATGGCCTAGCTACGCAAGTTGGCGTTGGTGGTCGCCAGCTGAGCGGGGGCCAGAAGCAACGCGTGGCTATTGCCAGGGCTTTGGTGCGCGATTCGCCGGTCTTGATCTTGGACGAAGCCACGTCTGCGCTGGATTCCATCTCCGAGAAGAAGATCCAGGCGGCGCTGGAGGAGTCGTGCAAGGGCAAGACTTTGGTGGTTATTGCTCATCGGTTGTCGACGATCAAGAATGCGGATACCATCATGGCGATGGCGAAGGGACGGGTCGTCGAGCAGGGTACTTATAGTGAGTTGTTGGAAAAGGACGGGCTGTTTGCCTCGCTGGTCCGCTTGCAGGATATTGAGAAAGAAACAAACAAAGCCGCCGTGGCGGACCTTGTCGACGTGCCCTCTGGCTCGGCCGCTGGAGATAAATCTGACAATGGGCCTTCGGATAAAGAGCTGGATGAGAAGGCTGAAATGGGCGATATTGACCTTGATTCTGATGGCGAGGACCTCCCTCTGCTCGAGTCAGACCCGGCATACAAGACTGAAAAGGAGGAAGAGCCCCTCCAGGCCAAACAGCACTCGTTTGTCTCGACTTTCATCCGCGTCGTAGGGCTCGCTCGTAAGTGGCGCATCTACATCTGGATTGGCAGCATTGCGGCCATCGTCGTCGGCGGGTCACACTCGGGCGAGGCGCTGATATTCGGCAACATGATCGGGGCGATCAACCCATGCCGGGAGGAGGCGTTTGTACGACGGGCCGGGATCGTCTTCTCGCGGCTGTTCTTCCTGCTGGCGGTGGTCGAGTTCAGCGGCGCCGTGGCGCGGGGCAGCGCGTTTGGCTTTGTGGCCGAGAAGCTGGTGGTCAAGACGCGCGTGCTCACGCTGCGCAGCCTGCTGAGCCAGGACGTGGCGTGGCACGAGTCTGCGGGGCGCACGCCCGACAAGCTGCTCGGGTACTTGACGACGGACACGACAAGCCTGAGCGGCATGACGGGCAGCGTGCTGGGCATCTCGTTCTCCATCATTGTGAGCCTGGTGCTCGGCGTGACCATCTCGCACTTTGTGGCGTGGAAGATCGCCATCGTGTTGCTGGCGACTGTGCCGGTGCTGCTGGCGTCCGGGTACCTGCGCCTGCGCATGCTGGCCCGCTTCCACGAGAAGCACACAGCCGCCTTCACCCAGTCGGTCGCCGTGGCCAAGGAGGCCGTCGACTGCATCCGCACCGTCGCCGCCTTCTCGCTCGAGGACCTCGCCCTGCACGCCTACAGACGCGCCCTGCATGCCCCGTACGCCGCCACCCTGCGCGCCATCACCCTCGGCAACTTCTGGCTCGCCCTCTCCTACAGCATCAGCAACCTCGTCTACGCCCTGGCCTATTGGTGGGGCGCGAAGCTCACGGCTAATGCCACCTACTCGCAGACGCAGTTCTTCATCGTCCTCCCCGCCCTGCTGTTCAGCTCGCAGGCGTGCGGCCAGTTCTTCTCCCTCGCCCCCGACATGTCGCGCGCTGGCGTCGCCGCCCGCCGCATCCTCGAGCTCATCGAACAAGGCCCGAAAGGCCCTTTGCAGCCGCCGCCGCCCCCCGCGCAGCCAGACGACAGCGTCACCGCCAGTTTCAAAGCCTACGACGAGGACTCGGCCTCCGACGACGACAACGACGACGAAGAAGCCGCCCTCGGCCTGCCGCTGAAGCAGCTCCCCTCGCCCACCACCTCCCCAACCGCCCAAGGCATAGCAATCGCCTTCAACAACGTGCGGTTCAGCTACCCGTCGCGGCCGGGCACCGAGGCCCTCAAGGGGCTCACCCTCAACATACGCGCAAACACGTTCGCGGCGCTGACCGGGCCCTCCGGCTCCGGCAAGTCGACGGCCTTCGCGCTCATCGAGCGCTTCTATGCCCCAGACTCCGGCACCGTGACGCTGGACGGGGTTATGGCGTCCGCGTCCGCCCGCGCCGCCATCGCGCTCGTGCCGCAGGAGTGCGCGCTGTTTGACGGGAGCGTGGCGTTCAACATCGGGCTAGGCTCCGCTGGGAGCCAAGCCCCCACGCAAGCAGAGATCGAAGCCGCGGCGCGGGCCGCGAACGTGCACGACGCGATTGCGGCGCTGCCCGCGGGCTACGCGACGCGCTGCGGGGCGCGGGGCAGCCAGTTCTCTGGCGGGCAGCGGCAGCGGCTGGCGATAGCGCGGGCGCTGGTGCGGCGGCCCCGACTGCTGCTGCTGGATGAGCCGACGAGCGCGCTGGATGCTGAGAGCGAGGCGGTGTGGCAGGAGACGCTGGGTCAGGTTGTTAGGGGGAGCGGCGTCACGGTCGTGGTGATTGCGCATCGCTTGGCGACGATCCGCAAGGCGCACTGTATTTTCTATGTTGATGGCGGGGTTTGTGTCGATAGTGGAGGGCATGACGAGTTGCTGCGCAGGAACGAGATGTATCGGCGCAGTGTGCTGCTTCAGACGCTGAGTTAGAAGGGTGCGTCGAGTCGTGGGATGAGGTTTAGAGTTGTTGGGTTGACGGGTTTTGGATGCTTTATGCTGGCCTACCATACATATATAGTGTCATGTTTTCTAGAATGTAAGTCACCAAGACGAGCTAAGGGTTCTGCTTGCTAGTTATATCAGCATGCGACCTAATCATCGTCGCCTCCGCATACGTATACACTCAACCCCTTATACCTATACATAAGCCTATCTACGTAGGAAGTGGTTTCTATAGTCACAAAAAGAGATAACCATAGGCAAACGAATCGAGTCACTGATATAAAGGGTTTATTTTTATCTAGACAGAAAGTGAAATCCGTATATACGTCTTCGAAGATAACATCCGTCTTAATGAGAGTCAGGTCACCCGCACATGAAGACACTTGTATTCATCTGGACGTGAACCAAGTCATCCATACACAAAAAGTTAATTTTCATGTAGGCGAGAGTCAAGGTCCCTGCTTATATAAAAACAACTTTCATTATTACGAGGACCAGATCATCTACATACAGAGGAAAAGTCACCGTCTAGATAAAGATTGAGTCCTCGCCGTATAAAATATTGCTTTTTATATGGTCGCGAACCGAACTCTCTAGTTACAAAATGTTGGTTCTCGTCTGCATAGAGATCGACTAGTACTGGTAAGGAAGTGAGTTTTATAGTATGTGGCCGCTGGGGCCAAGTAAGAAGTACGCGCGAAGGATGCCGTTTGTGGTATTGAATGCGTGACTGGCTTCTCTGATTGGCTGACGGTGAAAGGTGGACACCATCGGGATATCACGGCCAGCACAGGAAGCTGGTTGTTGACAGTCTCTACATGCTGCTGAGTGTGCGTATGTCGCGTGGTCATCTCAACTTATATGGTTAGCAGAAGCAGCAACAGAAACACGCCTACAAGAACACGAATACCCCATCTCACACGACAACACATCTATTAAACGCCGTCTGTGTGCGCAGCGTAACTAGCTACATGCGTTGGCAGCGCTGCTCCGCGCCACCAACACCAAACGCCAGATCGCTGAAAAACAGGACTAACCGCGCAGCAACAAAGGAAAGAAGAGAACGTGGCTCGCCGTAAGGGCTTCATATCGCGTATCCGAGCATTAGGTATCGTTACCAGACATCAACAGCAAGAGCGTAACCCAGCGGCGCGTGGATATGAAGAGACAGGCAGCCAGGACCATGACTAAAAAGAAGATAAAAACACCATACTTTGCAGGAAGGACAGACTTTTTGGGTTCCGCACACTAGCGGGGACGTGCTGACAGCGTGAGGCAAAGCGATGCGCGCTGGAGGGGCAAGGGAAGAAGGCTTCAGCAAGCAGTGCGGGAAGGAGGAAAAAGAGAGATAAATGGGAAACACCAAGCCGCCAAGCTCCTGGACCTTCCCATGGAAACGCGACTTCGACGCTGTTCGCGCGCGCAAAGGCGCATGAATGAGCGTCCAGAGGCCAGCGCCCAGCACAGGTGCGTCCAGCCGACAAGCGGCTGCGAAGCGCGACATTGGCTTTCCGTTTTTTACTCCTTTTCTTCTCCGTTTGATGCTGCTTTCTCCGCCTTTCCTTTCGCCTGCTTCCGCGATGCCGTTTAAGTGCCGAGCTTTTTGAAGATGTTGACGCCAGCAGTGGCTGTGTCTGTGCCGCCGGTGACCTTCTTGAAGCCGGTGGCTCCATTCTGCCCGGCGACGGCGCAATTGGCATCCTTGTCGCAGGCGTTGATGTAATCCTCGGCCGGCAATGACGACGTCGGCGAAAAGGTACTGCCTATCATGGCAGCACTGTTGTTCTGGCCACACTTAATCATGAAGTATGTGCCTGTCGTGGCGGCGCGGAAGACCTTGCCATCATCGCGTGAGCTAGTACAACTGATTGGACTCGTCACCACGTTGTACTGTACAGAGTTGAAGATGTACGTAGCCGGGGGGGGTGCCGGGTTGTTTGTTGCCGCCGACTTCCTTCTCGCAGCTATACTACCGGTTACAGTAATGAGGGCTCCTGAGCCTTTGAGAGTGCATGTTGTTCCCGCATAGACCGTATTTGAGCAGGTTGAAAGAAGTTCACATCGCATGATGCAGTCCTCCATACTAGGCGACGTAAAGCTATCCAGAGTTGTACCGTCTGTGCTCGAGCCACAGGTAACAGTATAGACGGCTCCGTACCGTGTGACGAAATCTTTGCCAGAGGTTGCGGGGCAAGAGATCGGGACTTGGGCAGAAGAGCCGCAGTTACCGTATGCTGAAAGACATCCGGCACCGCAGTAGTCAGCAGTGCCACCGCAGTAACCACTCGCGCTGCAGCATGTTTCAAAGGTGGAAGTATAGCCAAGACATGACCCTAGAGCTGCGGTGCCGCAGCGTCCATTGGTGCTGTTTGGAACAGTAGTACCTGGAGAAAAACCGCTGTTAGCCGGAGAGTTGTTGGCAGACGTAGTGCCTGTGAGTTGTTCGAAACAGTACCTGATCCAGCACCGGTACCTGAGCCAGTACCGGTACCTGAACCAGCACCAGCAGCAGGCCGTTGATCGCCCGTGTAGACGTTGGCAGCGCCAGCAGCTGGGGGCGTGTACTGCGCGTTCGTACCGGCCAAACTCGTGGAAATGCTAGCGCTCGGAGCAAGGGTCCTGGCCTCTGCGCCACACACAGGACTGCCGGAAGGATAGATGGTTGTGGTAGTCGACACAGCAGCTATACTAATTGTAGTCGTTGAACGTGCCGCAGTTAAGACCTTGGTTACGGTTCTGGCAGCGGCAGTAGGCATCTTGAATACCCGACCCGTGACACTGATCCAGGAAGTGACGGGTCTCGCAGTGACGACAGTTTGGACAGGTCTGTAGGAAATGCGGGTGATCGTGTCTGTTGCAGTAGTGACGTCAATGCTCCAGCTAGTAGATACTGGCAGCACGGTAGTGGAAGTCGATCCACAGAAGGGGACAGAGTACACGGTCTTAGCAACACGCTTGATAATTTGCGGAGCTTCAACCCGTTTCTGCATACGTCCTCGACGTAGCCCTCCTGCTGGTGGGGTAACGTAGGGAACGCATACATCGTTCTGAGTCACTAGAACAGTGGGACGATATGTGATGGATTTGGTCGGCAGGTTGAGAACACTGTTGACTACGACTGTTGGTTTGGAATACCAGCTGGTTGACAGGCCGGACCTAAAGATAGTGGACCGGGGAAGTGGTGTCGTAGTAGAAATGGTCGGACGATCGAAAGTGGATGTAATTGCTGTATAGTTGTTAGAGTCATTGTGACAAGGGTTTGGGAAAACAAAACTTACTCGTTGTGGTAGTAGTATACTGCCCCACGGTTGACTTAGCGGTTGTGTAAGCGACCGTCGTCGTGTGGGTGTGCGTATAAAGGATGGTTGATGTGAAGCGGCCTCCAGCATTGGCGCCTAGGACGCTGAGAGTGACCGGTCCAGTCATGGTACTCTGCGCAATCCTGAAGTTGAAGGGAACAGCGCCTCGGAAATCATCCGCCACAGTAGCAATGGCGTTGGCGCTGACGGCCTTGACATTTCCGACGGTATCTGTGAATTTGGCAATCATGGTGAAGACTCCACCGGCCGTGCAAGCCGCATCCGATCCATCCTGATACATCTGCGCTTGCAGGTATTCCACGGCGTTCGGATCCGAGTTGCATGTTCCAGCAGGCTGGAATAAGGCCTTAAGACAAGCTGCCGCAGACACCGAGTTCACATGTAGGCCCAGAGCCACGACAGCCGCGAGGAAGGTGGGTTTAAAAAGCATGATTAGAAAATAGTCCCGAAGCAACTGGCCTGCATCGGCCGATGAAGCTTCTTGGGCTGCGAATACAGAGTTGTTTGAGACCTTGATATATGAAAGTGATGAGAAGAAAAACTAGAGCTGGGAGAATTCAGATACTGCTTGCCGTCCAGAATATGTAGTCGTCATAATATAGACATGTCCTTTGTGGCTTTGTGTCTGGAGTCGTCTACAGCGAGCTTATTTGCGAAGTCGTGTCTGTTTGCAGGGGCGACGATCGCAGCAAGACAAGGGCATTATCTGCGAGCGGAATATGGCCATAGCCTACGCTGACAATCAAAGCAAAAACGCAAAGTTATAAGAGTCTAGGAATTTTACCGGAAATTTTGAGGACGAATCGGTGCTGGCTCAAGTCGATAATAATGGAAACTTAAATTTCGCAAACGGGTGGGAATTCACTGCCATTCTGAACAAAGGTTTGTTCGGCCTTCCGTAGGAAGAAGTAATGGACGAAAGAAAAACAAGGGATACCTACCTAGAGTATTGATTAGTAGGTAGTGTTGTGCCACAACACAAGATGCCAAGTCCCAACGTCCGCGCCGGCACGGACAAAGAGCGCGTCTACGCAGCGAGGAACATGAAGCCAGAAATCGGAATCCACTGAACGCGGCCATTGGAAGAACTGCAAAAAGTAAAATAGCAAAGCACAGGTATCGTCAAAAGAAACAATTGCATCAAGCCTCTCGACAAAAAGTATTCCTTGAACATACGCCGACCACTGCGAGATTCTCCGCACGCGAGAAAAAAGCCATCTCAATGCCGATCGAACAGACACGGCCGGAAAGAGAAGCAAAAGCTCCAATCCGGTTAGTACACCAAGCAGCAATCTACACTGGCCACCGCTTCTGTATGCACAAAAAAGAAACGCTATCAAACGCGGTGCTTACTCCTTGAAAGTGATCGTCTTTGTCTTCAGGAACTCCTCAATGCCCGACTGCGCGTTGAAGCGACCCCAGCCGCTGCTCTTGACACCACCGTGCGGGAGCGTCGCCTCGTCATGCACGCTCATGCTGTTAATGTGCACAGCACCAGTCTCAATTCTACGGGCCACGCGCAGTGCGCGCGCCAAGTCGCGCGTGAATATGGCGCTGTTGAGGCCATAAGGCGTGTCGTTGGCGATAGAGACAGCGTGGTCCTCGCTTTCGGCCTCGATGACGCTGACACTAGGACCAAAAGATTCTTGGTGGTATATATCCATGTGCGAAGCGACGCCATCAACAATGATGGGACGCAGCCGCGTCCCACTGATCTCGCCCGTCTCCGGGTGCGTCTCGCGCTTGGTATGATCACCGTGCAGTAGGCTCGCGCCCTTCGACACGGCATCGTTGATGAGACGCCTGTTTTTCTCCACCGACGCATCTTGAATTAGTATGGGCGAGGGCTGGTTGTCTGGGGAAAACTTCTGCAGTGCAGCGCGCAGCGCAGGCCGGAATGCCGGCAAGACGTCCTTGTGGACCACGATGCGCTCCGTCGACATGCAGATCTGACCCGAGTGCAAGAAAGCGCCGAGCGCACATTGAATCGCCGCCAACTCCAGGTCCGCATCATCCAACACCAGTGCCGAGCCCTTGCCGCCCAACTCCATCAAGCATGGCTTCAAGTGCTTGCCGGCCGTTGAGGCGATGATGGAGCCCACGGCCGTACTGCCAGTGAAGTTGATCTTTTTGATCACAGGCGAGGCAATCAGCTGGTTGGTGATAGCGGCAGAGTCCTCGCGCTTGGTGTAGATGACGTTTATGGCGCCGTCAGGCAGACCAGCGTCCTGGAAGACGCGACCAATGCTGTAGAAGCAGCGGGGCGCGAGCTCGGAGCCCTTGAGGACGCAGGTGTTGCCAGCGGCAAGAGGGTAAAGTACGGATCGGATGCCGAGAATGAACGGGGCATTCCTATCACCACAAGTCAGTAACAGCGTCTCATGCGTCCCAAGCTCGCTAAGGCGCTCGCGCAATGTGACCTAAGACGGCCACGAAAACACGGGTTTCAACCCACCAAGGCGCAATGGCAAGCACAGTGCCAAACGGTTCCTTCAACACGAGCGCACTCGTTCCCTCATCTTGACAAATCGGTATGCTTCCCATGATTGCAGACACACGGCCAGCAACGTCTCGGATCAGCTCAGCGGCAGTCATGATGTTGAAGGCGGTAAAGTTGTCGGCGGCACCCGTCTCCTGGCTCATGTAGGAACGCAGCTCATCGCGGCGCTCCTCGAGCAGGTCCGCGGCCTTGAGCAAGATGGCGCGACGCTGCTGGGGCTTCGTCCGCGCCCAGCCAGGAGCAGCGGCCTGTGCCGCCGCCAATGCCTCGTCGGCATCGGTGGCCGAGGCGCCAGAACAGTCCCAGACAGTCTTGTGCGAGACGGGGCTCTCGACTGCAAAGGTGTTCGCGCCGCGCTTTTCTTGGCCGTTGAGGAGGAGCGGGATCGTGTAGGACATGGCGGGCAAAGAGGAGGTAGAGCGAGGGTGACAAGAGATGGAATAATATTGCGCGCGGCCGCTGCGACTGTAGCTTCTACAGTGGTGTTTGAGGCGGTAGCGTTGTAGTTGAGCAGCGGGGTTTGAAGAGCCGTGATCTGGAGCTTGGGGCCCTGGCGCAAAATATACGCGCAACCGGCCGTCCACGGAGTTAGGCCAACTGTGGGGAACGCGCGTGGGCGCCCGCAACCGTCTCCCGACCATCGCTGCCGGCTGTCAGTCCAATGTGCGCCAGAGCTGGAGAGTCCCGGTAGACTCAACGCCCATCACTGCCTCTCGCGTCATCGATGCGCGGCGCAGGGCCCGCGGCGCGGAAAGGAAAGGTGGGGTTGAGGTTGGTTCGCGGCGCGCCGCCTGCAAGCGAGAGGCTGCATATGCAGTTGCCGCTGTTCCACCTTCTTTCGACTTCACGTCTCGACCCGCCCAATTACTGCAATCGTCTCTTCCTCCATCGGACTACCGGGCAAACACTCCGACTCCGAACCGCCATCCCCCGTCTCAAGCCCGCCTGTTTGCTCTGTCCTGCTCTACTACGTATGTTCCTGCTCGCTTGCTCGTGCACGCGGTGCCCACGTGCTAGCAGCGCGCCCAACCAATATAGCACGGACGTTGCGCCGAAGATTGCAGTTTGTGGACGTGCTCTCTCGTTACGACAGAATATCGACATAAGATCAGCGGTATTCGGCATGTAGACAGGCGGACGGGCAGACAAGCAGGTATGAGGATCGGCGCAACAACCCGGAGACGTGCGCGCGCCAGCAAGAGAGGACGGCTCGGCAGGCGGACTGGGTCGTGTGCGCTACCGGAGGAATGGGAGAATGACCCTGAGCGTGGGTATGAGAGGGAAAGCCTCGTGGAAGACTACGCTGGTAGGTAAGTTGGTGGGTGGAGTTGTTCATCGCCGTTCTCGTCTCCACTCACTATCCACCCATTGTCCCAGCAATATGGAAAGTGGTCTTTGGCGCGTGAGTGTGAATGCTCGCAATATGGCGATCTTTGTCCGTCTGCATTGCAGCTTACCTCCTCATATGTCCATGCCCCAGGTACACAAATCCTTGGACTTGTATTGCAAAAGCGGGGCAACGGGTTTAAGACGCGGTGATAAAAGCAAGGGACATTTGAGTAAAAGCCCTGGAGCTCAAGAATGGTCAGCGGACCCTGGCGTGCCTGGAGGGGTGCAAAGAACGGACCGCCATCCGCGCCCTGCCGACCCGGAGCCGCCTCACCTCTTCCCTTGCCACGGCTACGGCTATCCCGGCCCGGAGCTGTTTCTAATCATTGTCTCTTTTGTTTTCATTTGCAACCGTCCATCTCTGCTTGCCTTGGATCATGCATTGCTGGATTCCGCACCAACGATAGCGATCTTGTGGCGTCTGCATCCGCGCGTGTTGGCGTCGCGCGCGTTGGCGCCGAGCGAGGAGAGCTCTAGGCCGACTTCAGCCACATACGACTGCTTCCGTCGCGCTCAACTAGTTGTGCGATGACACCATCATCCGGGAGCTTTCAAAGCGTAATGGCGTAGTGCTTAAACGCCGGTCCGCAGTGCGGCATCCTACGGCTCCAGGAAATAAATGTGCCGCCCAGTCGGTCTCAGTGGCGCCCGATGGTCGTTGCCGGTCCCTAACGGCCTGCTGCGCTACACTATATTAGTTGCAGTTAGCTGAAGTAGTCGCAGTTGTTGGATCTCAGTCTTCCCCGTGCGACCACGGGGTGCTGTACGGTCTGGATGGGAAAAGAACTGTTAGATATTGTCTGAGAGCATGCATCGACCGCTGTTGTCGCTGTAGGTGGAATTCATCGTCTAGTTCGTTCTCAGCAGCCAGATTGTATAGAGTGGGGATTCGGATGTAGATGGTTTCTGGATAAGAAGGCAAACAACAAGAGCGTTCTTGCCCAAGGCACGCGCACGCCGCGTCAAAGGCAGGTGCAAACAGGCAACCGCGTTCTGCACCTTCCACCCACTACATCTAACTTCACCTCACCATCTACCGGTTTTGCTGCCTCTTTCTCGCTCAACTTGCTCACCTCGGACACTCACATTCAAGAAAACTACTTATGCAGTTCACTTCATCTTGGTCTTTTCATCCTCTCTCACCTCATCTTCGTCTTTCCATCCCTCACTTCATCTTTGTCTTATCATCCTCACTTCAACACTGTCCTATCACATTTATTTTCTCACCTCTTTTTCTCACCTCTCTCGCTCCACCTTGATCAACCTCTTAAAAACCTCCTCAGTCGCATCGTCGATTCCTTGCACGCTGTCGAGGATCTCATCATCATTGACGTCGCCGATGTATACCTCATCTCGCGCTTGTGATCGAGGCTTTGCTTGTGGTATCCGTACCTCTCGGGATGTCATTTCGCCCCTCTCGCTTTACCTCCCCAACCTCACACTCTCCATATATCCTCATTACGGCATCCTGTCACCTACTTTCGCATGTCTGCTGTACAACTGTGCAGTTCAGCTATTCAAAGAATAATCCAAGATCAGTCCAGAGTAGGTGAGTGGCAAGCCGATAGGTAGGTAAGCAGTCTACTCACGCCCAAGACCCCGCACACACAGAACATGCATACCCTCTGCAACCCACCGAAAGATGACGCGTACTGCGCAAGGACAGCCGGTTCGGAAATCTCACAAACGCCACAGGACTCACATCACTTCATCCAATTCCGTATGTCTTGCTTTCAAACACCCTGATTCATACATCTCACTGACCTCAATTCGTATTCATATAGCTCACACACCTCAATTTCACACCTCATTCCACAAACCTCACATTTACAACGCGAAAGCAGCCAAGCAATAAATATTATCAATCAGTCATAAGCCATCTACGCAGCTCTCCTTCGATTGTATAATCGTTCGTAACCCGAGCCGGGACAGGTATCTAGATATCTAGGTATTCTCTCAACCAGCCAAGAGAAGAACAACGACAACAACAGAAAACAAAAGAAATAAAAGAGTCGGCCTATGTAGACGTGCCGACAAAGAGGCTGGCGACCAGAATGACGACCAAGCCCAAGAAGTATAAAAAATGGAAAGTAAAAAGGCCAAACAAACAACAAGGTTCGAAGGTAGAAGTTTCAATACGGGTATCTAATCCCACGATCCAACACCGCACCACCGTGATCCTTCCCACACGTGACGCCGTTCAAATCATCTCCCATTTACAGGGCGAAGAAAGCAGCAGCGGCAACCAGCGCACCAGCGAAAGCACCGGAGGCCTTGAGGCCGGAGGCAGCACCAGTCCAGGGGGTGGACATGGGGGTAGCGACGGGGGTGCCGACGGGGGTGGCAGCAAGGTTGGAGCCGGAGCCGGAGCCAGCACCAGCACCAGCACCAGCGCCAGGAGCGCCGGAGCCGGAGCCGGAGCCGGAGCTGGAGCCAGAGCCGGAGGAGGCACCGGAGAAGCCACCCTGGGAAGCGCCGTTGCCGGAGCCAACCTTGGGCTGGTTGTAGGCGGGGATGGTGCCGTTGAAGCCGTGCTTGGGCTGGTTAAGGGAGATACCAGTGGGGGCAGCGGGGCTGTTGGTGCGGGTGATGGTGCAGCCGCTGGAGCCGCAGTCGGTGACGGTCAGGGTCTGGGAGGCGCTGACGGTGTAGGTCTTGCCGCCCATGGTCAGGCTGGTGGCGTACGGGCAGAAGGTGGTGTACTCGTAGACGACCTCGGTGACGACGGCGTTGGAGGAGTTGGCGGCGGGGGTGACGGCAGCGAAGGCCGGGGTGGTGTTGGCGGCGGCGGTGGGCTCGACGTTCTTGGCCTCGACGGGGGCGGCCGTGGTGGCGGAAGCCTCCTCGGAGGTAGCCTCAGCGGCCTCGGAGGTGGCGGCAGCAGCCTCGGAAGTGGCAGCCTGGGAAGTGGCGGCGGCGGAGGTGGAGGTGGAGCTCTTCTCGTCGCCGGGGCAGTTGCGGTTCTTGGGGTTGGAGATACCGAACTGGGTCGAGTACTGGAAGTCGGTGGAGCCGTCGGCGAGGGTGTGGCCGTCCATGATGATCTTCAGGCCGTAGCCGGTGCCGCCGCAAGAGTCCTCAAGGTCCGCGCCGGGGAGCCACGAGAAGACACCGTTGTTGGCGGTGTTGGCGACAATGGTCTGGATGGGGACGACGTTGGTCGAGGGACCCTTGAGCAGGACCAGGGTGACGGTGCCGCCGGAGTAGGGCTTGGTGGAGTCCCAGCCAATGTCGTAGCGCTCGCCAGCGGGAACGATCTGGATGGAGGGTTAGTTTGGTGTTGTTGTTGCGGTTGCATTCGCACGTGATGACGATCATGGTGGGTGGTTCTTGCGCAGGGCAGGACAGGGGTGCTTACGTTGTTGAGACCGGGCCAGTAGATGGCATTGCCGGACTGGGCAGAGACGACAGTGGCCATGCCAGCGGCGAGCAGAGCCGCGACGGAAACGTCCTTGTTGTTGTACATGGTTGCGGTGATAGCGCGGGAAAGACGGTTGAGAGTCTAGGAAGAGAGCGACTGGAGTAAATCCAAAGCAAGCAGGGTTTGATAAAGAATGGCTAGAAGCTAACGTGAGCTTCTGAACGGACACTGCAGACAAGACAGGAGTTGAGAGGTGGATTGAAGTGTGAGAGAAGGACAGAGCAAGCGGCGGGCAGCAGTAATACTAATAGGCATCACCATTGCGCTTGAGACGAGTGGCTAGGCTAGCGGGCTAATACGAGCGGCGGCGACACTGGCGGCGCGCGGGCCACGCTCGCTCCGTCCAATCTAAGCCCTGGACGCCCCGCGTACCTGCAGTAGCTCGCCCGCTTGCAGGCAAGCCTCGACACCGAGGAAATTGCTGAGGATGCGAGAGGAGCCCTCATCAACTCGCACCGGATTTCGCCTGTTTTTTTGCCTTTCGCTCCTGATTTTAGCGCCACGGTGGAGGAGGATATGGCGTGAGTGGGAGATGGAGACCAAGGTACTACCTACACCTCCGTAGACAGACAGCAGACATATCACCGCCGCCGCTATTACCCGTGCTCCCGCGCGAAACCGCCGCTCCCAAGTTCGTCAATCCAATCGCGCGTTTCGCGCAAACAATAGCATAAGTCGTAGTATCATAAGCGACGGCGATGCCGTTTCGCCGTACGAGAGCAGCAGAAACACGAGCAGCAACAGCAGCAGCGGCGGCGGCAGAAAGCCAAAGCACAGCCCTACACTACTATGATTAGACCTTTGAACCAGCGGCGATAATACCACCCGCCAAACCCACCCTACCCTACCCTATCCATAAGGCCGTACGACTCCACGAGGGCGGGGCCCGGTCGGTCGCAGCCAGCAGTGCAGCGCCATCCCACGTTGGCAACCCCCTCTTCCTCGCCCCCCCTGGGCTATTTCTGTCTCAGCCACCGCCCACAAGCCCACTTTCCACCCGCGCCCGAAAGAGGAGTCGGACGTGGTGGTGGCGCCCATCTTGCATGCCCATCATCCAACCAACCCACGTCCCATCATTTTCCCAGCGACGGCGGCGGCCAAGAAACTAACTTACTACTGATGACCCATCCGTGCCAACTCTTTCGCGCCCGTCCCTACATGCCATCATGCCCGTCCGTGCTTTTTTATCCATCCATCCCTTCACGAGTCGCCGCCGCCGATATTGCTGCCCTGGGCCTTTATGATGGCCGTCCGTGACTGTGCTGTGCCGGAGCCGAAGCCGCGCACCGCGCTTGCGCGCGTTGCCAGCCAGCCAGCCAGGGCAGTCGCGCACCATCTCGCTCGCTCGGCTCATTCGCTCGCGAGCGACATGCCCGGCTGGCCAGGGCCGTCCGTCCGTCATCCCCGACGCAAGCCTGCCTGTCTGCCCTATCGCCGTCGGCTGCGAATCGAGCTCGCGAGCGATGCTGTGGCTGTGGCTGTACGCCTTCTGCTGCTGCTACAATGCTACGATGCTGTTGCTGCACCACACGCGCCGCGCCTGCGCCTGTGCCTGCGCCGCCACCCCGTTGAGCATCACGCACTCGCGGCGCAGCCTAGGCAGGTAGAGCCCGGTGCCCTGGCTGCGGCGGCGGCGGGTGGGCAGGCAGTTCAGCGAGCAGAAATTCCATCGAGCGGGCAAGGGGAAGGACATGGAATGCACGCTCTGCTGTCTGTCTACCTCACGAGCAGAAGCAGAGAGCTTGCCGGACACAACCTCTCCTTCACTCACTCGCTCACTAGGTAGGCCCTCATTCACTACTCGCAGCCCAGAACCTCCACTCCACTCTCCCACCGAGCAGTCGTACGCGCCGCACCACGCCGCGCCGTGGCCCCCACCCGCCCATCTCCCACCTGATCTCCGGCCAGGAACGTGTATATCCGACTGCGGCCGGACACTGACAGGCACAGCACCCAGGCTATCTCAGCCTAGGTACAGTACGCCGGACGCAGTACGCACTGTCCCCCCGGCCCACACCGTCCTCCGCGGCGGGACTGGCTGGCTGTACCGTTAGGCTGCCGGCGTCTCGGCTCGGCATATCACCTACAATATGATGCCCCTTCGTGGTAGGTGGTAGGTCTTTGTATCCACATTATTGCCCGTATTGTGGTATTGAGTGTGCTGGCTGCTATGCCTGGTGTCCACTTTTTTGTCTTCCGTGGACCGTGGGGGGGGGGGGGGGGGGGGGGGGGGGGGGGGAATTGGGGTTGGATGTGCTGCTGCTCTTGCTGAAGAGGACGGAGACAGACCCACCTCGCCCGCTTTCTCTCTTTCTCTCTGTCTCTTGCTTGCTGCCCAGGTACGTACCTACCAAGGTGGGTACAGCGCAGGGTAAAGTGGGCTACTACATAGTTACCGCGCACTAAGGTAAGATGTCTCACTACGCACCCGCAGCCTAGCTCTAGCCTGCCCCCTCACTTTAACGTTCACTTCCACATCCACTTCATCTCCTCATTCCCGGGCAGGCACCTTGACGTTTCCTGCCTGCGTACTTCCTACTTCCAATCAATCAATCAACCCCTCCCCTCCTCCCGCTGCCTCCGAGATGACATGCCATGCCATACAGTACCTACCTACGCAGCCATTTCTCTTCCGTGCGCGCGCCAGCACGCGTGCAAACAGTCTCGCCCACGCACCCGCACACCCGCGCACCCGCGCGCACGCACACAGGCAAGCCACAACGCCGCACCGCTGCACCGTCTTGCCCAACGGCCACCCGTTGCCTCCCTAGGTAGGCACGGCACTTGCATATATCTCTACCTAGCCACCGGCAGTCAACAAGCACCTCGGCAGTTCTACGTAGTACCCCCCACGCGCCCGCCCTACGGCGCATCAGGCAAGCCAGCGCGAGATAACCGGCGCGCGCGCGCGGGCCGGTGGCGCCGCCACCACCGCCAGCACTTCCGGGGCGCGCGAGACAAGCGGCCGGCCGGCCGGCATTCTAGACACCCTACCAAGCTACGGTGCTGGAGAGGTCCCCTATCCCTTAATATGTACGCTGGCCGCTGCAAGCCACGCTCCCGCCAGTCCCCTATGTGGGTAGTAGAGTAGCCGGCCGTTAATAGTGCCATCGTTTCGCGTGGTGTGGCTGGCCGCGCAGCGCCGCCCGAAATTGATGCATGCCCCCCCTTAGCTGCAGCCCACCTAGACACCTGGAGTAGTAGTAGCAGCAGCAGCAGCAGTACGACATACGACATACGATACACGGCGCGAACGCCTGGTGCATGAGCCGTGACGTTGCAGCGCGCGCGCGACTAGGCGCACTAAAGAGCGGCGAAGGATCTGCCAAGGCCGGTATTCCTACCTAGGTGCCTATGATATAGGGGAAACGGGGTGGTATGGCATGGGCATGCGACCTGAGAATGAAGGAAGCGCGCGCGCGTGTGGAGCTTTTAGAAGGCTGGGCGCTGCGTGCGTGCGTGCTGCGAAGGATGCTGCCGGCGGCGTGAGCTTTGCTGCCTTCCTTGGTTGCTTGGTTGCTTGATTGCTTGCTTGATCCCAGTGACGAACGAATGGCGCTACTTACTACCAAACAACCTAACAAGCTCAAAGAGGCAGCGCCAGAAACTCTGTCTAAATACTGGTCTGACTGGTGGATAGACTATTCGCTCGTACTGGCTTGTGAACAAGTACGTAGCACAGTATCTAGGTACCTTCAACTGTACCTACCTACCTACCCGACGCCCGCGCGCCTGCCCACGTCCCCTTTCTTGCCCGCCGTTCTGCTTTCAGCGAGCTAGGTATTATGCGCGCCCGCTTTGTTGCTGTCGCTGTTGCTGGCTTTCACTTTCGAGGGCGCGGGCAAGGCGGGGCAGCACGTGCAGCCACTCCCATGCGCCCACGCGACCAGGCTACGACTCGACGACCTGCCCTGCGCAGCTAAGCAATAGCGGGGCGCCTGGGCATGGGATAGCGTGGCGGCAGGGCAGGTGGGTAGTCTTTGCTCTCTGCTCTTCCTGTCCTTCATTCTTCTTTCTTTCCACTTTCTGGATCCTCTTTACCTTTCGCGCTGTCGTTTCCCAGCACATAAATCCTCAGGCACGCGTAATGCTCGACCGCGCTCGAGCCTATCGTACACACGCACCCCGAACAAACAGTCGAACAAAAGGACGACGCACAGAGCGAGGCGCGCAAGGGGAGAGAAGAAAAGCGTTGATGTCATGATGGCGTACGTACGTGCAGATAGGTGCTCCGAACGGACAGGTCGACTACCTATACAAGCCATCCCCCGTCGTCCGGCCCCTTGCCACCCAGCCGAGCACCTAAATGACAATAAAGACATGACAATGACCATGGCCACGGTAATAGCAAGCAAAAGACCAACAAACCTGGTTGCTTGCGTACATACTCAAGCGGAAGGTCGGAAAAGATGTGGCCGTGAGATAAGGAATAGACAGGAAAGGGGAGGGGGGAGATAGGAGAAGAAAGACATGAAAAGAAAAAGAAAATGGAAGCAAGCAAGGAAAGACAAAAGAGGAAAGAGGAGAAAAAGAACCCTCCAAACCGAGGGAGAAACAAAACCAGAGACAGTAACACCACGAACACCTGCCAATATCCCAGTCCGCCCTTGCGCACCATTTAGCCAGCCAGTAAACAGCTCGCATCCCAAACGCAGACGCCATCGTGGCGTCGCTCCACCGCCCACGCCAGTTAGTTTTGCGTTCCCGCCGTCGCGATACGACACATCGCGTTTCTCAATCGTTAGACGACAGTGCCCATATCGACTTTTGAAATGTCGCCTTCTGTGCCGTCTTCATCAACGTCACTCTCATCCGCCTTACCCATGGCCTTTTCGAACTCGACGTCCAGCTCGTCTTTGACCGTGCGTGCGCGCTTGAGTGCCGCCTCACGCAACCGACGCATGTCCTCTCTCATGCCCTCGACGGCTAGTCACGACCCCGCGCCCCCGGCCCCGCTCGCATTGGCCGCTGCAGCCTCCGCGATGCCGTTGAGCGCGCCACCAACGCTGAAGCTGGCGGCCGGCGACTCGCGGGTCGGCGTGTCCAAGCCGCCAAGGTTCGGTGATTGTTGGCTCGGGCCCGGCACGCCGACGCCGTTGGCACCATACTGCGGGTTGGTGTGGGCAGCGGTGCTGGGGTTGGGCGTCGAGAAGGGGCCTCCTGGACCAGCGCTCATGCTCATGCTGTGGCCGTGCGAGTGCGAGTGTGCGTGCCCATGGACCGACGAGTGCCCTCCAGGAGCGTTGGCCAGGCGCGCCGTCTCGTCTTCCTCGCCCATGCCGTCGACGTCGGGCCAGAAACGCTCCTCGAGCCAGCAAACGTGCTCGAAGAGCTGCTCGCAGCGCTGCATCTCTTCCTTGCCGTTGGGCGACGTCGTCGTGTTGGCGAGCTCGTCGACGAGCACGCGGCACGCGTCAACGAATTTGGAGAAGGGCGGCGAAGTCCAGTTCGGGATGAGCTGCTGGTGCAGGGCGACAATGTGGGCGTCGGTGCTGGGAGTAGAGAGCGTCGGCGTGAAAGAGGCAGCATACTGCCACGCTGCGCGGTAGCACTGTTTGCGGTGTTAGCTATTCCCTGAGTAGCATTTGGGCAGACCTACGTGCTCAGTCGCCCAGAGCACGACCATGCCTTCCAGCAGGCTCGCGCCAGAGCTCGTGGAACTGACGAAAAGGTCCAAGTATGCTCGCGTGATCTGGTTCGGCGGCTCGTCCGTCATCTGGAGTCCAAACTTTGTAGCCGTGATCTCGAAGAAGGTCATCTCTCTCCTGATATTGTTCAGCGCGCTGATCAGCAGATCCATGATGCGGTACGTCTGGTGGAACTGGCTGTTAGGCACAACGGGCAGGCGGATCTTGGAAAGTATGTTGCCGATGAATCTAATGTAGCCCCGCGCATAGTGGGCGTCTTGGATGAGCCACTGGCTCAAAGCCGACGCGCTCAGAGTACCGCAACCTGCGTGCGACAGGAAGGGCTGCTGGGTAGCCTGGGCGAAAGGGCTGCTGAAGCGCGCGAGCAGGTGTGCAGCGAGCGAAGGATGGGGCTGGGGCGGCGGGCCCGGGTGCGGCGCAATGAGCTGACCATCACGGGTGCGCTTGTTGGTGTTGGGTCCGCGACGGTGGACTTGTAGGTTGGGGTTTGGGTGGGTGCCATTTAGGATGCCACGCGAGGGCGTCGCGTCCTGGGCCATGGACGCCGGGTCGACAGTACCGGCGACATTTTGAGGCGTTTGCTGCAAATGCGCGCTGGCGTCGGGCGACTGAAGGTAGGCCTGGCAGCTCTGCAGGTGTTCAATCTGGCGCGTCGTGTTTTTGGCGCGGGTGAAGCCGCAGTGGAGGCAGCGGACTTTAGCACACTGGGCGTGGGTCAGCGCGAAAGGCCGGCGAGCGACGCGGGATTGGAGAATACGTACTTTGGAGGGGGTGGTCTCGTCGGTGAATTCCTGGAACGCACGCCTTATGTCTGGATTAGCATGCTAGGAGGTCAGCTCAAAGCACCAACAGATGGTCGAGAATGGTCCGCGGCTTACTCTACCCATGTTGGCGATGGAATCCAGAGGGATTTACGGTAATGTCACCTGTATCGTGGAGGTGTATCTTTCTGCGTGCGTTCGGGGGCGAGGGCGGTGACCTGCTTAGCTAACTCGCGCTAAGCTGCTTTGGATGCCGGCCGGGCCACCGGGCAGGTGCCGTCCGCCGCCTTCCACCGCGCCCGGTGATCATCCTTACCCAAGGCACCCCGTCTTGAATCGCTTACGCCCTGCATTCCAACCAAACGCCAAGCGCATGGAAACAAACACCGCCATCCGGTCTCCCACCTGGCCAATGATGCCCGCCGTCATCACTCCTGCCTAGCTGGGAAATCAAAACGCCCCCGTCAGCCATACGTGCAAGAGCCTGGAACCCGCTCTCATCACATACTGTACAAGGCAGGCAAGGCTGAAAGGCGTCATACCTACCTATGCCTACCGCATACCATACTGACGCTGACCCATCCATACACCCGGCACAACCCAGCTGCCGTCCGTGCTTGCAACATGCCCAGCCCTACGGTAAGACAGCTGCACTCACGTGTGGTACTCCTCTCCATGTGTTCACAAAGGTGTTCGCACACGGGGCGGACGCCATGTTTCGTCCATAGAGACAAGAGCGCCGTATAATACAAAGGTTTAAAACAATCCTATCGACGCCCATGAAAACGCCTTTGACTGTGCTTACATGCATTAAAGAGCATCTGAGACTTGGATCCAAATGTGTCAACTCTCAACGTGCAGCTGTGGACGTGCTCGGCCCTGCAGCAAACCCCAAAAATTGGCCGACAGAAACTGAAATGAAACTCAAGTCAGACCGATATTCAACCCGACAGCTGTATGAAAACACGTTAAGCCCACCGTCAGACGGACCCAACCGCGCCTCAATCACTCACTTGCCTGCCTCAGTGCAGTTGACTCGTCAGATTTTTTATTTCTCATGTACGTATAGAGAGAAGAGATAATACAGGGATGATACAAAATCGAGGCCAATTCGTCGTCAATGTACAGCCAATTGACATCCGCCCTCATCCGCCAATCCAGCCACTAACCCAGCAGCGCGCAGAACTCCGCCGTGCGATGCATCAGCGAGAAAATCAACAAAAGGAAGAGAAAAAATAGAAAGAAAGAAAAAGGAACATCGCCGTCATTTGACTTTTTGGTGAACACATCCTGACTGAGCTCGCGACACCCGGGCAAGGGAATTACATATGGACGCTTGGTTGCGGTGGGACATGGATGCATGTTTGCAATCCTCGCACTCGCGCGCTTACTGGCCCTCGGGCTTGGGGCCGCTGAACATGCTGAAGAAGCCCGACTTCATGCTCTTCATCGACTCTTCCTGGAGCTTCTTCTCCTCCTCGGCCATTTCCTTGAGCCACTTCTCACCGTTCTCACGGATCTCCTTCTCCATGAACTCGTACTGCTTCAGGCCGCGCTCGCGCATCTGGTCGCTGAGCATCTTGCCCTTCTCAAAGCCCTCGGCTACTGACTCCTCGCCGACGACGAGTCCACCCTGACCCGGCACCGGCTTCATGCCCAGCGCACCAGTCAGGAATGACATGCCTGAGCGCTTAGGTTTGCGCGCCTTTTCCTCTTCCAGCTGCTTGTGGAAGGCTTCGCGCGCCTTCCTCTCGCGTGCCGCGAATTCCGTGGCGATGTCCTTGCCTTCGAACGATTTGATGGCGGCGCGCACATCGGTGATACCCATGGTCGCAATGTACTCAAGGAAAGGTATTAAGCCAACGAGGCCCTTGTCGCCCTTCTGACCAGTCCAGGCAGGTAGAATGATGGCGTTGTCGGGTTGCATCTTGGCGTGTTCCTTCTTGGTATCGACGAGGATGATCTTACTCAGGTCGCGGTTCAAGCACGACAGATCCTGGTAATAGAGTTAGATACAAGGATTCGGAGCGGTGGGGTCTGAGTTTCTCACCTTGACGTACTCTCCCTTCTCATACCGCGTGGCCTCGCGGAAAAGCGACCACATGGCGATGCGGAAGGGGTCAAGTTTCCTGATAACAGGCTCCGCGGTGCTCATAGGCAAACTGGTGAAGATGACAAGCTCGAAGTACTGACTCAGGTACCTAATAAAGTAATCGACGCCTGGGCGCTTCGCAAACCGCCAGCCATGCTCACGCGTCCACTCACTGTGAATCAGCATGTCCTCCAAACTTACAACCAGCGTGTAAGGCGGGACAGGAGTCATATCCGGCAGGAGCTTGGGAGACACAGGGTCCGTGTAGTAGCTCATGGAGCCGCCCATCCTGGCCTTTGCGCGCGCATACATGGCGGACGGCGTGAGACCAGCCGGCGCGTCGGCATGCGCCTTGGCCTCCTCTTCAGTTTCCCACTCGCGGCCCAGGTAGAACAAGCCAATGATACCTGTCACTGCAGCCATGGCCATTGCGGCATTGGCCGCCATATTTCTCCGCCTGTCGGTCGAGGTCTCGTATGCGGACTTGGGAAGCTCGCCACCACCACCGCGGCCGCTGCCGCTCTCGGGAGCCTCGGCATTGGGGTCTTCGGTGATGTTGATAGACGGGTCAGGCGCCTCCTCCTTGGCGGCAGACGTGGGCTTGAGGAATTCGGCCGCAAAGGTGGAAGGAATGCCTTGCCTCAGGTCGGGCAAAGGCTGGCGCGGCTGAGCAGGTTCGGGCGCATCGCCGGGGGTGGTGTTGGCCTCGGACGATTGAGGGCTGTCGAATTCTGGCTGCGAGGTTGAGTAGTCGGTGGAGTCTGACGCGGTTTTGGACGCGCCGCCAGCAGCGGCGGCTGCGGCGGCGGCAGGGCCGGGTGCTGAGCGCGGGGCGGTGTTCTTGTCCGGCGACGCGGCAGGGTTGAACTCTGCGGCGTCTGGCGAGGGAGCTGCGGGCTTCTGCGGCTTGGGCTTCACTACGCCAGGACCGGACGCGAAGTTGGAGGACTTCTTGGTGGCGCGATGACTGCTGTCTCTCGCGAGGCGCAGAGCAACCGGCGAAGGCCTGGGAGCCGAGACGAGGAAAGGCCGGGCGCCGGCGGCATAGCGGGCAGCTGCGCGCGCGAGCATGACAGTAGCAGCCGGGGGGTGTGGTGAGGTGAGATGGCAGAGGCAGAGAAAATGGAGCTGGAGCTGGAGGCTGGAGTGATGCAGTGACGCAGAAATTCCCAGCGAATGGCGAACAGGCCATTTCGTGCCATGACTCGCGCCGCCAGCAGCCCACCTTCTCCAGCTGGCCTTTGCCCAGAACGTCTCTTTGGTGCTGGGCCCATGCCAGAGCCGGCCACCATATGAGGGTATGCTGTCTTTCTGGCCGGCGCGGACGCCCACAATCGCCGCCTTGTTGCTGGGCTGGCTGACGTTGGCGCAATGCATGTCGCATGCTGCCATTGAAGACCTCAAGTATACCTACTCTTGCCCGCCGCCTTCTCTCCTCCGCCATGCTGACCTGACTTACCGCAGACGGGAAACTACCGACATCTTCTACCATGGCTACGAAAACTACATGCGCCATGCTTTCCCCGAGGACGAGCTTCGCCCCTTGTCCTGCACCCCTCTGACCCGCGATCGCGCCAATCCCGCCCACATCGAGGTCAACGACGTGCTCGGGAACTACTCCCTAACCCTGATCGACAGCCTCTCCACCCTAGCTATCCTCGCCTCTTCTCCGCCAGACCCCACGGGGCGCAAAAGGCCCCTCGAGGATTTTCAGAACGGCATAGAGCTGTTAGTGGAGCATTATGGAGACGGGACCGAAGGCCCAGGGGGTGAAGGCAAAAGAGCTAGAGGCTTTGACCTGGATAGCAAGGTCCAGGTCTTTGAGACAGTGATCCGTGGCGTTGGCGGCCTGCTAAGCGCTCACTTGTTCGCCGTGGGAGACCTTCCCATCAATGGTTACAAGCCGGAGGTCAAATTTACCGAAGATGGCAATGAGGAAATCACTTGGCCAAGTGGATTCGTATACGATGGACAGCTGCTTCGCCTGGCTTACGACTTGGCCAATCGAATCCTCCCGGCATTCCACACGGCGACCGGTCTCCCCTACCCGCGCGTCAACCTCCGCTCGGGGATTCCTTTCTATGTCAATTCGCCACTGAACGCAGATTCCGAGCACGGACAATGCTACCGGTCATCCAACGCGCCTCCTGAGATTACGGAGACGTGCAGTGCCGGTGCTGGCAGTCTGGTGTTGGAATTCTCGACCCTGAGTAGGCTCACCGGTGACGATCGGTTCGAAAAGGCCGCGAAACGAGCGTTTTGGGCAGTCTGGTCGAGGCGCAGTATCTCTGGACTGATCGGTTCGGGTATTGATGCCGAGACTGGACAATGGGTCAGCCCTTACACTGGTGTAGGTGCTCACATGCTTCGAAGGATAATGTTCGTGAATATTAACTGTAATGCAGATTGGAGCTGGTATAGACAGCTTTTTCGAATATGCTTTCAAATCTCATATCCTTCTTTCGGGTTTGCCGTATGAAGCGGCAAACGAGAGCATCGACTCTCCCGAGGCTTTTCTTATGACTTGGCAGGATGCTCATGCTGGCATCAGCAGGCACATTTATCGCGGTGCCATGCATCAGCATCCGCACTACATCCAGGTTGATCTTTATACTGGTGCTATGAGGGCCTTTTGGATCGACAGTCTTAGCGCATACTACCCAGGACTATTGACTATGGCTGGAGAGCTTGACGAGGCGATAGAAACTCACCTGTTGTATACGGCGCTCTGGACCCGCTACTCGGCACTTCCGGAGAGATGGTCGACTGCCACTGGCAACATCGAGCAAGGACTTCGGTGGTGGGGTGGACGACCAGAATTCATTGAGTCTAGCTGGTACTTGTATCGCGCCACGAAAGACCCATGGTACCTACACGTCGGTGAAATGACTCTGCGGGATATCAAGCGGCGCTGCTGGACAAAATGTGGATGGGCTGGCTTGCAAGACGTCCGAACTGGTGAGTTGAGTGACCGTATGGAGAGCTTCTTCCTAGGGGAAACTGCGAAGTACCTCTTCTTGCTCTTCGACAGCGGTCACCCATTGAACCACATAGATGCGCCTTGGGTCTTTACCACCGAAGGGCACCCGCTCATCATTCCGGACAAGCTCCGTCGCAAGAACAACCTCAAGCCTCGTAGACAGAACAAGGACCAGGAGGAATTCGACTTTATCAACGACTCGGTGTGCCCACTCCCACCACCCCACGTCCCTTTTAGCATATCGGCTACCGCGGCGAGGTCTGACATCTTCCATGCCGCGAGCCTGGCCCGGTTGCACCTGATGCCAAACAGGGAAACGATGGACTCGCCCTTGGTGGAATTCAACGTCGACCACCCTAGCATATCTGTAGCAGATCTGAAGTCACCGTCCAATTACACGTACTACCCGTGGACTCTTCCGCCCTCGCTAATTCCTTATAATGCTACGAGCTCAAGAATGGTGGCTCGCACGACGTTCGATCTGTCGTTCCCAAATCTCCCCAACAACAACATGCTCAGCACTGGTTCACTGCAGCGTATCGGCGGTGGTGTCTTGGTCAACTCAATGAGTGGTTTGCGATTGGGCATGGTCCGCGAGCCAGAAGATGTACCAGCGATGGATGAATCGACCGGCAACTCTTTCCGCATCTACGCTGTGTCGAACGTTGCTTTGGGGAGAGACGAAAAGGTCTTCATGTCGCGAGACATCGTCACCAGTTTCAACCCGGCGGACCCATACTTCACACGCACGAGGGATCTTAGCATGTTGGATTTATTTCTAGATATCCCGGAGCCTGTGGGCAAGCCTGGCTCCTCCGAACCCGACTACGAAGATGAGCACAACGACACATTCGACGACCTTGCTGTCAACACCGACACCATCTCGATCCTCGACCTCTCCGACGACATCGACCTCAACCTCGCAGCCAACGACCCTAGCCTCATCTCCTCGCTCCTCTCAAACCTTCAAGCCATGCTCACGGAAACGCTCGAGCCGCTAACCCGGCCTTCCTCGAAGCCCCCACGACGAAAGGATGACGCATCACGGCCACGGATCCGACGCGTGCAGCTCTCAGCCGCACTAAGCACAGGGCCAGGCTCCGCCCCGCTGCCCAACAGTGCGGACGGCAGTTGGGCGCGAGACAGCGCGTCGGCGTCCGCCGTGGCAGACACGCCGCACCTGCCGTGGCGCAGCATCTACATGGGCGACGACAATTGCGGCACGAAGCTGCCCGCGAGCGTGCCACGCGACCACCAGGTCCTGGTGCTGCGGCGCGGCGGGTGCAGCTTCAGCCAGAAGCTGCAGAACATTCCGGCGCATGCGCCCGCGCCCGGCTCGCTGAAACTCGTCATTGTGGTGTCGTTCCCGGAGCACGAGGGGCTGGCGCACGGGCAGCTGGTGCAGCCGCATCTGGAGCGCGTGCAGGAGCTCGCCGACGGCGTGCCCCGGCCGCATCCGATTCCGCTAGTTATGGTTTCTGGGGGCGAGGAGACGTGGGCGTTGTTGCGAAGGGGGGCGGGAGTGGGGGCGCGTAGGCGGTGGTGGTTTGAGAGCCAGGGGCTGAGGATCGGTAATTTGATTGTTGTTTAGGAGGGATGGTGAGGGTGGGTTTGGGATCAAGAGGCGGCTGCACACGCTTGTGGCGGGTTTTCGCGCGCTTTCCTCTCTCTCGTTGTTGCGCGCGCCCTTGGATAGGGCTGTGTGGGTGGAATGGGGGTTGTATTTGTCTTTTTGGTGTTTGGGTGGGGGTGTAGATGAGTATATATGTGGATCAATGGATGGATGAATGGATACACGTGCATGGGTTGACGGTGTTGACATGAATATGTTCCAGCGACGCCGACGTACCGCAAAGAACGAGGTGCAGAGAACAGAGGGAAGCAGGAGAGCAACAGGAGGTGTTGCTTCAGTGAGAACGAGACAATACGCACGTCGTGATTGTTGGTATTAGGCTTACGAGCGCTTGAGTGCTTAGAAATAAAAGTGAATGAGTAGTTAGATGATTTGCTCTATGTCCTAGCAACATCACAGCATCTCCTTCATGCATAAGGTATTCTTCTAAACGCTCGAGGTAGATACGACAAGGGTTGATTAAACTAGAACTGAAGGAAACGTTGCTCAGCCCAGAATCTTAGGTACATATGAACGCTCACCCGTTTATAAGTATATCTCCCATAGATCTGAAGTAGCAGCTCAACAAGAGACAAACAACTTCTTGCACAGTTAGTCGGAAAGCCTAGCAGCATCCTCATAAGTTCGTTCTCACTTGCATGTATACAAACAGATAGGTGGATGAATTGTTTGACATTTTTTGTAGTGCTTAAAAATGCTTTGTTTGCCCAAGAGATGCCCTAATTATACCCAGAGCTCAAGTCAAAGGAATGCTTGCTACTCTTTCCTTCCTCCTCTCCTTTTCGCTGCTGCTCTCATCGCCATATGGAGCGGGGTGTACGGAAAACAAAACGTCCAAGGAAAAGAGATTTTAATGCCGCTCACAAAATTGCAATAAACGCCGCCGCGATGATTTGCTGTCATCAAGCCATGCGTCTTGCTATGGCTGTATCATCGCTTGATACCACATGCTGCTCCTCCTCATGCTAGTCCTACTAATGCTTCGAGTCATCTATTTCCTCCTGTTCTGCTGCATGCCCAGGATCTGGACCATGCGGATGAAGATGTTAATGAAGTCGAGCTCGAGGCTAATGCTCTCGTTGACGGCGTCACGCTTGATCAGACCGCGCTCGGCGAGCCGCGCGTGGTGCAGGACCTTCTGGACATCGTACAGCGTGAAGCCACCGAAGACGGCCAGACCGCCGTACAGCCAGATGTTCTCGGTCCACATGAGCGTGCGGGCGGCAGTGGCGGGGACGACCATGGGCGCGAGACCGGATAGGGCAACAATGGCAACACCGGCAAGGAGAGGGCCGCCGAGGTAGAGGTACTTCTCTTGCTTAGCAGTGGCACCGACGAAAGCGATCGAGCCCTAGAGTTGTGTTAGTGGCAGTTCTTTGTGTAGCACTGTGAAAACAAGGTCGCTTACCATCATGCCAACAGTGTAAAGACCGGCACGAGCGAGCAGAGCAGGTTGCAGGAAGAGCAGAGGAGACAGGAGAGCAGCCTGAGTGACGTTGAAAGCTCCCCACAGAGCGTACTTCTGGACGTAATTTTCGGGAGCGGTGGCCCTGGCGCCGTACATAGTACCGATAGATCCGACGAGGCCGATACCAAGGACAGCCCATGGGTTTGCGGCCATGAGGCGGTAGCTCCATCCGTTCATGTGCAGAGCACGGGCCGCAATACCAATTATACCGAGGCCAAGACCAGTGTGCATGAAGGTTTCGTTCAGGTAGCTGCGCTCGTAGGTGGGCATGCCGCCATCCTCACGGGTCTAACCAGAATGTTAGTTAACAACCAAGAAGGTCAGTGTAGGGCGAGGGGAGGGTTCCCCAGCCATGAGGGGATTGCCACTTACCTCACGGTTGAAGACAAGGTTGATAGCCAGAAGAGTACCGCCAAAGATGCCGGCTCCATAGATAAGTCTTTGTTTCAGGTCACCAGTTTGGACAGCGGGCGAGGATTGCATGTAGGTGCGACGAAAGGTGTTCCGGAAGACATTGTTCGAGTTGGCGAGCGAGGGTCGGCTTGTGAAGAAGCTGCCTGGCGCAGACTTGAGCGGAGCGTTGTGGAATGTGCGGACAGTGGAAGCAGTCTTGGGCGTCTGCTTCAGCGCAGACGCAAGCGTGAAGGGACGTCTGAGCAAGAACGCCATGATTGCGGTGGTGGCGAGGAGTGGTTTGAAGCGAGAGAGAAGAGAGAGAGAGCAGGCTGGAAGCTGCGGAGAAGAGGCGCGTAAAGGCTGATGAGCTCGGACCCGTCGGTTACGAAGTTCCTCGACATGACGTCGTGTACACGCCTCACGTGCCGGGCGCCACCTACATAGGCAGGTCTTTTAGCACTTCGAATCTTGTGGAAGTCTCCATCCTCCATCCAAGGATGACTCCTTCCGAACGTGGATAGCTAATTGGACAGTGAGCTAGGTGTAGGTAACTCAAAGCCAACCCGAATAACATCGTCGACACACCGCAAGTCGCATACAAAGAGGCAAAAAACAAACCAGTAAAAATGGCACCTAACAACCCATTCAGAGGGTCTATGGAGACCACTAGATACCGTCTACATCCAATTTCTTTGCACGACATTTCTAGATGGTTGGTGTTGGTGCATGGTGGTGGGATGACAAACTGCCCCCGCATCGTTGTGTTAAAGCCGCACAATGCGGCTTTGTGGCTTCACTATGGACCTTACAAGATTAAATACGCACCCTCGCGCGCATGTCCTTCTATCATTTATATTGATTGCTCATGTTATTGCTCATGTTAGTGGCGAGGCAGGTTGCGGCCTTGAGCTACCCAGTTACCAATCTTTAACATTCACTTTCCTATTCAGTACTAGCTCCGTATAAAGCCATCCGCACATCCATTCACACGCTTCCCCAACCTTTTCCGCGCTTCTTTATAATTGTTTCTTTCTTCTCGCCAAACACCTGTCCCCTTCAACTTTTTCCAACAACCGTTCTTCGAAGAAGCATACCTCATACATTGTCAACTTCTATAACCAACATCGAACAGATCACAGCTCACCATGGTCAAACTGCGCTCTGGAACGGGGTACACCTCTGCCTACAAAGGCAAAGGCGCGGTGCTCCCTCCTCCACCTGACAAAGAGATTCTGACCTTCGTCGATCTCGATGCGATCGAACTAGGCTTCCGTCCACAGTGGGTGCAAGACAAGGCCGCGGCTGCGAAGAAGCGCAAGGCCCGCGTCGCATCCGCTCCCGTCAAGGTCAAGGTCTTCGATGCCGCGACTTCCGACAACAGCGACTCTGATTGCGAGGCTGACGAGGAGAGCGAAACGTCTGCAACTCCCACTAAGAAGCGTAAGCTCGGTACTGACGGCGACAATCTCACCAATGTTTCCACGCAACCCGCTCACAAACGGGCCAAGCTCTCGAAGAAGCAGCTTGCCACCCTCCTCTTTGACGACGATGAGGACGACATCGCTGCCTCTAACCCTCCTCCGGCTGTCGCACCCACTCACGAACCCTTGGAGAGTGCCAACAACTCTCATGAGGACTCTACAGCTACTAACAATGCCAACATGTTCAACGACACATCTCCTACATCTCCAGAACCCGATACCGAAAACAATTCTGTCGACCACGTTACCGAGTCTCATGAACAGACTGCGGCCTCTGATATTGCTGAAGTCTCCGGCGTGGCTACTGACGCGTCCAACCCATCCATAAACACCAACACTGACGACGATGTCACGTGTAATATGACTGAGCCCTCTGAGCTGACCACTGAGGCCATGACCACTGAAGAGACCGTCGAAAACATTGTCGACGCGTCCACTACATCGTCGGAAGCTGACTCCGACGACGACTCTGTCGACCTGGTTACCGAGTCTCCTGAACAGACCGCAACCACTGATGATTCGGGCATTGCTACTGGCGCGTCCACTTCATCCCCAAACACCAACACCGATGATGGTATCACGGGAAATGCGACCGACACCCAAGAGCCAACTACTACACCCACCAACAAGGAAGAGCACAAGCGCCATGCGCCCGATGATTTGAAATCACCATCTCCTAAGCGTTTGCGTCGCCGTTTTTGCATCGACGATGACTCCGATCAGGAAGACTCCGATCGCGAAGAACCACACAAGCGGCATGCATCTGAGGATGAACTGGACTCACCACACCCTAAGCGTCGGTTCATAGAGACTGATACTGAAGAAGATGTCGCCGAAGAGACGACCACTGGAGAGTCACGAAAGCGCCATGCATCTGATGATGATCTAAACTCATCGTCCCCCAAGCGTGCTCGCCCCGAAGAACAGCGCAAGCGTCATGCGCTCGATGACTTGGACTCACCATCTCCCAAGCGTTCTCGCATCGACGAAGGCCTCGGTCATGGTGGCTCCGACGAGGATAGCTCTAACCACGATGGCTCTGGTCACGGAGATTCCGATCATGGGAACTCCGATCACAAAGGCTCCGAGGAGGCTGTCGGCGGAGAGACAGCCACTGAAAAGACTGCTGGCGTAAATGAAGGCAAGCGCCACGGGTCCAATGATCTAGACACACCATCGAGCAAACGCCCTCACATCGACATAGAATTCGACTCGGATGGCAGCAATGCGGAATGGTATACTCCTTCTAGCCCACCATATTCAGATACCGGGGCTGATGATGGCCCATTTGGTATGTTTGGAGGATGGATGACTGTTAATAGTCTACGACATGCCGAGGACCCGAACGATATCGCCGATGGAAAATTTCCTCCTTTTAGCCCGTTACAGTCACATGCCGAGGATGATGATGGCGCGGATAATTTGATGGACGGACCAACTGTTCTGTCTGAAGACGAAGATGCGCACTCCGTGAAGGCTGGAGAGGACGCAGACTCCGCCCAGCTTACAGTCGAGCACAAAAATGTTGAAGGCAACCAACAGTCCGCTAAAGCTGGTAAGGGACCGGAACCAAAGCAAGACGAGATCGATGAAGACAAGCATGAGGAGGATGAAGCTTGGAAGCTCATGTTCGCAGCCATGAATCCAGAGGGCCACCATGCGAGGGGTGTTAAGCCTGAGGATTTGCCTGAAGATGAACGCGAGATAGAGGACGCCTGGACTAACATGTTCTCTGCCTTGGGCCACCTTAAAAACGAAGAGAAGAAGCTGAAGCTTGAGGAAGAAGCGCGCAAGTTTGAGGAGCGGCTTCAGCGTGGACAGGAATATGAGCAGGAAGAGATTGAGCTGGCGAAGGAGAAACGCAGGCGAGAGAGGGCAGAAGAACGCGCTGCTCTGCGCCAAATAGACCCACAACTCCGGAAGAGGGTCGAAAGGATCAACAAGACGGTTCTGAAGAACGGCTTTCCCCACAACAGGTCTGTTGGTCGCGGATGGGCTTTCCAGGTCGCACGCGATGCCGGCGTCGATATGCCCGACGAGTATCCCGCCTACGATCCTTTCGCGAGTGACAAGGAGAATGACGTAAACTGGTCTCGCAAGAAGATGAAGAAGATCCGCGCCATGATCGCAGAGGAGATGAAGATGGACCCTAAGGACGTTCAGTTGCCAGTTGACAAAGAGTCCATTGACCTGATCGCCTTAGAGGCCCGCTCAGTAGCCCGCAACGCCCGCGCCCGGCGCCGCCGGAAGCTGATGAAGGACCTCAAAGACAGCGCGCGGAAGGGCATCGGCAGGATCACGGTCGAAGAGGCGCTTGAGCTCGACGCCACGTCGCGCGAGGCCTGGTTCCGCGCCGACACGATCACACTAAAGAAGCTGCAGCGTCTGAACCAGGCATTCTCCGACGTCTTGATTCATATCTTGCGCGAGAAGCAGGGCTGGACGCGTGGCATCCCCTGGGAAGCGCGCGTCGCGACCATCGCGATAGAGGAGTGGACGAACACCAAGCCGTGCTTCAGCGAGCACAATCAGTTCAAAGGCCACCCCGGCATCGTGTCCCATCGGTACAAGCGCGGCTCCACGTTGATCGTTTACGACGCAATTCCACCCGAGACGCTGTTCCATGCCCTCGTGGCAACGGCTAAGAAGGCCTGGCTTCGCGGCTCGCGGTTCAGAGATATTATCAGCGATTACACGAAGAAGGCTTGGGGAGGCCAGGGCCAGGAGGTGCCGCATGAGATACCGGAGGGCGTGATCGAGTTCGTTGAGAACTATGCGCGCATTGTTGTAAACTGGGCGTTGAGAAAGGAGGGTAAGTTGCGGGAGGGCCTGCCCGAGGAATCCTGGGAGCAGTCGAGGGCTGGTGAGACTGTAAGTTTGACTGTTTCTTTTCCGTTCGACGGGATGACATTTCTTCACTGACTGTTTGATGTAGGAGCTTCGATATTGAAAGACCCCGTACCGTAGCTCCGGAGACTGAGAATTAGCAGAGGAGTGGTGGGCGTGTTGGGAGGTAGATTGAGGGAGATGGAGGTAAATCAGAAACGGCTACTCCTATATATATTGTATTTGATAGCGGCTGGGACTGTTGAAAGCTTTTGGAAGCAACTGGAGACCAAAGTTCTTTTACTTTCTGGAGCCTTCCCGTCAGACAAAGATGTTGGGCAATTCACTTTAAAAAAATAACGCACTTCCAATGATGGAGTTACTCGTTGGGGTGGTACCAAAGCTCCGAAGCCCCGAAGCCCCGAAACCCCGAAGACCCGAAGCCAAGAAATCTTATCAGATGGGGAATCCCGCGGCGGCCTTCCCTTCGGGGCGGTCCTCCAGTGGCCTCCGCCTTTTAGCTCTCCACATTTTTCCCTCTCGACTCTTGTTTCCTATCACCCTGCTCCGCAATCATGGTGGGCGCCGGTCCTCCCCCACTGGATGACTTCAACACGAACGGCAGTACGCGCCCCAAGAAGGTCGCGTACTTTTACGACTCGGATGTGGGCAACTATGCCTATACCGCCGGGCATCCCATGAAGCCCCACCGCATACGGATGGCCCATAGTCTAATCATGAACTATGGCCTGTACAAGAAGTTGGAGATATATGTAAGGTTCCTGCCTCACTCAGGCAGCTCGCAGCGCGTCAACTTCAGTGCGCGACCCGCGCCGAGGCCGAAAGCTAGTCGCGCTTTCGAGGAATTGCCACTGATTTGTTGTCTAGAGAGCAAAACCTGCCTCCAAGTTCGAGATGACCCAGTTCCACACGGACGAGTACGTCGATTTCTTGCAGAAAGTGACACCGGACAACATCGACAACTACGCCAAGGAACAGAGCAAGTTCAACGTCGCGGACGACTGCCCTGTCTTTGACGGTCTCTTCGAGTACTGCGGTATCAGCGCGGGCGGAAGTATGGAGGGTGCGGCACGTCTCAATAGGGGCAAGTGCGACGTCGCGGTCAACTGGGCCGGCGGTCTGCACCACGCCAAGAAGAGTGAAGCCAGCGGCTTCTGTTATGTGAATGGTATGAGCTGTGAACGCGTCTCCTCAAGCCTCCAGAACCCCTATCACGCTAACGCGCGCTTTCATAGACATTGTTCTTGGCATCATTGAGCTCCTACGCTTCAAGCAGCGCGTCCTCTACATTGACATTGACGTACACCACGGCGATGGTGTAGAAGAGGCTTTCTACACGACCGACCGCGTCATGACTGTATCCTTCCACAAGTACGGCGAATACTTCCCCGGCACCGGCGAGCTGCGCGACATTGGTGTCGCCAATGGCAAATACTACGCCGTGAACTTCCCTCTGCGGGACGGCATTACCGACGAGACATACAAGGGTATTTTCGAGCCCGTCATTAAGGCCGTCATGGACTGGTACAGGCCAGAGGCTGTTGTGCTGCAGTGCGGAGGTGACAGCTTGTCGGGCGACAGGTTGGGCGCCTTCAATCTCAGTATGAGGGGTCACGCGAACTGCGTCAAGTACGTCAAGGGCTTCAATCTGCCAGTCCTGGTGCTGGGAGGCGGTGGATATACTATGCGCAATGTTGCACGGACATGGGCGTTCGAGACGGGTCTGCTTGTCGACCAGGAGCTGGGAGCCGACATACCATTCAATGATTATTACGAGGCAAGAAACTCCCAATTGCGATTGCTCAACTTAAACACTGACATTGTTCACAGTACTTTGCCCCGGACTATCAACTGGACGTCCGTCCCTCGAACATGGACAATGCAAACTCCCCTGAATACTTGGAGAAGATCCGCGCGCAAGTGGTTGAGAACCTCAAGCGCACGGCATTTGCACCCTCGGTCCAAATGACCGATGTTCCTCGCTCGCCCATGATGCCAGGAATGGACGAAGAAGCCGAAGACGAGATGAACGACCTCGACGAGGACGAAAACCCGGACGTCAGATACACGCAGCACCGATGGGACAAGCGCGTGGAGAAGGACGGCGAGCTCAGCGAAAGCGAAGACGAGGCCGAGAACGAGAGGCAAGGCGTGCGCAAGCAGCCGGGCCGGAGAAAGCGCATGAACATAACGGACTTCCCGAACCCGAACGCCGACCTGGACGAGGACAGCGCAATGGGCACGCCGCAGCAGAGGCCCGGCAGCGCGAACGGCACCGGCCCCAGCAGCCTCAACGGCACCATCAGCGCCGAGGAGTCCAAGAAGACGTCGAGAGGCGGCAGCCCAGCAGCGGCAGCCGCAGACGACAGCAAGCCAGCGTCGAAGGCGGCCTCGCCCGCTCCCGTGCCCGCAACCACCGCCGACCAAGACGGCGACGTCGACATGGACGGTGGCGCGGCAGGCGGCGCCCCCCCCAACGCGCCCAACATGACAGGGGAAGCCCAAGCAGCCGCGACGCGAGAAGCGCTAGCCGCCGACGCGCTGACGCCCCCGGCCTCGCCCCCTGCGACCGACCCCGCCGCGCCGACCACAGCGACCGAAGCCGCGGCCGCGGAGCCCGACGCGCCTGCTGCGGCGACGGCGGCTGATGCTGCTTCTGCTGCTGCAGCTGCGCCCTCGGCGCCGGTGGGCGCAGCGCCCCCTTCGCTGCCCGGCGTGATGGCGACGGCGGACTCGTCGGCTTCGGCCAGGGACCTCGAGATGGGTGAGGCGGCGGGCGCGGGGCCCGAGCCGGGCCTGCTGAAGGAGGAGGGCCTGCGCGAGCGGCAGGAGGAGGACGTCAAGGGCGAGGTTGGGGCCGAGTTGGCGCGGGTGGCGGATCGGGCGGCCGAGGAGCGGGAGCGGGGGAAGGCTGCGAATGGGGGTGGGGATGGGGATGACGATGACGACGAGGACAGCAAGGTCGCTTTGTGAGGAGCCAGCCGTCGTTGACGCTGGCGTTGGAGTTGGGGGTGGGTTCGACGTGCTGAGACAGGCGATCGAGCGAGTAGGGTCGGCAACTGCCTATGTGGTGGCGCGGTGTGGTGTGGAGCATTGCTTTCTCGGGCTTACAACAACTCTTTTTTTTTCCTTTATTTTCTCCTGCTTTTTGCTTAGGTACGATACCACGCTGGCGTTATACGGGCAAACAGGCGGGCGGGCGGGCGGCGGAGCGCGAAAACCCCTTAGGGCCTCTACTAGGTACTCGACGAGTATAAAATACATTTTTCTGCTCTGATATGTTCTGCTCTGTTCAAAGGGGGCGTGAGAGTGGAGAGTGGCATGTAGGTGGTCATTGGAGTGTATGTATGTATACATGTACAGTGTACTGCAGGACTGTGTTTGTTGTTTGTGAATCAATTGCTGCGTTAGTCTATCTATGCATGTAAACATCCTATCTGAATCCGCCGTAGGAGTAGGCAGCGGTCTCCGCGCCAGCATCCGTAATCCGTAATGGTGGCGTTTATGTTCGTTTCCTCTTCTTATTCTTCTTCTTCTCTGGATAGGTTAAGGACAAGGCAGTTCCTCTTAAAGCAGCAAGAGCCCACGCCCCCCCCCCCGTCCCATCTCACGCCTCAGCCTCACGCCTCAGCCTCACGCCTCGGTCTCACGCCTCCGCCTCACGATGCTTCGGCCTCACGCCGCGCGTGCACGCTGCCCGCCGCCGCGCAAGAGGCGCAGGCGCGCCAGCTTCGCCTCGACCTCGCGCAGCTTGTCTGCGACCTCGTCGTCTGTCCAGCCCCGCTCGGGGCCCCACTCGACGCGGACTTTTTTCTTGTGCTCGGGTGCTCCGTCTGCCCTGCTCGCGGCATACTCTCTTTCCTCTCCTCCCAACTCCGTCGCCGTCCCTCCCTCCCCAACTGTCCCGCCCTCCCCAACCTCCCCAACCGCCCTAACCGCCCCTCCTGCCCCTCCCCCACCAAACCCCCGCACCACGCCCACCAGCTCCCGCAGCAGCGGCGAGTCCCGCCCAATGCCAGGAAACGCATCAAAGCGCACCCTCTCGACAGCAGGGGCGAGCAGCAAGACGCAGCTCAGGAGATCGGCGCACGAGCGCGAGAAATAGCCGTCGTCGCCCTTGCGTCTGAAGCCCGCAAACGTGTCGTCAGACGCAGGGTCGCACTCGACAAACACGCACAGGGTGCGCATGCTCTCCAGCTCGGCGAGGCCGAGCCTATGGCGGCCGCGCTCCTCCGACGCAGGCGACACGGCCCAGCTTTTCGGAAGCCCGGTCCAGCCCGGCCCGAGGCGCAGCTCGAGCGTCGCGAGGGCGTGGCGGTAGCGCGGGGGGAGGCGGGCGAGCAGCGGCCGCGGGGAGTGGAAGAAGCGCCCGTGCAGCGGGAGCAGGCGGAAGGTGTTTGTGGCGTAGAAGACGCGGGAGGCTTCGGCGTGCGTGCGGTGCGAGGTGAGGAAGAGGGAGAGGCGGGGGGAGAGGAGCCGGTGGTTCGCGGGGTCCAGGTCGATCGTGTGTGAGAAGGTTAGGTGGTGCTCGTATATTCGCAGGCGGATCTCGGCGGGGAGGTCGAAGAAGCGGAAGGGTTGCGTTGGGGTTGTGGGTTTCGTGGTGGGTGGTGCGGGGGGGAGGGCGGTGCTGGCCGCTGATTCCTCCCCTTCCTTTGCCTTCTTGTCCCCTTCCTTTGCCTTCTTGTCCCCTTCCTTTTCTTCTTCTTCTTCTCCCTTCTTCGTGTCTTCTGGCTCCTGCGCGGGGATGTGTACGGTGGAGGCGGGGGTCGGGGCGGTGGCGACAGTGGTGGTCGCCGTCGTCGTAGTCGTCATCGTGGATGCCATCGTAGTTGGCGGCGTTGTCGGCGTGGATGACGGCAGGGGCGGTGCAGTGACAGCAGTGGTAGGTAGTGGTGATAGGAATGAATGCTAGTAGGTCAAGGGCGAGGTCCTCGCGCGGTCGGAGCCGGCGAGGGGATTCACGCAGCCATTGTGACGGTAGTCGATCAGGGTATGTGTGTATGTGTGATGTTAGGTCGAGCAAGAGACAGTCGAGAAAGATAGATAGATTGATTGATGTAGGTAGGTAGGTTGCTACAAAGTGAGGAAGTGGATTGGTGAGCGCCGGGTGGCAAGTCAGAAATGTGCCGTTTCAACGGGAGTCAGCAGCTCAAGGATCCCGCGCCCGAAGGTGGGGAATTCTAGCCGTGCTTCTTGGAAACGGGTGGGATCTGTTCTCCCCAGCTAATACAACGCCAGAGCTCATGCTTAGTCGCAGCAAGTCAATGCCGGTCGGAAGCGAGCAGGGCGTCAAATTTTCTGGGTTGGTTCAACTTTCATGAGGAGAAAAGAAAATCGAGAAGAGCGGAAGCGAAGGAAGAAAAGAGAGCCCGCAGTTTGCCGACTTAGTCAGCGCCTTGGCATTTGGGTGCTGCTGCTGTCGGCGTTTGACTGCTGGTCTCAAGTTCAAACGCCGACGCAAGACGCGCCTTCGGAGAGACTTGCCAACGCGGGGTTGGGCATGGGGAAGCCATATCCCGTGCCTGCCATGGCTATAATATGAACGCCTGCATTCGCCGTGCTGTGCTGTCTCTCCTCTCTGCCCTCGCTTTCCCCGCTTCTCTACCCCCCATACAGAGCCATACAAACCCACCACCACCACCATGGGCAAGCCAATCCTGCTCCACCTCGGCGACGACATCAAGTGGAACCACGGCCTGTACAAGCAGCTGCAAGACAAGTTCGAGGTCCGCCGCAGCTACAGCATGGGGCGCGACGAGTTCAAGCGCGCGCTCAAGAGCCACCAATTCGGCGACTTTGTCGCCATGTACCGTCCCTTCTGGAACACGGGCGGCGAGATGGGCAACTGGGACGACGAGCTCATGTGAGTGGTTTTTTTGATTCCCTTCCTTCTCGGCATCCTGGTCCCTAGCTGGCATGAGGAGCGAGCTTCGTCTGCCGCCTGCTCGTTCCCCGTTCCCTGCTTGCTTGCTTGCTTGCTTGCTTGCTTGATTGCATTGCATGCATATAGACATACACGATCGTCCTCCTGCACTGCCTCGGGACCGGGTCTCCGCGCCCATTGGAGGCCCGCAGCACCCATCCCTCCCTCTCCCCGCGCCTAGCCACCGCCCACCTCCCCCAACAAGCTTCCCACTAACCCCCCTCCCTCCCCTAGCGCGCTCCTCCCCCCCAGCTGCCAGATCTTCACCAGCGCCGGCGCCGGCTTCGACTGGGTGAACACGCGCGCGCTCGCGCACCGCGGGATAACCTACTGCAACGCCGCGGCGGCGTGCACCGAGTCCGTCGCCGACGCCGCCATCTGGCTGCTGCTATCGACGTTCCGCCGCTTCACGTGGAGCGCGCTGGCCGCGCGCAGCTGCGACGCGGCGCGCTTCAGTGACGCGAACCGCAACATTGCGGCCGTGACGCGCAACCCCGCTGGCCATGTGCTGGGTGTTATTGGCTTGGGCAGGATCGGGCAGCGCGTGGCGCAGAAGGCGGCGCAGAGCTTCGGCATGCGCGTCGTCTATAACGACGTCAGGCGCCTGCCGCGCGAGGTCGAGGACGCGGTGGGCGGCGCCGGCAGCGCGACCTTCTACGCCGACTTGCACGCGATGCTGGGGGTTGCGGACGCGGTTGTCGTCGCTACCCCCTTTGGCGGGGAGAAAGTGGTCGACGCGACGCATTTCCGGGCGATGAAGAAGGGGGCGCGCCTGATTAACGTTGCGCGCGGCAAGCTTGTGGATGAGGCTGCGTTGGTGGAGGCGCTGGAGTCGGGCCATCTGGAGGCCGCGGGGTTGGATGTCCACTATGATGAGCCGAACGTCAATCCCAGGCTCGCGGCTATGGAGAATGTTGAGTTGCTGAGCCATACTGCTGGCGCGAGCATCGATAGCCATGTCGGGTTTGAGCGGTTGGGCATGGAGAATGTGCTTAGTTTCTTTGAGACGGGGAAGGCGTTGACGCCTGTGAACCTGCAGTGGATTGATCAGAAGGCGAAGTTGTAGGTGGGGATGTGTATGGTTAAGTTAGGAATGGGTTTAGGGTTTGCTATGCTTGTTGGATTTACTGAAGACGAAGACCGAGATGGCTGGTGGCGCTTGAGGTGCAAAGCCTGTTGATACGATACCATTTAGGCAAGCAGTCGAAGAAGGAAAAGACCATGTAGCGAAACGAGACGAGACAGACGGCCGTCATGACAAGATATTTTTACTTTTTCCCGGCTACACAGATCTACTCTCAGCGCGTGTAGCCCCCCATAGTCTTGAGCGCGTTCTACATGATGATCATCAACGCCAAGCATCCCAAGTCCGACAAGCCTCTCTAAACCCTCACTGCCTCCGTCTTAGTTCTTGTCCAGACGAACCGCGGCATTGCTCTCGATGAAGTTGAGGTCGACCTTGTGGCCCAGCAGGTCACGAATATTGCTCACGCCATACTTGATCATCGTGGGGCGCTCGAGGGACAGACCAAAGCCATAGACGCGCAGGTCGGCCGGCAGGCCCATGGGCAGCAGCATCTCCGGGCGGAACATGCCCGAGTTGCCAATCTCGACCCACTTGGCCAGACCGGTGTGGTAGCCGAAGATCTCCATCGACGGCTCCGTGTAGGGGTTGTACGCGGGCTTGAAGCGCAGGTTCGTGATGCCAATGTGGGCGAAGAAGGTCTCGAGGAACTTCTGCAGGCCGCCCAGCGTGAGGCCAAAGTCGGCAATGACGCCCTCGATCTGGTGGAACTCGGCCAAGTGCGTCGCGTCGACCGTCTCGTTACGGAAGACGCGGTCGATACTGAAGTAGCGCGCGGGCCGCGGGTCTTCCGCCAGGCGGTGCAGCACCCATGTCGACACGGCCGTCGTGTGCGTGCGCAGCACCAACCGCAGGCACTCCTCCTTCGACCATGGGTACCGGTACCCGATCGACCCAAAGGCTCCGTCTTGGTGCACATCGATGATGTTTTGGAAGTACTTCTCGTAGTCGCGCGGCTTGATCTGCTTCTCTGCCTCGGGGTTCGAGTACAGCCGGCGCGCGCCCTCTTCCATCTCCTTCATGGCTTGCTCGGCAATGGGGTCGTCACGCGGCGGGTCCGCCGCTGCCGGGTCCGAGATGAAGAAGGTGTCTTGCATGTCGCGGGCGGGGTGCTGTTGCGGGACGAAGAGGGCGTCGAAGTTCCAGAAGCCCGAGTCGACGAAGCTGCTCTCACTGTCAGTTTTACACTGCGCTTTATTTCCAACTGCTGCTGCCCACGTACCGCGCAGTCGGCATCTCGACGAAGCCCTGGTTGAAGAAGATGTTGCGGAACTCGGCGCGGACCTTGTTCAGCGGGTGTAGCGCGCCGGCGTTCTGGGGCGCGCCCAGCGCGTTGAAGTTGTACGGCTTGAAGTTGGCCGACTCCCACGAGCCGTCGGCCAGCATGTCGGCCGTCAGGTCCGTCACCTCGACGGGCATGACCTTGGCGTACTTGTCGCCCTTTTGCACCGTGTAGGAGAAGACCTTGGTCGTGGTGACGAGCTTGCGCTTCTTCAGATCGGCCAGCGCCTTGGGGGCCTCGACGCGCTTGGTCTCGCCAATCTTCTGCAGCTCAGCGCGGGTGGTGTCCTGCACCTCGTCGGCCAGCGGGATGAGCGAGTCGCCGTCCTTCTTGATCCACTTGTTCCGGAAAGCATTGCCCTGGCCGACCTTGACGTCGGCGTTCTTGACCAGGCCCTGCCACAACTCAGCACTAATTCCACCACGGCGCACACGCCCAATCGCTTCAACCTACCGGGAGCTCCTTGATCGCAACCTTGCCCGCCTGCTTGACCGCCTCCCACACCTTGAACTCGTGGCTGCCCTCGTCGCTTATGGCCTGGCCTTCCTTGGTCAGGACGACCAGCTCCGAGTCGGCCGTCTCATACGTGACCATAGACCGCGAGGCCAATCTGTCGAGGGCGGCCTTGATCTCGACCTGGGAGACGTCGGCGAGGTCTTCCGACGAGCGGAGCGTGGGCTTCTGGTCCAGCAGGTCGAGGATTTGCTGCGTGACATCGCGGTCGCCGTCGCGATGCGGGACGGGAACGGGGCCGCGTTGGCCGACCATTTTGACTATTTATGCTCGGACGTTGGGGGTATCTAAACACGGGAGGAGGGAGGGAATCGAGGCGTGGGAGGAAGGCGGGACTGTGAGTCGTAACTTCCAAATCCATCCCACCAAACCACGGTTTCTGCCACCGGCCACCGCCTTTTGGGGGGGAGCTCCTGCCGTGTAGGTAGAGTGACATCTCCCTCCTTCCCCGCAAAGAAACCTACCTACCTACGCGCAACATGGCCACCCCTGAAGTAGAAACGCCGTCTTCGACCAGCCCGCCTACCCGCCCCGTCCGCGTCGGCCCCATCCACAAACGCGAGCCCCACTCGCGCCTCTCGCTCTCGCTGGACACGCGCCTCATGCTCAGCGGCGGCGTCGCCTTCACCAGCGGCCTTCTGATGGGCGTCGCCCACGGCTCGCAGACGGCCGGCCTGCGCTACCGCGCCGAAAACGCCCACCGCCTGCCCACCGACGCCACCGGCTGGTACATGTACCACAAGAGCAAGAACTACCACATGATGCTGGGCGGCCTGCGCGAGGGCCTGCGCATGGGCGCGCGCCTCGGCGTGTGGGCCACGGGCTTCTTCGTGTGCGAGGAGGCTGTCGACCGCCTGCGCGGCGTCGCGAACCGCAGGGGCGACTTTGGCAGCACCGTCGTCGCGGGCCTGGGCACTGCCGGCGCATGGAGTCTGTGGAGTGAGTAGTTGGCTTTTCGTTTCTGTCAATTGGATGCTTAGCACCCTTGGCCTGCCCACTCGTGCGTCGTTGGAGCCTACTGACGCTGTCTTTCCTCCCCCAGATCGATTCCCTACCATTACTGTTGCCCGCACCGCCAAGATGGGCCTCGCCGTTGGTCTTGGCTTCGGTCTCCTGCAAGACGTGCTGAGCTTGCTGCAAGGCTACAAGCCGAGCTATATCCAATGGGCGCAGAACGTGCCTACGCGCCTCGAGGAGCGGCGACAGCGTAAGATACGCGAGGCGTTAAGGCGGCGCGAGCTGGAAGCCGAGAAAGACACGTGAGGAATAGCATGCGCCATTGGCACAGGATGTAGGGCGCAAGACATTCCGCGCGGTGAGCGCGTGACATAAGGGCTGAGATAGTAGAGCTTGGGACCAAGTGCGGTGCTCTGGAGAGCTAGGCGCAATAATTGAATGGGTCATGGGGCGTTGGGCGTTCAGGTTCATGTCGTCTTGGCGCAGACGCAGCCGAATACCCATTGGATTGATAGATCAGAAGGCATGGCAAAAGACGGAAGCAAACAGCCATATCAGCCGCAAGCGCGGAACAGAGAGTGCAGACACCGCGCAACGTAGTCCCTCCGGCAGGAAAGAGTAGAGCACCACCAGCGCCGAGCGTGGTGACATTACTAAGCTGTAGAGACGGCACTGTATATATATATAGCACAAGTAGACCTGCTACAGCCCCGTTCGCCACTCACCACCACTAATCCATTCTTCTCAACACATCAAGCATGCCATGTCGTGACATCTTGAAGACACCCCCGCCACCGTCAAGTGAGGTTCTCCGTCTAATGAGGTGGTGAACACTGTGCGGAGGAGAAGAAGAAAGTGAGTCAAGATATACAGTATGCGTGTGCTCTGAAACCTTTCCACTGATATCTAGGAAGTGGGCTTGTAGCTAGATAAGGAGTACTCTGTAGGGACTGCTTGTTCTACTCACTATGTCCCTGGACGGTGAATGTCACTTCACAGTGAGGACGTTGCTCCATTTTCCCTTTCACTCATACGGCTACAGTCAGCGCAGGATCCGCTACACCTGTAGGAGAAGCAAGAAGTAGACAATAGCGGCGCCATGAGACCAGAGAACAACGAAGGGAGCAAGAACACGATTCGGTATATTTATAGCGCGAAGTGTATCAACCATGCCAACAATAGACCCCACCCCATCCACGGAGCCATATAACACCCTCCACCTATAGTCCAACACTAACAATACAACTCACCTCTTCCGCATCATAGCAGCCTCTCCAGCGTCATCGTCCGAGCAATACCATTACGTTCCCACCGCCAGCTGCATGCTTAAACGAGGCTTGAAACAGCAGCAGCAGTAGCCAGCGAGCGGCTTACCAAGCCAAAGAAGGGAGGAAGTGAGGTGGTGGTAGAGTGAAGACGTAAGAGGGAGCACAAGAAGAAGAAAATACTAAAAGAAAAGAAGTGAAGAAAACTAAAGCAACCAAAAACGCCAAAAAGCCAGCCGCACCCATCACGCGCACGCGCATGCACACGCACACTTACGCAGTGGCGGCGGCAACGATGGCAACGATGGCAACGATGGCAACGATGGCCACCCTCCACGCCGAAAACAAAAACAAAAACAAAAATAAACAAACCTCACCTCTCAAAAACGCACCCCAGCCACAAAAACGAAAAAGCAAGCACAAGAGCAGAACCACCCAACAAATCACGAACCGCCTACCACCCAGCCGCGGTGCCGTGCGTAAGTACCTACCTAGCATAACCACCCCCGCCGCATCCAGCACTTCCCCCGCCCCGCACCCTGTACGCCGCACCCGTGCCACACACGCGCGCGCGCGCGCGCACATAACATCCTGGCTGCGCTGTGCTGTGCCGCGCCGCGCCGCGAGCCGATCGATCCGCGGCACAGCGGCACAGTCGGCTGCGAGCGTCGCGAGCGTAGCAAGCACCGCGAGCAACATGAGCAACGTGGGCAACGTGAGCATTGCAAGCAACGCGGGGAACAAGCAGCGCGCAGTGAGTAGCTTAGCAGGCCAGACGTGAGTGCCGAAGCAAGGGTGCGGGCCGCGATAGCGAAGACGGATAGAACTGGGAAAGGAAAGGGTAGGAAAGAAAAGGAGAAAAAAGCTAGGGAATACAATAAAATGCCAATAAAACGAAAAGACAATAAAATAAATAAATTAAAATAAAATAAAAACATCTAAAACAAACGCCAATGAAAGGGCGGTAAGACAAGGCAGATGCCCATAAGCGGCGCTGGTGCCGGAGCTGGCTATTTACGGGACGCGGACTGCGCATCCGTTTGCTGGGGTAAGTGAGCAAGTAAGTGGGTGAGTGGGTGGGTACCCAAGTGATGATGTGATCGCGGAAAGCGGAGCGGACGTGTCTGGTGTAGAGAGGCGAGGACAGGGAGGGGGAGATGAGGGGAGGGCGAGGATGGAAAAGCGAGGAGACGAGAGCGCGCATGCAAGAGAGAGGGAGAGAGATGGGAAAATCTTGACGGTTGAATCTTCGCTGTGTCTATCTTCTAGCTTCGACGTGACTTGACTTGACTAGATTTGGGATAGGTAGGTAGATTACTTTTAGTTTTCTTGTTTGGTTTGGTCTGGTTTGCTTAGCATGAACTTGCGTGCCGAGCAAAGAGTAAAAGAAAAGGAAAAGGGAAAATAATAATAATAGGTAGGTAGAACAGTAAACGCGCCCCATCCCAAGCTCAAGTCCAAGTCGCATCAAGAGGCCTCCGGAATTAATACACACACAATAACAGGAACAACAACAGGAACAACAGCAGCAGCAACAATAGACAAACAATAAGATATACTATGATGAGCGGCCCCGAGCAAAGCAAACGCATGCATGCAAAAGCAAGCAAGCAGCAACAACCCCCCACACGCGTGCGCGAGCGCAAGCATGATACAGAAACCGCGTTCCCTCCTCGCACTCATACACTCTCTCGCAGTAGTAGCAGTAGTAGTAGTAGTAGTAGTAGTAGTAGTAGTAGAGTCTCTCTCTTGCTCTCGCACACGCACGCACGCACGCACGCACGCACGCACGCTCATTCTCTCTCCCACCCTTCTTCCTCTCTTTCCAAATTATCCCGGCTAAGCAAAGATAAAAGCGTGTGCGAACCGCACCGTCCAATCCTGTACCTAGCCAAACCCCATTGCCTTCCCTTGCAATCATCCAACACGGGGAAGAAAAGAAAAACGCTGCTGTGCCATGCTGCAACAGGGCCAACCAACACTAAAAAGCCAAAGCGGCGGGGGGCGCTCTGATAGGTCCCCCCGTTCGTTTTCACCTCCTTTCCGACGCCCACACCCATAAATGTAGTTGTAGTAGCCGTAGATGCTGAAGTATCCATCCCCCGGTGTCCCCCAAAAAAGCAATTATCGGGGCACCAAAGGGTGTGTATGTGTGTGTGCAATGCAGGGATAATAAACCGATTTTTGGTCGTGCTTGGTCAAGGCGAGGGAGAGAGTTTAAAACCAAATGAGGACGCCATCCAACTCCGTCCCGATGGGTAGGTAAGCGTGTAGAGGAAATCGGAAACTAGCAGCAGGAGGGGCAGCTCGCAAGTTTAATAAAAAGAAAAAAGAAAACGGAAACTCGGAGACGCGCTCAATCGGATCGATCGTGGCCGGACAAGCGGAGGGGGTCTATAAACTGTTTGCGCAAAGGAAATTCGGAAAAGGGAGAAGATGCACTCGACCGGGAATGGCTGCTCCTCGTCATTATTCGCCGCGTTCCGACTTGATCGGGTGGAACAGGATGCCCCGTAGGCACATCCGGCCCGAGCCGTTCTCCTCTTCCATGCGGCCACCCTCGCCGTTCTCGCTGGCGCCGAGCCAGCGTCTCCAGAGCGCTCCCGAGAAGCCCGAGTTGTAGTAGAAGGATGAGCCGAGCAGGTTGTGCTCGCCCCAGCCAAACGGCGACTCGATTTCCTTCTTGGGGTAGTTGAAGATGCGGTTCATGTAGTCCAGGTCCCAGTTGCGGTCAAAGAAGACGGGGTGCGGGGCGTACACGGCTTTGAGACCGTGGTGGTAGGCGACAGTCGGGGGCCACATCTCCGGGAACATGGTGTGACGGAGACGGTAAGTCTCCTCGTGCATGAGGTTAAGAAGACGCTTCGAAAGACGAGCAACCGTAATGATGGCAACACGGCGGGGCGGCGGCGGGAGCGAAAGATCGTAACCAGTGATATCGTGACGGAACACCCAGTTGGTCTTCTCGGGGTCGAAGAACGGGTTGAAGGTGATCAGATCAGCATCTTCGCCAACACCCCACTCGTAGTTGTCCTGTTCATAGCTTGTCGGAGGAGTGGTGCCGGGAGGAGAGGGGATCCTGTCGCGAGCTTCGTAGACGGGCGGACCCCAGACAGGAGGCGTGTCAGACTCCTCGATTTCTTGCTCGACCATGCGAGTGTAGTTTTCCCAAGAGCCGTGCAGATCAGGCATGTAGAACTTGGAGCTGCGCTCCCAAGCGCCCTTGCGAGGCTGCTTCTTAGCCCACCTACCAAGGCGGTCGTGAAACTCGTAGTAGTGGCCAGTGTAACGCAGATCCATCTCCCAGTTCCAGAAGAAGTCGTACTCGGGGTGCTGCTGAGCGAACCACTGAAGAGCAAAGTGGGCGCCGCGGTAGACGCTGTGAACGGGCTGGCCAGAGTCGTTCTCGAGGTTGTCAACGAAAGGCTCTGGGTAGTACGTGCGCATCTGTTGCTCTGACCACAGGGTAGCGATTCCCCAGAACTCCTTCGGCACCTGCTCCTCGAGCGTCCTCTGGTAGATTGCGTCGGAAGCCCAGATGGGGATGCTGTCGTCCTTGATGTGCACAAGGAGGTGTACGTCATACTCGCCGCCAGACTTCAGCGACAGCTCGTTGATCATGGCGCGCAAAGCGAGGAGCTGCCACTCAGAGTAGTGGTAGCCGGACCAGGTGCGCAGGACGTAGGCCGAGCGCTTCACCATCTTCTTGCCCGGGTTTCCCGCTTTGCCTTCCAGCGTAAGGCCGTTCTTTTCGTAGCGGATCCTGTTCTTGTCGTAGCAAGCCTGTTGCGCACGGCCCCAGTCAACCTGTCTCCAGTCCACCCTCTGCTTGGTGACGAGTTCCCAGACCCTCTCCGCTCCAACGCTTTCCGAGTTTTCAGCCAGGCCGACTCCGCCCTCATCGGGGTTGAAGCCGTAGCCATAGGGGCTCAGCCTGCCGAAGCGCTCGTAGCAAATGTCATTTGGAATTTCCAGCTGCTCGTAGGAACCGAAGAAAGGCGCAGTCATGTTTGCGGGAATGCCGGGGTAAGCGTAGATATCTGGGGTTGGCGTTTTGAGGCCCTCATCAAGATAGCAGTCCTCGACCGGCTGGAATTCCTTCAGGTATTCGGGAGACTTGAAGTCAGGGTATGGGTTGATCGGGAAGGGCCTGGCAGAGGGCGACGGCTCAGGGGCCTGACCCATCTTCGCCTTCTGGGTCGTAGAGGGGAAGTAGGCCAAACCCTCCTCCTGATCGGGATGAACAAACACCTGCTCGGGCTGGTACTCTTTAAGCGAGACGAGCGTGCGAATGCCATTGTAGTAGCCGTTGAGCCTGCGCGGGAAACCTTGTTAACATCAAGCAATTTCGCGGTGAAGCGGAGGAATGAGGGCTTACCGTGGGAAGTGTTCCCAAGGGAAGAGCTCCCGGGGCGGGAGGGGCTGATGGATGAAGTTTTGGTGCCTTCGGTAGCCGCCTGTCGCCAGCAGGCCGATGCAGAAGATGGCGGTTATCGCAAAGAGCAGGACTCTCGACGGCGACATCCTGGGCAGGCCAAAGCGGTCGCCGCCCGGGCTGGGGGATCGCCAGCGATACTTTTTGAGCGGAGTGCTAGCATTGTGCTCGTAGCCGGGCAGCTGTTCGTAGTTGAAGCCCGTCTTGAGCGGGAGCAGCTTCAAGGGGTTCATGTTCTCGAAGCGCGAAGAGAGAGGCGATTTCATGGCTCCAGGTTGAGCATGAGTGTCGCCTTCCCTCTCTCGCACGGAATTCTTGCGGAACCGAATCTTGAAGGCTTGAAACTGGGTGCTGGGGTTAGGGTATTATGGGAGTGGACCAGGCGCGCGGAAGATTAGGTTCCGCGGGCGGAGGATCGTGAGGTGTGTCGGGAGAGGGGAGGGGAAGTGGCCCGCGTGAAACGCAACAGGGTGGCGTGGGCGCAGAGTCGTCGTAATGAAGCTTGTTGGCAAGAGAAGGTCGGGGCGGAAGAGCGTACGAGGGCAGAGGGATGATGGTGGTGTGGGTGGTTGGAGCTGAATCGTCGGGGGTGCAGGCGGGCTAGGGCAAGGCTAGGGCCGCTTGCAGCGCAGCATCAGGAGCAAAGGTGCGCGGCGAATGGCTGGGGGTGCCGGTGAGCGAGTAATGCTTTGCATTGGACACCTGGATTTTTGGAGCGCGCGCGCGAAAGGGGGGCCGATCGACGCGGGCCTGACGGACGGGCAGAGGTATAGGTATACAATGATGACAATGGCAAAGACAATTAGAAAAAGAAAAACAAAAAAAAAGTAAATACACCGCCACGACAACAACAATAGGGATACACGCACGCACGGGTGAGGAGCCGCAAAAGCTGCTTCAGTTTCTGTGTCTTTCCCACGGTTCCCCTCTTGTCGCGGCTGCATGCGACGGGCGAACGCGCAACCCTCCTCGCACCTCATCTCGATTTTAGCAATGGCGGCTCGCTTGGCGCAAACACCCCTGTCGCCTCTCACTCCAAACTCTGCCCAAAATAGCACTCGTCCTCTCTCTGGCACCATCCGCCCGTATCATCGCGCCCGAGCCTTGGCCAGGCCCAGCCAGCTACTGCACCAGACACAGGCATGCCCGCGCATCGAGCTGACAAGACTCTTGGAAAGGTGAGAAGAGAGCCGCAAAGCCACAGAGAGAGCCACAGTCTCACAGGGCGTGCCGAGTAGTCCTCGCCAGCGCACCTGGTTAGTTTTAGCCCTGCCCGCCTCGAATCCTAGCCGCGCCACAGTCACAGCGCCCGTTGCGGACCCGCGACGCCGTTCCAACAATCCTGACGTCGTCCGGCCTTGGAAGAGCAGTTGGCAGGGCGAGTGAAATGACGATCTTCTTGTTTCGTCAACCCGCCTCCGCGCTCCGTGCAACGCTTGTGCCGGTCGGCCCTGAAACGCTGACGACACCGGTCGCAGATAGAAGTGCTTCACGAGCGTTCCAAACACACGCTGTCGGGCGTCGAGACCTCTTGATCACAACTTGCTTTCATATTACTCGTACATACGGAGTACCTGTTGGAGGAAGCGACTTGACTAAATCCCAAGGGCCGCCAAAAGCATCAAACAAATAACAACGGCAATTAACGGTAGGAGACTTTTTTTTTTTTTTTTCTCGCTCATGATCTGCCTCCACCCCCATCACAGCTCAAGGGCGCGTGCAGCCAGCACACGCACTCTTATCGACCGATCAGCAAATCTCGCATCCACCCGCTCCATTTCCTTTCGTCCATGCGCGCGCACGCAATCTGAATCATCACATCATCACATCTCCTCGCTGAGCGGATCGATCCGCGACGAGTCGACAATCTCGTCGTCGAGGCCGGGCGACTTCTCGACTTTGTACATGGCGCTGCGGTGGCCCTCGAAGGGCTCGATTTTCGCACTGGCAAAGACGTCCTCGCGGCCCACGACGCCCTGCGAGTTGGCGTGGGCCTCGTGGTGAGGCATATGAGGGTGAGGTGGGTGGGGGTGAGGGTGACCATGATGTCCTATCGAGCAACCGTCAGCAACGGTTCTACATAGGTACAGTGCGAAAGGAGCTTCTCCCGATGCTATGTCATCTGTATAATAACATAGCACTGTGCATGCTTTGCTTGCGTGTTTGTCTCGGCCCTCGACCCAAGACCAGTGCAACCAACCCCAAGGCATCAGCACGCCTGTGGCGCAGAGTACGTTTACCTTTGCCAATGGGGTCGAGGTGAGTCGACTCGATGCTGTGGTCCGAGCCGATGGAACCGCGGCCCGAAGTATCGAGCGGAGTATTGGCCTTGATGCCGGACTGGAGAGGCTGAATCTTAGTGCCGGCGAGCTCTTCCTCACCACCAGTGAGTGGGTGACTGCTACAACCGCGTCAACATATTGCTCCACACGACAACGTCTAACGACAACAACAACATTGCCGAATCTGCCAAAAACAATGACTGACTAGGCTACTTACGAAGACATGACAGTGGTAGGTGTACAGGCTGTATAGGTAGCTAAGTGTAATCGTCGAGTTTCTTCGCTCAATAGGTCGTACGTATTGCCTTGACCAGAATTCAGGATTAGACAATGAGCATCGCAACTCAACGCCCGAGGCGGTCTTCGCGCCTCCTTAACAACTGCCTCGTCCCGCGATGGGAGCAGCATGACGTAGCAAGCTTCCCCGCATCCAAGCAACCGCGCACCCCATCCATCCACCATCCACGGAGCAGCGCTCGCGCGTCGCGACGTCAAACCGCCAAACGCAGAATCTCGACCCGAGCATCGCGGAGTCCTCATTCGACTGCCTGCTGCTGCGGCAGCGGCACCCTAACGCCACGCCATCAACGGCGAGTCCTTGCTCGTCGTGTGTTCCCTACTCGAGCACCACGCAGAGGACGACTACTCTACTCGTACCCCGTCGAGCACACCACCTACCTGCTCGTACACCACCTCTACGCCGTATCTACTCTACGAGCACGCATAACCTAGCGACCTCCCACAGCCCCTACCCTATGTACCCTACCCCACCCCACCCCATCCAACAACAGCGCAGCGCAGCGCAGCGCAGCCACGCGCCCGCCCTCTCACTCCCTGTCCCCGTCCCTGTCCCTGGCCCTGGCCCCAGATCAGCAAAATGGCGTAGGCAACCCATGCGGGGCCCCGCACTCCGCACTCAGCTACTCCTACTCTAGAGTAGTCTTCCACGCGGCCCGCAGCCCACGACCCACGTACCTATCAGCATCGCCGGCGGGAGTCTGGCGTGAGCTGCAGGCGTCTGATGGTGCGAGCGACAGGCGGCTGGTGGTGCGAGCTGCAGGGCAACTCTTGCCCGCCTTGTTGCGGGGCTGCGCGCAGGTGGCCGCTGAGGTCATGCGCGCCCTGCTGTGGCATGGTTGCGAGGACAGGCTTGCGTGATGCCGGTTGTGGTGGGTGTCTGGATGGGCCTGGTGCGCGGTTGGTTGCTCGTGTTTAGTGCTGGGGATGGGTGAGGGTTGCTGGGGGTACGGGTGTGTTGGTGGTGGTGGTGGTGGTGGTGTTTGGGGTTGTTTTGAGTGGGGTTTAATGGAGAGGGTTGTGGTGCTGTCTTTGCAGCTGTCACGAACAGATTGACATGGAACGACAATATCTCGTCGGAATGATTGGAAGTATAATACAGTTTAGAGAAACCCATGCCACACTATAGTCTTCTATACCTTTCTTTCTAAGACTCTCGTCTCCCGTCTTCGTGAATCCATCACCAGCTCTTCGTGCCCATCAATCACACCCTACTCCCCAGCCCGACACCTCACACACGCACACTCAAACCCCCACGACTTCTCCAACAGCTCCATCCGTCCCTGCACAGCCATCGCGCGCTCCTCGCCACTCAAATACGTAATACACAGCTCGTCACCGACCTTGACATCCCTCGCACAGCGAAACAACCACTTGCGGCCCTCCCGCCTCTTCTCGACATTCGGATCACAGCTATGATTAAAATAGCTCGCCGAAGGCCAAGTGCCATAGCCAAAGAACTCGGCCCCACCATCATCGAGCGAGCGGATACCAAAACTATTACGACTATCCCTCGACGCCAGGGCCGCGCACACGTCGGCGGTGAAGCTGACAGCCAGAACAGGCGGCAGCACGGCGCGCAGCTGCAGGAACGTCGACGTGTGCTCGTCGAGCTCGGCCGCCGAGCGGTACGGCGTGGGGTTTGGCCAGAGCGCGAGGGTTGCGGGCCAGGCTTCCGGGCGCTGGTAGTGCGCGAGCAGCCCCGAGAGCAGGAAGGCGAGCGTGTCGGGCGCGGCGATGTGTGCGCGGGCGTTGCGCAGCGCTTTTAGTTGCGCTTTGCTCACGCTGTGTGGACTGCTTCGTGCGGTGCTGATTGTGGCGGCGGTGGTGCTCGCGTCTGCCCATGCGGTTGCGATGTCCGTCGGGTCGGGGGCTATGGTGTCTGTGGTGGTTGGTGAGTTGGGGTTGGTGGTGGGTGGAGGGTGGGTAGGGGTGGAGTGCTGTTTAGAGATGGGAAAGGGGAGGGTTGCTATCAATTGAAGACGTAAATGCGGAGATATGCGTCTGGTTTGAAGCAAGGTACTCTTGAAGAACAACACAAAAGCAAAGAAAAGGCTCAACACCGTTTTAAACAGTGAATAAGAGAGGGTATCATAAAAAGACGTAGGAATGAAAAAGACCATAACACCCCAAAACAGAAAATGGTCAAGAAAACGCATCACACTTACAAGCATCAACCATCTCCGGCTCCTGCGGACACCCCTTACAAAGCTTCTGGACCTCCGTCCAAGCCACCACGCCCACCTCGCCCTGCTCCCGCCTCCACTCCTCCCGACACTCCGGCGAGCAAAACACAAACCCGACGACGTTGTCGCGGGTCTTGAGCATGTTGCCCCCGTCGTACGCAAAGCACTGCCCGCAGACCTCCTTGCGGTACTGCCGGAAGATGACGTGCGCGCTGGGCGCCTCGGAGCACCACAGCGGCGTCCCCGCCGCAATGTCCTGCGTGGCGAAGACGCCGCGGCCCGCGAACGCCGTGTCGCGCACAGCGTAGAGAGATGAAGTTGGCGCGCCGAAGGGCGCTGCTGCTCCTCCTGCTGCTTCTGCTGCTTCCTTTGGTGCGGGTGGGGCTTCCATGGTTTTTTGGCTTGGAGTGGATGGAGGGAGAGATGGGGGAGGGGATGAGGTGGTGTGGATGTCGTTTTTGACAAGGAGCGTGGTGGTAGCCATCTTGGTTTGACTTGTGAGGAGACGGGCTACTGGTTTGGGAAACAGTGGTGGTTGCGTTTGGTCCCTGGATTGGCAGATGCCTCGAAGGCAGGCAAGGCAAGAGCGCTGCGTTGGATGCGTGCTTCTTTTCTCGCTTATAGGTTCATATGTCTTTGGAAACGGCACAATGGCTGAGATAGCGTATATTGTTCATGATCGGCCGGGGTAGTGCAAGTGAAAGACAAGGAAAGTCCCGTGGGGGTTACACGGGGGATCCGGGTAGGTGGAGGGAAATAGGCACACCGCGAGACAGGGTTGTAGGAGCAGGGGAAGAAAAAAGAGAAGAAATAGAGAGGAGCAGAGGAGAGAGAGTCTAGACAAAATCGCGCGCTATGCCGCTTTGGGGCGTGGCAATAGGAACAGGCGCTGCCATAGCCCGAGACGGGCAAATCGGAGATAAAGAAAAGAATTCTTCATGACGTTGAGACTGCGCTAGAGCGCGCCGCCGCCGCTGCTGCCCTCTCTCACCGCTCTGTCCGTCTCGTTTGCCTGCATGATATGGAGTTTTGTCGCTCTCTGTGTCTTTACGAGAGGCACGGCTCTTTTTTTCTTTTTTTTTTTTTTTTTCCTGGCAAGCGAAGCCAGCCGGAGGTCCCGTCGCCGTCATGCCTTGCTCACCTTACTCCGCCACTCAGATCCGCCATCCGAGCACGCCGCGACGCGCTCTCGGCCATTGGACCGGCAGATCTGATGGAGATAGAGATAACGTCCCATGCTCTTGAAAAAAGGTGCCGAATCTTGGTCGCAGCGAAGTCGACCGCGTCGCTGAGTTGGTGCCTTCTGGTGTCGTGAAGGACACACCCATCGTGCCACAGGAAAACGGCTTCATCGGCTGTGCGCATGGCGTCGCAAGCTTGCGATGTCTGCACTCGCGCTGGAGTGAGGTTGAGATCGACTTCCCCGCACATCGTCCCATCGCAGAGGAAACGTCCGTCGATCAGGCGCTTAGACGCGCTGCAGACACAACGAATGGCTTACGTTCCAGCAGACACCCTGCAGCTCTTCGCATCTCTTTTCTTTGCTTTGTTTGATGCTCGGGTTTGTTATTCCTTTTTTTCCATGATACTCATTTCCGACGAATACTCACTGAGCGCGATGTTGTTGCCGACCAACGTTTCCTCATCTCTGTCGATTGCATCGGGATTTGAGTCTAAGCTCCAGATTTTATCATTCCTCTTCTTCTGGCTCTTTCTATAGGTGATACTGCTCTTCTGTATTGTGTGTATCGCTGCCCCAGGCTCTGCATCAGCCTTGATGTGCTGCACGTACCCGGAATCCTGTGTGGAAGACTCCACGTCTGCAGCGAGCTCATCCCCAAGGATTGTAGAGCAAACTCCCTGGCTACTACGCGTCACCTTATATTACTGTCGAGACATCCAGTATCACCTCATCATGCTCTCATGTCTTGTCATCTGCGAAGCCACTGTTCCTAGTCTGTCAAAGTTGTAGCAGCACCTTGATGTATAATTTCACGGAACTTCGTGTTCATTTCGGAAGAGGCCAGTAAGTGTCCGAACGTAGAGGAACCCGAGGTGGTGCTTTGTGTTTCTTTTTCACGCTTATCCTTTCCCCGATTCAAATGGACTTTGCACACCTTCTTCGGTCCAAGATGGCGTTGCAGAAGCGACGTCCTGATACCTGGTTTTAGGTCGGACTCTGAGCTAGCTTTTCATGGTCGTGGGATAGGCTTACGCACTCTGGGTTCTAGAAGACTGTGAAAGTAGGTAACATCTTGAATGACCTATTTTCCCATGATTACGGACACTTGCGAGTTGCGTGACTGGCTTAAAATAGTCACACATGAGCACATCACGACGTTATATTTACTGACTCATAAAAGTACAATAGACCAATTCTAGCAGTCATATGCCGTTTCATCATTCTCGTTCTGAGCCAAAGCATGACGTGTTCAGGCGGTAGCCGGACAATAGTAGACTTCGCTTGCTGCCTATTGAGATCCGACCATGTCAAACGGCCCTTCACCGCTACTTTGCTATTGTCCCGCGCCCAGGCAGCAGCCGATACTGCCAAGCGGTGAGCTCTACCGCCATTGTCCGCCTGACTCCTTCTCATTCAAGAAGCTGACGCAGCAACCGTGAAAGCGCAAACGCAGCTTCCCCATGCAACGCCAGCGATGAGTCACCAGCACGCACCCCCCCTCAGCACCACTATATAAATCCCACCCCTCCCCCCACCACCGCCTCTTCTTTTCTCTCCAGCTCTCTTTGCCTTTTGGCTTAGATCAAGTGTAGTATCTGTTCTTTACAGTCTAGTCGCTGTAACGTCTCTACGGAGGCATTTCTCGATTGACTTGTTTTTGAACCCTAGAGTGGCGGCCGCTGCGCTTGCGCATGTCGTCGCTCACTGTGTCGCCTGTATTGCACTGTCTCGGGCTGACGCGACCGGCTCTCTCTTTTTTCTTGAGGGCTTGAGGGCTTTGTCTTTCTCATTGGGCTATTCGCTTCATGCGGGTGCTTGAGGAAGAAGGGAACGAGAGTGAGGTCTCAGTGGAGCCCCGCGGTCCCACCACTGCCACTGTCAACAGTCTGACGAGCCCTTCGGCGGCCAATATCACGCACTTCATCGATGGCGAACTCGGCTGTTTCGACATCATTGCGTCTCGACTTGACTGACGCCGGTTAAGCCTCACTGCAGCACTCTGGGCGCCACTGACTTGTATTGCTCTGCTTGTTACATCAAACACTACACTGGTGGTAATGGTAAGCCGATAACGGACAACACTGGAGAATGCGAGTGTCTGATGGCTCTGTATGGTTGTAGTAAACCTCAGCACTGGGCCGTACTGTCGATCCTCTATATTGACACTGAATTTTCCAGTGCTCCCGAATCCTTGGATACGGAATTCATCGAATTGAAGGATTTGACCAAGAGTGAGCTTCCTTAAACCGTTTTCCGGTACATCTTTCGCGTCATTGAAGTTTCCCCATGAATTTCGTACAAGGTCCTCTTGCATTGCCTTAATGCCTCTTTTCTCCACTATTATTGTTGGTCTGACCTAATACTTCATTTGAGGGGCCAGTTGTGTCTGTACTGTACCGTTTTATTTCGGTGACCACTTTTATGACGGGTGATGTGAGTATTTTCTCCAGAGCAGTTGTGCTCAGAATGGATATGACACCGACGCCGCTGGTATCCCGAAAGCATAAGTCTAGGGCCGACGGTGCGCAAAGAGGCGGCCGCGAAGAGGTATAGAGGTGCTATGCGAGGACGCGTCGCGAAGGCAACTTTCTACTACCCAATTAGGCCCGGGGGGGGGGTAGGGGAGGACTGACGTTAGTATTGGCCTCTCGTGTGGAATCTGCAATACACGGCACGCTTTCCAGAAAGGAAGGTCGTACCAAAGAAGGCTTGGAGAGTATTGCTTTTTGTTTTCTTCCCTGCAGGTGCAGAGCTTGGCGAAAATACTACCACCAGTGAGAAGTCAGACTGACAACGATTGTGCGGCTGCATACGAGACCAGCTCAGCTGTGTATAAATTAGTGTTAGCGTTATGCATGTCGGCCAGAGTTACAAAATGAGATGTCGCCGCATGGTTGGGGTAACTTCCAGTTGTTACAGAATTCCTCACAGCAATCGCTACGCATGTGCAATTAGATGCCATGAACTCAGTCTCATTCTACGTGCGCCGAATTTTCGAGTGGCTGACCTTTCGACGTCGGTTGATAAATATATCTTTAGTTGCCGATGCCCTTCTGAGTATGTCAATGTATCAGTTGTTGCCTAAGGCTCTTTAGCTGACTGTTTGGTATATTATTAAGTACTGCCGCTTGTGGCATGTGTATCATCCAGCAACGCGTCCAAGGACTTTTACATATTGTCTTTATCTTACCGCAATCTTACCAAAATCCCGAGCCACGGATCAAATTTGACGTTACCAATCTTTAGCGCTGCGAAAGAAGTGCCTCTGGAAGTGAGAGCCGGCTACTTCTCTCTGTGTGTCTCAAGGCAAGACACTCTCGATTGGACTTGCGGGAGAGCGCCGGCATTAAGGGCTGTAGCCGATGGAGAAAATGATCCCTTAGACCTGATAGGAATTGCGGAGCACTTCAGCGATGGAGTTATATTTCCAGGCCTCCTGTGAGTACTGTGTAAGAGTCGATCTTCTAGTTGCTGATTCTCTAGTATTACTTGCATCATATTCAGCCTGTTTGCTTTTGCGATCTGGCAGGAAAAAACCGATGTACAAGACATCGAGGAAGATATCCAAAGAGATAGCGCAGGAACACAAAGCGAGGAACAAGGAACCCAAGAAGCCCAAGTAGCCCAAGGGCCTCAAGGTAACAAGCAGAGTAGAAGGATGTATCCTCCACTCTACATCATGCAGAGTTCCTTGGGAGCTATATTTGGGGCAATGAGTTTTGCACTCATGTCTGCACTATGGCAGCATATGGCTGCCAGTGTTTATGGGACTATTGCGGGATCTATGACCTATCAAGTTGTGCAAGGTAAGGTTGGTCCAGCAGCGGCGGCATTTTTATGGTCAGGCTTTCTGCTCCTGGCTTTCGTGACTGTTGGTCTGATTGTTGTCATTTTAGACATAATCAGTGGGGTGTCCGTTTGAACTCGTCATTTTGTACAAATGCAAGATACTATTACCGATGGACTTTTCTAGGTATCCGGTGTCATCAACTATATCTTAATAATGTATACAATCAGGGCTAACTGAGCATCATGTATGACTTAATCATTTTGATTATACATTTTAACACATGTTACTAATTATGATATGGCTAAATATGTTTTTGGTAATTCCGATGCATGAAAAATTTGCGACGAAAACATGGTGCAGGATCGTGCATGCTGCCGCGGCAGATTATGCAATCGACCCGAAAAGGACATCAGGCTGGAAAGGCCAAGGCCGCCACTGCCTTTAAAAAGCGGAGGACCCAGCTCCTATTTCTATCTTCACACAGCAGCAGTCACAGAAACTATGGATGACTTTGGAGAAAACACAATTATTGACAGTCCAGCCTCAACCCAAGAGTCTTTTTACACCGCACGAAGCGCTTCCAGCAGATCAAGTCTTCCACGGAACACACTAGGTGTAGCGGAAACTGCGCATACCAAGTGTTCAGATGTCGGTACGTACGGTTTATTCCCTAAGAATATACCTTTACCATCACCAACTACGGGTAGCTGCCACTTAACACCAGTTGCAGGAAGATCAACTAGCGGAGCCATTGAAACCCACGATGATGGGACTGGACACAGTGAAAACATTGCGCACAACAACACCGGATCTAATGGTCCAGACTCTGGCAAGCGACGAAGTTCCCCAAACCATGCCCAGGACACAACGGTTGCACATGCAACGGACCAGAGGACCAATAGTCCACTACGGTGGTTAAATTATAGAGAGATGATTCTAGGAGCTTCGAAATTTTGGCCCCATCTGAAAAACGTCGGAGCCGCGGAATCGAAATGTCGCAATATCGATAGCGGATGTGTAACAGTTCACAGCTCGTGTACTCTCTGGAACGGACACTTATGGGTAGATATGCCCCACTATCCTGTTAAGGATTTAGGAGATAAACAGCATCTGATCTCCAACCTGGCTCACAAGTGCCTCTTTGCACAAAACATGAAACGGTTTTTCATTGTCGAAGATCTTACGCCCTATATGATCAACACACTTGGTACGACCTTTGGAATGAACCCCGAATTCTTCGAAGAGCATCTCCTTCAGTCGGGCTTCCTTGGCGATTCACAGGACAATGAGGATTCCGCTACATGGCGTACCAACGGGATTTTGAAAGACTATTTTTCTCTTCGTTGGTTTCGGCCAGTACTTCGACGCTTCTCTGAGCCTCCTGATAAATGGGATCGTCTCAAATTGATCAGTAACAAGGACCAACAAATTGAATGGGGGCATGTCACTAAGATTAGAGAGGAAGATCTTGCTGTAGGGCCAAACCAAGCAGATGACGAAACAGTGCGAGAACTAGAAAAGGAATCAAAACGCGGTCGGCATTGTGTGAGTGCCTCGAGCAACATCTTCCGTCAAGAACGCGCTCTTATCACGGATCGTATACGGGCAATGAAGAGCGCCAGCGGAGCTCATGTAGCATGGGAAGAACGAGCGACAATGTATCGTACGGTCATCAAAGGTGTGGAAACTGGTAAGTATCACAAAGATACTTTTGACTTGCACAACATGAAAAACACAGAAAACGGTGTATCGAAGTGTTATTTTTATACTTGATATACTACATCAACGGACTTCAGAGGCTACTAGTTAGCAGGCTGTGTGGGACTAATATGACTTGCTCCATTATATCACGAGTCTTAATTCAAAAACATATACGCATTGCTGGAAGCTAATGAGACATTCTTTTAGTGGTTCTTCTTGTGGATCCTCTACCGCGTCTAAATCATGATATTGTCTTGCTGGAACAACAACAACAAGGGGATCGTAATGTCACGAAAATAAAATCATCACGAAGAGTATCGGAGATTGCGTTCATGACAATTTATCCGCGAAGCGCTCCAGTTGCCTTTCTGGGATGCCCTATGGCAAGCAACCACCTTGACGATCTGGAAAAGCAATACACGAGAATAACACCAACTCGAGACGATATTAACAGCTGGCTATATCCTCAGGCACAAGGTGGTCAATTATACTCTCATGCTCGCTATACAGAAGTTACATTAGCACTTTTGCAGGTGGTCAAAAGGGATGTCTATGCGTTCATGAGCCTTCTGAACGCTGCATTGGGTGAAATTGCCCAGGACTCTATAAACGAAAGAAGCATAGAAGAACGACTTCCTCACTGGCGATCGCTCATAAACACATATCAACAGGAGTTACCAAAACTTCGAGAGTCGTTGCAAGGGTTCTATCAGTATGCTTTCGCTCAGAAATACGACCAAGATGCTCATACCACAATCACCGATCTCGACTCCAAACTTGAGCTGTTGATGCAACGGCTTGAGAAGACATACGTTGCATTGCGAGCAGAGCTGGCAATCATTGAAAGTAAGCGTGGGATTGCAGAAGCCGAAGGCGTCAGCAAGCTCACCGAACTTGCTTTCATCTTCATTCCGTTGACATTCGCTGCGGGCGTATTCAGCATGCAAATACAGGAGCTTCAGGACCCTGCTTCACTCCGGTCATTCATCGTTGCGGCCTTTCTCTCCGTAGCGGTCTCTTACGCAATTAGACTTGCTGTCCGAAGCCCCATGGTCATTGACAGCAAAGAAAGAGTGTTCAAAATACTACGCGAAAGGAAACCTTTCGCAGACAGAGTTTCGACACACGCTTTTATTATGTGGCTGGGCCCTGGGCTTTTATCGGCCTTCAACTGGGCATTTCAGGAAGTTATGTCGGCTTTCTTCTGGCTTTGTTATAAGGTCGGAGCAGCAAATTTCGTCCGTCTGGCAGCACTATCTATTTTCATTCCTGTCACTATCAGCATTTCTACTCAAGCTCAGCTGAGTGGCAGCTTCCGTGGTGCCATTATAGCATTGCTCTTCATAGTACTTGCTGCTGGTACATGGGTTTGCATCAACGCAATCCAAGCGGATCGGATAAGTTTATCTAGTTGGTCATATCTGCTGCCTACTTGGAAAAGATTCCGCCTACAAAGTAGCGCATTTTCGTGGAAGGGGAGATATAGGCGTAAGGAGAGTGTAACGACAATTTCTTCTGCTTGATCGTGTGGTCGTAAAGGATGTGATACATCAACCTTACTGTATCAACAGAGAAGTTTACCAATGCTAGTACGACTCGGTAAAATGATTTATTGATTGATAAGTGAATCCAGAGATTTCCTTAAATGATTTATAAGATGGCTCCTCGTGCTGTTTTATGCTGTAACATCCGTCGCCATCAAGCGAGATTCACCACCTAGCGAGATAATATTTATACGGAGGAAGAACAGGACCCAGGTGAGATATCTACAGTGTGTATGCACTCTAAAACTGTTTTACTTATATCCAGGATTTAGGTATTATAACTAGTTAAGGAGTATTCCATAGAGACTGCTTGTGTCCTTTCCTATCTCGCTAGATGGTGACTTTTTGCTCGACGGTGGCGGACGTTACCCAAAGCTCGTGGGGTACGTCTTTCTGATAAGGTTCTCAGCCGATATAGCACCGTTCCTGCTCTTTTCACACTCTGCATATCAGGCAGTCATCGTAGCGGATGACCAACTCTGCCACACGTGTAGTCTTTCTTCTCACAACCGTGGCACGAACCCATACTACACTTCTCTTTAAATACAGACACTCGGTTGCGATGTCCATGTGTGTTCCTTTGCAGTCGACATACACCTCTGTTTCTACCTTGCGGTGTTTTGTCCGTTTGCGATACTGTTCGAAGTAGCACTGGTAGGTACAAAGCTGGATGTGTGACTCGATGTGCTTGCAGGGGTACTGGTACTTCGTCTCCCGGCACATTCTTGATAATGATATCTACAAATGTTATTCTAACTACCAGTAGGTCACGACTCATGAAGATAACACCTACCTAATCGGGAAGGAGTTGCACAAAGGTGATGCTGGCTAGGTTTCAGTTGAGGTAGTCGATAGCCAACTAGGTAGTGATCTTAGAACTACCGGACAATTCACGGAGTCTAGATTTCTTCGATGTTAGCTAAGGCTGGATGAAGGGGCATAGATAGAAAGATAATAGGATGTCGTCGTTTATAAACAACATCATCCGGCACCATTGCAAACAAATAGGGGCAAGGGGTGTTCCGATAGCTATCGTGTGAACAATATTCCTTTCAAAGTCACTCGGAGAGCATGTCTTAGCTGCAATGTATCGAGCAGAAGAGCATATGGTGTGTAGGTGTTGAAAGGCGGACGTTGTGGGCATGACCAGAGTTGGGGATCGGGTGGACCCTGTGATTGGGGTATGATGTAGTCGCGTGGACGGCGCCGACGATCATCGCCCCGGTTACAGGGCAGCTCCGAGCAGCTAGACAACAAGACAACTGTCCCAGCTCCACCCGTTCTTTTTCTCCTTTTCATCTTTCCTTTGAGAGCTCCAGAAAGCTCACACATTCACTAACCAGCAACTATGGCGCGCAGCCAAGAACCGCTGCTAACGCGGCGGGCGTCCGACCGTTCGAACGACCACGACCTCGCCGAAGAGGACGCACTCCTTACCGGCGAACCTACGAACAGACAACCCCCGTCGGACCGCTGGCAGAAATGGCGGGAACTCGGTCTTTTCCTTTGGGCCCTCATCGCGACGGCAGCCATTATCGTCCTTGCTATTGTCTACCAGAAGCATCAGGCCGCCAAGCCTCCTTCTCCGAACCCGACCGGCAAACGTAACCTCATATTCATGGTGTCTGATGGCATGGGTCCCACGAGCTTGAGCTTGACCCGAGGCTTCAAGCAATACCAGCACGCGGAATCTTGGGACAACGTTCTGGTTCTTGATAAGCACATGATCGGCCAGAGCCGTACGAGATCCAGCAGCAGCCTGGTGACGGACAGCGCAGCCGGAGCGACCGCGTTCAGCTGTGGTTTCAAGAGCTACAATGGAGCAATTTCGGTGCTACCGAACCACGAGCCTTGCGGCACGGTGCTGGAAGCCGCGAAGCGAGCGGGATACATGACTGGATTGGTTGTCACGACAAGAATTACCGATGCGACACCGGCATGCTTCGCAGCACACGTGAACATGCGATCGGAGGAGGACCGGATCGCTGAACAAATGGTTGGAGACTATCCGCTTGGAAGAGTCGTGGATCTGATGTTTGGAGGAGGACGCTGCCACTTCCTACCCAACACCACCGAAGGCTCGTGCCGCGCTGATGACAACGACATCAGGACGCTTGCAGGAAAACATGGGTTCAGCTATGTTGATAACCGCGAGGACTTTGATGGCTTGAACCTGGGTAGTGCGATCAATTTGCCGATGCTGGGACTTTTCGCGGACCACGACATTCCCTACGAGGTGGACAGGCGCAACGAAAACGACATCTATCCATCGCTGGATGAAATGGCAAGGACGGCTATGAGGGCCCTGAGCGAGGCAACCAGGGACAGTGATAAGGGCTTTTTCCTCATGATTGAGGGTAGCAGGATCGACCACGCCGGTCATGCTAATGACCCCGTTGCTCAGGTCCATGAAGTCCTTGCTTACGACAAGACTGTTGCTAGCGTTCTGGAGTTCCTTGAAAAGGATCCTGTCCAGGGTGTCATGGTCAGCACTAGTGACCACGAGACCGGCGGTCTGGCCGCCGCGAGACGTATGTCATTTCCTGTCTGATTCTCGATAACAAAGATAAAAGGGCTAATATTCTTTGCAGAACTGCACACTACCTACCCTGAATATCTCTGGTATCCGGGCGTTTTGGCCAACGCTTCTCACAGCGCTGAACGCCTTGCGCAAAACTATCAAAAGTTTTTGAGCGCACAGCGCAACGAAGACGAGACCATTGCTTGGCTCAAGAATGCAGTCGAGAATGACCTCGGCATTCACGATGCCTCCGAAGAGGAGATCAACAACCTCGCAGAAAACCCAGATATCAGTCCGTACGTTTTCGCCGACATGGTGAGCCGCAGAAGTCAGACGGGGTGGAGCACCCACGGACACTCAGGTAAATTATCCCGATTTCCATCTTCACTTCCAACACACCTTTCACGTAGAACACTAGGCTAACTCAATTCCCACAGCTGCGGATGTCAACATCTTCGCCTCAGACCCCATTGCTGCCTCCCCTCTTGTTGGAAACCACGAGAACACTGAAGTCGGCGAGTTCCTACGCAACTATCTCTCGGTCGACGTCGAGGCGATTACTAAGGAACTGCGGTCCAAGGGGATTGGCCACGGCAAAGTGGATGCCATGACGGGCGAGTCCATTGGCTGGATGGGCCGGATGCCTGACGAGGCCGAGATTAACGATCATGACCATCTAGACCACTATCAGGGGGATTTCAAGAAGCACAAGAGATGCGAGATTTGTGGCATGTGAAAGAGTGGCGGATTGCGCCACGGAGAGACATTTTCGGCTTCCTAGACTTGCTTCCGATTTGGGGATTATTTGGCGTTTCTTTGGGACCCGAGCAGTCGAACCGTTCTTGGACACTGTATATGCCATGAGCCAGACAGGTATCTTTCGCTTGGAGGCAATAACGGCCGAACTACCAACGACGAACTTTCATAATCTCAGCCCGAACTACGAAATCCATTTCTGGGTACAAATCAGCATAAACTTAGAGAATCCCCCTTCTTCTCTTGAAATTTCGCGACAATAACGCCTCATAACATGCTACCCTTAGGGCGGTGTGACGGGTGCGCAGCTGAGTGTATCCTGATGCACGTGATTGCCTAGTAAGCAGCTTAGCTGTGGTTGGTGGTTGGTGCCTCGCAATTCCACGCTCTCGGTGGCGATCAACAATCGAGCCGAGGAGACCACTTCTACCACCAACATTCTGTCACAGTAGTAGAGATGGCTTTTGCTCCTTAGAAGACTCCTTTAAATGGTCCATCAGTCTCGACTCTTTTGGCCGAGATGCTGTAAAGCCACGAAGCTCTACATTTGGCATGGCTCAGGCCCTTGCTCTCCTGCGTCGAATCCTCTATCGGCCACATCTACTTCATATCTCGTCCCAGATCTCAGTTCCATCAGATGGTTTTCGTGTCTAGAGCCCTGAAACATTGCAGGGGATATGCGCAGGATGCCTTTCTTACAAGGCCACCCAACTTAACGTTTTCGTCTAGACCTGGGGTGCTCTTCGAAACGAGTCCGCAATCCGCCTCAGCTGAGGGACGCCACACAACATGTTTGACGGACCGGCCACTATATTGTGGCTCATTTTTCCTGTTCAGCTTCATCCTTCGCGCCAACTGCTATTACTATAGCCGGCTACTTTGACGACTCTTCAGCCCATTTTGCACGGACTTTGTGAAGCAAGGCGCGCGTTTCAAATAGTGTGCACTGACAAATACCTACCTAGGCATTTACAACAATCCTGCAGCTTCTCACAAATGTGCGCAAACCTCACTATTGGCATCTGCTAAAGGCACTTGAAAATAGTGCGACCAGCTACATAGATCAAAAAACCGTATTCCTTCTGGCGCTTACATGTACGTTTATCCTGGCTCATCGACAGAGTTTTCTTACCTCCCGGTGGGTACTCTTGCCAGCGAACTCTCACCCCGGCCTTGAAAAATTCAACCTGGTGCCAGCAGCCACCTCATCGTCTCCAGTCGAATATTCAAGTAGTCACAATGATGTGATGTCACCTCGGGAGAAATACTTAGCCGTTTGTCCGTAAAGCAACCAATCACTTTGAGAGGACGGTCATTCTTCTCAACTAACGCACAACGCGACATTGTCATCCTACACTTCACCAAAGTGGGTTCTCGCGCGAACTCACATAGAGCTCGATTTCAATCTTGTGGGCGCCAGGAGTGCAACACGATGATCTGCAAGCAGATCGATTTGCGGCAACTGGACCCTAACCCGGAGTCTTGGGACGGCACAAATGCAAGCGGACCTGCAGCTGACTGCATAATGTCGGTGCACACGCCGAAGCCGCGGGAGCCGTTTAGCGGACTCTACGAGCCCCGCAATGATGCCTCCTTGACGCCTGAACCCTTGGCAATTTAATCATGAGCGAGGCTGGCAAAAGGCAATGCTTTATCTTGGAGTTCATATCAATGACATTGTAGCTTGACTACAGGACGAAAGGCATTTGGTCGGCCACTCCCGAAGATTGGGGTATCACAATGCTGAAATGCGCAAACCCCATTTCCGATAACTGTCACTTGGTGATAGGGCGGCTTTCCACATGGGGCTTCCCGCGGCATGGCCCGCTTAACATCCCACGCGCTCCGCCCCACGGCCGCTCAGGGCATGGCAATTTTACCAGCTGGAGAACCGAGTACCGACGACGCAAGAAACGCTGATGACTACCCAATACCGTTTGAAATGACTGCGATGTCGCGCAGGTTCAAGCATCGTGTCATGCAGCCTCCCGGCTTGTCATTTCTTGGAATTTCTTGGGATTTTCAGCAGCAAGCATCGCTTAAAACTAGAGCGCGCCTCCGCTGTGCCGAGGCGGGAAGGATTCTTGACGAAGTCTGGAACGCACATTAAAAAAGATTTGTAGCCATCAGGGGACGCCGCCCACGACGACACGGCACAGAAGAGATGGTTCTTCAACGATAGATCTTAAGATAGTCACGTCGCTGTTGAACGTGGCCGCTAGCCCGCACATCCGCATTTTGTGGGACACGCGAGGCGCATCGCTATCTCTCTCCGAACATAATCGGGGGTGATTCCAATTCGGCACAGGGTCAAAGACTAGCTGGTGGCGCCGTCGCTCGTTAGCTCGCGAAAAGACCCCGGCCTGGTCTACGCCTCCAATGGTCCCGATGACAGCCGGCCAATCTGCTGATCTACACTCGCCTCGGCCTTATCAACGTTGGCTGCGAAAGTTTGGCCGTCGCCGCGCACCGCCGCTCCTTATATTACTTGATTGAACGATGCGCCGTTTAGTCCTGTACAGCGCTCGCGTTCCACATCAACCCAACATCCTCTCCCTTATACAAAGGACTCTCCTCTGACGAGGTCGAAGATCAAACTCCTTCGCGGAGCTTCGAAACAAGAGTCCCTAATCGAAAATTTTTCTTACGCGACAGTCACGTCAAGTCACCTGTCGTCGCATCAAAAATGAATTACTACGACGTCGAGAAGACGGCCGCCGATGCTGATGTGTCCTCGGCGCCCTCTGTCACCAAGCACACTGGACCTGTTGCTGCTATCGAGGGTGGTGCCGTTCCGGGCGAGAGCTTTGAATATGGCAACACCCTGTACGCGAAGGTTCAAAGGTTGGCCGGCCGCTTGAACATTGAACAGAGAGGCATCGAGCGTGTCCCGGACAGCGAACGGAACGACACTTCTTTATTGAACGTTGGTACCATGGTATGTTTGTTCGGTTCTCATTTGACCAATGAACATGGCTAATACCCGATATAGTGGCTTTCCGCCAACATGGTTGTCAGTTCCTTCGCAATTGGTCTACTTGGCAAGTCGTTGTTCGGCCTTGGAGTTGCTGATGCTATGCTGGTAATCCTCTTCTTCAACATCATTGGTGTCCTCTCGGTCTGCTTCTTTTCCACGTTTGGTCCTGTGTTTGGTCTCCGTCAAATGGTCTTGTCCCGGTTCTGGTTTGGCTGGTACGGTGTCAAGCTCAGTAAGTTGATGTGTCTATTCAATGCCTCTGATAGACCTAACACGTCTCAGTTGCCGTCTTCAACTGCTTCGCCTGTATTGGCTGGTCGTCCGTCAACTCCATTGTTGGCGCTGAGCTTATTCACGCTGTGAACGAGGATGTCCCGGGTTGGGCTGGCATTGTCATTATCGCCATTTGCACCTTTTTCGTAACCCTCTTCGGTTACAAGGTCGTTCACGCCTACGAGTTCTGGAGCTGGATCCCGACCTTCATCATCTTCCTGATTACCTTGGGTGTCTTCGCGCACTCAGGCGATTTCGTGAACATTCCTATGGGCGTTGGTACTTCCGAATTGGGCGGTGTCCTCAGCTTTGGCTGCACAGTTTATGGCTTTGCCACCGGATGGACCTCCTACGCTGCCGACTACACCGTCTACCACCCCGCGACCGAAAGCAAGAGGAAGGTGTGGATCAGTACCTTCATTGGTCTGATCTTCCCTCTGTTTTTCACCGAGATGTTGGGCGTGGCCGTCATGGCTGCTACTGATATCAACGGTGGTGACAACATCTATCAGGCTGGTTACACGGCCTCCGGCACCGGTGGCCTTCTGGCGGCCGTTCTTGTTCCCCATCTTGGTGGTTTTGGCAAGTTCTGCCTGATCATTCTTGCTCTCTCGATCATTGCAAACAACTGCCCGAACATCTACTCTGTGTCCCTCACTGTGCAAGTCTTTGCGCACTGGACTCAGTACGTTCCTCGTTTCATCTGGACCCTTGTTGGCACCGGTGTCTACATTGCCATTGCTATCGCGGGTTACTCGCACTTCGAGACGATCCTTGAGGTAAGCATCTGTGCTTCTTTCGAAACGTCAAACCCCGAAAGCTAACCTTTTCACAGAACTTCATGAACTTCATTGGTTACTGGCTTGCCATTTATACCGGTATTGCTGTTACCGACCATTTCGTATTCAAGAGGGGCTTTGGTGGCTACAACCCTGAACTCTATGACCAACCGAGCAAGCTACCCGTGGGTATCGCAGCTGTTCTTGCCTTCTGCTTCGGTGTTGCTGGTATGGTTGTCGGCATGAGCCAGTCGTGGTGGGTGGGTCCCGTCGCGCTCAAGGCGGGTGCGGCGCCAACTGGTGGTGATGTTGGTGCGGAGCTGGGCTTCGCCTTTGCTTCCGTCAGCTATATGGCCCTGAGAACCGTTGAGCTCCGCATGTTCAAGAGGTAGGGTTCACCGAGGGCAAATGGGTGTCCATCACGGGCCGCAAGGCAGTTTCCGTGTAAAGTCGTCTATTCAAAACTGAAAGAAGAAGAAAGAATAGAAGAGGGGTGTCTTGTAGAGACAAAGAGGTGGAGGGGAAGGAGAGCGCTTTGTGTTTTTAAAAACAATATACCCGACTATGTTTCTCGCGCATCTCCTCTCAACGGAAGGAAGACTATCTGTCAAAATCAAAATCAAAATCATTCACATAAAACCGTGCTTCTCGCAAATTACTCCTACAAACCGCCGCAACCCACGCCTCCCAAAACCAACACCAGCACCCTACCCATACACCCCATACACCCCATACACCCCATACACCCCATACACCCTTCTCCACAACCCAGCCCAAAGCAACCCCCCGCAGCTTCCCCACTCCCACCAAACCAGCGGAACCGGAGAGCTCCAAGGGCGTTATAATGAGCTAAACCAACAAACGAGGCGCGGGCGCGCCGAAGCGTCCGGTGCCGCCGCCGCCTCGCCCCGTTGACCTCACACCCCGGAAATTAGCTGCCCTTCGAGCTTTAGCGGGCAGCGAGTCCGGTGGCTTCCCCTGGGCTTATGGAGCGGCCCGGATCCTGCCGGCTACGGCTAGTGTTGGTGGTCGAGCTTTGGGTTGCACTTGCGAGTCGGGCCGCGGGTAGTACCTAAGTCCGACGCGTGGACTACTTTAGGAGAGGCCGAGGATGGCGTTTGGCCGCGTGTGCTTGATGCTTGTGTTGGTGTGCGTACTTGGAGAGATTGGATGGGTTGCAAATGGGTGGCTGTGTAAAAGTGTGCTTTTGTTGTGGTGGATGGTGGATTAGCAGTTGTACATAGGATTGCTTTTCGGACGAAAGGAATTGAGAGGGGTGCGGCGATGATTGTTGAAACGTTGCTCTTGTGCGCCCAGATCTGTTTAGAAGAGATAGGGCTCATGCTTCTTGTTGACAGTGACTCCTATTTTAGTTTGGGAACCATCTGAAAGGAAGGATGAACCAAAAAGCTTTTGTAAATCCAAACCAAATCATTCCTATCCATAACTTTCGCTCGCGCAAGTGAGTTTGCTTTGTTCGAAGAGCTACAAGACCTGTGATGTATGCACAGTCGATCCAGCAATCCAATAGAAGATCCATGTGGGACCTATATTTAAATATGCGACTAGTGTCCCCTGTTACCGAAACCCGTCGCTCAGGTACTCGAGCTCAAGCCTGGCAATGGCATCATTTAAACTAGTCTCATGAAATTCTGCTTTGAGCATAGCTTGGCCCCCGAGGCTTTGTCGTACATTTGATGATCTGGCCCTTGGCATCGAGATAGTTCATAGAGGATCCCCAGTTCAAATCACAAACTCGTGTTCGGCTCATCTTCGCCTACATATACTCCAATAGCCCTAGGCTGTATCAACCGCGGAAGTATGAAGGAGGATCCTTGAATGTGCTGGCCCGAACTTCGGAAAGATAGCAGTATGGACAGGTAGACCTGTTCTAACTTATGAAGGCTGTATCTGGAATATTCCATACTCTGGAAAGAATACTGGCTCTTAAAGGGCCAATGAAGGTCTCTTTATTAGATGCGCTTCTCGCACTGCCGAATATTTATCATGAAACATGACTCATGCTCTACACCTCGTTGTAGCTTGATGACTCTAAGAATCTAAAAACTACCTCGCGATAGAACTGCTAAGGCTTGAGAGGAAAGACATTATATGAATTCTGGGAAACAAAAGTGAATATTGTTCTGATATCTTGCGCTAAGAGAATGGTTGGGATGTCTTCGATGAGGCTTATGCTTATGGGTGTATGACCTGTCTGACTGAATAGCCAACAGGCTCGCCATGTAAACAGCCGTACCTGACAGAGTGCCGTAAGGCAATTTGAAATGGCCAATAAAATCAGGATCTGTAACGAAGTTCCTCATGGCTTGTATTTACCAAAGACATGAAACAATGGGTTGAGCGACTACAGAATTAGCATACTTGGTTGCGAATAATACTCACGAGTACTTCTTTTTCATGGTTAGGCAAGTTAGAACTTGCCGTGTAAAAGAAGATATGCCTCACAGTAGGCTTGTTGAGCTCCAATGCCGAATCAATATGACATTAGAGGATCTAAGTTTTATACGTCCCATTAGTTTGATATTTATGTCAGTGGCTTCGTTGTTAACCAACCATCTGCCTTCCATGGTGCAGGAAAGACATCTTTTGTGGAGAGCAGTCTACTTTTTCGTTGTTCACCGGGCCACATGTATTTCTCAGCTACACCGACCGTAAGCAGGCACAAGAGCCCTATCACCTATACTCTCTTCTTCCACCCGTATTCCTCTCCATCCTTCTCCTTTTCAATTCGTCCTGAAGCCCTCGGTCCTCAAGCTCTTCTCTTATCTCAACGTCCAGTTCCTTTCGCGCCTTCAACAATTTATCGAGTTTCGGCACGAACGTTGTAAAGTTCAGGATCGGATGCCCTTCTATGTGCCTCAATTGCTCAAGGCACCTGGCTGCCGTATTTTCCAGGTCTTCCCTCGTATAAGTCTTTGGGTGCTGCAACTTCCGGATATTGAGCTCTGGGTACAAAAGGCCATTGCCGTTTCCTGCGCCTTCGAAGGCTGCCCGATAGGGCACGAAGTTTGGTATCTCTATAGACGAAGCTCGTCCGTCGTCCGATCCGAGTTGGACGTTGCATGCCACGGCCGTCTCATGACACCAGGTGCGTGCGACATTTCGAGGCGTGTACCCGCCGCCACCAAGCATTAGCAGGGGCAGGTTCCTACTCTTCACGTACTCGACACATGATCCATGCGCCTTGATATTGAGGTTGAATTTGCCCAGTCGATCACCACCCAGTGAATCTGCGCCGCATTGGAGCACGATTGCTTCAGGTTTGAAGACCTCGATAGTTTTTCCAGTCACCTTGCGGAACAGCCACCCATAGTCTGAGTCATCGATTCCATCCTCCAGCGGAACGTTGAGGCTGAAGTAGGCGCCGGGCTCTTCAAAGCCCTTGGGGCCACTGTCGTCAGGCCCACCAGTGCCAGGGAAAAATTCACCGTATTTGTGGTAGGACAGGGTCATGACGCGGTCCGTATTGAAGAAAGCTGCTTCGACGCCGTCGCCATGGTGCACATCGATATCGATGTACAGAACACGCGTGTAAGACTGCAACAGGTGCTGGATAGCTAACACGATGTCGTTGACATAGCAGAAACCAGACGCTTGGCGTTTCTTCGCATGGTGTAGGCCGCCCGACCAGCTAATTGCGATGTTCGATTCGCCGCTAGACAATGCATGTGCCGCTTCGAGTGTGGCACCTGTGCACAAGGTCACGTAATCCCAGATGCCGTCAAAAATAGGACAATCGTTGAATTCATCAGTGAAAACGTAGCGGTTGAGCTCCTCCTGGTGACGCTTTTGCGTCTGGTCGTCGCTTTTGATGTATTGCAGGAAATTGAGGTAGTCGTTATCGTGGAATTCGGCCAGATCCCGATGCTCCGCCGGTAGAGACTCATTCAGATCCATGGCATAGTGCAATCCATAACCGAAAACGAGCTGCTTGGTGAGCTGTAGACGCCAGGGTTTCATCGGGTGTTTGCTACCGAAGTGGTGCTGCTCGACTTTTGGGTTGTAGTGGAAGGATACAGTATATCCTTGTGGGCGCTCTATGCCTAGCTGGTCTGCAACCATCTGGTGCACACGTTCCTTGTCTTCCGGCTTAAGATTTTTGTAGTTGATATGCTCAACGCTCGAGCTTAGTGGAACAATGGGGTCCGAAGTTACCCAGGCCTGAACAATCTCGGTGTTGTGAGCCATTGTGTCGGTCTGGACACGTGAGTATGGGGCACTCAAGGGATCCCTTAAGAATGGACCGATCGACACTGCGGAGCTAGTGTTCTGAGGCGGAAGGTGAGAGGAAAAGCAGCAACCTTGTGGCGATGTTGAGGTTGTACTGTGGTGCAGAGCAGTTGTTCGGGTCGGGGAGTAATGACTCGGAGGACGAAGCCAGTAAAGGAAAAAGACGGGAGAGACGTCAGACCCCTACCAGTCAATGTATACCACAGACCAACCCGCGTGTGTTGGATGAAGAAGAGAAAGCTGGGGTATGTGGATCTTGCAGCGCCGTTGCACACCCTGGTCGCGCCAAGTCGATCGTGACGGTCACGTGCGGCGCGGCTGCGTCCTGGTTTCAGCCCTGGCGAAACGACGATTGACCCCCGACACGCAACAACTACCACACTTGTTCCCGCTCCATCAGCGCGCAACAACCTAGCGACAGGCTTTTCACTTCCCCTACTGCGCTACTGTGTAAATAGACGCTCAGGCGCAAGCAGATGAGTCGCTCTTTGCTACAAAGCTGTCACATCAGTAACATCGCCACGTGCACCCACGCCTTCGAAGGCCGTTTCGTGAATCTGCAGGTCGCAGCAGAGAGCCAGCGCTGAACATACCGAGCAAACATGGCCTTAGCTGAAGATGCCGCTTCCGTTCTGGAACTATTTATCCACGACGGTATGCTGGTGTAATCTTTATAGAATCCACATGCTGACCGTCTTGCAGTGGCAAATCTTCCGCTTGAAATTACTCACCTTTATGAGGAAATGCAGGCTAAAGAGCAGTTGATTCAGCATTGCCACAATATTATTGACGCGCGAGATAGCAGCTTGCAGAAATTTGTCAAGCTGAATGGGAGCCTGGTTAAGAACCCCAAAGAAGAACCTTATAGCAAACAGATCTTGCAACAGTACGACAAAGCTCAGATCCTTCAGGAGGAAAAGTGTCGCTTGGCTGAGAAGGCCGCACATCTCGTGGGTTAAAATCTTTCTGAGCACATACGAATCATCTACTAATCACCCACAGCTTGACCGTCATGTAAAGCGACTGGATATCAAGATTAGAGACTTGCAAGCGGACGGCTCTATACCAAATGATCCGCTACCTTCCCTGCTAAGGCCAGAGTCTCTAGCAGTGCCACCTTCGTCAACCGCGACTGGCGCAAACACGCCCCTGAATCCTCTGTCTATGAACGCAAATGCTGGTTCTCAGCAAATCGCCAACGCGGCCATAGCACGCTTAGCTGGTGTGACCGGTCAGAGGATAAGCTCCCCTGCCGTGACTGGTGGCATTCCGAGCACGATACTCAACCAAACTCACCTTTCTAATGCTTCAGCTCTGGCAGCCATGTCAGCCACCAATCGTCAACGCGAAATGTCAGTCAGTAGTGACAGTAAGCGGCGCCGTTTGAATGCATCGCTCGGCTCACTACCCACGATGACCTCTGCGCTCGCCCGTCAATCATCGTTGGGACCGGGGACTCCAAAGGTCGGAACTCCTGGCAGCCGTGCAGGCAGCGCAGGCCCAAGACCCAACAAGAAATTTTCCAAAAAGGCGCTACCAGGCCAAGCAAACAGAAAGAAGCTCAACAAAGTAGGGATATCAAAGAAGTCTGCACGCAGACTCATGGGACAGTCGCGTGCTTCGCCGTCGACGACTGGCGATGACGACAGTATGCTCAGCGAAGATGCTTCTGATGACGATGGGTCTGCCATTGGCGTCGACGGTGTAGGGGACGATAATATGGACCTGGACGACGAGGCCGACGACACGCAATACTGCATTTGCGAACGGGTCAGCTTCGGCGACATGGTGGCCTGCGACAACGACAAGTGTGAGATCCAGTGGTTCCACTGGGAATGTGTTGGCCTCACGCAGGAGCCCAAGGGGGAGTGGCTATGCCCCATCTGCGATCCCAACTCCAAGTTCGACAAGAAGAAGAAGAAGCTGAACCGATAGCGATCGGCCTGGGGGTTAGTGGTGCATTGTGGCTTTCCTTCTCCAGAGTCTGGGGTACTTTTGGAGTTCGCCTAGTGGCACCGGCGGGCTGGCGTCTGTCATGGGCGCCGATGTGCCGAGGGAGGGTGACGGGCTCGACTATAGGCAATGTCTCAAGCCGCCAAGGGCTTCCAGAAGGCTTCTGGCGTATCTTATCATGCAATATGGAGTGGAGCTGATCGTATATTCTCCCGCAAAGAGGCGTGGGAGATGCGACTAGCGCCCGGAGTGCGGGTGCGGCTGCTGAGCACTGCCCCAATGATGGTTGGCAGGGATGACGGGGGCCAGATCGGCCATCCGCTCCTTACCGCCTTGAACTTCCGCGCAAGCCTCCCCTTTCTTCTTCAATCTCTCCCAAAACCTTCGCGAGAGGGTTGATAACGCGCCTGATAATCATAATCCCGCCCTTGTGTTTGTGTTTCTTTCCCGTTGGGCCGTCGCGCACCATTGGCTGTCCGCACTAGCCCCCTGACGCCGCCGCCGCCCGCCTCATCGGCCGCCTAGCCCTGAACGACGCCAAAAAGTGCACAAGGGGCCACCCACTCGGACCCTCTCCTCTGTCTCGCTCCCTTGCTGCTTGCTGGCATTGCACAGGTTTGGCTTTGGTTTCAGACACACTCCTTCGAGAAGCAGGCCGAAGACGCCCAGCCGCCCGCCTCACACGATACCCGTCCGATCCTTACCGACCATCCGCCTCCTCGTAGCCAGTCACTCTTTCGGCCACAGGACGTACATGTCTCCACGAGCGCCCTAGCAATTTGCATTCTTTCCTTTTTTCGCGCCAAGACGATAAACAGATGGCTGGTCCCAGTGGCACACTGTCGCCGATCTCCGTCGACAGCGCCAACGAGTGGTCTCCCACCAAACACCTCGGGGGCAGCGACAATCCGTATTCGCCCACTATCCCACCCACGCCGCGCAGCCAGCTCGTCACACCGCCCGCCTCTGTGCACACCAGCAGCCTCCAGTCGGATGGAGGCATCGGCCAGCCACGCACCATGAGCACCGGAAATCCCTCGCCGCCAAGCTCAATCGCACGATCGAGCAATGGCGATGGCATGAGCATACGGGACAGGGAAAGCGTCAGCAGTCGGAAAGCTTTGATGATCGAGGAGGCGCTAGCGACGCACTACAGAGTCCTTAACCAATACCTCGCACCATACCTGAGGGACGAAAAGGGCAACCCGAGACCCAATCGCGCACGCGACAAGCTGCTACGCTTGTCCAGCGTGCAGTTCCAGGAACTCAGTACCGATGTCTACGATGAATCCATCCGGCGCGAGGACGACCGGAAAAGAGGAGGCCCGAACAACCCAAACAACAACATACCCCGATTTCTCCCCCCGAAGAACAACTATCATCCCAAGCGCAACCAAGCTCGTCAAAAGCTGTCTACACTACCTCTCGAAAGATTTCGGCAACTTGCGACTGATGTCTTCTATGAGTTGGAACGCCGGTATCCCAAATTCATACTTCCAGACATGGACCGTCCAGCGAGCCCTACTGGCAGCGTTGCAAGCAGTCGTCGTGGTCCTCCAAGCGGGAGGATGACACCGAGCGGAGGGCCTCCGGGAGGTTATCGCGGGCCTCCTGGACCCGGAGGGCCCCCGTATCGCAGGGGTCCTGGGCCTGGAGGTCCCGGACTTGGTGTACCCGGCAATGAGTACGGCAGACCATTGCCAAAAACATTCCAGCAAAACACTATTGTCCCGAACAAAGGCGTTTTAGTGGAGGATGATGATGATCAGAGCGGAGCAGACGAGGATCGTGAGGATGACGACGATGCATTTGATCTTGAGGGCATTGCACAGAGATCCAGCAGGAGGACAACAGGAAAGAGTTTCAACAGTATCTCCCAGAATGTAAGGTTGCGCGACCCGGCACCAGAGCTTTGGTTCCCTAACCCGGACGGCCAGGACAAACTCGTTTCAGACCTAAACTTGCAAGTTTCGCAACTTCAAGAGAAGACTGAAGAGTTGGAAGCAAAACTAAAAGAAAAAGACCAAGAGCTCGAAAGACTTCAAGATTCCGAGAGGGAGAAGAAAAATGTTTGTCAAAGTCAAGAGATTCCCATTGGCGGGCTGCATTTTTTTACTGACATGGTGCAGGGAACGGACGCGGACAAGCCTGAATTTGCAGAGCTGAGAGAAGATCTGGAGCGTAAGGTTGAGGAGGCGCAGGGTCTGAATGAGTCCCTTAAAGCTGAGCTGGAAAAAGTGCGCGAGGAGAGCTCCCATGTGGAGCAGGACCTCCGCACACAGCTGGAGGAAGGCGGCCACGGCGGTGGAGGCGACAGCGATTTGAAACAGCGCTATGAGCAACTTGAGCGGGACTTCCAGGAACAGCAGCAAGTTACGGAAGAAGTTCGCAGGGAAGCGTCTCAATTCCTGCTTGAGATGCGCTCGCTCTCTGAGCGCAGCAGCAGTGCTCTTGAAAAGGAGGAGAAGCTCGCAAACCATGTTTCGCAGCTGGAGACGGAGCTGAGGGAGTGGAAGGCGCGCTACGCCCGGGCGAAGACTCAGGTTCGCCATCTCCGCGCCTCATCCATGGGCCTCGCCAACTTCACCCCCGACGCCTCCATCTACGCCCGCGACTCCAACTTTGCCGCGCCTGATGGCCTGATCAAGGACGTGCACGTCTCAAAGTTCCAGCTGGGCATCGACGAGCTGTTGCAGACGGCGCGCAAGCCCAACCCGGAGGCGGTTCTTGACTGCATGAAGAACGTCGTTGTCTCGGTACGCCACATCACGGCTGATTTCGATGCTGCGGGATCGCCGCCGAGCAGCGCGGGCGGCGACGAGAGCACGGACGCCAAGCGCGCCAGCAAGCTCAAGTCGCGCGTCAGTGCCACCGCCAACAACCTGATCACGGCCTCGAAGAACCACGCTGCCGCTGCCGGTTTGTCGCCCGTCTCACTGCTGGACGCCGCCGCCTCGCACCTCACGACGGCCATTGTCGAGTTGGTCAAGATCGTGAAGATCAAGCCGACCCAACCTGGCGAGGAAGATTACGAGGAGTTTCCCGACAGAGCCGAGCGCCTTAGTGTCAACAAAAGAAACAGCTACTACGGCCTTGCGAATGGCGTTCGACACTCTCGCACCGGGAGTAATCTCAGCGTGGATACGGCTCGGTACAGCAACTCCAGCTCGCCTCGAGCATGGTCGGTACGGCGGTCAGAGGGACCCAACGGATTGAACGGGGCGCACATTCCTGCGGTCAAGGAGAGCAGCGGCTTGGAGGAGATCAAGGTGAGTATCCACGACGAGGCCGCCACGAGAGCTCTCCAAATCCTTACGTCCGCACTTTAGAACTACCTCGAAGACCAAACCACGGATCTCGTCAACAGCATCCAGCCCCTGGTCCAAGACATCCGATCTACTCCCGCTGCCGTTCCTTTGTCATCCGAAATTGAGCAACAAATTGAACGATACGTCACCGAAATTTCGCGCACCGTCCAGGACATTAGTTATAAGACACGTGAGGCTATAGAGAACGTGCACAACCCAGCCCTGACCAAGCACGCAGCCCCCGCGGTCGAGGTTCTCGAGGAGTGCCGCGAGGGCCTCCTCGAGGCCATCAACCTGGAGGAGGGCGGGAAGCGCGATAGGATCCCGCCGCTGGCGTTCAAGATCGCGCGAGCTACTAAGGCATGTATTGATTCCGACTTTCTGGAGTTCGAGCATTGCTTAAGATTTGACAACTGGGGTGGGCGGAAGGGGTTCGTGGGTGGCTTGCTGACGATTGTGTGTCTACAGGAACTCGTGTTGCGTGTCGAAAAGATTGAGAACGGCGAATTGACGGCGGACATGACTGTTGCGAACGACTTTTAATTTTTCCTTTTTTCCTCTCTCTCTCGTCTCTGAGATGATGATGGGCCGCGCGACGCGCGAATGCCTCAGTCAGTATTTTCCTTCCTCGTGCCTTTAGTCAGGCCCTTCTCTTTTCCTTGCTCGCAACTACCCGGTCGCTCGCGGCCGTTTCCCGTTTACACCGACCGGAATTGGTCTTTTTGCTTACGCCCTAATGTTGGCTTTCCTTATCGTCTCTATTTCTACCCAAAGCAAAGGGCGGCGTCAAGCGCGTTGCTAGCATTTCCAGCGCCAGTGGCTGCATTTTCTCGTTTGGCATACGAGCCGGCGTTTGGCGGTCCTTGTCTTCCTCTTTTCCTTTCTATCAGAGCCACTTCAGAAGTGCTGGCATTTTCCTTTTCTTACACTATATACCTTTGCCCTTTCCGCGAGCCGCAGACAGGCCGGATTGGTGGCTCTCGTTGCTTGGGGATTTGCAACAACTTTTTGTTTTTTGTCTAGTGTTTTCTTCTTTTTTCCCTTTCCTTGCTCCTTCGTCGATACGACGTATGACTGTAACTGTGCTTGGCCGATGGAAGAGCCTGCTCTCGGGCCCTTCTATCCTTGTCATGTCCTGTTTTCTCAACTTTTATTTTCCTTTACAGTCTCGTGAGTGTACGACAGTTGGTAAAATGGCATTGGAATGGCGGCGCGGCACGGCAGCGGCTCGGCTCGGCTCGCCGCGCCTAGGCCTGCCTTAACTACCTACCTATCTCTAGATACCTACTCGTAGTGTTTTTCGGCATGCGCGTCACGGGGGAAGAGCACCGGCTGACGTTTAATGGAGGATCCGCAGAAGACGGGGCGTCTGCCCCTGTGTAGAGTGGCGCAGGGAGCTCGCTCGCCGGGGCACTGAGCTCGGCATGGCTTGGGGTGACCGGGAGACGGACGATGACGCCGTTTGCGTCCTGGCGGATGCGCGAATGCTAAGCCGGATCGGAGTTTTTCGCTTATCTCTCACTTCCTTTTTCGTATGACAGGGCGAGCGGTGACGTTTGCGCTCAATGACGGTGTTGCGCGTCGTGGGGTTGATGTTGATTGCGATCGCCTGGCATTGCTTGCGTCTCGCTCATTCCTTTGCGTCGACAGCATGAGCGGCGCCATGCCATGCCACGCCCGCATTCCTTTGCTACCGTGGTTTGCGTCACCCCTCATTCATGGTTGTTACGACCTACCGTCAAGAACCCCTTCCTAGAATAGCCCCCACGGACCCTGCTGGCGGGCATTGCCGACGCCTTCCCGTCGTGTCCCCTCTCTCTCTCGCTGTTCGCCCTTCCTATTTGTCCCCCGCGGCGGCGCGAGTGCGTCGTGAGTGAGATAGGGGGAAAGGGGAGGAGCTGTCGAGGTCGGGTGGCTGTGGTCAGCGGCGCACGGCGAGGCCCGCGGGGGTTGGATGATGGTCGAGGTGAGGTGTCGGGCATCAGATTAGATGCGAGTACGAAGGATGGGAGGCCTTGGGTTTAGGGAGTGGGTGAGTACGTGTCGGGAGCGGAGGACAAAAAAGGGAGAGAGACGATAGGTAGTGTTTACAATACAGGCACGTGGGTCCAGCGGTCTGGCCGTTTCAACATTTCAAGGGTCCAGGCACCCAGGGTGAATCATCTGGCTGCTCGGATCAAGAGGAGGTTGAAGCTTCGGAGCGCGGATCACGAATGATGACAGTGACAGAGGGAGGTGCAGCTGCCCGGAGTACAGCAGCGCGACACGTCTCATATGATTATTATCAAGGACGGCGTGAGGCTGCAAGCGCGACTGGCGCGGCACGGCACGGCGACGCTTGACGGAAAAGGCTCCGCACGTGCAATTGTTTCTTTTATTTCATTTTGCTTTGAGCCGGCACGGGGGCCCAGCAATGACGCTAGAGGCCAAATCTTGGTAGAAGACCTGGCGGGCGATCCTCAAGGGCAGAAGCAAGATATGCCGCGGCTCCCTGGCGACAATCAAGAGGAAGAGTCGCAAGATCTCGCAGCAGGAGCGGCCCCGTGGGATTTCGGCTCATCAATCAAACCGAAACGGGCACGTCATGCCGCGACGATGATGAAAGAGTGCATGGCCGGGGAGAGCACAGTCGGTCCGAGCAGCGAGCTTCTGCCAGCCACCAGGGCCGGAAGCGTCATTGTCCTCTCCGCACGCATGGCTGGGGTGGGAGGAATTTTAGGCTTGCGCGATTAGCCGGCCGTGGGGAGGGAGAGTGAGGCAGCAAGCAAGCAACAGCAGCAGCAGGCAGCGGGACATGGGGGTGGACAAGCAGGCAAAAAAGCAAGTACACCACCTACCCGCTGATGCACCATGTCGTCGGCAGACGTCATGGCCCAAACGGCCACAGACCCTAGATTTGGGGAATGAAATGAAACAACTTTGTGCGCAGGCAGTCTAGATTTACGCGCGTGGCGGCGGGTGGGTTTTTTTCGTGTGGTGTGTAGCTTAGTTAGTGGCGACGCCGTCCAGCCTGCTTGGATGAGCAGGCTCTGCGTGTGCAAGAGACGAGACAAAAGCGTGCGAGCACCCCCCCGGGAGCCTCAATTTGGGCCCAATCCGTCCATCGTCATCATCCACTCCTCCCGCCAGAGCAACAAGCATGCCGATGATCGAGGTGAGTTGCGAGAAGCGTCATTTCTTTCGCTTAACATCTCCGCCCGCGTCATACCCAGCCTGCCGTCATCCACAACAAGCCCCAGACAGAGATCAACCTCCCCCGACCTTTCTTTGTCTTTCTCACCCTGCACCTTTCCATTCGCCTGTCCACCTCCCCGATACACCACCACAACCACAACAACATCCCTCCCACTCTCACACTCTCACATTCTCCTTCATCCTTCCTCTCTCTCTCTCTCCGTCCGTCTCCCTCCCTCTCGCCGCCCACCAAACCTCGACGACTCTGCACATCCTGCCGTCGCCTGCTGCGACGATCCCCACTAAATCATGGCGGCCATTCAGAATTTCAAAAACTTCCTGCGCCATGGCAAGCAGGCCCGCGCCGCCCACTCGCCTCACGCCGAGCCCACGACCAACGTTTCCAACGTTCATGCCCACCAGCAACGTCACAGCCACCAGCCCGTTCAGCCCGCCGCGCACCACTACGCCCACAGCGAGCCCAACGTAGACCACCACAGACCTCTACAGCACGCCGCCCCGGAAGGTGACTACTCGGCTGCCGCCGTCAACAACCAGAATGTCGCTGCACAGGCCGGTGAGGCCGCCGCCCGCGCTGCCGACGACCAACGCAAGCGGGAGGAGCGTGCCAAGGCTGAGCACAAGGCCAACTACGATCCGCAGGTGTTGGAGCGCATCGTCGCCGAGGAGCGTGAGGCCAAGGGCAAGCTGCCCAAATACCCTGGCCTGGACCGCTGGATTCTGTTGGAGAAGATGGGTGACGGTGCCTTCTCCAACGTCTACCGGGCCAAGGACGGCCACGGTCAATACCCCGAATGCGCCATCAAGGTGGTCCGCAAGTTCGAAATGAACTCTACTCAGGTACGTGACCTCTTCTTTTACATGCAACGTGCCGTTTCTCCTACACTTGGTTTCGTCGTCCGGCCCTGTCCAGTCCCGCACAGCAGTGACCGCATCGCCCCAACAATCTCTTTTCGTTCACAGCCAACATTGGGGTGTGGCGTAGGGCGACAACCATCTTCACCCGGATGTGAAAAAAGTGCCGAAGACCGTGGAGGTGCGCATATCCTCCAGCACTTGCCCGTGATTTCGCTTTGGCACGCCCGGATTCTTTTTCTATCTTTATTTTTCCGTTTATTGGGTATTGCATTTGATTGCTACGGTGGCTGACCTTTGCTCTTTTTTTTTTTTTTTGCAGCGTGCGAACATCCTCAAGGAGGTGCAGATCATGCGTCAACTTGATCACCCCAACATTGTCAAACTCATCGACTTCTCCGAATCGCGGCAATACTATTACATCATCCTGGAGCTTTGCCCAGGCGGCGAGCTTTTCCACCAGATTGTGCGCCTCACGTACTTCAGCGAAAACCTTTCTCGTCACGTCATTATCCAGGTTGCAAAGGCTCTGGAATACCTTCACGAAGAGGCTGGTGTCGTTCACCGGTATGTGTGACATGTTTTGCCTTGGTTGAGTTTTGACCGAAGCTGACGTCATATCCAGTGACATCAAGCCTGAGAACCTCCTGTTCTACCCCGCCCCTTTTGTCCCGACAAAGAACCCCCAGCCCAAGGGCGCTGATGAGGAAGACAAGGTCGATGAGGGCGAGTTCATCAAGGGCACTGGTGCCGGTGGCATCGGCACCATCAAGATTGCCGACTTTGGCCTGTCCAAGATCATTTGGGACAGCCAGACGATGACGCCATGTGGCACCGTCGGTTATACGGCGCCCGAGATCGTCAAGGATGAACGGTATTCCAAGAGCGTCGACATGTGGGCGCTCGGATGCGTGCTTTACACCCTGCTCTGCGGCTTCCCTCCATTCTACGACGAGAGCATCCAGACTTTGACCGAAAAGGTTGCGCGTGGCCAGTACACTTTCCTGTCTCCCTGGTGGGATGACATCTCCAAGCCTGCTCAGGACTTGGTGTCTCACCTGTTGACTGTCGATCCCGAGAAGCGCTACGACATCAAGCAGTTCCTGAACCACCCCTGGATCCGCGAGTCCGAGGAAGAGACTTATGCCGCCGCTGACGCACCGCCGCTTGCCACTCCCCTTGTCCACCGCCAGAAGCCTGCAGCCGAGACTACGGTTGCCGCGCCCAGTTTCGCTTATCTCGATGACGTTCCTAGCGCTGGTGGTCGCCGTATGGACTTCCGCTCGCCCGGTGCCGTCAACCTGCGTGAGGTGTTCGACGTCAGCTACGCGGTGCACCGCCAGGAAGAGGAGGGCAAGCGTCGCAAGAACTTCACGCAAGGCTACCGTGGCGCTGGTGGCTTGAACAGCTTGAACGCACTCGACGAGGAAGAGATGGACGAAGAGGATGAGTATGGTGCTAGCGCACCATACCAAGCCGGCCAGGCCGACCCACCAGCCAAGGTGCCCAAGTCGCAGGCTGCCGATGTCACTTCAATGGAGCAGAAGATGCGTAACACAAGCCTGAGTGCCGCAGCACAGGCAAGGCAACAAGCATCTCAGCCCCAGCAAAGAGGCTATGGCCAGCACAGCCCAGCCGTCGCGGCAGCGGCAAGGAGACAGGTCAAGAACAAGGGCGCGTTCGAGCTCAACCTTGACAACTCGACGCTGCTCGGCCGGCGCGGCAAGAAGCAGGAGCCGAGCAGCCTGCGAGAGCAGGTTGCAGCGACGGGTCCCTGAATCGGCGACTGGTGATGCAGACGGCAGGAGTTTTGCATGACACACGGAGCGTCCGGAGTGTGCACCTTTCCAGTTTGACTGACGATAGAGAAGCGTTTTTTTCCTTTCCTCTATTACGACTTCCATAATGGACCGGACGGTTACACGCACGACATCATGGCACGGTGGCGGGAGGGAAACGGGCGGCTTGCTCGGGCGAGCAAGAAAGGAACAAGCGAGTCTTTTCAAGACACGGAGTTTTTTCTTTTTTTTTTTTACCTCTTCACTTTTGATTCCACGATTGCTTTTTTTTTTTTTTTTTTTTTTTTTTTTTTTCACTTTCAATAATTTTCACTTCTCTGGCACGGGGGACACTTAGCTATACTCCACCGCCGACAAGTCCTCCTAGCGAGGCGTTTTCTGCATAACGGGCTGCTTTGTTAGGCAGCAGCTCCTCTTCACCACCCCCCCTTTTTTTTGGCTTTTTGGTGCTTTACTCTTTTTTTCTTTTATAGTTGGTTTGGTCTGGTTGCTGCTGCTTTTTCTGTTTTCATTCTCCGTTTTCCAACCACTGCTGATGCAATGCAATCATGGCTGCGACGGGGCACGAATCCAAACTCTTTCCTCTCATTGGTATGGTAACTAGCGAATGATGCGCAAGGGCAGACGATGGGGAGGTACAGGGATGGTTGATGGGTTGGGCTGGTGGCAGGTGTGGGTTGAATTGGCATAGTGAAATCTATACGAGTTTTTTGCTCTCCGATACTGGGGTTTGGGGCTGTGCGTGTGTGTGTGTGCGTCTGTAATGAAGCAGCAGGACGATAGCAGCAGCGCGGGTGAGTGAGGCTTATATATCATAATTTTGCGCTCTTGGAGCTAGTGCTGCTTGCGAGGGAGGGGAGCAGGGAGGTACGGACACGAACTATGGACCTCGGGTGGCTGCCCTTGCGGGGAGGGGGCCTGGGGCTTAGGGCCAGGACGACGCCACATCGGGACGTTTGGGCAGCACACGAGGCCTACTGACTAGGGCCTGGAGAGCTGGGGGGACTGGGGGTGCGGAAAGATAAGCGGATGCGATTCGTGGGCTGCAGGGACGGGCCTGTTTGGTTGGCTTGTGTGTGTGTGTGTGTGTGTGTGTGTGTCAGTGTGTCAGGGAGTGTGGGGGTGGGGACTTGTAGCCCGCAGCCCGCAGCCCGCAGCCCGCGGCATGCGGAGCGAGCTGTGAGCTGTGGGTGAGCATACAGGCAGGCGCGGAATTGAACCGGGTATTCGGCACCCCTTGTGCGGGCTTAGCTAATGTAGGGTAAACGCAGGCTTATCGCCGCGTACGAGAGGGATGGCGGCACGGAGTGCGGACATAAGCTCTGTGTGTGCTTTTGAGACGGGATGTTGGGTCCGTTGGGTTGTTGTGGTTTGTGGACCGTGGACCGTGGACCGTGGACCGTGGACCGTGGTGGCGGGAGGGGCCTGGGGGAGGGGAGGGGGTGGTGTTGCTTGCTTGCTTGCTTACTTGCCGTTCTTTCTTTCTTTCTTTCTTTCTTTCTTTCTTTCTTTCTTTCTTTCTTGCTCTTACTTACTTGCTCTTCACTCGAGGCTCTTGACTCTTTGGATTCTTTGGATTCTTCTTCTTCTTCTTTTGAGAGAGAGAGAAAGAGAGAGTTTCTCTCTTTGGGTTGGTTTTTGGGTTCCTGGCCTCGGCAGTATCAGCTTCTTTGCCGTTACTACCTAGGCGTGAGTCACGATGACTGCTGGGCACGAGCACCAGCACGAGCACCACCACCATCACCTCAGCATTAGTCGCAGCCGCAGCCACGATGGCCACGCTCATGCTCATGGCCACAGCCACGCGTTCGACATTGGCGTCCCAGAGCAGAGTGAGATTATCGAGCTCGCGGCCGAGGAGGGCCATGATGCGGATATCCCGACCAACTTGGGCGTGCTGCCGGATTTAGTCGACGTGAAGAAGAAGGAGCTGCGGCGACATAACAACAACAACAATCACCACGACGGCGTGACAGAAGCCAGCCGAGACATTGACCTCGAGAAGAGCGAAGTATCATCCGCCAAGTCCTCGCTGGCTGAGCAAGAGGAAGAGAATGAAGATTCCCCAGCGCCAGCCGAGCGCGACGCCAACATCGTCGACTGGGACGGCCCCTCCGACCCCGCGAACCCGCTCAACTGGCCCGCACGCAAGAAATGGGGCACGATAGCCATCGTATCAGCATTTACATTCCTAACGCCGCTCGGGTCCTCAATGTTCGCCCCCGGGGTGCCAGAACTAATGGCCGAGTTCAACTCCAACAGCAGCATCCTCGCCGGCTTCGTCGTCTCCATCTACGTGCTCGGCTTCGCGTTCGGCCCGCTGGTCATTGCGCCCCTGAGCGAGATGGTCGGCCGTCTGCCGCTGTACCATGCCTGCAATGTGCTGTTCATTGCGTTTAATGTGGGCTGCGCGCGCAGCTCCAGCTTGGGCATGCTCATTGCGTTTCGCTTCCTGGCGGGGTGCGTGGGCGCGTCGCCTTTGACACTGGGGGGTGGCACGATTGCTGACTTGATGCCGCGTGAGCAGAGGGGCACTGCTATGGGGTTTTGGGTCGCGGGACCGACGGTTGGGCCTGTGGTTGGGTGAGTGCGAGCTGCGTCGATCTTCCTCCTTCTCGTCTTCCTCCTCCATAACTTTGCTGAGCTGCCTGCCTGCCTGCCTGCCTGCCTGACTGACGCGTCGCAGCCCCATCGCCGGCGGCTTCCTTTCCCAAGCCGCCGGCTGGCGCTGGGTCTTCTACCTCATAAGCATCACGGCCGGCGTCATCGCAGTGATGGGATTCCTGCTCCTGCAAGAAACTTACGGCCTGGCGATCCTAAACCGGCGAGTGCGGCGCCTGCGCAAAGAGACAGGCAACACGGCGCTGCGCTCGGCCCTCGACGCCGGGCTGAGCCCCAAAACACTCTTCGCGACATCGATCGTGCGACCGACGAAGCTACTCCTCCGCTCGCCCATCGTCTTCCTGCTAAGCCTATACGTCGCCGTCGCCTACTCGTACCTGTACATCCTCTTCACGACGTTCACGTCCGTCTTCGAGTCGCGCTACGGCTTCGGCCCCGGCATCGCGGGCCTGACGTATCTGGGCGTCGGGCTCGGCAGCGTCGCCGGCCAGCTCACGTACACCATCCTCGGCAACCGCAGCGTGCGGGCGCACCTTGCGGCCGGCGACTTCAAGCCCGAGCACCGCTTGCCGCTCATGTTTCCGGGCGCCGTGGCTATGCCCATCGGCTTGTTTTGGTATGGCTGGAGCATCCACGCTCATGCACATTGGATCGTCCCGATCTTGGGGACTAGCTTGATCGGCTTTGGCTTGCTGCTGATTTTTGTACGTCTCCCAATCCTTTCATTCTTCCCTAGCTCTTTCCCCTTCCCCTCTTCCCTTTCCCCACACACACCCCACACACCAGCACCCCACAAACAAACACACACACACATCTACTCACCCCCCACCGCCCCACAGATGGCGCCCAACACGTACCTCGTCGACGTCTACACGCGCCACGCCGCCTCCGCCATGGCAGCAAACACAGTGCTCCGCTCCGTCGTCGCGGCCTTTGTGCCCCTGGCCGGACAAGACATGTACGCGGCGCTGGGGCTGGGCTGGGGCAACAGCCTGCTGGGCTTTGTGGCGCTCGCGCTCGTGCCGATTCCTATCTTCTTCGTCAAGTACGGGGAGCGCATCCGCAGGAGCGAGAAGCTGCGGCTGTAGGGCAGGAGGGGGGAGGGGGGATGAGGATGAGAGGTGCGGAGGAGGGGAAGTTTGGCTTGGAGTTGTTGGAAGGTTAGGGCTGGTGTGGAGTTTGGGCCGGGACGCCGGTGGGGCTGCTCGTGCTGCTCTATGGGATTGGGACTGCGCCTGCTCCGTGCGTGCGTGGCGCGCCGGGTAGGTGGCTAGCGGACTGTCGTGGGATTTAGGACAATCTATGGGATAGATATAAGCATAGATAGGCAGGATACGTAGGTATTTCCGCTTCTTTTTTGAGAGAGAGAGAGAGAAAGGGAGGGAAAACTGGCAGACCGCGACGCTATGTTCAATTTCAGTGAAGCCGCGCGCGAGCCCCACCAATCTGGCGGTATTATCGACAATGGGGAAAAAACAGAAACAGAAAGGGAAAAAAGCCAACTATCGACAAAGTGGAATCGAGTATACGCCGTCTCGCCCTGCGCGCCAGGAGCCAGTTTCGCGCAGACGCAATAATGGTAGAAGAAGCAAGGAGATATCGCGAAAATGACAAGCATCCACAACAAACCGCACATATCCACATATCCACATCACCGCGACCAACCCCCACCACAACCACAACAATCCCCTGCATTCATCACCCATAACACCGTCCCCCACCCATCCCATCCGGCCCCTCTGCCGTCATCATCCCCGCCTGATCGACCCCCCACTGCGTCCCGCCCCAGTAGTCCACAGGCTCACACCCGACGCCCTCGACGCCCAGCCGCAAGAAGTCCAGCTGGCTAGCCGCGCCGCCACCGCCGCCAACAGCACCACCCCCTCCTGCGCCGCCAACGCTACCGCCGCCAACGCTTCCGCTGCCACTGCTATCCGACAGCGGCGTCGGCAAACTGCTGCTAAAGCTCATGCGGCGTGGATCCATCGCCCCGCCGTCAGGCGCCGCTGCCGGCATCCACGGGTTCGACAGCGGCATATTCGCCGGGGCGCAGTAGAGCGGTTGCGGGGCGGCAGAGAAACCGCCGGGCGCATGGTATGACCAGGTAGGGTGCATCTCGGGCTGCGGAGTAAGGAGTGCCGTACCGGCGGCAGCATCACCGGTGCCGTTGCCAAGGTGGTCCGGATGGGGCTGCGCTTTGGTCATCGGCGTCATGGGGTTCTGCATGTTTACGGCAGCAGGATGAGGAGGCGCCGTCGTCGCGGCCGGCTCCGGGCACCACTTCAGTGGCATCTTGGGTCGCGTGTCCGGGTCGAGTTGACGCCGCTTGGGTCCGTCTTCTTGGTCTTCTTCTTCGTCTTCGGGGTTGTTTCGCAGTGCGGGGACCGTAGGTTCGTTCCACCTATGGCGTTGTGGCGAGGGCAACCCGCCGAGTTCTGCGAGGACACCTTGTAGAACGACGAACATGCGTTCGGCTGGCTGGAAGATGAAGGACATGTCCTGGAGCACAACAGCCATGCACTTGAGATATTTCATGATCGGGGATCTTTCTTTGATATCTTTGATAGCGGCAAGCTCAGCAACAAGCGCAGTGCAAGCAGTACCCTTTAATTCTGTTAGCCTTAAGCTACGTTAAAGACCACCTGTGTTTACTCACTGCAGTCTGCATTCCTGCGCAGAACATTTGCTTTACGTTGAAGCGTTGTCGGTAAACCCAGTAGTTTTTCGCGACGGCAATGGCATGGCTGGTGCAGGCTTTTCGTGACTGCGCTGGGATGTTGTCGGGAGTGATCTCTTGGGAATCGTATGAGACCGGGTCGTCATATCGTGCAAAAGGCCGATGTAGCAGGATCAAAATCGAATGGTATTGTTGATGGAGGACGAAGAAAGAGCGCGGGCCGTTGTTGATGTTGTAGGGTTCCCATTTCAGAGCATCAGGAAGGCGAGCGAACCAGTTGGTGAGTTCCCGGTTTAGGACGAGCATCTGTTTATAGGCGACACGATCGAAGCCGTGACCGAGACGTGGCCTCGCTTCCCTACTCTCTGCTGCTCTACCAGCAATCTCCATGAGATCTAGCAGTGCTTCGTACGTCTGCGTCTCCCAATTCTTCTCTGGGCCGGCTGGCCGACATGTACCGAGTCGTTCAAAGCGTTTGGCCAGTGTGTACACCTCAAGATCGGCGCTCTTAATGCTGGTTGGCCTTCCCAGGAAGAGAGACCAATACTTATCAAAGCATACGCTGAAAAGAGTTAGTCATCAACGACATGGATCTGATATTGGACTACTGCTCACCAAGCCCACAAAGCCATATGCCGTATCTCAACCTCACGCTCCGAGAGGCCTGAGGAACGAGTGTCGAGGTGCAATCCGATGTCAAAGGACAACCGCACCGCTATACCAGAGTAAAGCCAACCAGTGTGGTCCCGACCAACAGCGCACTCCAGGTTCGCAAGCAGCAGCATACCAGCAACCTGGGGAATGCCGCCAGGCCGGTCCAGCTCTATATCGAGCATGTATTTCGCTTCCCGGTGCAGGGTGCTTTCCCGGTGGGGAAGGACCAGTTGTTGGACCTCAGGGTGGTTGCGGTCGGCGTACCTATAACCAATGGCCAAGGTACATATGTGCAGGAAAGGAGAATAAAACTGGGTTCCGCCATGCTTGTAGTCCTCGAGGAAGGCTTCGCGGTGGACGCAATGCAGGTTGGAGTTGTAGTGCTGCCAAAACAGATCCAGCAGATAGTCGTGGGTCTCGGGCGAGAGGTGCCGAATGACATTGTTTGCACGTTGGGCTTGCTCAATGGCTTGACCATCTCGGTCGGCGACACACCTGGCATCCGACGGCAGCGAGCAGTTCATGGTCGGGCCGAAGTAGCGGAGGCTCCCACTGATTTGGTCGAAGCCGAGGTGGCCACGGCTTGACAACAGCTTGCCGACCATGGTTTCGTCTTTCGCCGGAGCGGATCCGAGAAGAACGGGATTGCTTCCTTGCGGAACCGAGACAGAGCTTTGTCGAGATTGATATCCATCATCCGACTCGTCGACATTGGACTCGATGGCTGAGGAATCATCTACGAGGCTCGGAGCATTGGTCTCGGACAGGTCGCTTGGTCTGCGGCCCTGGCTCCTTTCCGGCGAATTGGCCTTCAATCCGGTCGTGACTCTCGGCGGATGAATCACGGGAGGCGGCTCTATGCCTCTGTCCCGGAGCATCTGCTCGAGCAGGGCAATCCGATCCGTGAGAGAGGCCACGTAGGCCCTAGAAATCGGCCTGACAACGACGTTAAAGAGGCCGTTCTCAGCCCGTGGAAAAGCAGGCACCTACTTTTTCCGCTCATCGTCGTTTTTGATAACGCAGCTGGCACCGGTACGCTTGCAATTGGCGCAGTCGGTATCGCCAGGGTGAACGACACACTGGGGGAGGACATCAGTACGGGGGCACAGGGCGCAGGTCCGTCGACGTACCCTGATACGCCTGTCGCGGCAGTTGGAACAAGCAGTCGACGCTCGGTGACGGGGTTTTTGGGCTTTGGGCTTTGCAGCGTGAGCAGTGGCCATGTCCGGGCCGCCGAACAGCTCGGGCTTTGCGGGCAGCATGGCGGATGGCTGCATGATGGAGTTGAGGTCACGCCGGGTGCGGTGAGGGCGAAGAACAGTGGAGCACGGAGCGGCACAGCTCTAGAAAAGGGGCATAACGCGAACCAAGGCGTTCCAAGCAACAATCGGCACCGGGGGGAAAATTGCTTGCTTCATGTACAGCGGGGCCCCATGGGGCGTTGTGGACTGGTGTTTGTCTTGTCGGCGGATGAGGCGAATCCGAAGATCGACGCCCGAATATCACCCGGTACCCTAAATGGGCCTGGCCACGGCCGCCTATCCGACCTCGACGGCCACCACCCTGCCACGACCCATCACACTTCACCCACGACACGCTTGGGCCACTCTCAAATGACTATCAACAATTTGAACAAGTCACTGCTACTCATACGCTACTACCAATCCGCCCTACCTCGTCCATCACCTACTGCAACCGGACCTGCTGTTGTCGTTCGCGTTCCCGCTCGGCGCGCCCTAGTCACTCTCAGTCAGTACGCTAGCCAGCCCTATGACATCTGTAGCTCAACACGTGCCTTGCTGCTGCTGCCACTCCTGCATCCATTTCCGGACGAACCGCTCCTCCGCCTTTTGCGCCTCAGCCACGGCCTTTGGCGGCAACGTCGCCGTAGTCTCGTTGGGGAAAAGCCCGTTCTCGTCCCAGTGGTGCACCGCCCCGGAGATCAAAATAAACGGCTCGCTGTCCGTTGAAGTCCGGTTCGGGGCCGCAAACGCGTGCGACGAGGCTTGACGCCAAGGATCTACTTCGCCGTCGATGAGCGCCAACCGAGGATAGCTGATGCCGAACCCGCCGTATTTGTTGATGGCCTCCACATCCGAAGGCGTCGTGATGTTGAACGCATACCGGCACACGGTAGATGCGTATTCTAGATCGACAAGGCGCGAGACTAGAGGGAGAATGTCGGCGGGCACCCCACTCCCAGTTTGGAGGTAGCCCCATCTGCAGGTCATTTTCAGTATAGCTGATGTGTCCCATATGCCTCGAGTTGCTTACTGGGTACAGTATTGATAGGGCCATGAGCGCCAGGTCTGATTAATATCGTCCTTCGCGTAGAAGGTCGTATCGAGGTTTGAAAAGCACTGATCTTGCGTTTTTTTAGTGTCACACCGAGAGATCTGAGTCACGTTGACATATCCAATGTAGTTCAGCAAGTGATTGGTCAGTGACTCAACCTCCTTGCCGTAACCGCCAACCTTAATGAGATCCTGAGCGGTGGATTTGAGGTCTTGGGTCGGAGAATAGAGGGCGTCATCTGAAGTCAAATTTCCGCAGAATTCGTAGAACGTCGGGTCATCTTGTGCCGGGTCCCAGTTGCGATTTTGCCAATAAGTAATACCGGTAGCGAGAAGGCTTGCAAAGTCAGCATCCTGCGATATGTTGCCCACACCAAACGCGTCCTTAAGCTGCTGGGGGTAGTCTGTGTCTTTCTTCCCGATTAGGATATTGTCGACCACGTTTACCAACTTCTGGGTTGTCTTGATGCAGTCTTGAGGGCCGTATATCCGGTGCGCCTCGAAATACTCCCAGTAGTCATAGATTGCTTCGGTCACACCGGAGGAGGATATGGCGCCCCAGTAGACGTCCGGGTAGAGCTTGCGAAGGAAGGCCTGCACGAGTTAACAAAGTCCATGCGCTCAGTAATCGAGGCACCCACCACAAAAGAACCGGCATATGAGCCTCCATAGGCTATCCAAGGAGCGTTAGGTGCCGTCAGGTCCTGATCCTCCAATCCTTCGAAGACGACGTTCTTGGCGAAGTAGGCAGTATCAGCCAAAGCTTGGTCGGTAGTCAAGAAACGCAAACTCTGGGTGCTCAAGTCTGGCACGGGGGGGAAGCTCGTGCCATAATAGCGATGCTCCAAAATCACACCAATGCCACCCGTAGCCTTCGCCAGTTGTGCAATAATGCCCTTTTGCAAGAACGGCAGTCGGTCTGTTCCACTGGTCTCTCCGCTCTCCAACAACAAGACAGGGCCGCCCTTTTTGTAGTGGCTGGCATCGAACCAGTAGCGTAGGTTGAAAGTGCCATTGCTGTGGGGTTCGTAGAGCGAGTCATTGTGGAAATGGTCGATGGGCACGGTCAGGTTATAAGCGGGGTAGAGGGCTGACAGGTCGACATCGCGGCTCTTGAGCTGGTCATCGGTTCGGATCTGGTGATACATCAGCCGTGTTCAAGTGGGGTGAGGCATTGGATATGGAATTGACCTGTTTGCGCAGCTCGCGGATGGGCAGAGAGGTGCGCAGGGCCTCGACAGTCGGGAGGAGGTTAAGGACGAGCGGGACCAGGCCGAGATACATGGCGGCGGAGGATGAGGCGTACGGCTCATGAGGAAGAGGGAGGACATGGGTGTTTTGAAGAGGAAGGCGTCCTGTAGCTATTCCGATAAGCTAGGTTGAAGTTGGAAGGTGCAACTGGATATCGCAGAGCTAGCCACGCTGAGAAGGCCGCAAGCATGGGTGGTTGCACTGCGATCCGAGCGGCATCCTATAGTTATTGCAGTGCAGTGCGCTCGTCCCGCCATGGCATCGCACCGCATCGCATCGCATCATCGCCCGTGTCTCGAGCACGAGATTGATGGTGGTTGTTGTCGTTACCTAGGTGGGCTTGGCGGGTAACAGGACCGGGATGTACCCACCGCGACGACATGATGACCCCTGCGCTTCCGCTTGCACCTCAACCTAAACCCCAGCGAGCAAGCCGTCTTCTTTTTGCGCGTGGCAACCGAGCCACACTCCTACTTTATTGAATTTTACCTCAGTTCTACGCATAGCCACCAACAAATGGACGACATTCACGGCATGTGTTTTGGCAGTGGCGTCCGGCTGACGTGCCCCTTTCTCCGGTCCAGATTGGATCCGGCGTTAGCCTGCCGCAGTAGTTGCGTCTGGTGAGAGGCTGCCGTTCGCTGATCTGTCTGATGACGAAGACGAGGCTGAGAGGCTTACGCGCGACGCCGGATGACTTCTCCCTCGTAAACCAAACTGAAAGCTCCAGCGGAGGGCCTGCGAAGCCGGACAGCAGAGCAGAGGAATCCACGCAACTGTACCGCTGGAGAGGGTCTATCATATCAGTTTTGCCAGCAAAAGAATGGAGGCAGCGTTCGAGAATCTCACGACGGCCGTCTGGGCCTCGCTTGACATGTGAAGCGGGGTTGGAGCCGGGGCCGGCCCTAATCCTTGCTCGTATCCACCACGGACCTATTCTGTGATCGTTGTCAGGTCGCTGCGTTACCGAGCTCGGAAAGCTTGATGCAAGACCCACCAATGCCTCAGTTGACACCAGCTGTACTGTTAATAATAATAGGGGGCTGCCTTCGCTAGTCTCACCTAATCTCCTCGACTTGTACGTCCTCCCTCGCGTCAACCCCTCTTCTGAACAAACGAATATGGTTGGAATCGCAGAAGGAAGAAAGACGGCCCTCGTCTTCGGCGCCAGTGGTATCTCAGGATGGGCCTTTGTGAACGAGATCCTCCAGGACTATCCTCGACCAGGCGTCTGGAATAAGGTGCATGCCCTGACGAACCGCTCCCTACCAAGGCACGTCTCACTATGGCCGGACGACCCTCGTCTGAATATCGTTTCTGGAATCGACTTGCTCTCCTGTAGCCACAAGGAGATTGCGCGGATGATGGAAAGCAGGATAGATGGGATTCAGAAGGTTACTCATGTGTACTTTCTGGGTAAGCCCCCTGGGAGAAATACATATGGTTTCCAGAACGCTAACCGCAAGTAGCATACAAGGCAAGTGAAGACTTCGAAGAGGAAATTGAAGATGCAGTCGTAATGCTCCAACGGGCGATAAAAGCCGTGGACCAACTTTGCCCGGCTCTGGAGTTCGTTGTGCTGCAAACCAGCGCAAAGATGTACGGATGCCACCTCCTGGAAAACCGCCCTAGATTGCCTCTTCCCCTTTCAGAGTCACTACCACGACTGGGGCAACCCTTTTATGATGCACTTTTCCACCACGAGCAGCTGGACTGGCTTAGCTCTTATGCTGCATTCAAAAGATGGAACTGGTGCGAAACCCGTCCGGACATCATCGTTGGATTCGTCCCGCACCAGAATGCGTATTCGCTCGCAACAATTCTGGGGGTGTTCCTTACCATGTACAAGGAAATCGAAGGCGCAGGCGCCCAATGTCCATTCCCTGGAACCGTGAAGAGCTGGGACGCCAAGAGCAATGACAGCTCCAGTGACATGATTGCGCGCCAGACGCTGCACTTGTCACTGACGCTGCCGCCAGACAGGAAGGGCGAGGCGTTCAACGTCGCCGACTCCAGATCATGCGAGACGTGGTCCTCCAAGTGGCCGCAGCTGTGCGCGTATTTTGGCCTAAAAGGTACCCCGCCGGCGGAGGAAGGCCAGTCTATCGAGGTCCGGGCGTATATTCAAATGAACCTGGCCAAACGGAGAGAGATGGAAAAGAAGTATGGGCTTCGAAGCGGGATCGTGGCCTCGGAATTGACTATGCGGGGGTTCGAATACTTCCTCCTCACCGGATTCGATTTCGACAGACAGTACGACATGTCGAAGATGTATGAGTCGACAGGCTTCTCTGAGGAGCGGGAGGTGATGGATGCTTGGGGCGTCGCCTTCGATCGCATGAGAGCTGCAAGGATGATCCCTTGATTTTTGTTGGAACGAGATATCCGTTCAAACTCTTCCTAAACAAAGCTCCTCAAGGCGCATACCATACTCGGGTCTTTCGCTTGGATGTGACTGCTGTTGATCAAGATTGTTGAAAAATGGCTAGATTCCGGCGGAAACATCCAAGGATTCTCCCGCACATCGATTACCAGCGGACCGCTTTCCCTTGAAACGTTATGCCGGAACACCATACCACAAGAGCACCACGAAGTCTGCGGCGTCGAGATCAAAGATGCACAGACAGTAAACGAGGTCAACGAACCGGTCAAAATTCTCCTCTTACGGACGCGGAAGTATTCATATCTACGCGGATATCAAGATTGTATCTATATTTGCAGCTGTCTGTTTGTATGCGACAGATGCGTATGTGGCAGGTCAGAAAGGTTCTCGCACCCACGAAGAAAGCCATTCTCCGTGGGGAAAAGAAGGTGGATGTATAGAGATTAGGGGTCAGTCTTTGCCTGCACGCGCAGAAGCTCACATGCATATTACCACACAAATTGAAACTGTATGTACAAGAATTTCATTGGCTGATCAATAAGCATTTGCCGTTTGCTATAAAGGTAGTCACAGAAATCTCATATGTATCACTGTTGCACACAATCAACCTAACCTCAATAGTGACGTTAAATTCGTGTATATCAACGTTAATATCAAGCGAATCAACCACCCTCACTTGCTGGTGGTTGAATTGGACGATTTCGACAGCAAAATAAGGTAGGTTGTGGTTGGTTTTAACCGGATTCATCCACCTCCGTCAGGCGCGCTTTTCATGCGAAATCGAGTTAGTATACTAACATGGGTAGTTGATTTCTGAGCATAACCACTCTCAAAATTGCTGTCAAAATCAACCAAACCAACCACCATCACTTGCTTGTGGTTAACTTACTTGAGACTGACATTAAAATACTTGTACTTGACAACACTTATAGGGGTGCGGTTGATTGTGTGCAACATCAACCATCCAAGCATGCAGATGTCGACCCGAGACAAGGCACCCCACTCGTGCGTGCCACTCTTACAGGGATTACCATTGTGATTTTCCGGACGCTGTCTACAGATCATACGTCTTCCAAACATTGTGCGGTTGGCGAATAGCTCCCATATCTCGACAGCTGGAACATAGATTGGAAAAACCATGTCTCAAATCCTCAAAGGCGTGGCATTCATCACGGGTGCCGCTTCCGGTACGTTCCGCACCCAGAGATGGCCTACCTACAAGCAGGTATGGCAATGCTGATACCAAGCCAATCCACCAGGCATCGCGCGGCAGGCAGCGATAACGTTTGCGAAGAACGGGGTGCAAAAGCTCGCACTAGTCGACATCAGCCACGAGGAAGTCAAGCGCATAGCGAGCCAGCTGGAACAAGAGTACGGGGTGGAGGCGATTGGGCTGGGCGTGGACACGACGCAAGAAAGCGAAGTAGACGAGGCGATGCGGCGCACGGTGGAGAAGTTTGGGCGCATCGACATGGCCGTCAACTGCGCGGGCGCCCAAGGCCCTGCCAAGCAGACGCCCGACACGACGCTGGCGGAGCTGGAGCAGCACCTCGGCAACAACCTGCGCGGCACGTGGCTGTGTCATCGCGCGCAGCTGCGCCTGATGCAGCAGCAGGAGGTGCTGGAGGCGCGCATGGGCCGCGGCACCATCGTCAACGTCGCTTCCGTCTATGGGCTGGGCGGGCCGCCGACCCTGACGCCCATGACCCCGTATAGCGTGGGCAAGCATGCGATTGTCGGCTTGACCAAGGCGGATGGCGCCATCTATGCGTCCAAGGGGATCAGGATCAATGCCATTTGTCCCGGGTTCGTGGCTACGCCGCTGGTGGAGCAGGCGTTTGAGAATGAGCCCGTCATGAGGGGGGAGATGCTGCGGACGCCAATGAAGCGGATGGGCTCTGTCGAGGAGATTGCCGATGCCATCATGTTCTTGGCCAGTCCATTGAGCAGCTACATGGCTGGCGCCGCCATGCCTGTTGACGGGTGAGTTGCGATTGCGGACCCCCGCGCGTGAGGTCATTGCTGACATATACATTTGCAGTGGTTGGACAGCGATATGAGGCAAAGGCAGAGCATTGGCAAGGCCAGGGATAAACGGGATGTCACTTTGAGTAAATAGGATCAAGGATCGACGTGTAAATATTGTATAGGTACATACCTAAAAGGCGCCGCTATGCCACTAGCCGTCGATCACCCGCTCTCCCACGAATTTGCGTCAGCGTCAGCACCACGACGCAGCTGTTTACCAGCACCCCACCCCACCACCTTACCAACGCAACAATGCCGCTCGACACGTCGGCCTACGCGCTCGCGCTCCTCCGCCTCGACGGCCGCCGCTGGAACGAGCTGCGGCGCATCCACGCGCAAATCAGCACCCAGGCCGCCGCCGACGGCTCGTCCTACCTCGAGATGGGCAACACGAAGGTCGTGTGCACGGTCGCGGGGCCGAACGAGGGGCGGCGGACGGGCGGCGGCGGCGGCGGCGGCGACGAGGCTCGCATCGACGTCGAGATTGGCTTTGCCGGCTTCTCGGGCGTGGAGCGCAAGCGGCGCGGCCGCGGCGACAAGTGAGTCTTCCCTTCTCGGCGGGGGAAAAGAGGGGGAGGAGAAGGAAATGGAGGAATTGATTGGGGCAAGGCGAGGTCTGGCTAGTTGACTGACTGACTCTTCTCCTTCTTCTCCCAGGCGCACTGCAGAGATGCAACACACGCTGGCGCAAGCCTTCCGCGCAACACTGCACACGCAACGCTATCCCAACTCGACCATCACCATCACGCTGCACATCCTCTCGCAAGACGGGTCGCTGCTAGCCGCGAGCCTGAACGCAGCAACCCTCGCGCTCATCGACGCCGGCGTGCCCATGTCCGACTACCTCGTCGCGTGCACAGCGGGCAGCACGGCCTCGTACGCCGCCAACGACGAGGCCGCCGACCCGCTGCTCGACCTCAACGCCCTCGAGGAGCAGGAACTGCCCTTCCTGACCGTCGGCTGCCTCGGCGAGAAGGAGGACGTCACCGTCTGCGTCATGGAGACTAAGGTCCAGATGGCCCGCCTCGAGAGCATGCTTGCTGTCGGCGTTGATGGCTGCAAGCAGGTCAGGGAGATTCTGGATAATGTCGTCAGGGCGCATGGCAAGAGCATGCTCGAGGGCACGCTGGGCTGAGCCGCGCTGGCGTCGTGGTGGATCGAACCAGGCTCCATGAAGAAGAAGATGAAGATGTAGAAGAAGAGTGCTCGGCCTCCGCTAGAGAGCAGCAGGGCCGCAAGCGCCGGGCACCGGATTGGCCGCTGCCACGTTGATGGAATACCTGCAAACCGACCGAAGCGCAGCAGCCTCCAAGCTCCATAGCGCCGCACCTATGCGAGGCCCGTCCATTTTTGTCGTGCAGTGTTATGATAGACACGTTCAGACAGACCTACCGTAGATGCCCCAACGAGGATCCGGCCAGAAAATCACACCAGGTAGTAAATAAAACACGACCGAGAGCTATATACCTACGGTTGCAGGCATAGACAACTATCGTCGTTTCATATCCCCGCAGTGCGTGGTTCCCAGTTCGTAGAAGCAAACCGTGTGTCGAGTCGCTCCGAATTTAGTTGTTGTTAAAATGCTGCTTGCTATTTTGCCTCGTGCTCTTCTCCGAGTAGATTAAAACACTATACACGTTTATCCTCTGTTGGATCTAGTACCTACCATAACAGCATCTATCCGTCCAAGAGCAGTGTGTATAAGAAAGTCCTGGATAATCAATCTGTCTATCCTCCAAAGCTATAACAGTACCTCAACGCGGATACGAAAGCACTCCACAAAAGCGCCACAAGCAAGACACCCATCATCACACGCACATCACAAGGGACCCAAGCCAACAGCTCGCAGAAAAAAGCAAAGAATGCACAGCCCCGGCAGGCCCATTTACATCCGATTGTAGTATACTACACTCTCTCAGCACCATCTACCCAACCCCCTCCAAAAAAACCAAGAACCAACAGTTCCCAAAGAAAGCCAAAACAACAACAACAACAACAACAAAAAGTAACAACGAACAAAAAAGTAATAATAATAAACTCCCAAGAACCCCTGCCTATATCCACCATCACCCATCACCGCCACCGCCTCCTGTATGTATTGCGTATTGCGAGTGTATAAACGAGAGAATTGGGGACGATACATCAATGAGATCTTTCGAAGCGCCGCTAGATGCTCTCAAACAACATGAAGCCAAATCGCGTATCAGAACATCATGGTATCATCAACGTAGGTGTAGTTGCGCGCGGAACCCCCCCCCCCAAGAAAGCAAAAAACAAATCAAAGCAAGCAGGCAAATGCAAACGACCGAGGAGAAAGAGATACACAAGATGGGGTGTGAT